GTTTCCTACGTACCCCAGAGACCATCAACCGCTTCAAGAATGCGCCCCAGGGTGGTCAACAAATGTCCGTCATTCTGCAGTACTTTGGTATGCTCCTTGATAAAGGTACTCTCAACCGATACGAAAGTTTGGAGCTCGTGAGACCTGTTCTACAGCAGAATCGCAAACATTTGTTGGAAAAGTGGATGCGCGAGAACAAGCTTGAGGCATCAGAAGAACTCGGTGACCTTGTTCGACCACACGACATGAGCTTGGCTCTTCAAATTTACTTGCAAGCAAATGTTCCCCACAAAGTCGTTGCTGGATTCGCTGAAACTGGTCAATTCGAGAAGATCTTGCCATACGCAAAGCAGACCGGTTACCAGCCTGACTTCACCCAACTGCTACAACATATTGTGCGTTTGAACCCTGAGAAGGGTGCTGAATTCGCCGCGCAACTTGCCAATGAGGAGACCGGTGCTCTCGTTGATCTCGATCGTGTTGTGGACGTCTTCCTCTCTCAGAATATGATCCAACAGGCGACTTCATTCCTGTTGGATGCATTGAAAGACAACAAGCCCGAGCAGGGACATCTTCAGACTCGTTTACTCGAAATGAACCTCATTAACGCTCCTCAGGTCGCGGATGCCATTCTTGGAAACGAAATGTTCACCCACTATGACAAGGCGAGAATTGCACAACTCTGTGAGAATGCAGGTCTCATCCAGCGAGCACTTGAGAACACGGAAGATCCTGCAGTGATCAAGCGCAACTTGGTCAAGACTGATAAGCTGAACCCCGAGTGGCTGATCAAATACTTTGGCCGCCTTTCCCAAGAGCAGGCTCTTGAGGGTCTCGACGAAATGCTTAAATCCAACATCCGTCAAAATCTCCAGGCTGTTGTACAAATTGCAACTAAGTTCTCCGACCTTTTGGGCAACAACCGCCTCATTGACCTATTCGAAAAGTACCGCACAGCAGAAGGTCTCTACTACTACCTGGGAAGCATTGTCAACCTCAGTGAAGATCCCGAGGTGCATTTCAAGTACATTGAAGCTGCAACTGCAATGGGTCAGCTGACCGAAGTTGAACGCATTTGCCGTGAGAGCAATTACTACAACCCCGAGAAGGTGAAGAACTTCTTGAAGGAGGCAAACCTCACAGAACAGCTCCCATTGATCATTGTCTGCGATCGATTCAACTTCATTCATGACCTTGTCTTGTACCTCTACCGCAACCAGCAATACAAGTCGATCGAAGTCTATGTCCAGCGAGTCAATCCTTCTCGTTCCCCTGCTGTGATTGGTGGTCTCTTGGATGTCGACTGCGATGAAGCTATTATCAAGAACTTGCTATCCACAGTTGACCCCTCACAGATCCCTATCGATGAGCTTGTTCAAGAGGTGGAGTCCCGAAACCGTCTCAAGCTTTTGCTGCCATTCTTGGAAAGCACCTTGGCGACCGGAAACCAACAGCAAGCCGTGTACAACGCGCTTGCCAAGATCTACATTGATAGCAACAACAACCCCGAGAAGTTCCTCAAGGAGAACGATATGTACGACACTTTGATTGTCGGTAAATACTGCGAGAAGAGAGATCCCAATCTGGCATATATTGCATACAGCAAAGGACAAAACGATTTGGAACTTATCAACATCACCAACGAGAACGCAATGTACCGTGCTCAGGCTCGCTACCTTTTGGACCGCGCAGATCCTGAGATCTGGGCTTTCGTCCTCAATGACAACAACATTCATCGCCGTTCTGTCGTAGACCAGGTCATAGCTACGGCTGTTCCAGAGTCCACGGAGCCTGACAAAGTGTCTGTAGCTGTCAAGTCGTTCCTTGAAGCTGATATGCCTGCTGAGCTCATCGAGTTGCTTGAAAAGATCATTCTGGAGCCATCACCTTTCAGTGACAACAGCAGTCTTCAGAACTTGCTTATGCTTACTGCTGCCAAGGCCGACAAGAGCCGCTTGATTGACTACATTCACAAGCTTAACGAGTTCAACGCTGATGAGATTGCGCAGATGTGTATTTCTGTCGGTTTGTACGAGGAAGCTTTCGAAATCTACAAGAAAGTCAGCAACCACACTGCCGCTACCGATGTCTTGGTGGAGAACATTGTCAGCATTGATCGCGCTCAAGAGTATGCCGAACGTGTTGAGCTTCCTGAGGTTTGGAGCAAGGTTGCAAAGGCACAATTGGACGGTTTGCGAGTGACTGATTCTATTGAATCCTATATCCGTGCCAACGATGCTTCAAACTATAACGAAGTCATCGAGACCGCGACACATGCTGGCAAGGACGAAGACCTCGTCAAATACTTGAGAATGGCCCGCAAGACATTGCGAGAGCCTGCTATTGACACCGCCCTCGCATTCTCCTTGGCCCGCCTGGACCAACTTTCTGAACTTGAAGATTTCTTGCGTGCTACTAATGTTGCAGACATTGAAGCATCTGGTGACAAGGCATATGAGGAAGGCTTCCATGAAGCAGCCAAGATCTTCTACACTAGCATCTCCAACTGGGCCAAGCTCGCAACTACCCTCGTACACCTTGAGGACTACCAAGCCGCAGTCGAATGCGCTCGCAAGGCCAACAGCGTCAAGGTCTGGAAGCAAGTCAATGAGGCATGTGTCAACAAGAAGGAATTCCGCCTCGCTCAGATTTGCGGTCTCAACCTCATCGTCCATGCTGAAGAACTCAACGACCTTGTCAAACAATATGAGCGCAACGGATACTTTGATGAGCTCATTTCTCTCCTGGAAGCCGGTTTGGGATTGGAGCGCGCTCACATGGGCATGTTCACCGAGTTGGGTATTGCTCTGTCCAAGTACCATCCTGACCGTGTCATGGAGCACCTCAAGCTATTCTGGTCTCGTATCAACATCCCTAAGATGATCCGCGCTACTGAAGAGGCCAACTTGTGGCCCGAGCTCGTGTTCCTTTACTGCCACTACGACGAATGGGACAACGCTGCTCTTGCTATGATGGAGCGTGCCGCCGAGGCCTGGGAACACCATTCTTTCAAGGACATCATTGTCAAGGTTGCCAACCTCGAGATCTACTACCGTTCTCTCAACTTCTATCTACAGGAGCAGCCCTTGTTGCTCACCGATCTCCTACAAGTTCTGACTGCCCGTATTGATGTTAGCCGTGTTGTCCGCATCTTTCAATCATCAGACAACATCCCTCTCATCAAGCCTTTTTTGCTTAGTGTTCAGGGCCAGAACAAGCGTGCTGTCAATGATGCCATCAATGACTTGCTCATTGAGGAGGAGGATTACAAGACACTTCGGGACTCGGTGGACAACTACGACAACTATGATCCTGTGGAGTTGGCTCAGCGTTTGGAGAAGCATGACTTGGTGTTCTTCCGCCAGATTGCCGCCAATATCTACCGCAAGAACAAGCGCTGGGAGAAATCGATTGCTCTCTCCAAGCAAGACAAGCTTTTCAAGGATGCTATTGAGACCTCGGCAATGTCAGGAAAGTCGGAGGTTGTGGAGGAATTACTTCGCTACGTAAGTTTTTTTAGCCTGTTCATTGTTGTTACATTTGCTAATACGCAATATAGTTCGTCGACATTGGTAGCCGTGAATGTTACGTCGGCATGCTATACGCATGTTACGACATTATCCGCCCAGATGTCATCTTGGAGATCTCATGGCGCCATGGCTTGAACGACTTCACTATGCCATACCTCATCAACATGATGGCTCAGCAAACGATCACCATCGAGCAACTCAAGAAGGACAACGAGGAACGTAAAGCCAAGGAGACTACTCACCAGAAGGACGAAGACACGGGCCCCATTCTCGGATCCCGCCTGATGCTCACCCAAGGCCCAGTTCCACAGGCCAACGGCATTACACCTCAAGTTACTGGATACCGAGCATTTTAAGAAGCAAGAACCACTCGTAACTGGCGATTGCTGAATATTTTCTACTCCTTCATGTGTAATCAACCTATCATTCAATGACATTGTAATCTAGCTAGCTATGGAATAATGCCGCTCAAGTTTATTTTTCTCTTTTACGACTGCAAGCACATTTCAAAGAGTTCTGTCACATGGTGTTCTTATCTCAGCAAAAAAGGAAAGAGCCCTGTGTGGCAGGAACCGGGGGTTGGGGTTTGTCTCTTTCTTTTTCTTTTCCTCTTGATCAGTTTTATCTTATTCTTCATTATGCTCCTTTCTGCCTTGTATTTTGATACGCATAAACTTAGGTTTCGAATTCTACTTATTTCTATGATGGGTTTGATATTTTCCTTATTCATTGTAACTAACATCAACAACCAACTAAGGTCTGGTATGAGGCATCCAACAAATCTGCTCTCCAAAATGTATTGCCTACGTGTCATTGTGTACCGTCCAAGCGGCAACACGTGCTACTTGACAATTGATGCTTCTTGCTTGACGAACCTCAGCCTCGCCCTCAGGGGTCTGGCTGATATGTAGTAGCGACTTTCAGAAATCTCCAAATTTAAGGACAGAAAGCAGGAGCTCGGAGAGCGGTGGAGCAAAATACAAGAAATACTAGAGGCATGGGGTGAAGCAAATTCAAATTACAGATGACTTTGATAAATGCTATGAGATTGGATGCATAGTGCAACAACATCATATGGGATCATTATTGCAGTGTAATATCTAGGGATATTCACGAGAACTTGTGGATCTTTCTTCTTCTGTCTCATGCAGTAATTGAACTTACCCTAATGGTCATTTTTCAAAGGGATCGTTGTATGGAATATTCAAAATATGCAAGGAATGATTGTAGTTCTCAAAATAGGACGCAATGAAGCTTTGCTAGTCGATTATGTACTCTTACATTATGTTCAGGATTCTCTAATAAAGTGATTGGAGGGCTGTAAGAGCAGCCACGTTCCCATTGATGCTTAAGTCAATCGCCTTCCAAGGTTGTAACCACGATCTGCCATAGACATATATTACACCTGCAATTGCGGTCCTCTCAATTCTCATCTGCAAGCCACGAAACCCTGTAAACCGCAAAATGGCTTCACAAAGAAATAGAAGCAATCTCACTCATCCCATTATCAATATACCCCAGAACCGCCTTCGCAAACCCATCCTCATCCGGCACACCCATAACGCCAACCTGCCAATTCAACGTAATAACCATATCGCCACCCTTCATAGTCACAACCTGAAAATTCAACGGCGAGCCAAGCACATTAGCAGGCTGAGAGAAAATCGCCCTCTCAATAGCCCAAGTTGATGATCCGGCGGTGTTCGTATCGTTAGGTAGTATCGGGTCAAAAACACCGATATTACTAATCTCATAGGATGAGTCGCGCTTCTTGCCTAGTTGGCCAATGAACCAGGACCGGAAATTGCTGAGATACTTTAATAAGCCTATGGGTTGGTCATCCAACGTGCCAGCGACCGCAGCTAGTCGCGTCGTTGTTCCGCGGACAGCGTTCCAAAACGTCTCGTCATATTTTCCTGAGTCTGGGTCGAGTGTGATTTTGGGTGATGTATCGTAAGCCACGGATACAAAATTCCCCATCGTCATGCCATTTGCGTATGCCGGTATGTGTGATCGAAGGTCAACGACGATTTGGCCTAGAAACTCGTTTCCGGATTCAGCGGGTAAAAGCTCGCTCAGCGCATGGACGATCAGGCGATTTAGTAGGCCGGTTAATTTTGAGTTGTGAGATTTGCAGACTGCTAGCAGTTTTGCAACCAGATTTTGTTGCACGATCAGGATCTGAGATGCAGTATGGAGATTGTCCTTGTCGTAACGCGTGATTTCGCCAGTATAGGCTCGTTCAATTGATAATTGATTCGCAGCAACTTGTATTCGTAGCAGACGACAGATGATATTCGGCAGATATTGCGCAAGGACCGGAGCGAGAAGAAAAGACCAGGATATTTTTAGCTTGCATGCTTCTTCGAGCGGTAATGGGAGTGGTGAAGAAGGAGGTTCGTAGATCAAATTTTGGTTGGAATCGTCTATAATCTGGGTTTGGAGGCCTTGCAGAAATGTTCGGTGGAACGCTAGTGCGGATTTTGCGTCGCCATGAGTATGGGAGTAGGAATATATGATGTATACCCGTTTCTGTGTGCTGGTCGCCAGGTCAGGAAGTGGTAGCACCACGATTTTCCACGGCGGTATACGCTCTGTGTCCGCCCATGGCTGATCATGAGTTTCGAGAGCAACTTTTCTGAATAACTCAAGCTCGTCTACCGCAGATTTGTAGGCATTTGATTCCGGATCGACGATTTGTATGTGATGTGTGAGGTCTAATTTGGCTGGCCGAGCGAACACAGGTGATTCGCCATGTGATCCGTCTATAGCTGCGCTGAGGAAAGGATGGCATTTGATGCACCATTTCAAAGCAGGGATGTAGGAGGTAATCCTGCGAGTGTCGAATGCGAAGTTTTTGTCCACAGTGTACAGCCCTGCTATGATCAGGCCTCGATACCAGTCGAGTGCGTGACGCATAGTGAAACGTTTCTCGATTTTGCCTTTTGTGAGTCAGTAATATGCTCAAAGATTATGATAGGACAACATACTGGCAGGGCGTAGCCTTATAGTAGGCTCTGGAATAGACATGATTGCGTCTGTCGGTCTTGACTGATCTACACTCACGACTTCGACCAGTCTATGTATTTATCGCAGCCTCAAGTCAACTGTATTATTTGGAGTATTTGTAAGAAAAAGTTATTCACAATGTACCCTCCGTCGCAGTCGAAACAGACAGAGACAAACTGTTAGGGCTGACGTGCGACCAGGGCATATCCGATTGGCCAATTGCATTAGATCGATGTGCCAAGCATATGTGCGACTGTCTCGTCTCCGATTGGTCAGTATCACCCCATTTCTACCAGCTCCGGCTTAGCGCCAGGGGACGGCCCAAAATAGCATAGCCTATCTCGATCCAATATCTCTACGGATGTAAAGAAGTCTGCAACATCTTCCTTAGAGTTATAGCACACATCATGTCACAATGTCCCCGCGTTCCAGCACAGGCGCCCAGAAAAACGAGTCCAATGAATCTTTAAGATCCTGGTCCTCCGGCCGCGTGCTCAGCCACGCCCAGCGAGAACGCAAGCGTTTGATGAACCGGGCCTCTCAATCCCGGCGCCGCAGCAATCTAAAGACTGCATTAAAGACTGTTGAATCCCGCTTATACCAGATTGAGCGACGATGCCTAGCGTACCTACCTGCTTTTACTAGCGGAGAATATACATTCAATGACTGCATTAGTGCCAGTGGTGGTGGTGATGGGAGTACTACTCTGCGAGATCTTTTGAATGATCTACTGGGCAGCATATATCACATCAACCCTGCCCAAGTCTGCACAAATGAGCAGTTTAATCAAGACGCCGTCATCCGTGGCGTTGTTCTGGGGTGGGACGATATGCTCCAAAAGGAGGCGTTTATATGTCCCATATGGAATATTTTGAGGCGTATGGATGCGTTGTTGATGATGCATGCAAGCGTGCCTGCTAGACTGGCACTGCTGCGGGGGATACATATGATGCTTTTGGTGTGTATTCTATACATGATTGAGCAATATGTATGCATACATGCTAATTGGAGTAGGGCCGGAGGCTTTCTGATAGGCCACCGCCTCTTCCACCGTGGTTTAGACCTAGGTACATCTCACTCGGTTTTACCAAATTTCTCTACAAGAGGTGACTGACGTATAGCACAGGAAGTATCATTCCCCCAGTTCCGAAAACATAGTGAACGACTACTTCGCATGGTATCCCCCACCCTTCCCCATCTCCTCCCTCCCATCTCAGGCCACCTTCTCTAACCTATATATGTATGTATACAGGCCCCGATTCCGCCAAAAGCTAATAACATCTAATAACCCCCCTCTTACAAACCGATTCTGGCTCTACTTCACGCGCAACGTCCAATTCGAATGCGACCTATCACCCGCTCAAACAATAGACATGGACCCAGAATCGGGCAAGTATAAATTGACGATGACGTTCAGAAATATTTCGGATGAGATTGGGAGGTATACGATGGGTAAGGAGTTCTTTGAGGCGTATCCGGAATGTTTTGAAGATGTTTATGCATATGATATATGAGTGCTGTATATTATCGTAAGATACGTAATGTTTAATGTTAATGATAAATGATATACGAATCATTAATTGATTAGATTTTTCATTAACATAGAAAACAGATGTCAGACATTGCAACACTCTTCCTTTTTTTTTGATGTCTACTTTTCATCAAACATCAGCTGAAACTAATGATGGAATAAACGAGTACTCTGCTCAACAAAAGTAATTCCCAACTTCTCTGCCGTGTCAAACACAGGTCCATCATTCTGACTTCCGCTAGGAGCAGCAATATACTTGGCACCCGAGCGAGCAGCACGGAACACATTATCAATGAATGGGAAGAACGCATCCGACGAAACAGCGACGTTGGTCAACTGCTGCAGCCAAGCTTCTCTCTCCTCGGCAGTGAAAGGAGCGGGCACTTCCTCAAAGACGCGCTCGTATTCGGCCTTTTCGACTTCATTGCGAGGGGGAACCTGGCCTGAAGTGAGCATGTCGATGGCATTGCTTTTGTCGGCGCGCTTGACGCCTGCTTTCCATTTGATGTTAAGGGTGCGCTCGTGGAAGCGCATCCACCAGTTATCGGCCTTGTCGCCGGCGAGACGGGTGCAGTGAATACGGCTCTGCTGACCGGCGCCGAGACCGATGACCTGTCCATTAAGAGCGTAGCAGACAGAGTTGGACTGTGTGTATTTGAGTGCGATGGTGGCGACGGTCAAGTCACGGAGCGCAGACTCGGGCAAACTCTTGGTGTCTTTGGGTGTGATGATACTGCTGAATGTCTTGGGGGTGACGGTGAAGTCATTGCGGCCTTGCTCGAGCTGGACGCCGTACAAGGTACGGGTCTCGGTGGAGGGAGGGGTGTAGGTCTCGTCGATCTGGAGGACGAGGTACTTTCCGCCCTTCTTCTTTTTCAAAATCTCGAGTGCCTCGGGCTCGTAGTCGGGGGCAATGACACCGTCGGAGACTTCGCGAGAAATGATCTTTGCGGTTGGGACATCGACCTTATCGCTGAGGGCGATGATGTCTCCAAAGCTGGACATGCGGTCAGCTCCACGAGCACGAGCGTAGGCCTGGGCAAGAGCAGAGGATTCAATGCCGGCAATGTCATCAACAAAGTAGACTTTGCGCTCCTTCTCGTCAAGAGGAACACCAATGGCAGCACCAGCGGGAGAAACGTGCTTGAAGCTGGCGGCTGCAGGAAGACCGAGAGACTGCTTCAATTCCTTGACAAGTGGCCAGGCGTTGAGAGAATCAAGAAGGTTGACATATCCGGGAGAACCACCGAGCACCTTGAATGGGAGCTTGCCTCCAGTAACGTAGGCGGCAGCTGGCTTCTGATGTGGGTTGGTACCGTAACGGAGAGAGAGGTGCTGCACACCCTCACCAGCATATTGCTTACGGAAATAAGCCGAGATAGCAGTGTCGTAATCCGCGGTATGCTCAAAAGCCTTCAGAGCATAGATCTTACGAGTCTGTTCCGAGATCTCACCGGCCTCAAGTTCCTTGAGGAATTCAGGGTAGTCATTCGGGTCGGATAGAATGGTAACTCGAGCGTGGTTCTTAGCAGCTGCACGGAGAAGAGTGACACCACCGATATCAACTTCCTCAACGGCCTCGGCGATGGTCACATTGGGCTTGGCGACAGTATCCTTGAAAGGGTATAGGTTGCAGACGACAAAGTCGACCTTGTTGATTTTTTGTTCTGCGAGATCCTTCTCGTCGGATTCGATGTTGCGGGCGAGAATGCCACCGTGAACGGCGGGGKGGAGGGKCTTGACGCGACCACCGAGCATTTCGGGGGCGTTAGTGATGGCGGAGACGTCCCTTGAAGCGTCAGTTCATGCTCTTCTGCCTGAGTGTAAAGACTCACTCGACAGGGAAGCCAGCTTCCCGGATCATCTTGGCCGTGCCGCCGGACGCAAGTATGCGGACATTCTGCTGGGCAAGACCTTTGGCCAGGTCGAGAAGACCGGTCTTGTCGTAGACTGACAAAATAGCTGTGATGTCTCAGTAAGCTTCTTGAAAGTGTAACGCGAGTAGCAATTGAGGTGAATGACGACATAGGATTGTCGGGCACTCCAGCATATAACTTTGAATAAAAATAATTCAATAAACAAAGATATACATACCTGATTTCTGCGCCATGTTCAATATCTCTCTTCAATACTTTTAAAAAAAATAATCAATTGAGAAAGCACAGTTGACATTCAACCTCAAACTTTTTACTTCATCCCACTTTCTTTTAGTGACTTAGCAGGCCTTAGGCTCCGATCTCGTCCCTTCCCCCGCCCCATCCCCAATTCGGCCTAGCCTGTCTCTCTGATCACGTGATCTTGCGTTTCCGCGGACAATTAAAACCAACAACCAAAAATTTTCCATTTCCTTTCCTTTCTTCTTTTCTTTCCACATGAACAACGCAAAACAATCAACGTTCTCTCTAAAAGCATTCTTGCGAGTATTGCACTTCCTTCGGGAGCGCGTACCATGAAGTATAGAAATCGTCTATGGGAATGGAGAAGAATTTTTCAAGTGTTGGTCTTGGGTGCAGTGTCTTCCAGTTTATATGGGAGAGATTGCAATGATCGGCTCTACACCTCGACATGCTATTTTGCGCTATGCTAACTATTATGTTGTTTGTCTCTTGATTGATAGCTGATTCAAAGCAATCTACCTATTACTTTCTGGTAAAGATTTCGTTTGTCTACTCCATAACGAAGAAAAAACTTTTGTTGATCGCCACATGACTTTCAACTTGATCATCATTAAAAGGCATAAGAATAACTCTAAGAATTGTAAAACACATTCGAAAAAGTCAAATCAAACACTTTGCAGGGTATTTTTTTTGTGTCAATAGTAGGCTGATTCTCATCGCTTTTCCGAGACTTGCACATTGTCGCCGTCCAAAGTAAGCTGGCGTCCTATGTTTCCAAAACACACACAAGCGCTATAAAACACGCTGGCAAGCCAGACAGCCACGGCAGTGGCGTCCTGCGATATGCCTCCTTCAATGTCATATTCGAGGCGCCAGTTGCGGAGACCCAGGCCGACTGTTGAGGAGGAGGACGGAATCAGTTCTGGGTGAAGGCCGAGGGTGATTCCCATGCCGGCGATTGCGACGACGGTGGAGAGCCAGAATCCGGTGCGGGTGCGGTCGATGAGATACCACAAAAAAGGGTTCACGAGGGCGAGCGTAAGAGATTCCTGCGTGGTTGATTCCCATGGGAGTCGTCGCTACAAGTTGTTAGCACATAGACATCACTCCAGGCGATTGATAGGAAGTAACACACCATAGCAAAAGCAATACCAACAAAAGCACCAATACTGCGAATCGCAAGAGTCTTATTACTCTGCTTTTTCTCAACAGGCTTGCTTTGACCAGCCGTGCCATTATCACTCAAATCATCCAGCCAAGGTAAAACAAACGCAAATGCCACACCGGCAATCCCCCAAGCAAACAAATAAACATACGAGTTCCGATCGACGTACTCCAGTTTCACGGGAGTAATCCAATTATTTTCGTGTAGATGCGCTATGATGGTGCCGTAGGTAACACCGCAAACAAACAGCAGCGACGTCTTCAGCACAAGCGGGACATAGTACGCACTCCCCGAACGGGGTACGTGTCGTCTCAAGGGTACCTGTCCATCTATCGAAAATCGTCGACCACTCTGGAAATCGCTGCGAGGCTCAATCGGTGTATGTGCTTGAGTATCCCAGGGACTGTCCTCTTCGCGCGAGTCCTCGAATGCGGTTGGTTGGAAGATGCCTAGTAGCGTTGACGAGGTCAGGTTGAGTAAAGAGCCAGATCTCTTATTTGCGAGGTCGCTGTTCTTGGGATCGAGTAGGTCGATGCCTTCGGTGACTTGCTGTTCGCCGGAGGGAGTGGACGGTGTCGAGGAGTCGGCCGAGGGAAGTTCAAAGGGTCGTCGGGGCGTTGGCCGGAGAATACGCGGAGAGTCAGTCATGTTGTCTGGACATGAATATGCAATAGAATGTATCGTGGTGCGTTGCGATGTCGTTCGGTATCGAAAATAAATTCAAAGGTTATCCTCTCGGCGTACGAGTCCGGCGCAAGAGCTAGCTAACTGAGCTGCCTGAAAAAAAGCGAGCGGGTTCCACTCTTCGGCGGTTTCGGGTCGTTGAATACGAAGATCAACAAATGTGGGCAGTAGAATAGATGATGATGAAAGAGGCTTCAGAGTGAAAATAGCCTGTAGTCTGGATAGAAAGAATTTGAGGTAGGGATGAGCGGAGAGCACAGTAACAGTGAGCACCAAAGTCTTTTCGGCAGCTACGGACGGACTTAATCAGTCAATAAAATCAGTCGATAAGTGATTGATAGTCCGCAATTGTAGGATATATGAAACCAGTGGGTAAATAAACGAGATAAGGGGCGTGTCTCGGAGTCAAATCAGTTGGGTTCACATGTAAATCAACAAAAGTACTTTTTGCACTTTTTGTTGACTTTCTGCTTTCGGGGAACATCTGACGGGCCTTAGTCCAGGTCCGTCGGGGGGATCCTCTACATCAGCCAATTGCAGCCCCGGTTTCAGCAGCACATCTGATGGGTCGCATTTTGGGTAACTATGATATGCAGTATGTATGATGCATGCTACCTGTCTATCCTGATGGTATGTGGCATTACAGTAGTGGCCAGACTCCAGATCGATCAGGCTTATATCACCTGCTTATGCCATGTGACACAATACATCCAGACAACTAATTAGGTACATTATCCAGAGCTATAGATGACATTCCCAACGTAAGATTCAAACAACTTTTATCACAGTGTTGTACAAACATCAAACAGGTAAATGGTCATACACAGAATAATCAGAACCATAACATACCCAAACCAGAAAATAATGTAGGAATAGAAATACAAATAAAAGAAAGATAATACGATAGAAGGGAAAAAAAAGATTATTGATCCTCCATAACCTCGTCCTCATCTGCTCGCTGCTCGCCATCCCCATTAACTTCATCTTCCGAGTCAGAGAGGTCTGACACATACTCCATTGGAGAGTTTCCGTTGTCTTCGTCCTCCTCCGCGTCCGAGAGATCTGACAACGGATACTCCATATAGTCACCGCCCTCGTCATCATGCTCAGTATCATCATCATGGCCGCTTCCCTCTCCGCGTGCATCTTTCTCGGGAAAGGACTCCTCAAAATCTCGACTAGACGACGCGATTGCTTTCCTAGATTCGCCTTTTCCAATTGCATTAGCCGCTAGGCTATCGCGGGCTTCGTCCTTCGGTGCAATAGGCTTTTGCGGTCTCGAAGGAGTCGACGTGCTTGGAGCAGGCTTGCGTCGTGGAGGCCTGGGTCGAGAGCGGACCGAGCGAGAAGATCCAGCTCCCAAAAGCGCAGTACCGTTCTGGAAAGCCTTTTGACGCTCTTCTCTGGCCTTCTTACGGTCTTTGCTGGGTCCGTTGATTTTCTCCCAGTCCCACCGGTCCAATCTCCTAATCGCTTTGCGAGTCACTGATAGATAATAATGCGCAGTTTCTCCAAAATCTTCATAATCTGTAGACCCGTTCATCAATTGTGCAATCTCAGGTGGTATATCATCGCCATCCAAGGAAGCTCTAGGCTCCGGCAGATGCGGCAAAAGGCGCATCCACCCATTGAAAGTAGGTTCGTTCTCGCGACGAGCCCTCAGAATCTTGTAGGCATCAGTCTTTCGTTGAGCTAGTAGATACTCTATACGATGGCGACGATTCTGTTCGACAGCTAGCTGGTGCTGTGTCAATGGACGAGGCCGTCGACTCGAGTGGCTATGGCTTGGAGTTATGTTGTCGGTAGCGTATTGATTGAGGATGGGATGGCCAGATCCTGGTGGTGCCGGAGATGCCGCATCAGTAGCATCCATTCTCGTTTTAAGCACCAGACGCTGACCGGTCGATCGGCTAACTGACGAATCACGCGGTTTCTTGCTCTTCAAACGACCAGAGGATCCAGGTGTAGACCAGTCCTCCTCTTCTTCGTTCATCACAAGCCGTCGAGCTGACGGATGCAGGGGAGTCGAGTTGGCAGAAAGTAGATCATCATCAAGACCAGAATCTTGCTTCTTCACACGCTTTGTGATTCTCGGAAGAGGCTCGTCTTCCTCTAGGATACGCTTTCGTTCTCGTTGTTTCTCTTCTCCATATCTGAGTTCCTCAGGAGTATCTCGGTTCTCTTCTTCCGCTTGCTCCTCTGTCAGGATCTCAAATGCCGGCACCTTAATAGGTAGGCCACCAGTACCTTCGCCCTCTAAACCTGCTCCAAATGGGTTGTTCAAAGCATCTTCTCGAGTGAAATCGCTCTCAAGATACCACCACATCAACCATAGAAAAGCTCGTGCTCGGCTTTGGCTGCTAAGAGTACTGCGCATGACCAGATCAAAAAAGTCGCGAGGTTGGAAGAAGTGAATCTCCGAGATCTTGGGCGCATACTGCGCAAGAAGGAAAATGAGATGGACGGGGTTGGTGCGAGGTTTACGCGATTCCCGGACTTTTTCCATGGTCGGTGGTTGATCTATATCCTCAGAGGCACCTTTCAAAATCGACTTCAGACGTGGAGCATCTTGTAGTTGTTTGTATGCGTTTGGATCCTGGTCTGCCTGAAGGGATGGGATGGAATGGTAGGTTCTCAACTGCGCGCGCATTTCGGGGAAGACTAGTAGACACGAGTAATCAGTATTGTTCACCCATAACAAGGGAAATTACACACAATTCAGAGTAGTATTCATCCGACCAAAGTTGACCAAAAGACAGACCATTGCCATACTGATAGCCGCTTTTTTATCACTTTGCAGCTTATCCTTGAGAATCTTGCTCGTCTTGCTGCTCCTCGCCATGCAGTCGATGTACACATCGGCAAAATCAAGATTCTTGGCTCCATCCGAGTATCGAGTAAAGACGGGAGTCTTGTCCTCAAAGACAAGCTTGAGGAACTGGTACTGAATATCCTTGCGCCAGAGTGGGATACCGTCATCTTTCTTTAAATGTTTGATTTTATTTCCTGAATACACGGACCCGATGGTTCCATTGGCCTGACGTCGAGTGCCAACGGTCGCGCTGACTGTGTTGTTGGTTGCTGTCTGGTCGTCGCCGGCTTCAGACGCAGCGAAGGAATTGTCCACGGTTGCTGTCTCGACGTCCGCCATTCTGTCGTGGCTGCTCTATGATAGCGCGGCGCGTGAGGATAATTGAATTGATAAGGGTGTGGCGAAGAAAGAGGATCGCGGTCGACGGTGGTGTGCTCAGAAAATGAGCTTCGAGGGAACGGTTCTGGCTGACAGGGGCGGCAAGCTCTGGTGATTCGGTCAAGATGTCTGTACTGTACGAGATAGCATCAAAGCCTAAAGATACAAATTAAGTGGTGCGCATTGTGTTCGTACTGGGATGAAATCGGGATAGACTGAGAGGGGAAATAATGGAAGAGCGGAGGAGTAGAATTGTCTTGAGTTGAGGTTGAATGATGAAAAAAGAGTTCCGTGTCACTCGGTCCTTGTTGGCTGGTTTACTGATCCAAAGTCTAGCCGCACCTGCAGCTTCGACTCTTGATACAGTAACAGATTCTCCACAAAAACCACTTTCATCTCATTCTATACGATATATGAAGATAATTATAGTCATACTTTAATACTGGCTATCATTTTTAACATACTCGAGGCTGATTCAGCAACTTGCTCAGCATTTAAAGGCTTTCAGACTCTCGATACAGCACGTCTCCCTCACGAAGTACGTATCCGAGTTCATTTGAAAGAAGATGTCGGAACAACAGACCAAGTCACAGCCTTGAAGTCGAGCTTGTTCCTAAATCCTCATTGACTCTGAATCACCATAAACCTTCATGTCTATCGACTCTTTACCCATATTGAAGACTTAGATTATTGCGTAGACGAAAGCCCCTAGTGGATAATTAGCACCGGTACATCTTTCCATCTAGCGTCATCATCAACACCATGCACCTTATTTTTTCCGGTGATCTCTCTGAGTACAGCTCGGTCTCTCCATACTCTAATGTCTCAGTGTGGATCTCTACTTCGTTTCCTGGTGAGTATTCTATCGAGTAAGTCGTGAGCCTAATTTGCTCGTCATTCTGGGCATGCCTGGTGACCTTTATTCTTCCCAGATTTATCGTAAAAAAGAAGCAGTGTTGGCTCTAATTCGTGATGTTGCTGACGAGTCGTTTCCATAGCATCGTCCAGCATGGAATCGTGAAGGAACAGGGTGATGCGAGTTAGGGGTTCGGCGACCTTGTCGCATCACTACCGTTTGACTCAACATCTTCCCATACTGGTATTATCGTCCCCATCCAGAGTCAGCCCTTCTTTGCTGAAAGTAGAAGGAGAATTTCCCGAAATGAATGAAAGCCTCCCATGCCGCCATGAAAACCGATCTCAAGCCGAATCCTTTATCTCCAAAATTTTGTTGTATTCTGGGCGGAGAACTCTTCTCAGACAGCGACAAGATCCTCATTTATGAATCCGTCTTCATTGCACATTATAACAATCCGACAGGCATAAACGTGAATAGAAAAATAAGGATCTACAGACGAGACTTTGGCTCTCGGATAGGAGTTTCCATCCGCGTTCTGCAGCAACTATAAAACAATTTCGCGCTGATATGATATAGGGGTTTAACAAGACGACTAGAGAAGCGTACATGGTCAACCTCTGTCAGACTCGGCAAAACAAAATATCATTGGATATGATAAAAGCAAAACATGTACCTTGGGACAGATGACCCAATTAATTTGTCCATTGTTCGCATTGCTTCCTCCACCTAACGGCGTATGTCGGGTTCCATCCGGCTATATACATCTACACCAACATTAAAGGAATCTACGTCCTTTAGCGATGCGCTCCAGCAACCGACGAGCGTCAAAGCGATCTGAGGTCCACAACTCTCCTATATAGGGAAGAGTCTGGAAGTGTCATTCATCAAGGGTTCTTAGTCTAGTGGTAAGGACATTCGGTTTTGATTTAAGTCTAATGTGGTGGAAGCATACCATTAATACACTACATATATTTCCTCAGAAAACCCTGGATTCCCCAGAGAGACTTTCTTTTTTTTGTTTTGCTCTCGCTTTCGTTTTCAATTCTAACCCTACCACTAGTCCTGCAACATCGAAGCACATATACCTCTACAGCAATGGCAAGGGTATTGGTTCCTACGACATTTTGGTTGTGTAGGTTTGGATAATGTTCTATGGGCATGATCATTCTTTCTATATTGTCCGATCCATGTGCCGAATTGCACACTGCATTTGAAGAATGATTTCATGGAGCCCATGTCAAACCATATGTACTGCCTTTGACGTGGTTGATATGAAATGGTACAATTATCGTTGTAGGTGGTGAGCAGACGTTCGAGACATCAAATATTGATTGCCAGACTAAACAACAGGTTGGACATGCCTCACTGGATGTTCAAGACGAGTACACATGGTTCTTGCCCCCGACCCCAACAAGCAACAACCGCCGAATGATAATTAGCTTGATCAGACCATTAGCTGGTGTTGACAGGGCTCCCTCCTGCGCCGCAGTAATGTATAGTCACCACCACATTGCTCATGCCGTGTATGCGCTGCAAAACCGACTATTAAAGAGCACTGTGCTGCAATCCAGATAGCCTCATACATTTCGCGTTCCGAGCATGAATCATCATGTTGATTCCGTTGAAGATTTCAAGTTTTGAAGCTCAAGTTGAATGTGGGAAACTGCATGGATTCAAGGCAGGAACCATGGTCACCACGGAGATGTAAGAGTGCGCACGTGAGCTCTCGATAAGCTGGCTTGAATTGAAGTTCCCCAATGTTGGACTACGTAGAACTACAACTACAAGGTTGAACCAAGATCAATAGAACGCAGAATAACTTTTTTTTGAAACTATTTGAGAGCTCTTTCAAGCCCTGCGAATACAATACTTTGTCATGGCGTCGTGTCCGGTCATACCCTGCAAGTAAACGATGCTTGCAAGAGAAAAAACACGATGATGATAATGACATCTATGCTTCCACTGCGTGAAAACAGAAAGCGCCAGCCAAACCTGCCCGAAGCCCATTCCCCACAAGCCCGTAGAAGAGAAAAGAGAAAATGCTAACACAAGGAAAGAAAGTCCAGACATTGTTAACCTCCTCTTGGGCCCATTGTAGAGAACCTATCTCCATAAAGCAGAAGCTCAGCCAACGCCATATGCAATGCAAAGAAAAGCCCGTCTAATAGCAACTCCATCTGCACAGGAGCAGAATGATCTCTGATCGAACATGGCACATTAAACCTTCCCTTTTCTAGAAATCTCGTTTATCAGAAAGCGACGCCGTCCCTGATGAGACCCAGAAAGAAAAAGTCCTCAATAGTATGGAGAAATCATTAGATGAGTTGCAGAGCTTCGAGAAAGAGCCTTCATGAAATGGAACACAAATTCAGTGAATCCCGCCCTTAGATACCGAACACAAGAGATCTATCTTGTAATGCACGATCTGTCGAATAATGAAAAGAGAAGTCTTGTTCAACGCATCGCGCACTGTTTGCCTCCTGAAAAAGTCGAGCAATCCGGGGTATCTGATGAAAAGCGGGAATAAACAAAAACAACGCTGTCTATAATGACCATGCAATGCCGGTAGATGCTGTCGAGCACTTCGCGCGAGCCCATGAACAGCACCGGGACGCATCACATGCACACTTCTAGTGAAGCGGTAACGAAAAACAGAAAAGTAAAATCGCATGTAAAAATCGATAACCGATACAAAGCGGAAACATAATGTAAAAGACGAGAATCGTTGCAGTCGTGACAAAGCCGGCCCCAAGAGTAGAAAAAGCTCAAGGGGAATGGTGATCTGACGTTATCCGCCAAAAAGTACGAAGGAGAAGAAAGGCAGATCGTGAAGGCCTCGTCGAGAGCTCACAGTTGATTTACCACCAGGAAGATGGACCTGTTGGGCCGGCAGAGGGGTTGCCGTAGCCGCCGCCTCCGTAACCACCACCGCCGTAGGAGGGAGCMCCGCCGCCGCCGCCGCTGTAGCCACCGCTGCTTCCACCCCAGTTAGCAGCAGCTCCGCCGCTGTAGCCAGCGTTGCCACCGAATCCACCACCGCTACCACCGTAAGATGGAACTCCACCCATGCCACCGCCTGTGCGACGGACATCACGAGTAGCGTTGGAACCACGGCCGCGACCACCACGACCGCCACGGCCACCATATCCACTACCTTCACGAGCAATGTTCTCGAGGAAGGAAGGCACCTCCTGGTTAGCTTCCTTGAGAAGATCGATGAGATCGCGGACGACACCACGGTTACCACGGTTAAAGAATGCGGTTGCGATACCAGTGTTACCAGCACGACCGGTACGACCAATACGGTGGACATAGTCGTCAATGTCAGTGGGCAAGTCGTAGTTGACAACGTGGGTGACGTTGGGGATATCGAGACCACGGGCTGCGACAGCAGTGGCAACCAAGATGGGGCAACGTGCGTTACGGAACATCTCCAAGGCCCTCTCACGCTCACGCTGAGTACGATCACCGTGAATGGCAGTGGCTGGGAAGTTCTGGTTGATGAGAAAGTCGCAGAGAGAGTCGGCCATACGTTTGGTCTCAACGAAAATGAGGGTAAGACCGGTGCTACCGTGAGTGTGGAGAATGTCCAAGAGCACGGAGCGCTTGTCACCGTCTTCAACGTACTCGATACGCTGGGTGATGTTCTCGGAGGTGGAACCGACACGACCGACGGAAAGGAAAACATAGTCCTTCAAGAAGTCACGAGCGAGCATCTGGATGTCACGAGGGAAAGTGGCGGAGAACATGAGTGTCTGGCGGTCGTTGACTTGAGGCATGTCTTCGCCCTCAACGATACGACGAATCTGAGGCTCGAAACCCATGTCCAACATACGATCAGCCTCGTCAAGAACCAAGTACTTGATGTTGGTGAGGGAAATGCGGCCGCGCTCAATCAAGTCGACAAGACGACCGGGAGTAGCAACGAGCAAGTCACAGCCACGTTCGATCTGACGAAGCTGAGAACCGATGTCTGCACCGCCGTAGACGACACAAGGGCGAACCCAGGAACGGTAGGCGAACTTGCGAGCCTCATCGTAAATCTGAGACACCAACTCACGAGTGGGAGCCAGGATAAGAGAGGTAGGGTAAGCCTTGCGCTGGCGACCGTAGAAGTTTCCGCCGGCTGCTGCTTGTGGAGCAGCAGAAGGGCCGGTCTGGAATGCTTGAGAAAGGATGGGGAAGAGGAAACCACCAGTCTTTCCAGAACCAGTCTGGGCACAAGCCATCAAATCACGGCCATTCATGACGATAGGAATGGAGTACTTCTGGACGGGAGTGGGGACGGTGTAGTGGGCCAGACCGATGTTGGCAATCAGATGGTCGTCCAAAGGTGGGTTGGTGAATGTGTTAACGGGCTCGGGCACGTTTTGACCAGAGGCCTCGACGGGGATGTCATCGTAGTTGGCAAAGTTGATACCAGTCTGCTGCTTCGAAGGGTCGTTGGGTACGCCGAACAACTCACGCTCCAGACGGGCATTAGCAGGTCCAGGAATGTGTTTTCCGTCGCGCCACTGTCCGTCACCAGAGCCGCGAGCATGACCGCCGCCGGGGGCGCCACCGCCACCGCTGTAGCTTCCTGAGGGTCCATGTCCTGGGTTTCCGTAAGCATTTGGGTCGAAAGTAGGACGTTTGCCATCCTGGGTCCAGCCAGCATTACCATTTGCATTTGCATTGTTTTCACGATAGTTGTTGTAGTTCTGGCGAGGGGGACCACGAGGACTGATATGTGTTAGCTAATGTGGACAAGTGTTTGGAGAGTGCGATAGAAATCAGGTTATTACGTACGCATTTCCCCAAGCACCAGCAGGAGTAGGGCCTGGAGGACCAGCAACACCAGCGCCATCCATAGGGCTAGGACCGGGAGCGGGACCAGGGGCGGGGCCAGGGCGTCCGCGAAGGTGTGGCGGGATATAAGCAGAACGTCCGTTTGCCGCAGGTGGTCCGTTAGGAGCGTGCTGGGAGTCGTTGAGGGAGAGGTTCTGAATCTTCAAGCTGTCGGCCATGTTGGATGAAATTTTCGAGCTGAACAAGTTCAAAGTCAGAAATGATCTCAGACAGATTGCGAATGTCCAAAGATAGATGGCCGTACGGTCAGGAAATTGATTCTGTAGTAAATCCTAATTTTTTCGGTTCGTACTTGAGGAGCAATCGTTAATAGTCTCAGTGAAACTACAACGAAGGAAAGATCGAAATTCGAAACGGTTTGGATCGTTAGCGAAAAAGAGAGCGACAATCAGTTTGAAGGTCTTGTTGCTCTAGAAAGTTGATTCTTTTGTCTGCCGATCGGTTAAAACAAGACACGAAAAGACCCTGCGCTGGAAAAACGAGGTCTAAAAAGTCTATGCGATGAGAGAAACGAGAAAAGATTAGAGGAAGAAAAGGGATGAAGAAAAGAGAATTAATGGGTAATTCAAAACAAGAGAAAAAGTTTTGAGAGAGGAGAGATGTCAAAAGATAGATTTTTATTTTTGTAGCTGAGATAGAGAGAGCGAAGGAGAAGATGAAATAGAGAGGGCAGAAAAGGAGTGTGGCAAACAGGCCGAAAGGGGTTAGGCGCCCTTAGTCAGGTTGGCAGGGAAGGAAGTGGCCCCAACAGAGCAGAGAGAGAAAAAAAAATCAAAAAGGGAAAGGCCTGGGACAGCCAATCGCTCCTTCCTTTGTCAGTGCCCACCTTCCTCCTGTGCTTCTTATCCACCGCGTAAGCTTATCAGACTGACTACGTGAGTCCGATCTCATCCCATATTGATCCTCTTTTCCTGCCGTATTACATACCATTGCGCTATCGCTATGTCTTCCTCACAACGTTGAGTACTGCTCAAGAAGATCTTACGCCGTCACACGACCTGTTCTATTCTAGCATGTGATTGATCGATCTACATAGTTTCTTGATAGATCGCCTAGAAAGTTGGAAACTGGTCACTAGATCCAAGGATGCGACACGAAAGACAAAATTCCAGGTGTTCTGGGATAAAAAGTCCAATTCGGTCTATGACTGATGCTTCTCATCTAACTCGGCATAGACTCGCTTTCTCTTTGCCATATACAGGACAACCCCTACAATCACACCGATAACCGCCAGACCAGAGAAGCCTGTAATCGATACGTTCTGACTGATTCCTTGGATAAGAAGTTGTTGTGGGGACATTGGTTTCGATGGTGTTGATGGTGTCGATGAAGTTTTCGGCGATTCGACATCATCGAGGCCAGGAACGAACTCAGCCTCACCGAATAGTTCTTTTTAAAAAGACAGGTAATCAGCGATTCCCACACAGTAACTTTGACTCAAAAAAAACAACACTAAACAAACTGGAAGCTTCGAGTAAAGGGGATTAAAGCTCCGAGTGGCTACCTTCATCCATCAACAGCTCGCCGCTCTTGGCGATGGTGATCGGGGAAAGAGGTTGGTCGCTGCCCTTCTTCTTTTGAGTGTTCTCAATCTTCTCCACGACGTCGTAGCCCTCGATAACTTCACCGAAGACGACGTGGCGGCCATCAAGCCAGCTAAAAGCATCTAGTTAGCTTTCGTATCCACTCGGCAGAAGAGACTTTGAACGAACCTTGTGACAACAGTAGTGATGAAAAACTGGGATCCGTTGGTGTCCTTTCCAGCGTTGGCCATGCCTGGATGGATTAGTTTTGGAACACGCAGAATTAGAATTGAGAATGGTGACCTACTAAGAAGACCCTTTTTGGTGTGACGGAGCTTGAAGTTCTCATCGGCGAACTTTGCACCATAGATTGACTTGCCGCCAGTGCCTGAGCAGGAGTGAGTAATCTAACCTAAAAGAGTACCAATGCTGAACGATCATACCGTCACCCTTGGTGAAGTCACCACCCTGGATCATAAAGTCCTTGATAACACGGTGGAAGGTAGAGCCCTCATATCCGAAGCCCTTCTCGCCAGTAGCAAGAGCACTAGAACGCTGTCAGGGGAATATGTTCGAAAATCTATAAGCGGTCATCGGATGGAAGCATACCGGAAGTTCTCAGCGGTCTGTGATGGGGACCATTAACATGTGTGCTACGTTGTTCGATGAAAGGCACGACTTACCAATGGAACAGTCTTTCCGTACAGTCCGAAGACGATGCGACCGAGAGGCTGACCATCCTGTTCAATGTCGAAGTAGACCTTGCGAGAGCATCAGTACTGCATTCAAGCATCAGTGTCAACGAGTATCAATCGTCCCTCTTACCTTGTTGGTGATCTTGGGCCCGCGGGGAGCGTCCTCGGCCTGGGCGAGGAGGACAAACCCGAAGGTCAAGGTCAAAAGGAAGGAAAAGAGAAGGCTCTTAAACTGCATGATGAATCACAGATATTTATTGATACGTCGAAGCCTCAATTTCGAATCTGCAGTCGTAAACAGAAAGTCAAGAGTTGCTCGTCGGTTTCAAAAGGCCAGCTTAGTCTTACATGCGGAGTAGGTCCGAATGGGGAAGGCTAGACCCACCTGAGTCCTAGACTAAGCGCTCTGATTGGCTTTTCTCTGACACTCAATGCCAAGCAAACTACAACATCGAAAATAATTTGTTCCGGCATCGCAAATCATCCTGAATCTTTGGCAAGCATATTGAAAGCCGGAGGACTCGATCAATTGCGATCAATAAATATTGTTCGGAGTGAGCAATCAAAATGGTAAGTCACTCCCACATATTGACAATAAAACGTTCTTATATGCAAAATTCGCTCACTGAATGCCGATGCATAGGTCTTCATCCTGGGAGTAAATTTCCCTGAGCGGAATCTCGTCAAGGCAAGCCGAACAGCACACCACCAGCCTCCCAAGACCCTGAATTGTGATCAGAAGATTCTAACATCTCACAGAAATCTCTCCAAACCTTCTTCGGAATCGGCAACAACGTCTCCTCCCGCCTCCTCGCCCGCTTCCACATCCACCCAACCGCCAAAATAGGCGATCTACAGAATCAACAAGTCCTCGACATCACAGCCGCACTATCCGAAATGAAGATCGAGAATGACTTGCGCCGACAAATTTTGGATGATATCAAGCGGTTGAGGGATACGGGTACATATCGCGGCAGGAGGCATGCGTTGGGCTTGCCTGTGAGAGGACAGAATACTCGCAGTCAGGTACGTCTCATTCTCTCTCTGGAGGTTGATGTTGTACTTTTACTGACGTTTTATGTCAGATCAAAACCGCGTACAAACTCAACTCTGCCGAGAGAAAACTTTAATGCGGTTTACTATGTTTGAGTACAGCACAGGAAAGGCGTTATTTGCTTGAAACAATACTTTGTACATTAGTTCACATAAAGTACCTACGAAAGGGAAATCTCTATGATACGTCTCATCTTTCAATGAAAACGTAAACAAAAAGAATCTGTCGACATAAAACTTTTCCATACTTCTCATCCGCTATGCCAAGGTAAAAACAAGACTGCCTGTCAACTCCTACTTCGAAGAGTCCGCCTGTAAAACACCCTCCCCACGATTGATTTGTATCCTCTTGTCTTCACCAGCGCTCACAATACCCACGGACCGATCCCAACATACACCAAACACTTTGATACCGTCTCCACCTATTCGTTTCGAGCCTTCCCGTCCCGACTCTTCGAGACTCTTGCGAGGTATAGAGTAGATATCCTTTCCGACAACGCCCTCTTTATCAGTTGTGGTTGACCTGACGTCCCAGATACGACATGTGCCGTCGTGACTACCACTGATAAGTCCATAACTGCTGTTAGGGTCACGGGCAAGCGTCACGACGGCATTGGTGTGGCCGCGTAGAGTCATAACCGAAACAGAAGTTGCAGAGGCACGTGGATCTATAAGAGTAATGTGTCGAGCGGAAGTACCAGCTGCCAAGAGATGGAGTTCAGGGAGATGTTCAAGAGATAGAAGTGGATGCGAAGTAGAGCGAGTATCGACAAGAGCTGACGTGACCAAATCCCATGTGCGAAGGGAGTGATCCCAAGATGCGGAGTAACCGACAGTGGAATCCTTTGCGTCAAAGATGGCTGCAGAAACCGGGCCGGTATGCGACGATAAAAGTGCAAGAGGGCCGCGTTGGGGGGTGCTAACGGATGAGTTCAGCTTTCTCCGTTTGGAGCTCCTTGCAACGCTGGAAGGCAATAATTCTGCGGGAGCAGTAGGAGCATCCGATTTGCGGGTCGACCAGAATCCGACGGTATGGTCTGCTGATGCAGATAGCACGCGATTCGAAGGAGAATGTACAGCGAGAGACTCAATGCCGGATTTATGTCCATACAGTTCCAATTGAGGTGTAATGCGAGCCAAAGACCCATCTTCCTCTTCAGCATACTTCCATACTCGAACAGTTCGATCAATACCCGCTGAAGCAAGCTGTGTAGGCGAGATGAACTTTGCTGTCTTAATTGAAGCCGTATGTCCCCCCTCAGAAGCATCCGGCGAAACGGCAATAGTCTGTGAGGACATGTTCCACATTCGCAAAAGACCGTCGTAGCTACCAGAGAGAATTCTTTCTTGTCCGGCCGCCACATTCTGTCCACCAGTCACAGACGTAGCCGACAAGACGTCGACGGAGCTAACCCAATCGTCATGTAGGAAAGATGCAATATGTAGTGGCGGTATAAGGGCTCGCACATATTCAACCTCAAGCGTCGTTTCCGCAGATATTCCATTTGCCGTCAAGTACTCGTCGATAGAGGTTCGTAGATATGTGCCGTTCACAAGAAATTCGAGTGGGATTGGTTTGTCATTGCTGAGGAGGTTGTTCACCAAAGTTGATAGCGCATATCTTCGTAGGCCTATATAAAACAGAATAATCAAAAGTCAGGAATCTCGGTTCATGAACGTCGAGAAAAAAGTTCAAAGATTCAAGTACTTACCAGTTGGAACAAGAATTGGCCCAGTGCTCTCTGGCAGAGCGATATCGCCATCTCTGGTAGTAAGGTGCAAGCGCACCTGTCTCTGGCTTGCCTGCGACGAGATTGAAGCGTCTACATCCATTTTTGGTAGATAAAAATTGTTCTGAACAGCAAACTCGTAAGGAACGGCGCATACAAAAGCTTGAAGCAAGAATCAAAAAAATTACGGCAGCCCAAACGGCACTTTGCGCTGAGCCCCACTAGGGTATTGGTTGCTTAGTCACCAATTTTATAGATGAATATTATCAAATCGAGTGTTCTGTATAATGTAGAAGCCGGTTGTCTAAGGAGTAGATTCTATGTATATAATCTGTGCACCAAATTCTTCACTACCTCAGATATATCTCAACATCATCGATGTGTTCGCGTAATCTCAGAAATAGTCCTTCGCCGGTGGTCAGATTCCGCAAAAAGGGCCGTTATCAACTCAACGACCTCCTCAGCAGTGAACTCCAGATGCAGCTCTCCTTCTGTCCATAAGAACTTGATGTCCGCTAGTGAGCTTTCCAATATATTTATAAGATACTGGAATTTCAACCAGTTTCGAACATAGACTGCCGCCATAGAAGTCGCACCAACACCTGGCTCAGGAATGAAGATGTCTTCCAGCGTCGAGAGTTTGTTGCAAAAGGTGACTAATGTCTGAGATTCTGCCTCTGAGATGTCGGGCAGGTCCTCAATGTCTATAGTCACTTTGTTAATGACCGATGACAGGAGAGAACCCATGGCCTGGAGAAGCGCTGAATGAGACAAGATTGGTTGCCACTCATTGAAAATGCTGCGAATTCGATCGACTGTTGCGTCAATAGCATTCTCGCATTCTCGTAGGAATGGCTGCTCCGAGCATTGGACGAAGCCCTGAATTCCATCTAGCAAGTCGGTGACAACTGTCCGTTGCATTTGCATTTCCTTGCTATAAGAAAGTTTTCCAAATCGTTCCAAGCCTTCCACATCGGCCGTAAGTCTAGTAAGTTGGTGTTCTTCCATGAGGTTGCGAACTTGTTCGGCAAGATATAAGCTGTCGTTATATAAGTAGATGTGACCGGCGTTCATTTTCAGAGAGTAAAATGAAGAGGCAATTGCTTTAAACATGGCTATTATCAAGGTCGGCAATGCTAATAAGCCGTTTCCTGAAGCCGAAACACGGCTCGCAGAAAATCTAAGATTACTTGTCAGTAAATTATCATTGTACTTTTGATCTCCGATGACTAACTCTGGGGTCGCCAATGACGCAGAATCTGTAACCTGTTGTTGAATTAAAGCAATCACCGAGTCCGGAATGTCGGTGATCGTATAATGTTCCGTCAATGTGATCTCCTTAGTTGCTGCGTGTTTCTCCGCTGCGGGAGCCTTGTGTTGTTTGTCGAATGAGGGCTGAGCCTCGCTAGCAGGTTTGTGGGTTTCAGTGCCAGGCTCTTCATCGACGTCGTCACCCCAGCCCCAGGCATCTTCGTCCTGTTCATCCTCATTTGCTTTCGCATTATCCTCCTCTTCCTCCTCTCCCAGCCCCCAGGCATCGACGTCATCCTCGTCATCTGCTTTTGGACCAGTTGTCACCGTAGCTTGGGGGGATTCTTCGGCTTCTCCTTCGCTTTCATTGCCCCAATTAGCATCCCAGTCATCCGTCACACCAGTATCCAGAAGGACATCATCCGTGTTCGTGACAACTTCTTTTTCAACTCTTTGTACTTTCTTCGTAGTACCCTTACTTTGAACAAGAATCCTACGGACTTGGTCCAAGGAATCCACTCTTCGACGGGTAAGCCAAAGTCGAGGAAATTGATTGACCCACGAAACGAGCTCTTCTTGACCTTTCCACCCAAGACTTTCAATCGAACCGGTAAATTCAGTCACTCGAATCAAGGTGCTCTCGAAATCTTGGACATCCATCAAGTTGAGCGGAATACTAGGAGAGAGCCAATACCCACTCAGCATGGATGATGTTTTTGGTATAATTACTTCCGCCACTGACTTCGACATTGATGCTGGAAGGGTTTCTTGTAGATAATGAAGGACTGAAAGAATGCGGTCGATAACGTCGGATATTGAAGAGGATGAAGGCTCGCCCACACGGACACCATTGTCATCTATAGATACACCACGGCTCTGTCCTGGATTCTTCAGCATAAGAATTGGCTGAATTATGTTATCCAAAAGCCCTTGCTGAAATGAAGTTTTCACTGCGTCAAACATGTCAAGACGAGATAATGATGTTATAAGGTTCGATAGCGCGGACTGCTCTGATATCTTTGTTAGACGTTCATTGCCTGGTTTACACATTTGTGGGCGCCAGACTTACCTGTGTCGTCTTTCGGACGGATTTCCAGCTCATTCTTATCTAATCGGACCTGACGACTCCAACATGACAGTAACAAATTGGCAATATCATTTCGCAAAGAGGATAGCATCCCTTGCACTAAGCTTGCAACATTGCTATATCTCGACATGTCCGAGCTTCGAACAAAATTCTCTGCGGCTTCGAGAGACGTAATGGACTCATTGATCTGTTCCCCTTCAACAGCTTTTCGGCCGTTGGAAATATGGGCATTAAATTTCTGAACCTCTTCCAGAACATGTGTAACTCCTTCATTGAAAGCGAGTTCGGTATTCATCAGCTGCACTTTCGCAGCGGCATCTTTGACCTGGGCATGCAGAGGCTGGGTTCGTTCGTGTTGGGCGACGATATTACGTGCAGTTTCTCGAGATCGCTCAATGTCTGCACGCAGCTGGCGAGCTTGAGACATCCATCCATCAACGTCCGAAGCTGTATCTCGGCTAAGTGAATTGATTTCATCCTGGAGAAAATGGGTCGTTAGCTGTAGTTAGGAACTTGGCGCTACCGGAACTTACTTCTATCTGTGCGCGGGCGACTGAAATATCTTGTAGTCCTTTCGGAAGGAAATCAGGGGTGACATTGGCAGATATAACATCTTCAGAGTCGGGGTATTTGCCGTCTGCTACAAAATCGAGCAGGGACTTGCTGACGTCGTCCTGAATCACTGTGGAGGGCATTGTTTACGGTGTCACCGAATTAATAGAGAGCTCCGAAGGTATGACGAAGGCAACATCGAGGGAGTCCGTAATGTTGGTCAATGGCGAGCCAAGCGATGCAGTTGGGATCAGGCAAATTTCATGGGAATAATCTCAAGATGGCATATCTCAACTGAGCAGGCGTTGGATTGGTATTGAAGAAAAAAAACATCTGGTTGTTGGTCGAAGAGGACAACTTGGGCAGCTTAGGATTTGGCTCCGCGGCTTTCCCATGTGACTTGGCGTCACTTCCCCCACAATCCACAGCAGCATCGGGGAAGCATCTTCCCTCAACATTCTGAACCAACAGAAGCTTGACTTGACAGGAAATATCAGTCTAGAGGAACGAAAATCTGAGGGGTCTGCTGTGTTCATGTCAAAGCTCTGTCTGCTGAGCTTCAAATATCTCTGAGGACTTTCGTTGACTCAGCGGGGTGAAAATTGCTTTGGAAATATATTTTTCGAATGTTAGTCCACTCTACCTACCTAGCTCTATTATCCATGAAATTGAGCTCATTAGACTGTTTTTAGTCTTCCGCAGCAAACCTGGCTGTTTTTAGATCTGCCAAAAGCATTCACCGAGCTTACATCTTCTAAGACCTGCAAGAATATCAGATCCGACAGCTTTCTCTGCCTGACCGATTAGTTTCGTGAACGCTGGCGGTGTTTTCTAGGTACGTGCCTTTGTTATACAATCTTCACCGCTCTTGATAGTCGCTTTCAGAACAACAAATAGTGGTTGATATTGACTATCGATTTATAGAAAGACATTTTACAAGTACGCGCTTTTCTTGAGCTACCTCCAAGCTCTACCATCACCTTCGCAGATTCCCCTCAACATGGCGGCTTCTCAGAAGAGTCACTTCCGGCAGCTACAAAAATTCAAACCGGACTACTCTGTCAATGAATTTACACAGTATGAATCCGAAAGAACGGGCATGAGGGTCGTGACCGTTGATCACAAAGGACCCAAGGTAGCTGGATATTTCGTCCTTGCGACCGAGATTCATGACGACTCTGGTTCTCCACATACTCTAGAACACCTATGCTTTATGGGCTCTCGAAACTACCGCTATAAAGGATTCCTTGACAAACTGGCTACAAGGTTCTACTCCAATACCAATGCCTGGACTGCTACGGATCACACCGCGTACACACTTGACACAGCCGGATGGGCTGGATTTTCCGAGATCCTTCCGGTATACCTTGAACATGTCATTGCTCCAACATTGACCGATGCGGGGTGCTACACAGAAGTACACCACATTGATGGAACAGGAAATGATGCAGGTGTCGTGTATTCGGAAATGCAAGCCATTCAGAACAACCAAGGCGAGTTGATCGATCTTCAAGCCCGGCGTCTAATCTATCCTGAAGGTGTTGGCTTCCGATACGAAACTGGTGGCATGATGGAACAACTACGGTCACTCACCGCTGATAGGATACGTGCTTTTCACCGCGAGATGTACCAGCCCAAAAACCTTTGTCTGATCATCACAGGAGAGGTTGATCATGATGATTTATTGAAGAAACTAGATGCATTCGAGGATACAATTCTGGATATCATCCCTCGACCAGATGCCCCATTCAAACGCCCTTGGATTGAATCCGAAAGGACGCCACCGATCAAAGAATCGATCGTCAAGGAAGTAGAATTTCCCGAGGAAGATGAATCATCCGGAGAGATAGAAATTAGATTCCTGGGTCCAGATTGCACAGACTCGATTCAAGGTAAGCTATCTACTCTTCCCGCTTTTGAACACATGACTTATTTTTATAGGTGGCGCACTGAACGTGGTGCTCTTATATCTTGCTGGCTCATCGGCTACGATTCTTGAAAACACGCTGGTCGAGAAGGAACAGGTTGCAAGTGCCGTCTACTTCTCTACAGAAGATAGGCCTGATATTGAGATCAAATTTACTTTGACCAGCGTAGCGACAGAGAAACTCCAGCAAGTCGAAAAGAGGTTCTTCGAGATCTTGCATGAAGCCATGGACCGACCTTTGGATATGAACTACATATCTGAATGTATCCAACGTCAGAAGCGTAGCTGGAAGTTTTCAACAGAAGGCTCTGCGATATCTTTTGCCGAATATGTCATCTCCGATTTCTTGTATGGCAGGAAAGATGGATCGACATTGCTAGACATTGCAAGCTTAAAAGAGTACGAGGCATTGGAAAATTGGACTGAAGATCAATGGAAGGCATTTATCAAAAAATGGATAGCCGACGCTAAGCATGTATCTATTTTGGGTATTCCATCAGCGAAGCTTGCCAAAAAGCTAAAAGCCGATGAAAAAGCAAGACTGGCAGCACGACGAAAGCAACTCGGGGAAAAGGGGCTTAAGGAACTGCAAGAAAAATTGGACTCTGCAATGGCAGAAAATGACAAGCCAATCCCAACGGACCTATTGAAGAGTTTTAAAGTGCCGGCGACTGATTCGATTCACTTTGTCACGACAACAACAGCGAAGTCTGGATCTGCGCTACGATCTGGCCGACCGGATAATGAACTGCAATCGCTCATTGACGCTGATAATATGGACTCTCCTCTTTTCATCCATTTCGAACATATTGAAAGCAATTTTGTTCAGCTTTCTCTTCTTATTTCCGCAGAGACAGTACCGGTTCAGCTCCGTCCTTTGTTGGCCGTATATACCGACGCATATTTCAATAGCCCTATCCAGCGAAATGGAGAGACAATATCGTTTGAACAGGTCATTGTTGAGCTTGAAAGAGACACGGTTGGATATTCTATGGAAGGGGCACGAGACTTGGGTAATGCGGAGATGCTTCGTGTTATCTTTCAGGTTGAGGTAGAAAAGTATGCTACGGCAATTGCATGGCTCAAAGAGCTCACATGGAACTCTATATTCGATGTGGAAAGGCTGAAAGCTATTACGACGCGACTACTTGCAGATGTTCCAGATGCAAAGCGAAGCGGTGATGACATGCTAGCTGCAGTATTTTTCATGACTCATTTTGCACCTGAATCTATCGTTCGAGCACGCAGCACGCTGGTGAAAGCTCGTTACCTGAAACGCATAAAGAAGCTTTTGCTAGCCCAACCCGAGACTGTCATCTCACAGATGGAGGAGCTTCGAAAATGCATGTTTCAATTCTCAAATTTCAGGGTCCTTGTCATCGCCGATCTGAAGAAATTACATGCACCGGTATCTTCATGGAAACATTTCGTTGAGGGGCTTGACACCAAGGAGGATCTTCGATCGATCACTAACAGGCGAGCTCTACTTAGCGAGGCCGGAAAGAGTCTAGGAAATCTATCTTACGTCGTTCCCATGTCAACGATCGATTCTTCATTCGCCTACGCTACTGCTAAAGGCCTTGACTCGCACGATCATCCAAGTCTACCAGCATTATTGGTCGCCATTGCATATATGAATGCCGTTGAAGGCCCGCTGTGGGTAGCTGTTCGTGGCACCGGGCTTGCGTACGGCACCAATTTCGGGTATAATATCGACCTTGGGACGGTAAACTTTGATGTTTATCGCTCTCCTAATGCCTACAAAGCGTTTGAATCTAGCAAGAAGATCGTCGAAGAATACCTCAACGGTTTCGTCGAGTTTGATCCCCTAATGTTGGAGGGTGCAATCAGCAGTATCGTGGTCAGTTTTGCAAATGAGCAGGCAACTATGGCAAGCGCTGCTTCAGGAAGTTTTATTCGCCAAGTGGTTCGCCTTCTACCGAGCGACTACAAGGAAAAGATCCTGAAGAAAGTCAGAGAAATTCCTGTCGAAGATATCAAGCAGGCATTAAAAGAACATATCTTGCCCCTTTTCAAGCCAGAAACTTCGAGTCTCGTTGTGACATGTGCACCAGTGATGGAAGAGGTGAGTTCTGACAACACAACTATGCCTTTAGTTAAATATCGCTAATTTTGCTTCTGTCTAGTCAATCAAGAATGGATTCGAATCTGCAGGCTTCAAGCCCACGGTGAAGCCTCTGAAGGACTTTGAAGATGACTATGGCCTCAAGGTTGAGGGTGGCGACGATGACGAAGAAGATGAAGATGAAGATGAAGATGGCGATGAGGATGACGATGAAGATGACGAAGATGACGACGACGATGAAGAAGAGGACGAATGATGAAGATAACATGATACCTGGGTTAAAGGTTCTGACGAACTACAATATTCGATAGACGATACATGACCATAATTAGCAAGAGAAAGCATCCTAGACTCATGTTATCAATTCCCGTAGACTTAGGGCTAATTTGATTTGCAATGTTTGCATATAACATAAAGGCGGAGATGTGCGGCAGTATCAAGCAACCCGCATACCGGCATGTTCCTGGCATGTTTAACTTGACACGAAGTCCTTTTCAGAACACAAACAAGATAGTGACAAATCGTGGTTTCTCTCTTGTGGGAATCATGATCAACAACCTACTTCAGGTACCGCCCAATGAATTTATTTGAATATCTTCAAAGAAATGTTCTAACTGATGATTGGTATGTAGGCGCTCGCCCGGTTCCTGGACCGCCCGCTCTTCCCGTGGAAGACGGTGTTGGTTGGCTTTTCCCTGGGTCAATATGTATTCGAAAGCTTCCTCTCACTACGCCAATATCGTGTTCTCCAGAATACCAAGCCTCCAAAGGTCCTAGAAGGGGAAATCACAGAAAAGGTCTTCGAGGATAGTCAGGTAATACCTTTAGCTCATACGTCATTGATCTATCTGGATAACTTCGAATAATTGACATTCAATATTCCCCTAGACATACGGTCGCGCAAAAGCAAAATTCGGTTTCTTTTCCGGCATCTATGGTCAGCTCCAGAACTTGATTTTCATCTACTACGACTTCTTGCCGAAAATATGGGCATTGACTGGCGTATGGCTCGTTCGTTACTTCCCGGCCTGGTCACAGGGTGAAATTGGACATACGATGCTCTTCTTCTTCGCTTTCAACATTTTGACTACTGTCTTGTCGCTCCCCATCTCGTACTACAGCACTTTTGTCCTTGAAGAAAAGTTCGGCTTCAACAAGCAGACCATTGGACTATGGATTACGGATATGTTGAAGGGCCAGGCTCTTGGTATTGCTTTGGGTGGTCCCATTATGGCCGCGGTGCTTAAGATCATCCAGAAGACTGGTAATGAATTCTTCTACTACCTCTGGATGTTTAGCATCGTCGTCCAGGTCTTCGCCATCACAATTTACCCGATTGTTATCTTGCCCATGTTCAACAAACTTTCGCCTTTGGAGCCTGGTCCCATCAAAACTGGCGTTGAAGAACTCGCTCAAAAGCTCAAATTCCCCTTGCATGATATTTACTCTATCGATGGCAGTAAGCGAAGCGCCCATAGCAATGCCTATTTCTTTGGATTCCCATGGAAGAAGCACATTGTGATCTATGATACTCTTATGGAGAAGAGCGAGCCTGAAGAGGTCGTTGCTGTCCTCAGCCACGAATTAGGTCACTGGAAGCTTGGGCACACTACTAAGCTGTTTGGAATTGCTCAGGTAGGTCTTCGCGCGGAGTGAGATATGAGAATAAATACTAACATGTAATAGGCTCACATGCTCTATATCTTTGCGTTGTTCACAGCATTCGTCAACAACAAATCATTATTCCAATCATTCGGCTTCCACAATGAGCAGCCGATCATGATTGGTTTCTTGCTCTTTTCAGATGCCTTGGCACCTATGGATGCTGTCGTGAAGTTCTTGATGAACATCCTCAGTCGCAAGTTTGAATTCGAAGCAGGTTTGTACTCCAACATTCACATTCTATGTGCCCGTTATACTTTTATTCTGACTATTTTATACAGATGCCTTTGCAGCCAACCTTGGACAGTCAAAGCTCCTTGCGCAATCGCTCCTCAAGCTCCAAATCCAGAATCTCAGCACCATGGATGCTGATTGGATGTATGCCAGCTACCACTATTCCCACCCCATTCTTACGGAGCGTCTGGCTGCGCTTGGATGGAAGGGTAAGGGAACTGAAAAGGCGGAAGACAGCGAGAAGCCTGTCAAGGCAGCGGACAGGGAATTGTAATTCTAGATCGGTACGGTTTACTTTTTTTTCTTCATCTGATGTATCAGCAAAATAGTTGAATTGTTTTATCACTTATGTGTTCTCCCGTTCAAAAAGTACGGGCACGTGAATGAACTCCGGACCAAGGAGGTCTTACTCTCCAAAAGGTATGTGCTAAAGAAAACTCAAATATACATCCCAACGCCGAATCCAACCCATGCAATCAAAAAGTGTAACCAACACCACCCAAGTTTGTTCTTTCGGTCTATTCACTCATCTCCATCTCCTCCTCCCCGGCTTCCTTTGCCTGCTGTCTCTTAGCCTTCTTCTCAGCAACCCTCCTCTCCTTCTTTCTACGCTTCCGCTCCTCTTTAGAGATCGCACCAGCTATCGGCATCCCATCCTCATCCACCTCAATCTCCTCCCCGGTCGTCGTATTTAGCAACTCAGTGCCATCCTCATCAGCTCCCAGACCCTGTCCCTGTTCCAATTCCCACTGTTCTTTATTCTCCCATTGCTCTTCTTGTCCTTCACCACCTTTCTCGCCGCCTTTGCTCTTCTTTGGTGTTCGCGCTGCTGCTGCCGCCTCGGTGGGTGTGACCAATGATAAATCCCGACCTAGTATTTCGCCCGCAAGACCGGCCTGGATGCGTTTGAGATTGTGCAGTGTGAGATTAGGTGCGGCGGCTGTTGTGCGTGAGGCTGGGCCATGTTCGGTGATCATAGCGCTGGGTTGAAGGGAAGGGTCATTGGCGGCGCGGTCGAGGTAGGCTTTGAGGAAGTCGAGGGCGGCAGATTGGGAGATGGGGCGGGATGTAAGTATCGTTGTTGGTGGAATGGGGTTGGGAGTGGCGTAAGACATTTTGTCTTTGTACTTGTCTTCCTCTTCTATTTCAATTTCGTTTTGAGTTGTCGCTGTTGTGGAAGTCGTATGAAAGTCGTAGATAGGATTCGGTATGTAAGCGTCGAAGGGGTATTTCCACGTTCAAAGGATCCCAAAAGCAATGCCCAATTTGAAAAGCGACACCAAATAGAAACGAATTAGAGGTATATGATTTAACCAAACGTAGTTCTAAATAGTCGCATCTCGAAACTTTTTTTCTGCCGGGTCCCGCGGGCGGCGAGCGGAGCAACCTCGAAATGTTCTATCCAAAAACCAATCACCGCGGGCTACTACAACGTTCGCATATTTCGTTGCGTGAACCACCATCTTTGACAAGAGCTGATTGGGACAGTCTTTTTTGTATGTATCTTACTAACAAACCCGGGAGATTTTTTTCTTCGCATGAGTAAATTGAGCTGATTCCTTTCCAGTCATTCCAATCCGAGTCACGCACGCATAACCTGCAATTATGCAGGTCTTTAGGTTTTCGAAGACGGCCATGCCAACAATGGCTTCAAGAATAGCACACAATATACGGTATGCCTACCTCTACTAGAACTGCGTGTCGACGTTCTACCGCACGACCAGACAGATCCTCTTAAACCGATTCACTGACTTCACCCACCAGGCCACAAATACGCCCAACACCATGGCTCCTCTCCTCACCCTCATCCTCGCGAACATACAGCTCCTCTCTCTTCTCGTCTTTCTCACTTAAACGACCCATTCTACCACCCAGCAACACCAACACAGCAACAACAACAACAACAACCCTTACGCCCCTCCTCAATCAAATCCGCTCCTTCTCGGCTTCCGCTTCACTCGCCGGAAAGCGTGCCACATACCGGCCCTCGCGACTTGTCCAGAAGCGTCGACATGGGTTTTTGGCTAGATTGAGGACGAGAACTGGACGGAAGATCCTTATGAGGCGGCGACTTAAGGGAAAGAAGGATTTGAGTTGGTAGATTCTTTGAATGCTATCGGAAAGGTGAGAGTAGATAGTATGGTTCCTGAAGGAGAGCATATTTGATTCCGTTTCTCGTGTATTATACAGATTATAAAGTTTTGTGGTATTATTATGGTTCTTAGTGGAATGTTGTACTTTTATTTCTCTGAAGACCACGGTATTTTTATTGGTGAAGTAGTCAGATCCAAGAATCGAAGTGAGGTGAGCCGAGTACTCCCAGACCTCCATTCACAAGTCTCTCAACAGTATTTCATTGTAGTCTTCGACATCAAGTCTGTACGATCTCAGGAATCCTTATGTGGTTATGTTGTTTTCGAAATACTAGCAACTTTTAAACTATTTCATTGTCATCATCATCTCTGCATCCACGAGTCATCTAAACACATAAAAAAATAACCTACAACCATCTCGAATCATGCTTCTATTCCTATGCAAACCAGTAAGAAATAGGAAACCCTAGGTTGTAAAAATCACCAAAGGAACATTTCCCACCAGAAAATAGAGAAAAGAAATGGAAAATGCAACGGGATATCAAAAAGAGATCGGAGTATCAGCCATTTTTCTTTGGCTATGCTCTCGATTCCCTTCATTAAAAAGATGATGGGAAATAGGAGTAAGCATCCTCGAATCGATGCCGGCTCGCTCGTGTTTTGTTCGCATTTTGGCAGACAGATAGTCCACTGCTTGGTAGATACATGCTAAGCTTTTGGAAGTACAGTCAAATAGATATGAAATGACATACTTAGTCCTGGACTGGCTCAAGGGTATTTCCACTAGCAGATCGTTAGTACGATAGAATCGGATATCAGAATGACAGAGGCTAGAGGACTTACGCAACAATGTTGGCCCAACCAATCAAACGCCAGTGCTTCTCGATACGACGACTGATGGCAATCTTCTCACCGATTTCGGTACAAGCAGGGTTGGTCAAGACAAGCTTAGCAGCATCGGCCTTGACACCAACAACCTTGGCACCGGTGGCGGTGGAACCAATGTTGACCATTAGAACTTCGTTCTTGGAGAGCTTCGCAACCTTGGCTTGCTTGCCGTCAGCGGACTTGACACCGAGCAAACGACGTAACAAGAAGTAGTTGACTTCAAGTTCAGTGTAGATGGCGGGAAGCTTGCCACGGAGACCAAGGACGAAACCGAGCAGACGATCAGCACGGCAAAGGGTAGGATCGATACGGGTTCCGACACCAATCAAACCACCAGGGACTGCGAACTTGAGGTCATTGCGTTCGGCATAGAGGGAAACAACCTTAGAGAAAATGGGACGGCACTGAACCTTGCCATTCTCATCTCTGGTGACAATACCAGGCCTGATCTCAATCTCATCATCCAACTTGAGAACACCAGTCAAGATGGAACCACCAGCAACACCACCATTGAGCTCTTCAATTCCAGCACCAGGTTTATTGACATCGAAAGAACGAATAATGATCATGTGGGGAGCGGCAGTGAAATCACGGATAGGGACAGGGATGTGAGACACAAGATGCTCGTTCACAGCATCAATGTTGTATTTCAACTGTGCCGAAATTGGAATAATTGGCGAGCCATCTGCCACAGTTCCTCGAATGAACTTCAAGATAGACTGGTAGTGTGATAGGGCAGCGTCTTCGCGCATCAAGTCGACCTTATTTTGAAGGATGATGATGTGACTCAATTTCATAATTTCAATAGCAGCCAAGTGCTCGGAGGTCTGAGGTTGGGGGCATGTTTCGTTTCCAGCAATGAGAAGGAGGGCTGCATCCATGACAGCGGCACCGGACAACATAGTGCTCATGAGAATGTCGTGACCAGGGCAGTCAACAAAGCTTGAAGCTCTGTTAGTATTCAGGCACCAATATCAAGTTCGCAAGGGAAGAACTTACGAAACGTGACGCAACAAGCGGTAGGTGCCGCTGCATCCCTCGCGCTCACATGGAGGATCCACTTCCTTTTCACTCTTGTAACTCTTGTAGCAGGTAGGTCTGGGACACTCGATGTTGTCACACTTGTAGATCTTTGCGTTGGCATAACCCAACTTGATGGTAATGTTTCGCTCCTGCTCGTTCTTGAAACGAATGGTGTGAACTTCTGAAATAGCCTTGACCACTGTCGATTTGCCGTGAGCGACGTGACCGATGGTTCCAATATTGATCGTAGCCTGGCGGGCAATAATCTCAGGTGTAAGGGGGGTGAATGTCGAGAAGTCCACGGTGTTTGGGTCAGGTTGCTCAGGGAGCTCTGGACGTTTGTATTCGTACACTGGAAGTTCAGCATCCTTGTTCTTGAGAGCGGACTTCAAGGGCTTCTCGAGGTCTTCCTCCTGGTCGAGAGGCTCCTGCTCTTCAATGTCGTCCTCGTGCTCCTGGCCCATGAGGGGCGAGCCGGGCTGCGAGTCCTCGTCTGAGAAGTCGCCGTTGGTAGCCATGATTGCGAGTGAGCCGTCCGTCAGTATCGGAGTCAAGTTTCTGCTCTTTGTAGGATAATCGATAGCGAGGTTTTTCAGTGATGTGAGTTCTGTTGTATTCGTTGGAAGTTGCAGATACTGAGGCGGCTGCTATGATAAATTTGTGTAGTGGGGAATGGGAGTAATTTATCGACGGCGGGCGACCTTGGAAGGGCTAATCCCGATTCATGCTAGCGCTACCCAATATCGAACAAGGAAGGTGTGACTCAACAGAGTCAACTCCATCTTAACTAACCCTACGTTACTCGAAAATTGCGCCTGGAAACGCATGTCACTCCTCATTTTGCTCATACTTGATTGATTGAGTATGATATCCGGTACCAAGATAGGCAAATTTTTTTTGTTTGACACATGTTTGCCCGGTTGTCAATTCTTCGGCGTTGAGTCATGGCACGTTAAATATGACTCTTTTGTACTGTCAAAGGCTTTATTCTCGTTGATCCATCATTGTATATTCATGCAAAGGACTTTTATGGTATATCATACATTTAAGGACTAATCTTGATCGCTGTCGCTGGACTCCTCCGGTGCCTCATCCTCCTCTTCGTCCGAACCCAAGTCGGACTCGTTGATAGCCTCCAAATCCTGGGGCTTCTGCATGACAAATGCAATCATGCAGGTGATCCTGTTGCCAGTCTCATATGAGTCGAGCAGTGCTGAGGATAGTCCCTCGCTAGTATTTTCTTTGATTCTCAAAGACCAGATACGGATGACTCCGTCACTCCCAGACGTCACCAGCAAATATGACCCTTTCCATTTGTCAAAATTCGACATGTCGAGAATTTCGAATCCTTTAATGCGCCCCGGAAGACCGCTAGCCTTGCCACCCACTTGGCCAACAAGTTGGGCGTCAGGTATTGTCGAAGAATCAGACGATGTCGATGTTCCTTTGGTCGAGTAGAATAGAACCCTGCCGTCATCCGTAGACACCGTAAGTAGCTCCTTTGAGCCGTCCTTGTCTATGCTAAAATCAGCATATTTCACTTTCTGCACTTTGGTCGTCGGAGATGGAATGGCTTTGCATCTGGGCGTTGAGTCCTGCACGAAGAGTTAGCGGTCAATACTGACATGCGGACGATGTGAAACCTACTATTCCGAAAATCACCACCCCCCACTCGAAAGCAATAGCGAATTCTTCTCCGGAATTGTCCCAAACAATTCCGCGTCCTTCTCCCGTAGATCGCTTACTCTCCTTGACGCTCTGTAGCAAGTCCTTATCAAAATTCAATACACCCGCCTTTTTGCCAGTCATCAAATTCCAGAGTCTCATGCATCTTTCTCCGCGACCAACACTTATCATCAGTTTCATACTCGGATGGACGGCGAAATCATTGATACCACATGGCACGCTTCCGGGAGGAGCTGTATCTCCTGTGGGTCTGCCTTGTGCTTTGGGTTGCGGTGCTTTGACCGTAGAAACCACATTCCAATCGCGGATTCTGGTCACAGATATAGTGTTGTCTTCAGCTGCAGATAGCAATTTGGACTTTGACGGAAAGTAAAGCGTCGTGATACTGGACGAATGGTGGAGAAGAGTTCCAACCTCTCGATTCTTTGGATTTTCAAGGATTTTATTTCCCGCCAAAGTAGAAACCGAGGGATATCGTTCGCTGACCATTGGCGGTGCCATGGAGATAGAGTATAGGTTTATACGTTCATCCGAGCCACCAGTAGCCAAGAATGCTGTTTGCGGTTGGGAGGAATCTGTATTGGTTGGCGGCGATAGCGCAAGTGTGCGGATTGCAGAGGTATGTGCTTGGAATAGAAAAGTGTCGGCAAAGCGAAGCGTGGACGGCGCATCTTCTTTTACTGATTGCTGATCGCTTGGGGGGCTAGCAGGTAGAGTCACAGTAAAACCATGTAGCACGCTCTGGTAGGATCCCGTAACGACCTGGATTGTCACGGCACCTGGATCATTCTCGGGCAGTTCGGAGCTCAATGTTGCTGCCTTGACGGCCTTGCGAGGCTGGTCCTGACCACTTTGGCCGTTGGTAGCAATTTCTACTCTCTTTCTTTTGGCCATATTGAATTCAGCTGTCGGACTGCGAATTGTCGTGGACTCCGGAGGCTTTGCTTATCAAACTGTAGCGATAAACAATAACTTTTTTTCGATCCTTGTGATACTGCCAGCCCACGCCGCCGGTATTGGGAAATACAATTTATCCGAGGTTGGATCTGATGCCACATTTCTGAGGCAGCAATTCTTTGGCTGCATTCAGCTACGGCTAAGGCAACAAGGCAGCAAGGCAACATCCCTTTCCTTGGAACGACACACAATTTTCCCTAGCCTTGGCTCAACCAGTCAACCCCCTAAAGCAGCACGCAGCAGCAATTTGTCCTTGTCGAATCCAGTCATCCGCCTGCCTGCCGCCCGCCCCCCAAGCAAAACCCGCCCAGGCCAATTTCTCGCGTCTGTAAAAAAGAGTCTGCCATCAAACCACCATCAAAACCGTCGATTTTATCATTTTCGAGCGATTTTTTCGGTCTGAATGCTATCGCTCTTCGTATATTAGTTTTTTACCACGCGTTGATCGGATGACGCGTGGTCGAGATAGACTCGATGCTCCGCGACGAGCTGCTTCGCTCCAAGAACGACGAGATAGCGTGAGTTAAAAAATTTTCCGAGCGATTTTTCTGAAAACATACATCATGCGACGTTCGTATATCGCTAACTGTGAATTTTAGACGATGTTTGCAGTCACGAAAGCGAAAGCTCAGTGAGCTCTATTTTGCGACCGTCGGATACTTAGGCGCGACCGACGGGGCCATCGCGGATACACTCTATGAGCAAAAGCAACAAGCCTTTCTCGACGCCAACGACCTCACCAGGTATGTTTTTTATTTCATTGTTTGGCACTTCTATTGATAGAGGAGTATTTCGATTGTTCTCAATATCACTTTTTTTCGTTGGTATATGCTGACGCGCATTGGTAGGGGTCGATTCTACAATGAAGCAACACTCCCTCCCTTCCCCAACTATGCCGAGATTGTCGCACGAGTACAAACGCATGCTCATCCTGCAGCCGGCGACATTACTTCTTTGGACGTGTCTACAGAACAACAAGTGCGATTACCAGAAGCGCTCGCTCTGAGCACCGAGGAGGTAAATGAAAAAGAGACAGCGATCAATAATGAAGTACAGAAATCAGTTGCGCGCGCAGACCTCGAGCAACCTGTCATTGAGCCGACAATCACGAAGCAGTCTATTGCCCAAAAAATTGATATTTCCGCGCCATTGACATCAGCTGTCGGCACCAAACCTCATTTTGCGACGCCTGGAACCCCAGTTAGCACACATGAGCATGGCGTGTCGAGCAACTTCACATCCCCGTCTCATGCTCGTCAAAGCCCGAAACATAAAGCTACAGAGCCCTCGGTTTCGGAAGTACCTGTTCAGGTGCCATCGCAAACTACGGAAGCGGGTCTCCAGAGCAATCAAGGTCGCAGACCATCTTTGGCGTTAGGAACGACTTCTCACTTAGACCAACCGCTTTCTCCTGCTTCTTCTATCGAACCATTCTCCACCCATMCCCCGGCGCCTGCCGCTGCATCTCCAGATACAAGTCCAGATGAGTCTGGGGAGATTGAGGACCATGCCGCTATATCAGCAAAGCCAGTCGGCGAAGCGCATGAAACATCGTCCGACAAAGTCGAGAGTACAGCTGCACCAATCGCACCTCTAACCCCAGATGAACAATTACGGTTTGAAGAAGCGCAATCGCTCAGGCGCAACGCGCAGCTCTTGGCTGCGAGTAAAGCTATTGGAGACCACGAGGAGCCAGGCAGCAACCCGGTTTCAAATCACATTGTTAAGGGAGATTTTACACCTTCGCAATTGGTTCCTCCGCCTAGTGATCAGAAGATAGCCCAGGATATCCAGCCAGCTCGAGCGGCGCCGGAGGAGAAACTCTCACCAACATCACCTGCTATTCCAGAAAGTCAAGCCGCTCGCGGCATACCTATAGGACCTACCCCTACGGAGTTAAAGGTAGAACCAGAGGCTGGATCAGTCACAAAACGGTCTTCATCCTCATCCACAACCAATGTTGCCGTACAATCTGTTCCGGAGAGAATGACAACTCGAGTATCGTCCGGTGCCATTCGACACAAGTCGGTCTCTGAAATCCTTGGGGAGGCTCCGAAAACTCAGCAAGTTGAAAAGCAGCCGGCTCGAGATTCACTGGCTCTCAGATCTCCGGCATCCCAAGGAAGTCTTGCTTCTATTTCACGAGTCGTCAAACAGAAGAAGGATCGAGAGAAGGAACGAACAAAACTTTCTACCGTAGTATTCCCAAAGAAGCAAATCGAGAAGAATGATTCATTCGCTATGGTTCGTCAGCAAGCAGGCGATTTGATATCTGGGCTGAATGAACAGCAAGATTATCTGTTTACGTTATTCCAGAACAAGGCTTATTCACCTCCTCGCACTTCGAATATTTCAACACTTCTGGCCACAGCCCACAAGACTTTGAGTACATCCAATCATCTTCTTGAGTACCAAGAGCAGATGGATTGCCGTACTCTTCGTCGGATATACGCTCTACAGAATTCCAATCGATGGCCACTACGTCAAATGGAACGATCTGCAGAGCCCTTGCGAGAAGGCACTCATTGGGATGTCTTGCTTGATCACGTGAAGTGGATGCGCACAGATTTCAGGGAAGAGCGCAAGTGGAAAATCGCAGCTGCGAAGAGTTGTGCTGAGTGGTGTGTCGAATATGTTCAAAGCGAACCAGAAAATAGGGCTCAGCTCCGCGTACGTACGAAGATTCCGTCACCAAAATTGGTGGAGCCATCTGAGGCAGTCAACGCAAATAACGATATCATGATGATGGATGTTCATGTGGATGAAACTGGCCCTGTTTCTCAACCAACCCCAGACCTCGTTCCTTCTGCTGAGGAAGAATCTGTGAGCGAGGGTTTTGTTGATGAACCACGATCTGATTTTAGGGATACTGTTGCACCAGCTGCTATATTCTCCCTTAGCTCTGAGGAATTCACTTTCTCCATTGACCTCACTCCTGTATCAGAAAAGCTGCTCGGCGAATTGCCAATTTATGCACCTATTGGCATGTTGGCAGATACTCAAATGCCCGACTTCAGATTCGAGCCTGATACAGATTGGAAAACAGAAGTTCTACCGGTTTCAAAGTTCTCGACAGGTCGAATTAGCTTTCGGGATGTCGAGCCAGCAAGGAAAAAGACAAGATACGACTACACCCTTGAAGATGATCGTGTGGAGACTCCTACTGTCGACATCACTCCCGAGCAAACTGACGTTGCTCTTTTCCGCCCGGAGAATAAGCATATTCGGGACCGCATTCACCCTGGCCATTCTTTCCGACCTCCTACTGAGTATCCGATGCCATCTGTTGGGTTCTTTGAGTCGAGACAATCTTCGCAATGGACACTCAATGAAGACGACGAACTTCGCCGTCTTGTTAAAGACTATTCCTACAATTGGTCTTTAATAGCTAGTTGTTTATCATCTCCATCTCTGTTTTCTTCCGGTGCTGAGCGTAGGACACCATGGGAATGTTTCGAACGATGGGTTGGTCTTGAAGGTCTGCCTGCTGATATGTCTAAAACGCAATACTTCCGAGCATATCACCAACGTTTGGAGGCTGCTCAACGTACGATCATCGCACAACAACAAGCTGCTCAACAGCAGCAACAGCAGCAAGCGCAACAACAGGCACAGCAAGGCATTCCCGCTCCAGCCCAAGCTTTGGTTCGTCGAAGAACAACCCAGCCTGTACGCGTCGACCGCCGCCGAGCTTCCCGCCATCTTGCCCTTCTGGATGCTATGCGAAAGCTAGCTAAAAAGCGAGAGACGATGCTTCAGAAGCAACAACAAGGTAAGGCTTGACGCTTTTTTGATATCGCAAATTGATACTAATTTGATACAAGCGACTCACCTCGCCTCTTTGCGAAAAGTGAACGAGGCAAATCAACCGAAACCTCCCATCACTAACCCAGCCGATTTCAGCAAATTGAAGTATGAACGCGAACAGAAGCTCCAGGAGAGGCAGGAACAATACCGTCAACAGATGATTGCACAACAGAGGGTAAGAACTTCTTTTCATCTGTTTTTTGGTTGACATATTTAACATTTCTACAGGCTAATCTGGCCGCGCAACGTGCTGGACAACTTCCAAATCAACAAGCAGCGGCAGTGAACGGTGTTGCTCGAACACCAAATGGCGTGCAACCTGCTGGCGCTCAACCGATACCCGGAGCTGCGCAGAATGGTGTGGTCAACGGTATTCCGCCAAATGCAAACATGAACCACGGCAATGTCATGCCCATGCAAGGTTTGCCGAACGGAAGACCGATGAGTAGCCCCATGCCACCGAATGCAATTGGCGTAAAGATGGTTCCACAGCAAAGCATACCCCAGCAAATGGCAGCGCGGCCGGGAATCCCCATTCAAAATTCGCCCGACAACGCAAGAGTTATTCGCGAGGCCAGCCGGCTTCAAGAACAGCAGCGTCTTTTGCAGTCTAGGCAGCAACAGGGTCAGCAAATGCCACAGGCTGGTCAGCAACAATTCCAGAGTCCACAACAGTTTGCTCAACAAGGGGCTCACTCGCCAAACATCAATGTCCAAGGCATGAATGGTAACCCTAATAATGCAGCCATGCTCGCGGCTATGCAAGCTGCTGGTGGGATGGGTAGTCCTTCACCGTACAATAATGCGCAAGGCGTGCCAACTGCATCACCGCGGATGGGCCAACCAAATCACCTGTCGAGTGGTGTTGTTCCTACAATTACAAATATTCAAAACCAAATACAGAGGACTCACCCCAACTTTTCTCCTGAACAGGTTGCGAAACTTGCAACAGAACGACTTCATGTGTACCAACAACAACAGCAGCGCATGACGCAAGCTGCCATGAATGCTGCCGTTGGGAATGTGGGCGCTATTCCAGCCAATTTCCAAATGCCACCAGATCCCAGTTTCCAAGGCTCGCCTCAACCCAATGGCAATATTGCAATCCAGAACTCTCAAGCACAGTTTTCGCCCATGATGAGAGTCGCTCAGCCTACTCAGCAGAACCGGGTACCAGTTGCAAGTTCGCCGTCTATGAATGGAAGCGTTCTCCCACAGCAGAGCCGGAGCGCTACCCCACAGACTCAACGCAGTGGAAGCGTTCAAACGGGACCTGTTCCAGGCACAAACCAAAGCCCTCATCCTCCTGCAGCACAAATGGCCACCAATTAAGCCATCTCTCTTTAAAATGTCCGGGTTAGCGCCCCAGGGACATTTATACTTTCCTTCCCGATTTATGTCACGTACGACCCTCATGCCATCCCTAAACCTATCAGTTTAGCCCTTCATCCTGTTTAAGCACGATCACGATTTTTTAATTCTTCTTTTCATCCCTTTTTTTCAATCCTACCTTCCTGCATTCACAAGAACTCCATCGGTTATTACGGACTAGATGTATTGGTCCTCCTTGACCAATTGGTTACGGCGTTAAATGTGTGGGCGGTATCTCTTGGGTTTGGCTTTGTCCAATATCGGCTTCTACAAGGGGATGTTTTTCAGTTCCCTTTCAGTATTTTGTATGATTAGCACGTGTTATATATAGTCTACTTTGTGGTGGGACTAGAGCAGTTGATACAATCAAGTCAATTGGAGGTCGGAGTCTTAGATTAAGTCCAATCTTTCCCAGTACTGCTCATGAGTATTTAGTTGGATTGTAAGCACGGTCGCTACTTGGGGCTTGATACCCATCCAGCCCTGAGTCCTATGCCAACTTGACTTTGTACAGAAAATACCAACAATCTCATATTTTCCGATCACTAATCGAAAATGAGTTCAGACTAAGAGTATCCAACTGTATTTACCCATTGGTATAATTCACCGAAATCCGACTATCCGTTAACTAGTTAAACCAAGGCTACGGAAATACCGTCGCTAAAATGTGCAGGGTTGCGGTATAGTTCACTTATCTCCGAATCCCGTGCGAGTGATATCATATTGTTGCTTTTTACGAAGACAGGCTGGATCATAAAATTCCTACGAACTTAATCATCTAGTGGAGCTATGAAATGTTGGATTTTAGGGGCTCAAATTGGAGATTGAATACGAATTCTCGTTAGGTCTCCTGCGGATTTCAGTGACGAGACTCCGTTTCTTAACTACAAGCTTGTTTTCGTATCTCAGTATAGGATTGCTATACGCTATACGATCTGGACTATTATCTGGGTATTCTTCAAAGTTTTTTAAGAACGGAATTAAGATTTAAGTATATCAATTCACCGCTGTGTTAGTAGATAGGCTTCGATGTTTCCTAAAGGTATATAAGAGGGCTGATGTCTCCCCAATGTCGAGTAGAAACATGAAATCAAGCAAACATAATCATTTTACTAAAGTCTACTTGTAAATTGCAGAACCGTGAACATAGTACATTGAAAATGGCTACTGGATTCGCCAAAGATCAACCGAAAGGGTTCAAAAACCATCTCGAGAATATTGCCATTGTCGGCGTAAGTCTACCCCCTTGCACTAACATCAATGTAGATGAGTTGCTCACATATATCCAGGCTGGCGGCCAAATCGGCAAATACATCGTCCAAGCCCTGCTTGCAAACGGAAAACACAAAGTCACCGCCCTTACTCGTGAAGGCAGCACCAACAGCATCCCTGCAGGCGTCCATTCCATCCAAAAGATCGACTACACTCAGCCCAGCACCATTGCCGAAGCCCTCAAGGGTCAAGATGCATTGATCTGCACCTTGTCCGTCCGCGCAACCGATGAAGCAGAAAAMCTCAGCCGAGCCGCTGCCGAAGCAGGCGTGAAATGGATCTTGCCCAACGAGTTCGGAAACTCCAAGGAAAACGACGATTTCAACCGTGAAATCATCATCGGAGCCAAAAAGGCGCAAGATCGGAGAATCATAGAGGAGCTGGGCGTGAGTTCGTGGATTGGTGTTGCGACGGGCTTTTGGTATGAGTATAGCTTGTCTGCGGGCCCGTGGAGTTATGGGTTTGATATCAAGAACCGTACTGTTACGTTCTATGATGATGGCACCAAGCAGATTGATACGACTACGTTCCCGCAGGTCGGTCTTGGAGTAGCGAATCTGCTTGCGCTCAAGGTGCTGCCGGAGGATGAGAATGATAAGAGCACGACTTTGTCGCAGTTCAGAAATGAATTTGTCTACATCTCGTCTTTTAGGGTTAGTCAGCAGCAGATGTTTGAATCGCTCCTCAAAGTCACTGGGACGAGTCGTGAGGATTGGAGCGTCATCTCGGAGCCGGTCATGGAGCGCTATGCGAAGGGCCAGGAGATGTTCAAATCTGGCCATCACGCGGGCTTTGGTGTGTTGTTGTATTCGAGAGTGTTCTTCCCGGATGAGGCTGGTCAGCACCCGCGTAATGACAATGCTGCTTTGGGCTTGTCGGCTCAAGACCTCGATGAGTGGACCGCTGTTGCGGTCAAGATGGTCGAGGAAGACTACTTTTTGAAGGAAATTGTTCCACGGACTAGAGGTTAGGGGAGCAAGTGAACTAGTCTTACTTATCCCATCGTGGCGAAATCCTGGTCTTCATGGGGCTTCTATTAGAGATCCATGTGTCAATATAAAGTGACGCGGAGTGGATATAGATAGAATACACGATCGATAAATACATACATACGAAGCATTCAATGAAATCATTTTCCAAATAGCACAGCAAAGTAACATAGAGGAATCGACTTCTTTCTTGTAGTCGACTAGCCAACGAAACTGCTACTTTCCCGGGATACGCCGTGGGCGACTGGGTCTGTATCCCTTCAGCGGTAGAGTACCTGTACGCCATTGGTTCCAATACATCGCCGAGCGAGACTGCCTTACTCCGGTTCGATATGTCTCCCATGAATGGGAAACAGTCTTCAAGTATGGAGCTCTTGGTGTTGTTACCGGTGGTGTTATGTATGGTAGGAACAACGGAACAGTGTACGCATCGAAGAATGGCAATGACCAGATTTGGCAGTTCCCCATTTCCGGTCATACTCCTTTTATGGACTCCCAAGGTCCTTCAGCGGGAAACAATGACGGAGCGCGGTGTCTGTTCAATCCTTTGGCCTCAATACCTTTAGTTGACTTACCTTTCCCCTAAGGGCTAAAATACAATCATAAATTAATATTGATGGGCGGTAAGTGTGCCTGGGAGAAAAGCTCCAGGCATGAAGTTTAGGGGTGGTCTGACATCATTGCCGCATCCGAGTCCCGTGACCTGCGATAAGATAAGTTAAGCTTAACAACTTTTGGGCTTCTTTGTTAACACAGACAAATAACCTAGACTCTTCGACCTGTTACTTAATCCACATTCTTTGAAACGAAATCATGTTTTTATCTCTCGATCTAAAATCTATGTTTTAATGGCAATCTAAGCTACTACTTTCCCAGGGTCTGCGGTCAAGATCTCGGTCAGTATCGCCACTGTTGCGGAAAATTTCGAAATACGCCAGTTGAAGCGACCGACCGTGTGAACAGAGCTCTTCACCCTTCGAGCTGCCTCGCGTAAGGGCGCAATTTACATCATGCTCCCACCAAAAAACGGTGGCTCTGGCACATCGAAGCCGTTCGCTGTATCATTCTCAAACACGTCCAGAAAGCCAGCGAACCCTCCGCAAAACATAAGACCTCGCGTTAGCTCATCGCTGAGGCATCATCGTCACCACATAAGCCACGATGAATCCGACGAAGAGGACGAACAGCCTGTTGCCGAAGAAGTGACGGGTTTTGACATGGGCGGGGCGATCAGCAAAAATGTGTCAAAAGAGAAAGAACCTCTCGTCATCAAAGTGGAGAGCAGAAACAACTGGCGCGATCGACCGGGTACCAATCGCAAGGGTAGGAACCTTCTCCCGCAGGAAGTACAGGCGCAGGCTGCTGGGAATAATGTGGCAGTTGTGGAGACCGAGACTCCAAGTATGGCCTATGGCCTGAGTCTTGCCCCTGTGCAGAACGAGGGGACTGGAGAAAATGGGTCAGATGTGGCTATGGCAGACACTGCTCCAATATCCCAACCCGAGTCTCGTGTGCCTCTTACCCAGGATGAGATTGCGCTTCAAGCGCTCATTCGTGAGAGTGAAGGTGGTGAAACGACAAGGCGGTCTGACCTAGTGATTGAGTCCACAAAAACGGAAGGCCGATACGACGAAGCGAGCTCTTTCCGTGCAGATGTCGCTACTCGTCCCGACCAGGCGAGCTTAGATGCATATGATGCAGTTCCAGTCGAAGAGTTTGGAGCAGCTTTGTTAAGAGGTATGGGCTGGAAGGAAGGACAGGCTATTGGACGAGGAAATTATGGAAACACCGCCGCCCCGAATGAAGCTCGTGTTCCAGCACGCCGCCCCGGGTTTTTAGGGATTGGCGCAAAGGATATTGAAGGCGCTAAAGGCGCCGAAATTGAAATCGGAGCCTGGGGAAAAGCCGCGATGCGCAAAGGTTCAAGGAAAGGTGGCGATGGTAGTGGGAATACAGAAGGGATTTACATGCCGGTTGTCATGAAGAGCAAGACGACGGGTGAACATTTGACGGAGGAAGAATTCAAGCTTCGTCAGAAGGAGACTACTGAACAAAAAGCAAATGGCAGGCCAGATGAGCGATCTTCTCGTTCTAATGGCCGGGATAAAGACCGGCGCCGTTATGATGATAACAGTGACACGGACCGAGACCGCAGAAGGCGACACGATAGGCGGAGAGATCGAAGCCGGTCCTCCGGGGCTCCTGACCGTCGGCGGTATGACGACGAAGATGATGTCAAACGGTCTTCGCGGGATCATCGGCGGTACCGTGATCGAGACGATAGTGATTATAAGAGTAGACGACGATCTAAGGATCGAAGCCATCGTGATTCTGGATATTCAAGGCGGGATGATGATCATCGTCGCATTAGAGACAGAGATCGTGATTCGGACCGCCGTTCAGATAAGGATAGGGATAGGGATCGTCATAGATGATTGTACAAGGAGTATTTGTATTATACGGAACCTGGAAGCAATTTACATAGACAGTTGGGCAATCAATCATGTGAACATGTCTAAATGAATCTCATGAATATGCCAGAAGCACAATAGAAACACAGTATATACCAAGTAATTATCCAATGCAATTCACACAAGGTGTATCTATACACATAAACTCCTCAAAAATCAAGTAACGCCGCGAAAAACTTTTCCCTCATCATACTTCCAGCATGACAACATCCTCTTGTCCAGAGATGCCATCGGCCTTCTTGTCTGCGGACGAACCAGACACTAATCCCATACCACCCTCCATTTCATCCAAAACCCATTCAACAAGATAACTCTCATCAACCAGCTCTTCAACACGTCGATAGTGTCGATCAGTGTACGATGAAAGAACGTTGAAGATCTCCTTCAACGACAAACCGCCGACATCTTTCCGGCTTCGTTTGCCCTGGGTAGCCGCTGCTGGAGGCGGGCGGTTGGCAAGTTCAATGAATGTTGATGGTGGGTATGAGCGGACAAGAGTGTAGAGAATACGTTGAGCGACTTTAGCGGTACGGGCGTTGGTGTTCCAGTCTCGAAGGCGGAGGAGTAAGAGGTATAGATTATCTTGATCGAGGGACTGGAGGACTTGATCCACGGAGCTGTTTCCGGTCAATGCGGAGTCCGCATCGTTGTCGCCGTCTTTGTCGCTCTTTTTGCCATCAACTTCGTCAATGGCGGCGGTGAATAGTGAGAGTAGGCGAGCGGGGTGGTTGAGTTGCAGAGCGAGGGTGATGGCTTCCCTGTATGCGCCGGTACGGATATAATTTTGTAATTGCTGGTCTTGCTCTATGCGAGCAGAGTTGGCAGATACCGCTGCAGTCAGTGTGGCGGAGGTCGTGTCTGTCCAGAATGTGACGGTGGAATCAGCTGCACCTGAGATCAAAGAGTACGGCGATGTTGACGGCGACTTGACATCGGATCGAGATCCGGAAGGAGTGGGAGAAGCCAGAGCCCATACTCTGTCCGTGTGGTTGTCGAGTGTAGCTTCCGATTCACCGCTATAAGGAGACCATATCTTCACCAAACCATCTGCAGCAGAGGAGGCAAGGAGTGGACGAGTCTGGGTCTTGGCTTCATCCCCATCCGTATCAGTCTCAGACGACAACTGTGAAGGCGGCAGCCAAATCACTTTCAAGACGCTATTTGTATGACCCTCAAATGTGAGAAGACAACCGAAGTCGGCCAAGTTCCAGATTTTCACAGTCTTATCACCTGAACCTGTGGCAATCAAGCCACGGCTGGTGCTCGTGCCAGCATTTGAGCTGATAATAGGCATTTCACGGGGCGAAAATCGGACAGACCAAACTCCTCGCTTGTGGCCGCGAAGAATACCAACAACCGATCCGTCTTCTGCTGACCATATCTTCACAGTTCGATCTTGCGAAGCCGAGGCAAATAACGTTGCTGTGTAGTTCACATCCAGAGAGTTGATATCTTTTTCGTGTGCTTTTCTGGTATATGCTGCCTTGGGGGTTGATTGTGAAATACCTAATTTACTAGTGTCCCATTTCTTGATCGTTCGATCTTGAGAACCTGTGAAGAGGAATGCTGGAGGATGATTCAAGGGGTTATTGTGAGCCTTTGAACCAGCCGGAGGTGGGGTCCTTGGGAGCGCAATCGCTCCTAGTGATTCGGCGTGACCTGTTAGAACTGCCGCACATGTATATGATGATGTTGCAGGATCAAGACGCCAAAGACGGGCAGTATTATCTTTGGCACCGGTAGCTAGCCAGTAGCCAGACCAGTCGACATCTAGGCAGATGACAATATCATCGTGTCCCTCCAGATAAGTGACATCTGCTCCGAAGTAGCTATCACCAGTTGCGGTTTGTTGCGTGTTCTGGTCAGGAGTTGTAATAGACACAACACGAACGCTTTCTGTATTTGTCGCCATGGCCAAGAGTGACCTCTCTGGGCCAACATAAGCCAAGTCAATGACTTCGTCATCATTTCCAGAAACCCTCCTGATAACTGGCAAAGGCTCCAATGACGAGCCTGGTTTGTAATCGGCTAAAGACTCGATAGAGTGAAGTCGAATCGTTTGGTCGGCATGAACAGTAACAACAAACGGCAATCCTGGAGCATATTGGGTTGTAATGATGGCGTCAGTTTCGGATCCTTCTTCTTGCTGCTGAAGTATTTCTCCTCCCCTATTCGTATCCCAAATGCGCAACACGCCCCTCTCACCACCAGTGAAGCAAAGACCAGTTTCAGAGATGAAGCCAGCGGACTCAATACTTTCTAAGACGGGAATAATTCGACGACTTTTCCATGTTCGCGCATCCCAGATTATCACTGTCTTGTCGCGAGAAGCTGACAGCAGAGCATTTTCGACTGAAGAATATGACAAGCTACGCACCACGGAGACATGTGATTCCAACGAAGCAATTGGCTTCTTCTTGTGCAAGTCCCAGACTCGTACTTTGCCCTCTTCGTCACCAGATGCTAGCCGAATCGTCCTTGACTTTTCTGTCTCTTCCTCATCATCTTGTTGCTTGCCGGCGCGCTTGGATCCCTTGCGTTCGTCCACCTCTGTTATAGCTTCAAAGAAATTGAGTGCAGTTATCACTCCTCCGTGTCCGTGGAATGTATGTGTAATGAATCCACCCCGGATATCCCATACTTTGATAGATCCGTCGGAACCTCCAGTCGCTAAAAGAGTGCCAGTAGGATCAATAGACGTTGTGACCACAGGAGACGTGTGGGCTTTGACTGTTCGAAGTAAAGTGGTTTCTATGGGGCCTTTGTTGTCGATATCGAATGACGACAGTGAATAAAAGCGCATGGACATGGATCTTGAACTGACGACAACGTGAGACGCTGATGGTGTGACTAAAAGAATAAGATATCAGTACTAGAAAACTATATTAAGAAGAGAATCGACTCACTTGCTAGACTTGTGATGAGTTCTCCATCCTATAAATAGCGATTAGTCTATTGACGAATGTGAGTTCGACTGGGTATCTTACACCCTCCAAACTGGCCAACTGGTCGCCTGTAGTGAGATCCACAATCAACGCATCCTCTCCGACGCATGTTGCAAGGATGCGACCGCTGGCGTCTAACGATGTGCTTCCTCCTGTGTATATAGGGCGCAGCGTTCGCGACGCCTCGAACGTGGTTTTCGCAGTGATTCTGGACATATTGAACTGGGTCAGGTGCCTGACAAGTCGTTTCGATCAATTATGTTTGCATTGCTGGCTTTTAGCACAAGATGAATCACACAATACCCAGATTCCGTAGAACAAATCTGAAAATTCAGTGTTGTCGTCTTCCTTGATGCTCTACTTCCGCGGCGGACTTTTTTTTTTGAGAAACTTTTGACAAGTTTGCACTGTTTGCATTGACAGCCTCCTGCGGGCCGAAATAAGGTGTGGTCTGTGCGCAACACCGTCTTTTTTTGGGAAGGCGCCATCTTGCCTGATCAACATGCAACTTGCATCTTACAACCTCTCTGTTTGCGCTCATCAAACAACTACTTGTCAATACTCCACCGTGTCTCCTAAAAAAAGTACGTCAACGCATCAAAAGTACAACAAGAGTCTTTTTCTGAACTTACATGATCTGAATGCATACAATTTTTCGACGGAAATCGACTAGGATATGCGATGGGCCGCCAGCCATACATAGTTCGGCTGGCTTTGGTAAGCCAAGTTAATGTCAAATCGTACTCTCTAGTACCTACTGTTTAACAAATAATTTAGGGCCGCTCTCCATATGAGCCGCCTGAGCCAAGCGACTCACAGCATCAAGCATCGCATAGTCGCAGTACAGATGGATATGTCCAACGGTATGATGAAAGAGGCCATCCTATCTTTCCCGAGTCCAAGGCTCTGGCTCGCGAGCTTCGACGAGCAAAGAACGATGTTTTGTCAACTATGGGGGTTGTGGTTAGTGGCGAAGCAGGCCGTGCAGGCAATTTACGAGACAAGAGAAGCTTCAATGCTGTCACCGCTGAAAATGACTACGGTCTAGTCATAGTAGCCTTTGACCATGCGGTACATTTCTTTGGCTCATGGTGGGTCGGCTCACTAAGCCGCCGTATCCAGGTAAGTATAATATTTGATCATCTCTAGAGTTTCGGTTCGTGCTAGACACTGACTGTGCGTTAGACCTTCAAAAGCTATACCAATATTCCGCTTATTCGCCTGTTCAAGTCCGAATACCAAAAATTCGGATGGCCAGCTGAGTTCTTCGCGGGCATGCCACTCTGGGCAGCTAGAATCATATTGCCTATATGCAGAACACAATTATTTGAGCCCCTACTCATCTACATTCAGGATAAACTCACGCCATATGTGAAACAATCCTATACCCGACTTCTGGAGGGGTGCTTCTCCATGATTCGTTCTGCGTAAGTACTTGATTTGATATTTGCCATTTACAGCAGCTAATGATAAACGCAGAGCACGGCTCGTTTCATTCGTATTCTTCGAGCAGTTACATATGTTTTGTATTCTCCAGACCCTCCATCTTATCCCCCATAAAGCTTATCCCAGGTCCGCATTCCTGCTCCCGTTTACAAGATACTCTTTGATTCAGATTCCATCTCTTCCATCTGATTTTTCCTTCATTTCGCTTGGGCACTTTGCATCTCAACTAGCGGCAACGCCCTTTGCGTTCGCATTCATCTATGTTCTCGTTCGACCATACGTCGAAGAGAAGATATATCGGCTTATCAGAAGACATTTACCTAAGCAAGAGAGGCCCGATGAGGTCTCCATTCAGGTCGCTATGGAAAATGATCTTCTCGAATGGACATTACCGATAGCGGGGCGGCGCACCGAGGAGGAAACTCGCCGAAGCAATTTGAGTCTACTGGAAGATATGAAAGAAGAGCTGCGAGTATTTCAGCAGTGGCTGTTCCGTCGGCTTGGCTGTAACCATGATGAATCCGACGAAAATGTAAGCGTTATCAGCCACAACGATATTGTCACAATTCGCGAAGACACCCTCTTCGCACAATCCCTACAGAACAACATCGATCAAATGCCAGCGCCATCCGCCAATACGGTGTCAAATGCCAATAGACCAGCTCCTCTTGCCCACGAGCACACATTGACAAATGAGCAATTGACTCATTCACCAGGCGAAATCACCCCAAATGCTATAAATGAAGTACATCCTGCGGAGCGTGCTGGAAGGGGCGAGATTATTCGAGAACAATTATCCGGATCTTGGATTCCGTTTCAAGACAACGATCAAGACTCGCGAGCTGACACATTGTTTTCCCGTCCTCGAACGCCAGAATCGCCACTAGCTTCTCCTCGCATTCGAGCATCTCTGACTCATCAAAACTCATTTACGACGACCATGGAATTGTCGCTTCAAGACAGCCGAAGTTCAAATAGACAAAACGGACTCGAGCCTGTTGTTGAGATTGAGCATGGAGACACCACGCTAGGCGAATGGCCGATTCCTCTTGACGAGTCCCAAATTGACGGTCAGATGTTGAATCAAGTAAGACGAGAAATAGATGAATTAGAGCAACTTGCTGCCGCGGCTGATGCCGAACCTTTGAACGTCGCGTTGAGCCCAACAGAAAACGAGCGCCGGTGGGAAAGTCTCAACACAGAGCTCGAAGTAATGGACCCAGCATCAGATCCCGTCTTACCTCATGCAGTCGAAGAACCCATGCATAATCCTACACATCAATTTGGTATGGATGCATTATCGAACGCCGGCACTGAAGCGTCAGCCTCAGATTTGCCCGCCGATCTAGCTCCATGGAGGTCGTCGAATGAGCAGCACCCTGATATAAACAAACAACGCGTCACAGTCCTCTCCTCATATCCTGCCGATGCATTAGCGCACCATCTGGCCTCAGTCATCAGCGGTATCATATTCATACCATTCGAATCCTTCTTCTACCGTTCTCTGGCTAGAAGCTACTTATCTTCACAGCTCGCCACCGTCTACGGTGGTCATAATCTCGGCCTCCTTTCCGATATCCGTGACCTTACTAGCTTTGCTGGCGGTGGAGGTAGACGAGACATGTTCGCTTATATGTCCAAACTTGCCTTGATACAGTGGATTCAGACAGGTATCAGTGGTGTCATACTCGGGGTGTGCTCTGCTACTGCAATTGGAATTGGGAAGAGAGTGTTTAGATGGGGGAACCTGTAACATTAGACATATTTAATGTAGGAGGACTAGCTGTATGCATTGTTTGAGCTTGTGTAAACCATTTGATATGTCTCATTTTACGATGTCATCTATTTTACAAGAACGTACAATGTTCGGGCATGTAACCGAAATCTCACAACAAATCAAGACCTGGTTCGCCATCCATCCCCCTTTTGACTAAATGATACAACATTCATTTGGCCACCCCCTTCCCCTTCTGCATCCCCGGCGTCTTCCTCCTTTCCCAAACCATCAAATATGACTCCCTAGTAAACAACGTCTCACTTTCCGTCCTCTGCACATACAAATCCTGAATCTCGAGCCACTCCGGTCCCCGTTGTTGCGCGTGTTGCTGCTGATGTTTCGCATTATCAGCCGCCATCGCTTTATCGTGTAATTGGACTAGCCACGAGACTTTCTCACTACCGGCGCCGGCACCCGTTGTCGCTGAAGCAGTAGCAGAGGCGTTTTTGTTTGCTGCACCGCCACCACCAGCTGCTGCGAGACCTTTATCTGCCGCGGAGGAATCTTCTCCTGCACCGGGAGTAGGCGCGTTTGCGTCTAGTATGATGTTCGAAACGAGGTCGTATATGATGGGTTCACCGGGAGGCCAGACTTCCGGGTTCGGCTCAACGTATGGTGACATATCCAGTGATCGCGGGGACGGGAATGTGACAATGGTTGGGTTTCGCTCAGATACGAATTTATTCTTGCTGAAGCGTTTGATGTGGAAAAGTAGATAGGGGGGAAGTGGGTGGAGGAGTCGGTGGCGGACACGATGAGAGAGTTTCTCGGATGCGGTTATACCGTTGTACTTGTTCAGGAGTGTCGTCAACGGGATTTGAGGAATGATGGATTCTCTGTTCGCGGATTGAAATAGAGGTGTGGGTGGAAGATCGAGGGTAAGGATTAAGAAGGGGGATGTTTGTGTGTTTGTTTCACTCGATTCGGCAAAGACTAATCGAGAGTTTGTGGTATCAGAGTGCGCTGTGATAGCCTGACTTTCAATTCGTAGGTGTCCTTGGAAAGCTTGCTGAACGACGCTTGTTGGTGTTTTTGATGGCTTTTTGGATCCGCCAAGACTGAGATGGAGGTTGTTCAGGAACCATGAGAGAAACTCAACAGGGTCAGACTGGTGAGTGAGCGTGAATCGCTTTGAAGAGCGCAGAGCGATTTCCTGCAGCAGTTCGTGGGGTGACACGTGTGACTTGAATGCTTTGGGGTTCCATAATTTGCGCACTAGAGTGCTGAATCTGACGGATAGTTGAGGAGACCCTGGGACCGGGAAATTTTGGAGTAGGAAAAAGTTGCGAATCGGCGTGACGTGTGCGAGCACCTGAACAACGACGTTTAGATAATCGTTCGCTTTGATATTGTTCATTCCGACGTATCCTATCTTAAAGTCAGATTTTGAGAGGCTTATTTGCGATAGAGGAAAGTTCTTACCAGGCCGATATTTCTTCCCTAGCAGATCCCATGCATCACGGACCTCTTTATCAAGCTTCAGCACATCGTTCTTCGTGAAAGTCGGATCCACAACATATTTAATATCATCCAAACTTTTGCTCTTCACTTCGTAACCTTCGGGTAAAACGTAGACCTTCTTGGTCTCCATGTTCACAAAAACATGGTGGCCAATCTCCAGCGCATGGAAATATGCATGAGACTTATTGCCTCGCCCCTGGAAATATTTACCACACACCAGACAAGCATAAACATTTATGTTGGATAGTGATATCGAGCAAAGCTTTTCGAAATCGAAATCTAGCACGGCGCGGTTGATTGTATCCAGATATAAGTCTCCATATCCTTCGACTGGTTGTGACTGGCGTTGCGGGAGTGCAACTTGTGTTTCTTCTTTGTCATCGTCGTCATCGGGTTCTGGAGATTCCGGTCGATCTTGGGCAGCTTCTTGTAGTTCTGAAGCTTCCAAATCGGCAGCGGCGAGGATGTCTTGGTGGTTGCGTTCATCTTGCTCCCACTCGCGACCATTCAGATGGCCGTTGCGGAAATCGGCTTCAGCGAAACGCGGTTTTTTGGAGGCGGGCGAGTTCACGCTGAGCTCTCTTTCGAGCTCGGTATCTGCTTGTCGTTTCGCCATGATTCTGCCTTTATGGTGAAATATGTCGAGGCGTTCTTTTGTTCACAGGGTATGAGGTCGAATGCGACTGGATCTAGTGAAACAAAAAGTCCAGGGAAAGCTCCCGCTAATGCAAACAGTCCAAACACTCTGACCTCATCGGCTCTTTGCTTAAACGCCAATTATCGAAGATCACTAGACCAAATGGCACATAGTTTTTATGATGAGTGTTTGAAATAATTTAGGCTTACAAAAGCACTAGTAAGTGCTTGATACATGGGAAATTCTATTATAAGAGCTCTTACAAGGTGCTAATGTCCTCCGCTATCAATCCGCGCTGCTGGTATGGTCTAACAAGAGCTCACTTTCATCAACGTATTCTAGTATCCAGGATCACTTCGATAAAACATTTTACTCAGGCATACTTCTACATATATGAGCAGGCTTGGTGATGTCGAACATGTCAAGTAATTCGTCATAGCAAGGAAAGATTATTTCTAGAACTTTGTATCCTAAGAACAGTGAATGCTAATGATACAACGCTGCACCAGGCAGATTGGAGATCATTATGCAATCGCCACTTTCCTTTCATTATCATAATCTCTTTCTTCGATTCCATCCTTTGTGACAACCTTGACTAGGACCTGTAAAGAAGTTAGCTATCGTGATCGATGATCTCACGATGTGGATCAAGGATGCTTACTCCTTTGAAGTCAATAGGCAATCTTCGCTTCAACTCATCCGTGCAAAGGTTCAAGAGCTTCATGCCTTGCTCTAAATCGATATTTGGATTGTGGTGTTTATCGAGGATTGATAGGCAGTAGTATCTAAAAGACCGTCAGTTTCATCCATTGTACTTGACATAAGCATGATAAAGCAAGATTTTCTCTATTTCTATGCGTGATACGTACTGGGCATATCCGTGTGCGGCGTAAGGAACCTGGGCGAGAGATGCGAGGTAGTCTACCCAGTAAAGACTGGGGGTGTTGGTGATCGCATCGACGCCACCAAGTAACAAGTTGACGTTATACGGGTTTCGCGAACGCAAGGCTCGTGCAAGCTCTCCTCGAACGAAATTTCCGACGGCAGCAGGGCTGAGTTCGGTGTCGTTGCGCATCGAATATAGCTGTACGTTTGCTTGGATGTATTCGGCGAATTGCACTGAGAGAAATTATCAGCCTCGATGAACCAATAGCAACATCCGGACTGTTTCTAACCTCCGTCACCTGGCTCGCCAGAGAATGCCATCAGGGTGTGTTGGTTCAGGTTTCGGGTCTTGTCATCTGTAGCCTTGAGGACAGTCGGGCCTCTCATGGCAGCTTTGGAAGCTGCGATGATGACGAAGTCTTTTCCGGTGATTCCGAGTAGGACCTCCCTGTAAAAGACATGGATTGTAAGCTATCTTGAATGCGTTGTAGTGAAGGATGAAGCTCCTTACATTGTGATGGGTAATCGGTGTTAACGTCGTGATAAGGTTCGGTGAAATATGGCCTGATTTAATAAGGACCTATGGATAAAGACCGAGTGAATGTATCTGCTCAAAGCTGAAGACTTTTGTGGAGATGAAGTTGAAACCGAATGCTGGAAGATGAATAATGGTGATGGTGCTGGTGGTAGAGCTTGCGGCCTAGCAGAGCTACGTCGGAGAGAGCTGGGGCCAGCAAACAGAGCAAACACGCGCGAACGGGACCTTGATTTAGGCGTTACTATTTGTCCGGCCCCGGGAKCCCGCCAAGAGTTTATCGGCACGGACCAATCGTGCCTAAGAAAAAAAAGATTTGTATGCGGAAGACAAGAAAAAAAGTTACAGCTACGACAAACGACACTGCCAAACCCCATTCTAGGCTATCTGTCTAGAAATTTAGTACTTCTGCTCGGAGGAGGCTTTGCATTTTTAAGATTGTTCTTGAGAACGGCATTATGTCGTCCTTTTTCACAATCCCAGCGTCTCAGCGCAAGCGGAAGAGAGACGATCGTGTGGTCGCACCTGGGTCAAAGAAGCGCGGAATTGCAGCAAAGGGAGATGCTCGAGAGGACGCATCACGGAGACGAAAAGAGTCCGAGGACGAATCTATATCAGGCAGCGATCTCGAAGACGACGAGGATGTTTCAGGATCTGAACGCTCCGACGATGCGACTTCAGAAGACTCGGACGAGGGCGAGACAGCAGCAGAGCGAAGATTGAAGCTTGCGGAAAGATATTTGGAAAATATTCGTGAGGAAGTTGACGAGGCTGGGTTTGATGCAGCTGAGATTGACCGTGATCTCATTGCTGAACGATTGAAAGAGGATGTCGTATGTTACTACTCACGTGTTGATCATTGATATCACGATCTAATCGTACTGCAGGACGAAGCAAAAGGTCGCATATTCCGAAAGATCGCATCGCAACTCAACTTCTCTAGTGCTTCACATTCTTTCTTCCGAGCCGATACCCAGACAACTACCGCCGTTGCTATCCATCCTCCATTCGCATACACCGTTTCAAAAGACCGAACCCTGATCAAGTGGGAACTAATCTCTCCCAAAACGCCGCAAGCTACACAAAATAATACAGAGCGGAAACGGCCAGACCATTCTGGAAAGAAGAAACCAGTCCAACTGAAATTCGTCAAGGGTCTGAAGAAAGTTCGGGGGAGCAAGGAACCTCAAGGACATACTGGAAATATCTTGACTCTTGCGGTCTCACCATCCGGCCGATATCTTGCCACGGGAGGTGAAGATAAGAAACTAATAATCTGGGACGCTGAAACGCTCGCTCCAATGAAAACATTTACGCAGCATCGGGACTCTGTCGCGAGTCTCTCGTTTACACGACACATTTCTTCACATAGCTCTGGAGAACAATTGTTCTCCGGCTCATTTGATCGTACAATCAAGACATGGTCTCTTAGCGCCGGAGGTCATGCATACGTTGAGACTCTATTCGGACATCAAGATCACGTTTCCGCGGTAGCATCGATGATGGCAGACCAATGCGTGAGTGTCGGAGCCCGCGACCGAACAGCCCGTCTATGGAAAGTCATTGACGAAACCCAACTCGTGTTCCGTGGCGAATCATCCAAGAAGGAAGAATACCAAAACAATGCCATTGACTGCGTGGCTGTTATACCGCCCACACACTTCGTTACGGGGTCCGATTCAGGCTCGTTATCACTGTGGTCTATCCACAAGAAGAAGCCTCTACATACCATCCAACTTGCACATGGAGTCGATCCGGTACCGCCCCCAGAAAAAGTATCGTCTGAAGCAGATCCTGAGATCGGGGCTCGCAACACCCGCTTCATGCGACCCATGCCGCGATGGATTACAGCCTTGAGCACGGTACCCGGTACAGATATCGTGCTCAGCGGAAGTTGGGACGGCTGGATCCGAGCATGGCGTGTATCAGACGACAAAAGAACACTCATCTCCCTCGGCCCCGTAGGCTCCGTCCGAACAACAGCTCAACCGAAACACACATTCTTCACCAACGGCGAAGACTCCAACCTACCGCAAGAACAACCTACTACAGACACTATGGAACTCTATCCTAAACCAGCCACCAATCTCAAAGAACCACTTCTCAAAGGCGTCGTAAATAGCATCGCAGTCTTTGAACGACGACCCGAAACCGCCTCAACAGCCAAGCCTCAAAAGAAGAATAAAATATCATCCTCGACAAAAGGTCAAGTCTCAAATACGCGCGGATTATGCATCGTAGCCGCCCTCGGCAAGGAGCATCGCTACAGTCGCGCCCAACCCTTCGCACAGAACCATTACACCGGTCCCAGTGCGCAAGGCCGGAATGGAGCGGTAGTCTTCGAAGTGCCGTTCTTCGATAATGTGGATCATGACCAGATAGAATTGGAGGCTGAGGCGGCTGAATAAATGTCTTTCTAAAGAGGGTTATGCATACATATCTTAATTTGATTCTGTATGTAACTAGCATTGATGGGTTGCATTTCTTTTTTCCTCTTCTTATCTTTTCTTTTCTTGCCTACTACGTGTTTGTGTGTGGGTATACTGTACATAACTTTTATTCATCAAGCGGCATGGATGATTGGGCATTAAATACAAAAAGTTTCTGTTTTCACTTTGGTACAATATTGATATTTGTAGAGTTTGATTCTGGAGAAGTCATAATCATTATCATCTTTGGAAGCAAAGAGTCTATTCGAACAAGCTATGATAAGTCCACCAAACCCTAAAACGACATAATCATAAGAAACGCCTGGCTGGAATGGATCGATAGAAATGGATGAGGTTTGAGGTCAAACCGAAAAGGGGCTGAGGACAGGGGATGATGTGCCACTGAGGAAAAGGTCTGAAAGTGTAGAAAGATAGGGAATAATAAGATTTAAGGCTTCGTTTGAGTAGAGGTAGAAGAAATGTTTCGTCAGTCACGAAGTGTACTTGAAGAAAACTCTGCTTTCCTTCGTTTAATTGCTCCAGCTTAATACTATTGTATCGTGATGGTCATATGGCAATATGTTGTGGACATCATGGTACTCTGTGATAGCGATGAACTGATCTAAGAATACTCTTCCAACATAATGCATCTTATACGATGAGTTGTACTATCTCTTCAACGCCTGTTGTTTCTCGATCTCCTCGTTGCCGGGACAGGCATTTCATCTTCCGAGTCATCATTAACGGTGATGGCGTTAGTAGCTGACGAACCGGCACCCGTACTGTGGGGAATTGAATTGTTTCTGGGATTTACGAAACCCCCTCTGTTGGTTGATGTCCCGGCAGCTGCCCGGCCCTGTGCTTGAGATAATGGTGCTCTATGTGTGTGAGATCTAGACAACCCTAATGTACGGGCTGAAGCTCCGTTGGCTGAACGATTCTGAAACCCTGATGTCGGATTTGATGCGGTTCTAGATAATCCCCTTGAAATGGGATTGCTTCGATAGGAGGCATTCTGGMCCGGTCTCCGAACGGGCGCTGGGCGAATTGGCTCGTCTTCATCATCTTCTTCATCATCTTCGGGATCGTTGTCGGAACTAAAATTCCATTGAAAATTACGTGACCCACTCGACTCTGAACCGGGTGATTCTGTATGTGTCCCCGGATGTATATCGTCGCTTCGATCGCCTATTACTGTAGAACGATCTGTAATGTATCCGCCTTCGCTATCCTGACTGTTCTCGTAGTGTATGGAACCGTCGTCAATGAATGATTCCATCTCTTCATCATCGTCGTCCTCTGAGTTGCTGCTGGATTCCTCTGAATTGTCGTCTTCTTCCTCTTCCGACTCATTATCGCTTGTATGGGTCATTGAAGAGGCGTCCATCTGGCCTATAGGTCCATTTCCTAACCAGACTGGTGGCAAGAATGGATGATTGTGCAACGGGTGATGGTGATGATGGTGAAAATGATGATGATCAATCATGCCGTGCGCTTCATCGTATAACTGCTGGGCAACATGGAATGGTAATGGATGCGGGTAGTTGTCCACCCATGCGTCGTCATAGTCTGTCATATCATCGTCCATCTCTTCATCCTCATCATCCTCATCGTCATCCTCATTGTCATCATCTTCGTCGTCCTCGTCCGTCATATCCGAGAAATCCTCCGAGTCGCCAATCGAGCCATCCTCGGCATGATATCCACAATTCACACATTCGTCCTCTTCTAGCTCCCAAGCACAGTTCGGACATCTCGTTACTCCGTCGTCGGCATCATAAATTGGACCTACATGATGGGGTTTCGGCTTGAAACAACCCTGAAATAGACCACCGGTATTTGGATTTTCGCTCGTCTTATCTGCTTCGAGTTTTTCCGCTTCCTCGCGCTGGTTCTTTGAATGTTCTGCCGTAGTTTCGCCTTTTTCTAGAAGCTCTGCGTTGCTGGTAAACATTTGAACGATGGCTCTGACCTGTGATAACGACTGTATGAGTATTTAGAACAACGGAGAAACTCTTGGAATGACTGACCAAGTATGCAGGAGCCGGTTGAATCTTCACTTGGGCTCTACAATCTGGACAAGTTTTGTGTGACCTTCCACTGCTAAACCATGACGTGAGGCACTTTTCTGGTTAGTGAGTCGTTATTGAACGCGTCAAACTGGTATGACCTACCCCATAGCAGAAGGTATGGCCGCATGCCAAAGTATACGGCTCGTATAGTGGGCGAACGCAGATACCACATTGTATAAGTGCACGAACTTCTTCAACGTGCCCTTGAAGTGTTTGCAGAAGCTTTTAAATGTTAAGAAGTTTTCTCGATAAATTGAAAGAATACCGACTTACTCCAGACGAGTCAACCATGACCGAACTCTCTGTTTCTTTTTCTTTCTCTTGTGCTATATGCGGCGTAGCCGATGTTGAACCCATGGCGACCTTGGCTTTCTTCTTGTCTTTGACGGCCATCACACAGCTAGGGGTCGGGGAAAAGAAATATGTCTCTTCAAATATCTTGCAGCGGAAAAACGTGTATTCGCGAGATCGTGGACTTCAAAAATGTGGTGTTCGAGGGAAAAATCGTGGGCTTTCCTAGCAGGGACGAGACCGCCAAAAGTCGAAGTCGAGACTGATGGAGATGTTTCGTGTTGCTTCAGCTCATGGTGGTCGTACCGACTCGTGATTTTCCGATAGATAACTGGAAGGGCAGGCAAGCAGCAGCAACGTCAGAGACAAATCGCAGAAGAGGATGCAATAATTATGATAAGCGGTGTTCGTGCTATCCAACAAAGTCCAAAAAGGATAGGTATATGGACCTTACCGCCTGATATTGCCTAACGCCGCGGCGCGTAGCATCACGTGACACAGGCGGTAAGCACCGGCCAATGGCATTAGAATGAATGGATCGTCCGGCGGGGCTCCTCCTTGCGCCAGTGGGGCTGCCCAATCGAGGCTCATTGAAGATCCGACGTCACGTGAAAGCATCACATCGCGTGCACTCTCGGCGCTTATTGAGAACTGTCACTTTCGGTTCACCAATGGCTGACTTGTTTCTCGTGGTGATGTGAACATGTCAAAGAAGACCATTACAGTTCCAGCATGAATACTCGAATAGCCTGCTTGGTGAGGTCAGCTTTACAGGCGTATTGGTATTCATGAGTCCACTCGTATTGACGCTATCGACACAGGGCAATTCTGTTTCTACACAGTATGTATTACGTAGCACTACAGCATACATTGTATATAACTGGCTTCGTATTGAGAAATATGTTACAATACGCATGACGTGCTCCGGATACTCGAGCCCAAACCAGAAATTAGGCGTAATATTACGCACTGGTACGAAAACGTGACAAGGTCCACCCTCTGCTGTTTAAATACAGAACAATACCCATTCCTCTTTCTTCGTCTTCGTCTATCTCAATGCATTCGCAAGTGACACGATATACTCACCGAAATATTTAATCGAGTATTGAGGCCTTTCTATAGCCATGCGACCCATTTTTAATCATATTCAAAATTACGAACGCCGACTTTCCGTTTTGTGCCGCACAACTGATTAACTTACAATTTCAGGTTGAAAGTCGCCATGAACATCAGGGAAGGCAAGATCCGAGAACTCACCCATACGCAGACTGAGTGACTCTCTTCGAGGCTATGTTTCGTTTACTATTTCAATGCTAGATGGAAGAATCAACTAAATTCGTTTAACTACGTCCATTCTTGATCAATCTGAACCCAGACCCGCTCACAGAAGCCCGGTTAATATCAATTTCCCTTGCGACAAACATCACCTGTATCCAGGCAGTCATATTAAGCAGATACTGAATACTGCCACATCGGAATAAAGACAAGAACGCTGGAATAACCACACCAGAGGAATTAACGACCCAGAGCAACTGATCACCCAAGAACAATTTGTATATCGAAAGCGCCCAGAACAGCATAACGCAATAGAAGAATGCAACCCAACTTATGCGATTACACAATGATTATATACCTGAAACACAAAAGAAACTCGTCGCGTTATCATAGCAGCCAGCGACCCAGACGTTATGCCCTATGCAGCAACAGTCTCCTCCTGGTATACACCTTTCTTCCGCCCAGTCTGTCTGGTCTCGTCAGAAACTAGATGACTGTCACCGATATAGCCCATCTGCACCAACTCATCCCTGACTATCTCTCGGTCCATAGCCTCGAGAAATTCGATTTGCTCCCGAATGAAATTCTTTGTTGCTATTGTATCAAATGGCCTGTTTGCCCGCTTGCGATCCCTCAACTTTCGACCCATTTCTTGACAACGATCTTGCAAAATTTCAAATCGGTATTCGGCGTATTGGTGGTAGAGCTCCTTGAGGTCAGAGATAGCACGCACTGTGTGGAGGACAGTGTCGTCCTTGACGGCCGCTGATTTTGGGCGGAAGGAAGTCACGGAGGTAATACGCTCGGCGGCGCCTAGTGCACGAAGGGCTTGATGTTCGATATAACGGCCTTGAAGAATGACAGCGGAGCCCTATCGATGTTAGTGTGGTATCCTGAGGGGAGATTTATTACAGAAAGACATACCATTTGGGGCCCGCGCACTTTGACAGTACCACCATTACCCTTACGCAACATGGTTTCGCCGCCAACCATAGAGGAGCAGTCAGATAGCATGGTCACACAGACAAAAGGATAGCTGTCAGTGTGCCAGTCGACAACTGGCTTGTCATCATCTTCCAAAGCGCAGTCGGCAACGCCCTCATCAGCGTTGCGGTGTACAATTTCCAGCTCCTTGGCCTTTTCTTCTTCGCTCTTCACAGCAATGTTGACATGAGCAATTTCCCAGTCCATGACAGGAACCAGGTCAATGCCGGCAATCTTGGAGATAATTTCCAGGACTTCAGGGCTCTTCCAGGCGTCATAGATGAACGGTGCGCATCTTTTATCACTGTGAGTATGGATATATCTGCAAAGGGACTGACAACATACTCTGGAGCAAAGCCACGCAACTGGCATTGAGAAAGGTTACTGGAAAACTTGTACTTGTCCCAAACTTTCTCGTCTAGGATCTCCGCTCGCATCTGCTTGACCGCTTCCTCGCTGAAGAGGGGGAAAGGCTCAGATACACCTACAGGAGAGATACCTTTCCCTTCGGGATAGTCAAGCTCCTGCATCGTCCACACTTTTGAGGGAGGTGTGAACTTGATATGCTTGGCTGGGTCAAAAGGAACGCGATCACAGGGAGCTAGGTCTGATTTCACGGGGATGATAGGCTTGCTTTTATTGACTGAAGGCTTCTGGGGAGCCACTTGGACTTCTTCGGTAGACTCAATAAGAAGTTCTTGTGTAGCTTCCTGAGCAGCATCCTGAACAACTTCTTGAGACATTTTTTGGTGTGTTTCTTGCCGCAACTCTTCTGCGGCCTCTTGAGTCGACTCTTCATGCAACTCTTGGGGCTTTTGCAGAAATGTCTCCTGAGTGGTTTCTGATAAGATCGTTTCGGACGCTTCTTGTGAAGATCCCTGGATACCTTCTTCAGGCATCTTTTGTGTAACTTCTATTGAAACTGCTTCCGGGCTCTTGGGTGAGAGATCATGGGGAATATAGTGATATGTTTCGTTGGGAATGTCATTCATGATGGGGGCTTCTGGAAGCAATGGGGCGGTCATAATATTTGTGGCAGCCATGATTCTGGTAAGGTATCAGAATGGTGGCTGAAGAAGATATAACCAGTGCGGTGTAAGGAAAGGGGCATGACAAAGAATAACGCTTTTGTGGACACCACCCACCGGAAGGTCGTTTATCACAGATAAGGACGGCTTTAACAACAAGATATGCTTTGCAATAAAGCTTACTCGATAGTCTGATATCTGGGGTTGACCAGAAGATGACGCTCTTACTTATACTTATCGGCATCCCTTACTTTACGTCTGCTAAGATTTTTGGAGCGAAGCGACTTTGAGCAGTTCCGTGCCCGTTGTCGGTGCAACTTCTCAGGGAAAGCTACGAATCTGGACCATCGTGATTACTGTCGACCCGCCAACCGACATACCATACTATACCGAGTTGGTTACGACGACCCGGCAGATACCTGTGTGGCGTCCAGAATCAATGTTCCAATTCAGACGAGACATGCCCTGATGACTTGTGTATATTGGGCCTAGGAGTCAAATCTGCAAAAACCAATAAAGATTGTCACGCTGTGATCCGGTTCAATCATTATTCGAACGACTATGACACATCAAAAATCTAGCGCAAGTAGTGGCAAATCCACTCCCCAGCCTACTCCTTGTCTGTATGGAAATTGTGCCTGTGTTTGGTTTGGCACCAACCACCACCTCGACGCCATAAATTGGTTTGACTCTTACCAGTGGATACAGCTTGAATCACGATGATACCACGTATTCGCGATGATTAGTGGGTCATGGATGATAGCTATGTTTATCCGTAGCTGGTCCGACAAACTTGGCATGGAAGAAGCGAAAGAACATATCTGGAAACTTAGTTTTGAGATGAGCGACAAATCATGAACTCATGATAGCAGGTTGGATGGACATGGAGGACAAGAGAAAGTAGCAGGATGCGCCGGATCAGATCCAGGCGAGGTGTGGAGGGGCAGTCGCAACAACGTTCCGGCTGAGTGGATTCGAATGGACTTTTTGACTCGTTTTGGGATATAGGATCTGGATCGTCAAAGCGGGCGATAACCCATTATCGGTACTTTGCTACTCGCCCTACTGACTTTACAGCCTAACTAGCGTGTAGGTACTGCTGCCTTGTCTATCATCCGTTATCGGCATTTCACCGTGCTTCCAACTTGAACTCTATCGCTTTTATTTTCTGCTCGTGTTAACGGATATAGCGATCTTCATCATATCATCATGACGATGGCGATGATAAGAGGTACTCTCAATATCCTGAGCTGACTAACTAGAATATGAGCAGCGTACATGACCCGGAGAAATAAGGAAGGTATGGCCTTTTTCAACATTGAAAATCCATCCGGACAGGGTCCAGAATGAAGCTAGGTGACATTTTTTTCCCGAATCCCACATAGGATAAATTCACAATCCGTTTACTCAATCCTCTTTTATATGTCAACAATAAAGCATCCGGAGACGCTCGAGGCTTGAGCGGGGTTGAGCTGTTCTAGCTCTACGGAAAGCGAATCCCGCCAGCCACACAGACATGTCCGTTTCATGTATCCAACGTATTTTATATTGATTACCCAGTGAAAGGACGAACTCTAAAAGGATTCCAGATTAGGAAAGATATTAAAATGGAACATATTACATTCTGTCGCAGGGGACAATTTTATCAATTCTCAAGTTATCAGGAGGCTAAATAGTATGGACATGTCTATGATCTACATAGTCAAGCGTCTCAGTTCGTCTTGTAGGAAGGTTACAGCGAACTTTGTTTGGTATCGAATCACAAGGCTTGGGAGAAGATCGAGCTGATAAGTACACCTACATGATATTGATATCTCCATCGACTTTGATAGGGGATGACCTTCCAAGTCCTGTTGATTAAGTAGACGCTCATCATAGATAGGCCTTCAAACGGGGAGGAGATATCGACAACCAATCAAATTCACATTCTGCAAAAATAACCAAAGCCAGCTAATCAGAGATACTGAAATACTTTAATTTCAACTTAGGCTTAGTGCCGGCGCTTATCCTCACGTGCCAAGTACAAGCTCGGACTACTCAGAAGCCGCCGGTTTGCTTCGTCCAGACCCACCGCGAGATTTCTCCAACGACGAACTCGACTTCCTGTTTCGCTGTTGGCCAATTTCTCCCATTTATCTGGTCTGGTATTCATTAAGTGCAAGGCTACTGAAGAATAATAAATCAATATGTCGTCGACTACCAAAGAAGCGGAGGGTTCTTCGTGGTCCAAGGCTGAGAAGAAATTCGAAAAGTGAGTTTGTTGCGAGCTATCTAGTCCCTGCAAATACAGCCACACCATATCAGTATACACTGCGTTCTATGAACATTCTCAGACGTATTTCCAATCTTCCCCATCTTTCTGTCTTCAAGCATATCCTTCCCACCAGTCAAGATTCATCTTTCCCTTGCCGCCACCAGGAACACACTACCACCCCATAGCTCCGAGGAGGCGTCCAATCCTCAATGGACACGGCATGTTTACTGCATCTCCTAAGCAATCTACAAAAACGGACGAAAGCATGGTCCTTCGTCTGTATACCGCCTCCTCTTGACTCACTCTATTTTCCATCGATCACATGCCCTTTTGCTATAGACCCTCTTTTTTTCCGCTTCGACTGACAACGGCTTTTTTTATTTCTGGTATAGTAAAAGCGCAAGTGAATATTATGACCCGTGTCAGGAGTTTGCAGATCGGAGCATCAGGTGCATGCGCCGGAATGCGGGCGACCGCGAGATGTGCGGTGACTATTTCCAGTGAGTATAGACGATGCTTGAATGTTACTTTTGCAATTTTTGGTTTTACCTTCCCCTTCATTTTCCTTTTAAGGTTGATTGTACTGTTTTTGGAAGGCTGGTAGGCTGTGGCGATGCCGTACGATTGGGCTTTATTCAATTTGTTGGGGCTTGTTTAGTAAATGTTTCACGCTGATGCTAATTCATCTAACTATAGGGCCTATCGTGACTGTAAAAAAGAGTGGGTATGTACTGAGCTCTCCCACACCTGGTTAGGTGCTTCTATTGCGCATCCTATTCTTCTATGCAGATGTGCAAATGGATATCCTCACCACCAAAGTCTATCAAGTATGCTGACCGTTATATTCAGTTGAATTCAAGAAAACTTGCCAGAGCCAAAGCAGCATCGGAACAACAGCCGCAGCAGCAACAGTCATGACATCGTATTCTATCTTCAGAGACATCACTCTCGTGGATCCACACCATGATAATACGAGTTTCTGGTCCGGTTAGGTCAGTGGTCAGTCCTGATCCTGTCCTTACCTCATTAGCCCATTGAAACCCATAATCCTCTCAACAACACCTCCCCATTATCATTCATGTCATCATTCGAGGAATACCAAGAGGTCCTCAAATCGGACTGTCTGTTCCTCTATATCGCGGTCCGTCGGGACCAGAAAGATCATTCTCTCTCTTCCCGGCTAGGGATCTTCATTCCCGATTCAGCAATCGTGTGCTATCACATACCACCAACAGAAAGGTCGTGGGCCTGGCTTCATGCACTGTTATCATTTCATCTAGTCGTTTCAGCCCCTGGTGTCCACATTCGCATTGGCGTTCTGTTATGTTTATTAATTTTCATGTACTTTTATATGTACGAATAAGCTTTTTGTATAATTATATTGCGATTCCGAAGTACTTTACTCGGATCGTTGGTCCAATTATGGGTGACTGGCGCTACATGTGCAGTAAGTTCAGACGAGGATATTGACGAATTGTTTCCTCGACGCATGTGATATGCAGATGTGGACTGAACGTAAATTGCTCTAAATACGTACGGAGGTAGATGATGCATGTCTGTGGCACTATAGCACGGAGATCCGTATGTCTACCTCCGCTCAGGTGACCGGAGTCTGCCTATGCATCAACGACTGGTTGATTTGACCTGTGCAATTGTGCTTCCGAATCTTCAATCGCTGTGCTGGCAGGTTGAAAAATCCTCCCTCTTTAGATAATGCATTTGGAACAAGACATGAAGCTTTCATGGCTTCCGGATTCAATCAATGAATTTGGCACAATATTGAAAGCCCTTAAATGTTGGTACTGGATTATCAMCCTAAAGAGCAAGTTGAGMAAGCCAATAGCATGTTCACTATATATTTGAACTATATAATATGTTTATTTTGGTCCTACGATGAACAAAGTGCTTCTCAATTATGACCGACTATTCAGGCAGCGGGCGCAGTGCCTTGAGGATCAATATTGTGATATTACCCAAAAGATCAAAAGTAAACAAATATTTGATGCGTGACGTCTAGATAATCGTAGGGATGCGGAAGGAAGGCGGTGGTGCTCCTCCCCGCATTTTGCAAAAAAAAGATGTTGTGCCGGCTGAACCATAAGAGCACTGCTTCGTTGCTACACCAAAAGTATCGTTCATACGGCCTCATCTGGAGCTCGACAATAATATAGAGGCGCATCCACCATTCCTCTGGAAGAGATCGCCCAGGTAACAAGTACGGAACGAAGCAGAAAGACACAAGGCGTGGTGCGGGGAAGACGACAGCCATGTCCGCAACGGCAGATCCGGTGTTCCAGCGCCGGAACAAGCAGATACAAGAGGCCATTGACGCTCAGAATCTCAAGCAGGCTTTACAACTGATTGACAAGAGGATCAAGAAGGGCGAGGATACGAGATTTTTGAGAGTGAGTTTGTTTCCAAAGCGACTTGACTGGCTCAATTATGCGCAAAATAGCTGATACCGTCGTTCAATCTCAGGCATGGAAAGCGCATGTCCTCTTCCTCCACCCCGATCAAACGCATTCGCAACAAGGAATCGCCGCGACACTGGAAATTTGCAAGCTTGATCCTCCGACCACGGACTTGGACACTATAGACTTATTGAGCTCGACGCTAAGAGCGGTACCGGGCCATGACGGTACAGCTAGGAGTCTGTGGGAAAAGGCAGCAAAGGCAAAGCCCCAGGATCATGAAATTCAGTCACAATGGTTTACCAGGTCATTTGAAGGGGAGAACTGGCAGTCTGCGCAAAAGGTTACTGTAATCATATCTGGATTAATGAGCGAAATGCTGAACGATATTTATAGGCTGCGATGAGCCTCAACGCAAATTTCCCCAAGCAACGAAAGTATTATTTCTGGGCGATCTTCCTGTGCCATCTCTTGGCTGTCAATTCAGCTTCGTCCGAAACAGAACGCAAGCTCTTTGGAACCCTGGCATACCGCATGGTGTCCAAGGCCGCGGAAAATGTGCCGGCTGACCCTGTACGTATATCCATGACACTGCGGAGCCAATTTGCTCATCTGCCTTGAGATAAACAATGGAAAACTGATTTGAAAACATAGAAAGAATTGTTAAGCCCTCCGAGAGCCATTCAGACTGCCGAGGAGCTGATACTCCTAATCAAGATCTTCCAGGCGCAAGGCCGCGACGATGAAATCTTGAAGATACTCGACAGCGACAATCTTGGACTGAACTCACGTTTAGTTCAAAACGACTGGTTTTTTATCAGAGAAAAGCTCCTCTCTTTAGAAAGAGCCGAGAAATGGACGAGTGGCTTTGAGTATGCTAAAGAGCTTCTGAATATGCCAGAAGAAGACGAAGCTGCAAAGAAGCTTTTACAGGAAAGAGATGACTGGGGAGTCTGGAGTCTTTTGTTGACCTCGACTAAGAAGCTGAATGATAAAAAGTAAGCGTGTCAGATATCATATCTGTTTACATGGTTTGTGGCTAATATCGGACGGCATCAGAATATCTGAAGACACGATATCCTTTGTACAGAAACTCACACAACGTTTCCCAAAGTCAAGGAATGCCCATCTTGCTCTTCTAGAGGTTTCAATATTGAAACTGGAAAGCGGTGAACTCGAACAGCCTGACTTGCTTGCTGCTTATCAGAACTTTTATGACTTCAACAGTACCAAGATGTACTGTTTTGATGACGTTCGGAAATACGCCCCACACATCGACCAAACGCATATCTTGAAGCTGGTTGATTATGTTCTGGAGAAAGCTGGTGCCCAAGAAGATGTATGTGAATGATGGTGCTAATTTCTGTGCATAACTAATGTCTCTCAGATATCTACAACAGCGCAACAGATTACACTCATTAACGCCTACAAGCTAGAGTACTGTTTCAAAGTTTTTGCAGATCCCTCTTTATCGAAACAGCGTGTTGAAGACTTTGTCTCGCGCTGTCTCAAGATGTACCGCGCTATGAAAAAGGAAGAATCTACCGAGAAGACAATCGAAAATCAACCCAGAGACGACCTCGGACTACTCGCTGTCATGTGCCTCATACAACTTGATGAGCAATCGAAGCGAAGAAAAACTCCAAGCGCGGAATTGATTCGTTCTGCAGCTATCCTAGAACATCTCTGCCAAAACTCACCACACAACTATCAAATTCTGCTTCTTCTTGTGCGGGTATACCTCCTACTCGGTGCAGGTTCAATCGCTATGAAAACATTCAGCAAGCTTTCTGTCAAACAAATACAAAACGAAACTGTCGCACACAACTTATACACTCGTCTTGCCACAATCCACCCACTTGGAGCACCACCCATCGAAGCCGAATTCAAAGATTTCATTCCCGAAGTCGCTCTTTCTCAGGCCATTAGCTTTTACGACCATGCGGACCGAACAACAACACGTCAGCGAACAACCGGATTGAATCTCGGAAGCTATGTCAATGTTGAAGGTACAATTGAGCTTCAAGAAAGCTTGCGAAACAGTATCTGCAAACGAATGTGGGCTCTTGAAGCACGCCGCATTGATCGATTGCAAGTAAAGGATCGATTTTGGAGATTCGACGATATAAGTAAGTTTGCGTTCCACCATGTTTGATGACTATTCTTTAACATCGTTTACTTGTTAGCTTCGAACCAGTCGCAACTGGTAGACAAGCGAACTTTCGATGCGTTCATGAACTGTGAACCGTTAGATGGGCCGTCATTCGAGGAGAAATTGAGACTTGGGCCTTTGCCAAAGGTGGGATATACAGATACATAGCGAATTCTTTGCCAATACTGATAGATTGATACAGGAACGCTGGATACGTGCCACAAGCATAATTGACCGGATCTGGGTATTGAATCACCAACTACAATCACAAAAGCCCATTAAAGCAGATACCGCGCTTCCCGATATTGAGAAATTGGACTTGTCCGAGAATGTTGTTGATGATATGACACAAGTCGAGAAGACCAATGCCGAATGTCACCGTATCCTCTTGACAGCTACATTGTTACTGTCCGACTCTAAATCGGTCCCTGGACAAGACATCAACAAAGTCTTCAAACAGATGGAAGAATGGGTCTCAAAGACACTTGAAAGTGTTTCAGACGATGCGACTATTTTTGCAGAGACTGCAATTGCTCTACCATCAGAAGGGAATAGCAGACGGATACTGCCGTCCTGGCAATATCTTCACGCCAGTGTCTCGCTTCTAGAGACGCTGAAGGTATTATCATCAACAATATCATTAGTCGAAACATCAGCAAAGAAACTACCGAATTCGGGCGCTAAGCCAACGAAAGAAGTTGTGCAGGGTCTAAAGGAAGTCGCAACCAAACTTCAAGAAAAAGTCAAGTCAAACACACGAACTTTGAGGTCGAATGTCATAGGATCGGGTGTTCTCGGTGCGTTGACCGATCTGATATTCCAGCAGAATCAGGAAGATTCGACTGAGGCCAGCAGTGAGCTTGCTGAAGAATTGGAACAGACTCTAGATGCGAGTGATGTGGAGGTTTTCTGCGGAGAGCTCTTAGAAAGCTGGGAAGAGGCACTTGGGGGAGTATTATCACTTAAATAAACCTAGTGCAGCATTGTAAATAGAGAATCTAAAAAAGAATCATTACATAACATGCATATAATATCTACGCAACACTTCCATCAGCTGTATCATACAACGATTCCAATGCCCACTTCCATCTGAAGCGGATGCACGTGACCCGCTCGATCGCAAGCCCACATAAGCAGCCCTAAGCCCTAAGCCCTACCCGCTCGCCTACGGAAACACTTCGCGCAAAAAAACAACGCTAAACAATCCCCATCGAACCAAACCACTTTCGGCCACTAACACCCGCCCATTCTCTTACCCAGCGAATTCGGTGCGAACTTTTCCTCTACGACGACGACAATTCTTCGACAATCGACAACCGACAACCCTTTTCTCTTTTTTTCAACGAGAAAATCAAAAATTCGATAAAATGGCGAAGGAACGTTCCGGTCTCATTGTCGGCTTGAATAAGGGTCACGTATGTTCATTTTCCCTCTTTGTGATTGTGGACTAGGTGATGGGTTTCTGTTGGTGGATGTCGTGGTGCTGGGAGTTCTTTTTCGCCGATTATCTTCGTGTGTCGACGGTTCGATTATACGGTTCAATCCAGTTGCGTGTCGATCATGTGTGCTCGGAGCTTCGACGAGTCGATAAAAAAACGGAAGGGAATACATAGCTGGAATATGCATATGGAAGGACGAATACTCGCTTGTCTGGCCACAATCTCTATATCAAAACAACAGTTTCACCATCGATTACTCGATTTATGATTCGTTGAGTTTGGATTGTTGCGTCAACACGTACTTCTGAAAGAGATGGGAGTCAAATGTGCACGGTACACAATTATACTAAAATAACATGAACGACCGCTATGAGACACACGAACGACTCCGACCATCACGATGGAAAGCCCGCCGAGATTGAACTCCCATAACCACGACGAGACTCCACCATGGACTCATCTCTAGATCCAAGGAAGCAACATTGAACACATACTGATTGATAATCCATAGAAAACCACCCCTATCGAGACTAAGGCCCGCATCAGCCGCAGCAAGGGTCGTCTCTCTCGCCGCACCGCCTTTGTCCGTGACATCGTCAAGGAGGTTGCTGGTCTCGCCCCTTATGAGCGCCGTGTTGTCGAATTGTTGAGGAACTCCCAGGACAAGCGTGCCCGCAAGCTCGCTAAGAAGAGAGTACGCCATCTCCCTCTGTCGATTCCTTTTCTCGGAAAAGACAAAGCGTTGCTAACATGTTTTCGAATAGCTCGGCACAATCGGCCGCGCCAAGGCCAAGGTCGACGAGATGCAAAAGGTCATCGCCGAAGCCAGACGGGCTGGTCACTAAAGGAATCTTTTTTTCTTCTCAAAATAAAAAAAAGCCATTTCTTCCTTCCCTAGTGCTGTCTATGTTCTGTTTTTAACGTGCTTCCGAAAACCAAAAACCTGGGCGCAAATGCAATAATTCTACGCATTTACTTTTTTATTCTCCTCTTTTCCTGTTTGCTCTGCTACTGAGATATCGTTTGTTGGCCCATTGCCCGACCTCTCCCCCCATGGAACAACTGAATCGAATCGACTGCGATACGGGGTGTTTTCATTTTCTCTTTTATTTTTACCGATATCTACGGGCCCTTCAGATGATGTGGCAGGGTTTGGAAGAGGAGAAGGGGACGGAAGTGGATTGGATGGGGAGTGTTGAGGATATGGATGGTTGTGATATCCAAGTTTTTTCTGATCGATCATGTTCTCATACAACACATACACTAGATGAAATATGAAGATGAGATGTCGGACAAGGAGCTTTGCAAGTATTAAACATTGTACTTTTGCTACCATCTATCTACTCTTCAGGAGTGAGGTAGAATACAGTAAGAATACGTAATTCATTCTGGTCATTCACGTCTATCATGAACTATCATACATCATTTCTTCCCGGGAAGTTTGAGCCATTTCGGCACTCCTCCCTTCTTAACTCCCTGGGACTTGCTTCCACCTTCTTCACTATCCTTCATGCCAAGTCTATTCATAAGTGATGGTTTATCCTTTTCTTCTTCGACAACTTCCGGCACAGTCGGAATGCGTATGTCTTGTGCCTGGCTGCTAAGTTCTGGCTTTAATAGCGTTGTTGTTCGGGTCGCTGCCGCCATGGCAGATGCTTGATTATTATCAACCCACGTGAAATTAACAAGGACTCTTCCTCGTAGACCTTGATCCTTGATAAGGTAGTGTTGGTCTGAATCTGGGATGGTTTGACTTGCGCCGCCTGGATTTGTTCGAGGCTTCGCTGTTGCACCAAATACCACTAATAAAAACTTCTCGTTGGCAAACTTTGCGTTCAAGCAGCCTCGCACAAATGTATATAGAGTTGAACCTGTATCAGTTTGTTTGAATTTGGCAACGACCTGGCTTTGCTCTGGAAACCGGACTTTGACATCAATTTCTGTGATGGCTGCCAATTTCTCTTGCTCTGCTGCTGCCTTCTCGGCAATCTCTTTATCGCTTGGAAGACGCACATTCTTAGACAGCTGGTTGAGTCGTCCTTGATGTGATTTGGCGTGCTCGATGCTGGGAACATAGTCTTCCTCGTTGTAGGATGTCAAAGCTGAACGAGGCGTTGTATTCGTTGGTGGTTTATACACGGTGACTGGACGGTCAGAAACTAGGGGAGAAAGAGTTTCTGTTTGTTCGACCTCTGATGCGGGTAAATCGGTTGGCTGTGTTATATCGTCTTGTGTATCCATGACATCGGCTTGGGTTGTTGCCGCAGGTTCTACTAATTGCGCAGGCTCAACAGCAGTTGCAGCTACCGGTGTTCCAGCTGGAGCTTTCTCCTCACCAAGCGACTCAAAATACTTATCAATCATCGCCACCGCTTCTTCGAATGGTTGTTGCGTCGTTCGGAAAGATAATCGGAAGAGCACATTGCCACTATTAAAACCTAATTGTGCCAACGACTTTTGTAAATCCGAGAAATCGGATAATTCTCGACCCATTACTGAAAGTACCGGTGTCTGATAATATAACCTTCCAGTTCCATTATTTCCACTATCCGTGGCAGGCGCCGCTCGAGCTGTTAAATTTCTCGTAGATCCATTTCCGGCCACACCTGCTTCGAACTTTCGTAACACAAGCCATAAAGTCGTTGTGCTAGGGAATTTATCAAGAAGTCGGCCGTTTGGAGCACCTTGTGCTTCGGATTGTGGAAGTTGGAGGGCGACGGTTACAACGGACGGTGATTTTGAGAGCTGGACGAGCTCGAGTTTTGCGCCGGAGCTTAGACCGGACAGCCGGAATATGAGCGACAAATCAACTTGTTTACTCTGATGTCTGTACAAATCGTCAGTGTGATGCTTTCCTTTCACAAAAAGCTTACTCACTTGAGGCCATATTGACTGGCATCCAGTCCTAGCTTGCTGCAAGCTTCTTGCAGTACATCTGCTAATGGCTTCGACGGATTTGTCTTGACAGTAGCTCTTCTAGCTGTAGAATCAATCACCACCACATGCGAGCTCATGGTTAAAGATGCACTGAGTTTTGAAAGTTGATAAAGCGCCCCGGATTGTATTTGTAAAGCGGGGCAGCTTTACTTTGATGCTTCCAACGTCGATAAAGTCAATATGCAGTGTAGATTCCAAAATTATCTTCAAGAATATGAGCCTGTTATCCAGAATGAGACAAATGAAGTCGTTGATAAGGATCAGCTTGCTAAGCAGAGATGTTCAAGAAATTCGATGAGATTCCGACTCTTTCAACTTTGTATGGGCAACGGCAGGCACCCGCTGAGCGTCATTCTAAGGAAGGTCCGTCCCAAAAAGGTTACCGCCTGGCCCGAGCTCCCTCGCAGTCTCGCGTCGGCCTAAGACGAAGAGACAGACAGACAGTCCAGCTTCATCTAGCAATCACCTCCATCACGACCTGTCTTCTTGCGTTTCATTTTCATCTCTGCAATAACGAATCCTGCGTCTGATTTGATTTGCACGATATACAGCTTTTCACCTGATAATAGTCCATCATGGTACGTTCTGGAGCTCCCAGCCCTTCATAGCTACTGCTGACTGACTTCATCTAGAGCTCGCCCTTCGACATCAGTATGTCTACCCGTCTTATCATTACGATATTTACGATCCCAAACTGACAAAATAGATGGCGGTGCCTGTGTGGCCATGGTGGGAAAAGACTGCGTCGCAATCGCCTGCGATCTCCGACTCGGTATGCAAGCCCTGACGGTCTCCAACAACTTCCCCAAGATCTTCAACTACGCACCATCCACCTATCTCGGTCTCACGGGCCTCGCAACCGACGTAACCACCGTTTCCGATCTGTTCCGCTACAAGGTCAACATGTACCGCCTCCGTGAAGAACGACACATCTCCCCCCAGACGCTGGCGAACCTCGTCAGCTCGAGTCTGTACGAGCGACGATTCGGCCCTTATTTTGTATCTCCTGTCATTGCGGGAATCAATCATACAACTGGCAAGCCGTTCATTTGCGGGTTTGATAGTATCGGATGTATCGACTTTGCCAAGGATTTTATTGTCAGCGGTACAGCTAGTGATCAGTTGTTTGGTACTTGCGAGGGTCTCTGGGAGCCTGATTTGGTGCGTCAATAGTTTGTGTTACATTATTTCCGCAATTACTGACTGAATACAATAATAGGGCCCCGAAGACCTTTTCGAGACTATTTCTCAGGCACTCTTGAACGCCGTTGACAGAGATGCACTCTCCGGTTGGGGTGCAAACGTCTATATTATAGAGAAGGACAAGGTCACAAAGAGATTACTAAAAGGACGACAAGATTAGACAGTGTCGTGTTTTAATTTCAGCCGTTTTCAATCGTCTCTGCATCCTAGCATACTGTCTATACGTAGGCTAAGTCACATCGATAGCTTGATCTAGAAACCATCCTTATTTGTAACAACACCGTAAGCTTCCCCTGACCTGCCCATGAAAGCCTTCAAATCCTGCACCAGCACCTCTGGCGCCTCCCACGCCGCAAAATGGCCCCCTTTCTCAAACTCCGTCTCCCGCACAATGTTTCCGATAGCTCTCAACCACGAACCCGGAATCTGAATGATCTCCCCTGGGAAGTTCGCAACAGCTATTTTGACACAGTCCGCTATTCGCGTGGATATGACCTCATCGCGCGATAACCACGTATAACCAAGCCCGTCTTTACCATTAGCAGTAGTAGTATTAACAGCAGAACTGGGCCGTGTAACAGATTCACGATATATCCTCAAAGATGCAGCCGGTCCCGCCTTCGAAAACAAATAAATACTCACCCACTCCAAGATCTCGTCATCTGTCCAATCATACCTATCCGTCCATCTATGAAGCTTATCATACACCCAGGCCAAAAGCCCCACGGGACTGTCGTTGAGCGCATACCCCAGTGTCTGCGGATACGTATCCTGCTGCTTCGCATACGCATTCTCTCGTTCCAGATAGCTTTGCAAGATAGCTACTTTCCGTCTGTTGGTGGCCGAGAATGGTGGCAAGAGGTAGCCTAGCACGGCTTGCAGAAATAAGAAAGGGTTGCGCCAGGGGTAGGGAGGAGGGGAAGGGATGAAGTTGAGGTGTATGGCTTTTGTGTGCGAGGGGTAGCGGATGGCCATTGCGCGGGCGATGAAGGAGCCCCAGTCGCCGCCTTGGATGACTTTGTACTGTGTGTTAGTGATCGTTTCGGGGGGTGAATGGAGTAAGGGTCAAGGACGAACTGTATTCTGCGTAGCCTAGTCTGATCATCAAGACATGCATGGATTCTGCGTATTGGGCGAGTCCGAAGCCCTTCTGTTTCATGTCAGATGCCGAGTAGATGTAGAAAGAGAGTGAGAGGAGAAGTGTACCTTTGGTATACCACCGGAGAACCCAAAGTTGGGAAGTGAAGGCGCGACGACATCGAACTTAGGATGTCCTTCGCCTCCTCCGGTCAGAAGAGGAAGCACTTTCTTCACTTCGATGAAACTGCCAGGCCCTGTCAAGTCAATTAGCAAAGATCCCGGCTGCTCTGAATAGGAGATAGCAACATACACCCATGCAAAAACAACAACGGAATCCCTCTCCCGTTCTCCACTCCCTGAGCTCTCTGATACACAAAATGCACATCAACGTCCTCCTCAAACCCTTCCACAGATACTGCAGTCGTATACTGCGGCAGACTGTCATTCAGTTCCTTCTCAGCTTTTCGCCAATCAAAGCCTTCACGCCAGTATGTCGTGAGGCGCTTTATGTCTTCTAGTGGAGCGCCCATGTCCCACTCGTGGGACTTGTCTTGGGATAGTAGTTCATCCGGGAAAGATGCATTTTCGAGTTTTTGGTGAAGGGTGGAAAGTTGAGAGTTTGCGATGGAGATTTTGAAGGGTTTGATTCTGGGGTCTAGATCTAAATCTGAGAGAATGTCTTTGGTGTTGGTTGTTGGTGTTGCCATTTTAAGAAACATGGGTACTATCGATCTGGTCACGATCTAGGGCTAAATGTCAAATGTTCGATAGCACAGATGCAAGATCAAATGTAAAGGTGATGTTATCGATTATGTTGAATTATTTCATACTGAAAAACATGTGAATTATACGCAGCTCTGACGATCGTTTGCACAAATCGATTCTACCGATTCTTGACCGCAGATGCCGAGGCACCCTCGTGCGACTCCTCCACACGAGTATCCGTGAGACCGTAACCCTCAATGTCTGAGCATTTACACAACATAATATGTTGTCACAGTCAGGTCGAAGTCGGAGAACAGACCGCAGCAGCTCATCTACTAATGTTTGATGTTTAATAACCTCAAAAAGTAATCTTACCTCGTCTCAGCCATATCACCAGACCCAAGGTTCAATGCTTAACGTATGCAACGCTGTGGGTCTGGCTGGGACGTGATCCAATTTTTATTTCAATTGTGCCCATGGAGGCCAAAGGAACATTGTCGATTTATAGACATCAATTGATAAACGTGGCATGTAATCCACTCATTCAATTGTTAAAAAGTCGAGACTCGCGTGTTAGTGGTATCGCAGGCGGCTTTAACGGGAATACGAATACGCCGCTGAATCTATCCAGACTTTTTGCATCGAGGGCCCCCACCATATCATCCATTGAACCAGACCTGTAAGATCGATGTCAGGAAATAATGTGTGGAGAATGTGGCAAGATCCAATAAGTCAAGAGAATACCAATGTATGATTTTGTGTGTCCAGTGTGCTACGTAGTATGCAAAGCAAGGTACGAAGCCCTGACGGGTTGACTGCAATCAATCAACTTGAATCAGTGGCACTGATTAGGGCTGGGGTTGGCGCGGTAAATCGGCAGGTGGTGGTCTCGTGGTAACGCGAACGCCAAGCATTGCATGGCTGTCGGTGGAAAGAACAGAAAAGGTACAAAAAATGGCAAGCCCCCGATCCAGAGTGCTATTTGACTTTGGGGGTGACTGCTGCTAAAGCAAGTCGTTCCGTATCAGGTAATTTATCATGCAAGGAATTACATGCGATACCACTAGCTCAATATTGTCCGGTCTAGACTGGGTCCACAGGTCACTGATGGCGGGCGCTGATTCGAGATCCACCGCATTGGCCTTCGTCAGCCGGGCCATCTTGGACGATCAGTTGGCGCGCTAGCTGTATTTAGCATGACTCGCAGTAACAATACTGTATCATCTGTACTCATACGTACATTTATTGAGATGATGTTGAGTAGCTGAAAAACTTAACTATAGTAAGACGGATATGATGCCAGTATTAAGGTAAATCAAGCATTTTAGAGACGCCAGCCACGTAGTCAACTCAGGCTTGAACTAAAAGTAATCCAGTAGCACGTTAATGCCAGCGAAGTTCTCTCGTTAAGATAATATCACGGATATATTCGGATGACTTTCTCCCGTACACACACATGTATTTCTCCTCGAGTGATTCGCTAAGTGGCGTTCCTCGTTCAATCTTCCAATACCGTACAGTACCCGATCCACTGGATCGGTCTGGGCCCTGAGCTCGGCAGCCGGCTGGAATCTGGGCTCCTTCCCGCCTAATCAACCAGGACTGCGCCAATGGCCAAAGAGGCCTGAGAGTCTTTGCGTCGAAGTTCTGACGTTGCTTTCTTCTGTACATACTTCTACAACTAATACTCCCTGGCTTATAATATAACCTCGTCAAGTGCCGTGACTCGCGTGAAGTGCACGAAAGATACTGTACTCGACTTGTATCGACATTCGACTGCGTGTTTCGACATTTAACGAAACGAGGCCTCATGGTGGGATGATGAATGGGAGTTTGTGTCTACTACTGGTCTAGCATTTCGATTTGTTATACGTTCGGCCAGCAAAAGTGCTACATAAACTGCATATCTCTCTAGTGCACTGAGCATTGTAAGTGTTTGTCCTTGTTTATTTCAGATCGTACGGGAATGCTGACATCTCAGCCGAGTATAGATAGTCTCGACTATTGTGTCGGGCCATACCAACCTCCTGTAATGGTTGTTCCTTCGTTTTTCGTACAATCCCACCCATAAATCCGCCACCACGACCGAACATCATGGACACCGCTTCGGATAACCGCAAAGTCGGGACGACACTTGACACGCCGCTTCCTCGAATGTCATTGTGCCTGGCTAGCGGGACGCTCGACAAGTCGCTGCATCATGGCGACACAGGATTCACTGCACTTCTGGACAAACACTTTGATAACCGCGAGAGTGTTGCTGTAGAACGTCTGGTTACACTCAAAAAGGCTCTCCGATCGCCGAGTACGAAATTGTCCTGGGATGAGGTCCTCGAAGAATTGGCAATGCTCACTCAGGCCCAATGTGCATTCGTCAGCTATGAAGTGGAAAACACAAGCAGTGAAGGAACCGCTCGGGGTATGATTACAAAATGTTATTATCAAGACGGATCTGGAAACCAGACTTTGCTGAAAGATCGCAAYCMCCCCGCCATAACTGCGACCTATCAACATATGAAATACGACAAAGTGTTTCTTATTCCCGAGGGATTGCGTTCGGTTGCCCAATCTATCGACGCAGCTTTTGCAGCAGAGGCATTAATCGCCGTACCCCTGTCATCTGGGGAGCACAATGTCGGTCATTTCGGCATGATATGGACTGTTCAAGGCCTACAGAAACAAACATTCTCTTGGTCATATATAGAAATGATTATGCATTCTCTGGAAGATTTGATCACTGGTCGGGTTTTGGATGAAACTGCATTGCCGACTCATTCTAGCGAACCAGCTCCCTCGGTACCCTCAGATCCTATATCATACAATGTCGACCCGCATCCTCAACATACTTCGGCTCCTGCGTCGCCCATCTTTGCGCACCCTCTGAAGCCATACGCACCCAGTCTATCACACGAACTACGAACCCCCATGCAAGGGGTTGTCGGCATGCTAGATGTCATGCATGCAAACGTGGAGGAAGCAATAGACGCCAGAGTCGCTACAAAGTCTTTCCGGCTTTTGCAAGATTTGAAAGAGAACATTGAATTGGTTCAAGACAGCGCTCGACGTGCAGTCGAAGCAGCAGATAACGTTGTTCATGCTTATGATCTCAATATGGAAGTTCCGGAAACCCCACAGAAAGAACTCTACGCCGATATCATGGGAGATCAGACTACCTCTGGCGGACGCTTCTCGTTCAAAGACAACAAACTTCCAGTCAATCCCTACAAACGCCGCCGTAGTATCTCCATCGACTGGACAGGACATGGACGCCCAGCCAAACGCTCTTCAAGGAGGAACACCTCCCAAGGTGACTTGTCTCCACGAAGCGAAGTAAAGAATGCAGTTCAGGAAAGCGACAAGATCGTGTACTCACCAGCAAAAGGCAGGATTGAAGAGGTGGTAGGTAATGCAGTTGCTCAAAGACCATCGCTAGCTGCAAGACGGATGGCTCCACAGATGATTGTGGAAGGCGCGCCTCCTACCGCTGTACGCCAGACCAAAATTCGGGAGCTTCTACATCTTGTTATTAATGAGTCATTACATGTCGGCAAGCGACCAGAGTCTACAACCAGTCAGAGAACGTTGCTAGGCGAGCATATCAACGTTCATGCGCTGGCATCGAATGGGGATACCTGCGTCAAGAGTATCGAATGGTCCGTGGAACCAACCGTACCGGAAAACTTATACGTTGATGAACGCGACCTTGCGAAGTTGATTTCATGCGTGTTTTTGAATGCCGTCAAGTTCACCGAGAGTGGCGAGATCAAGGTCTTGGCTACATCCAGCAACAAAACCCCTCAGTATGTCCGAGTCAACATTCGCGATACCGGTACAGGAATACCAGAGGAGTTCTTTCCCAGTCTTTTCAAGCCTTTTGCACGAGAGGATGACTCAACCACCCGCACGAGAGATGGACTTGGACTTGGTCTTCTGGTGGCCAAAGGACTGGCGAGAAAAATGGGCGGCGATTTGCTTTGTGTTCATTCCTCTACCTCTGGCCCTGATCGAGGATCCGAGTTTGAGATTCGTATTCCTCTCAACCCTGGTGGTATTCTTAGCCGACCAAACACTTCGCACAATGGGTCTGCAGCCCCATTGGCCACGCCTCCACAGGCTTTGGAAATCATCCCACCTAGAAACTTTGCTGATGTTGCAATGGCCAATACAACTAGCCATCATGAGAGTCTAGATATGCTGCCGCCACCAGAGACAGCCGTTACTCTCGACCACCCTGTCATTTCTATCCCCACTATCCACTCAGCGAGCCAGCTGTCTAGCGCGCTTCATGGCGTCGGACTTGGAAAGACACACCCCCTTACTTTCCTCGTGGCTGAGGATAATCAAATCAATCGAAAGATCTTAGTAAATATGCTAAGCAAGCTAGGATACTTGGATGTTTATGAAGCTTACGACGGACGAGAAGCAGTCCGAATCATGCAAGAGACCTTATTATCGTCCTACCCGTTGCCCTCCCCCATGTCATCGCCGTCTATCCAAGGAAGCGACAGTGGCATTGAACAATCGATTTCTCCGTCTGAAATGGCGAATCCAGGCAACCGAAAGAAGGTCAAGCCGATTGATGTCGTTCTTATGGATCTCTGGATGCCGGAGATGGATGGCTACGAGGCTACATCGAAGATTTTACAGATGGTGGACGAGCATTGCCACCGCCTGGCACCCATGGATAAGCCTGATCAGAGTCCTGTGGAAAATTGGGACCAGAGAAGTGGATCAGATTCTCCGTCGATGTTCGACATCTCGCCAAAGGTCCTGGCAGTGAGCGCAGATGTAACGGATGAAGCATTGAATCGGGCTTCACAAGTCGGCATTCAGGGTTACATGACCAAGCCATACAAATTAGCTGACCTGGAGCGGCTGATTGTGGACTGTTGTTTTCCCCAGCTATGATAATGTATTGTGTATTTTCGACAAAGCATGACTGTTTATGTGTATAATACATGTGATAAACACATCTGGAGTTGTCAGGACTGCGCTGGTAGCAGCTTAGTGATAGATATATACCATGTACATACTATATGTCTAATACAGACTTCCTATATACTATGCTTTAATTGCAAACGTCGTATAAGTAGCCTACAGCTAGGTCTGCGCAGGTCATGTGACGGCTGCCGATGACGTGCGGTAAATCGTCTCAATAGCTTCTCCGCTTCCCGTTCGCCTCAAAATAAGCTCTTAACAACAGGAAGAGTTCAATTGAAGAGCTTTAGCCTCCTCTCTTCTACTTCGGAAATACATAAGATTTCACGATCAATATGAAAGTTTCCTCCCTCCTTCCTTCTGTCCTCCTCCTCGTTGGAGCAACTCGGGCATCTCCGCACCCCGCACAACCTCCGCAACAACCATTGAACAATATCATTAAATCAAACACGCCGACGAGCCTCCCAAACAAACATGACCTAGAGCATGTAATCGACACATCTCCACTACTATCACTACATCGTGACCTCGTCAAATTCGAGTCCATCTCCGGCAACGAGGCCGACGTAGGCGACTATGTCATTCAATACCTCCAAGCCCGCGATTTCAAAGTTGAGAAGCAAGTCGTCGTGAAGAAAGGATCCAACGGCCAGGGAGAACGATTCAATATTTTTGCATACCCAAACTCGAGTCCGGCTCCCAAAGTGCTTTTGTCAAGTCACATCGACACCGTACCTCCCTATATTCCCTACAGTCTCGATCTTCCATCCTCAAATGGATCAACCACCGACCCTCTCAACTGGCGCGACAACATCGTAATTGCCGGCCGCGGCTCCGTCGACGCAAAAGCGAGCGTCGCATCTCAAATCCTCGCTGTGCTCGAATACCTACAACTCAACCCCGAAGCACCTTTGGGTTTATTATTCGTGGTTGGTGAGGAAGTCGATGGTGTCGGTATGCAGTACTTTTCGCAGTCAGAACTCAATACTTCGCCGCCGACTTTTCATACCGTCATATTCGGCGAACCTACCGAGCTAGCTCTCGTCTCCGGTCACAAGGGGTCGCTATTCTTCAAGATAAGCGCAAAAGGAAAAGCGGCGCATTCGGGATATCCATGGTTGGGGCACAGTGCCGTGTCATCTTTGCTACCTGCATTGATCAAGCTTGATACCCTCGCCGACATCCCCGTAGAAGATGGCGGAATTCCGGGAAGCGAGAAATTGGGTAAATCGACTCTAAATATCGGCCGTATCGAAGCCGGTATTGCGTCTAATGTCGTACCAGCATCGGCAGAGGCATCCGTCAACATCCGCCTTGCATACCACGACGTCGAAAAAGTCAAGGGTATTGTCACAAAAGCCATCGATGAAGCTACCAATGGCGACGAAAACATCAGCGTCGAATGGGGCAACAATGGCAAAGGCCATGCACCCATCGATTTCGATACGGATGTCGATGGTTTCAATGTCACGACTGTCAACTATGCTACTGATGCGTGGTACTTGCAGATTCACAAGGGGTCAGGAGGTAGTCCTGAAGGACGTGTGCATACGTACTTGTATGGACCGGGAAGTATATTTGTGGCGCATGGGGCTGATGAGGCGATTACGGTGAGGGATTTGGAGGATGCGGTGTCCGGGTATAAGAGGTTGATTGATGCTGCTTTTGAGAGGAATAAGCTTTAATACTGTGTTGGATGCATATTACGACATATATTGAATGGTGGATATTCCACAGGAGGCATATACACATTCAGCGAATTATCTAAGGCTAGACAATGGCTGGTGTAAATTCACCTACATATTAGAGCCTCCTACATACGTAAACAATATTTTTCAGGGGATATAATTTGATCTTAGGCTCAAGCTATATACTTCGATATAGATTACTGAAGCAATGAGAGGCTTTGTTCACAAAGGGCCTCTCGGTTTTCATTATAGAAATGCTGCTGTACCGAAATTTCCAGCTCATCGCGAAGATCATCAAGCTTTAGAGGCAGCGGGTCGTCCTTGGGTGCGATGCTGGAAGATTGGTCGCCTAATAAATCCTGCCATGAGAAAGTGATTTGTTGCCATGACTGATGTCTCGGGATAGGATATAGTTGCTTATTGAACCAACATTATCATGTCAGTTATCGAATCTTCGAACTTCAGGGAGGTTTTCTCTAGTTTTATAGGACGGAGAGCTATGGGGGCTTACCAGTCTCGGACCATATATCTTTGCCTTCATGTCTTCTTCATCGAATTTCCAGATTTCAGTGAATCCAGACTTGAACGATGTTTCGCCTTCTACTAAAGGCTCCATCTTCACGATAATCACCATATTGATTTCACCCTCAGCGCCCTCTAGGAGTAGAGTGGCGTCGTCGACGAGATCATCGTAGGACTTGGCGTATCCAGCTTCAAGGATAATAAGGGGCATGGATGGAAATCGTGGGAAAAACGAAGCATAAGTGCCTATACAACTGGGTATTGACTCAGCTCAGACACCAGAAGAGGGCTGATGAGATATGATGACTCTTGAGGTCACTTTCTACTTACCCACCCAGATACTGACCACGAAAGATTTGTGGCAGCCATGGACTGTTGACGCGCAGTTTGCCTGGGAGTTCTGGGTTCATTTCTCTCAATTTGAACACCCAATCCTTGAACCACGAACGAGGACAACACTGCATAGGTGTTGGTGATGTTAAGAAACTCAATGTCTCTTTGTAGGGGTTGAAGGAGGGCTCCCTGCAGTTTGCGTCATTGATTCGAACACCGATGTGGTAGATCATAGATGGGAAACAGTGGGTAGTGACGATTTCCAAGGCTTACCGGAGCCCTCGACGATCAATGAGACGATCCTTGAGCGCGAGGCGCATAAAGTCGGCGAGCGTGCATCGGAAGTGGTGGACTTGTTCTTCTGCGGGGCCTTCGTATGCAGCTGTGATTGCAGCTTCGATAGCCTCAATGCTCACGTTTGGAGGGGATGTCATGGCTGTAGTAGTGTGTGGTGGAAGAAATTTTTGAGTAGGAAAGGAGGACATTGGAGATATAAATGGGAAAAGGAGATGGATGCCTGGACAATGTGACCACGGTTTGATGTCATGACCTGACCAAACTATTCATACTTCCCTAGATCAATAGTAATTATCTGGTATTAACGTCGATGTGCTTGTGTTCATCATACTGCCATCTGGAATGATAGAGGAGTGCGGCAGCTATAAGAAATTAGTCTGTGTTATAGGGTCACTGGCGCTTTATGTGAAATGTGTCGCGGGGGCTAGTCAATTGCTGAATATGAGGACTATCACCAACAAGTGGGTTTCCAAGGTAAGGATTGTATATGGCTTTCGAAGACTGACTCAGGTAGGTACATTTATGGCAGCTACTTTGTCCGTAGATATCTTTCTAATCGATACAAAAGCAAACCTTAGTCTCTATAAAGAGTCCTCCTACGTGATGAGAAGTTATACGTCTCGACTAAGAATTCTCAACTCTGTGTATAATTATCCAACGTTATGCCAGTTGGGCTTCAAAATATATGAAAAAAAAAAATATCTATACTAGGAAGACAACATAATTATTATCATCATCATAATGAATGCCATATATTTTACCTACCAATACCAACGTTTGTGGTTACCTAGGTAGACCGTTGAGATCTTTTAGGGCTTCTCCTATATTGCCCTAGATCAGGGATCTTTGTAGCAGATTGCTGATTAGACCGTAATTAAGCATTCATACGTAGAATACCTATGTAAGACATGAGCAACAGATCTTTATTATTCGGAGGATTTTAAGTTCTATTGGACGGAATTGGCTGGCGTATAGGAGAGCAAGCCCAACTGTTTCGCTCTACGGTACTGGTTTCCAGGTCCTTGACACTTTCTTATTTTCATACTTATTTTTGGCATGTGCCTTGGTTCTTAAACATTTTTTTCATAGACAGAGATAAGACCTCCTTATCCAAACTGATTTGTGTTTTACTATATACAATAGTTGCCAGTACTTTTCATAATTCGTAGTTTCCAAGGGTGTACAAATATCACCACGGTTTTTAAGTGCTCTTGCTAACAATGAACGACACGGCATCGGAACCCCAGGTGGGGACTTCTTGACCGTGAGCGCTCGAATTGTCTCCAGAAGCACAGTATACGTCTCCAGTATCACAGTAGCTCTTGATCTTGGAAGCGTAGGTGTTGAGCAATGCAAGGCTATCGCCGCCGCGGGAGAAAATCTACATCTGCTGTTAGAAACGCTTCTCTTGACTACTGACTTGATTGGATAGACTTACGCCGTCGCTGCTGGTATCGGTACCAGCGTCAAATGACTGTCCATGTGTGAAAGTTGGGTCTCCGAAGACGGTGATAGCAGAGACTAATAGAGTGTGAGATACCAATCCTTTGAACAGAGTCAAGAAACTTACTGCGGTCGACATAGCTTGCGGTCAAAGGTGTAGGCTTATCCACACCTCCAGCAAGAGCATCAGTGATAACGTTACCACCCTGGCTGAAACCAACGAGGACGATATCACCACTGCAGCTGTCGGCATAGTTCTGAACCAAGCTGATCAGAGTGTTGATGCCATCTGTGACTGATGTAGGGTAGAGAGGATCTAAGTACGAGGCTGGGTAGTCAAGCGCAACACCCGCGGAACCAGGAATAGCAGCGAGCAAACTGCTTACAACAGAAGCAACGCTTCCGTAGCCAGCAGACTCGTCAGTGCCACGGACACCGATGACATATACACCGCTATAGCAGGTGGTGCGGCTTTCCAAAGCGACAGGTGCTGCCGAAACAGCGGCAGCGAGGCCAAGGGTGATGAGAGAGGTACGCATGGTGTGCTTGTGCAGGCTGGATGGTGTAGATGGTGTATATGGCTATGAGGAGGCTGTTCCTGGTTCCTGGTTCCTGAAATTTCAGAATTGGAGGGGGGAGAGCAACACATAATATATCTACTGCATCGTCAGCATCTACGTACTCCTCTCTTCAATCCTGCTTACTCCCGTATTATGTTACATCGTGCTATTTACTCTTCTCAACTACTATGCGAGATCGTGTAAGGACGGCTTGTAGTTATTGGTGAATTTATGCAAACCCCGAAAGATAGGCCTATCGGGCAATTCTGCAGAATGCTTTAGCTCTTTTTTTAAAGTAACCCTCTTTTATACATTGCCGGATATCTAGGGCATTTCTGGATTAGCCTGTCCGGTTAGATCAGACACGCCGCAAAGCTTGGAGTGGTTATTGGCGATCTCTCGCTACTAGCCGTGATTCGAGACTATAGTCCGCCACCTAATAGGCTGTCGTGCATGGACTAATGTACGAGTATATCACGCGATACCATACACTAAGCAGAGGTGAGAAGGTTCGGCCAAGAAACAATCTGTGTCGAATACTTGAGTGTCCTGACTTGGCTGGCAGATGCTCTATTGAGTTTAGAGTATAGATTCTGTTCGGAGTTTCCGTTTTTTTCTTGGACTGCCATTTTTGAGCACTGGACATTATACAATCAATTGAAGTTGTGCTTGCCGATAGGAGCATTTTCGGAGCGAGTCCGTCATCTCAAATGGTACAGCGAGAGCTTTTTAAATAAAACGTTCCGGAGCGGCGGAGCTTGTGCTAAGTTTGGTATGGTCGCAGAATTCAAATGAGCGTCTATTCTTATAAAGGCAGGTGGTGGTATTGCTGTACGTAGGCGATGCAAGGAGTAATGCCTTTATAGACATTGCAATAATGAAAGAACCTCGACGCACCTGCAATCATTCGTGTGGTAAACATGAGGGCCAGTAATTATGGCATGCAGACTTAGAACAATCTAATCAATATAGCTAGCGAAAGCTTCGGTCTTAGATATAGTACTTTAACATGAATATCCAAGCTCTTGCTATTTCGTAGGTTTTGCCTCCCCATAGAGTAAGCCGTTAGCATCCTCGACTATTATCCACATAGCGTTTATAATGGCCATTGGCGATTTGCGCACAATTAAGGAAGCGAATTATCAAACATTTATAGCGCAATTGCATGATCAGACTGATCTCATCAGTGATGCCGAAGCACTCGAGACATGGGCTCTGACAAACACCAATTTCGTTTCCCCGAAGAAAATTGATGCCATGAGCAAAATGCGGGGAAACGCCCCGCCTCGTCGGTAAAGAACCATTTAATATTTTCCTCGTGACTCCCTCCGGGTGAAGAAACCTGACAGTCAGCGAGTGTGGAGGAAACCTGGAACTCTAATTGACGGTGACCAGCGCCCAGGAAGAAGCGAAAGGATTGGGCTTGAAGTGTGATCAATTGCCTCCCGATTGGGGACCGATACCGTGATATCTTATTTCTTGCATGAATTTCGGGTTGGCCCCTGCCTAGTGCTGTTGTGTCAAAATATGACATGGTATAGTAGATTCATGCAGACATGTAATCTCTTTTTCATTGCTTCAGTTTTGTTATTGGTCAATTCTCACAACGTTTTCATTCGAACAGCCTTAGGGCGAGATCTATGCTCCAAATGAGTAGGAGCGTCTGAAACGCATACGCCACGATGATTTTACCAGTATGCAGACATTGAAAAGACTAAAAATACAAGCATTATGACCAAGGCTCGTGGAAAATAACCGATCATCCTTATGTTTCGCAACTAGGTCCTTTCCAATGGTGATAATGTTCCGATTTTGATCCTCAGTATAACTTACATGGGGCTCTGCTTATGCTGTCCGCTTTCCGTTTACAGGATATGCCTACGGAATGCAGCTAGGTCCTGGTTGTGTTTCTAGCTAAATAACAGTTGAAGGAGCTTGAATGCGTGCAGAAACTCCTCCACAAGTACATCTGAAGATCGCTTGAAGCTTGTCATGGTTGAAAGACATATTTGACTTGATGCGAGTTGTTGAAGAATAGGAAACAACAGGGGGGTTGATGAAAATAGCTATTAGCTAGATCTTGGAATTGAAACAAAAAAGTTCGCTCCTCAATTACACTCGCACAATTTCAGTAAATATTTATAAATAGAATATCTTGAAGAAACAAGCCTATACAAATCGAACCTGGAGTGAGCTAAAGCTTATTGGGGCTTAGTAGCTCTTATTAGGGCTTATTAGGGCTGATTAGGGCTGATTAGTCTTGCCTTGGCTACGTCCGAGAGTTTTGTCTCTTCAGCCCCAGCGTAGAGGAAATGGACATGACAGTGTCAATAAGAAGCCGGGATATTGCATCTAAGATATAGAAGTATTCTGCTATTGTACATACGCGTACAGTCTCAATGATGCTGAAGTTTCTCTATATCGGGGCTATTTGCCTCCTTCTCTATGCAGTGCGATCAATCGCAACGGTCGTGTCGGACCAGCGCAAGGCCAGAGCCCTTGGCTGCCAGCCAGCTCGCTGGATCAGAAACCGGTTGCCATTAGGGTTGGATCTGGTCCAGAAGTTCAAGACGGCCTTTGACGCTGGCTGTTTCCAGGAAGAAGTGGCAAAAATATTTGCTGAACAAGGATCTCGGACTTATGGATTGAACATATTGGGTTCTAATTTCTACCAAACTTTCGAACCGAAGAATATCCAAGCTTTGCTTGCCACTCAATTCTCCGATTTTGCGTTGGGTGATTTACGGCGACAGGCATTCTTTCCCCTGTTGGGAAACGGTATCTTCACAACTGATGGCAAGGCATGGTTTGTTACCCCTTTTACTTCTTCGGACCGCACGCACTAATTCGATACTAGGGAGCATTCTAGAGCAATGATCCGACCACAATTCGTACGAGACCAAGTATCTGACCTCGCGCATGAAGAGAATCATGTGCAAGAGCTGCTTCAACAGCTAGTCACCGACCGGTCTGGCTGGACTAAGCCGACAAATATCACCTCCTTGATGTTCCGGCTGACTTTGGACTCTGCCACTGAATTTCTCTTTGGTACCAACGTAAATTCTCAACGTCAGGCTGGCAACCGGAGCGAGACAGCCTTATTCGAATGGAAGACTCTGTCTGCGAGCTTCGACTCGGCTAAAAACCATTTGTGCAGTCGTATGCAGCTTGCCGAGTTTTACTGGCTACACAATCCCAAGGAATTCCGAGAAAACATTCGAGAGGTGCATCGCTTCGCCGACTATTGCGTCCAAAACGCACTCAAACGGGTTGAAGAGCTTGACCAACAGTCCGAAAAGTCTAGTATTACGCAAAATTATACTTTCCTTGATGAACTCGCCAAGGTTACCAAGGATCCTGTTGAGCTGAGAGGCCAGACGATGAACCTCCTCCTTGCCGGTCGAGACACTACTGCAAGTCTTCTCAGCTGGACAATGTGGCTCTTAGCTCGTCATCCAGCTGTTTTTAATAGGCTGCGCAGTCATATACTTGAAGAATTTGGGCCGTATGAACAAACAGAGAAAATCACGTTCAGCTCGCTGAAGTCCTGCACATATCTTCAACATGTCTTGAATGAGGTACTACGTCTGTACCCCCCTGTTCCCATGAATTCGCGACGAGCTATTAAGGACACCACTCTACCTCTTGGAGGAGGGCCGGATGGAAAGGCACCTCTTTTTGTCAAAAAGGGAGTTGAAGTGGAATACTTTGTCTATGTAATGCATAGAGCAGAGGAATTCTGGGGCAAGGATGCAAACGAGTTCAACCCAGACCGCTGGGTAGATCGCAAATGTGGCTGGGAATATTTACCATTCAATGGCGGGCCGCGAATCTGCTTGGGGCAGCAATTTGCTCTCACTGAGGCGGGCTACGTTATCACAAGGCTTTTGCAGAGATTTGATCAGTTGAAGCTGGAGGATGAGTCTTTTACGCCAGTGCATCGATTAGGTCTTACCGATGCGCCGCAAGAGTACAATGTTTATCTTCACAAGAGCAGTCAGTAATATACAAACATTGAATACATCTGTTTATTCTGTCTTGATTGGCTGTACACCATGTTGGTCGTATGATCCGCTGGTTCATATAGCCACAGTTTATGCACTGATTTAACGTTGCCCAGTTATTTTCCTTGCCTTGGGAGTAGTTGTATGTATACTTAATCAAAACGAGTTCTTGCGAGCCGTTGGCTGATATGCTCTAATTTTCATAACGGTAGGTAATCATGTAGGTATTCCATGTAGGTATTCCATGTAGGTATTCCATGTAGGTATTCCATGTAGGTATTCCATGTAGTATTCCATGTAGGTATTCCATGTAGGTATTCCATGTAGGTATTCCATGTAGGTATTCCATGTAGGTATTCCATGTAGGTACTCATGTGGGTATACCCAGGTAGGTAATTAATGTAAGCATCCAATGTAGGTATTTACCACCCATCTATAAGACCACAATCCTGATAACACTCTAATCATAAACCATTTTCAAAACATCACCTTTCACTCTCTTTGCCACCACAATGGACGTCTTCCTCGACATCTGCGATACCTTCTTCTTCGACCGACTATATGCCACCATTCTACCACAAACAGACTTTCCCAACAACGATACGCTAAACGAAATACGGCTTGAAATATACAATCGCCATGTTCAACCCTACTACCCCTTACAAGCATCTCAATGGGCAGGATCCAGCTCCTGGAAACGCGACGATCTTCCTAGGCAGGCAATATCACTGTTCTTAATAACATGGTAACCACCATCTCCCCGACGCAGTCCATCGCCACTAACCGTGTTCATTGCACAGGCTCTTCGGCGTCCTCATGTACTTCTTCGGTAGCACCCTCCTCTACCACACAATCTACAACAAATCACTCCTCAACCACCCCAAATCCTTGCCGCACCAAATCCGTCAGGAGATTGCTCAGAGCATGTTCGCAATGCCCATAATGGCAGTTCTCACTGTACCCTTCTTTCTCGCCGAAATCCACGGCTGGACGAAATTATACGATTTCCCCGACACCACCACTAMCCTTCGYCCGCCGTTAAACATACCCTGGAATCTATGGACATACCTGCAATACCCCCTCTTTATTCTGTTTACCGACACCGGGATCTACTTCATCCACCGCTTCGAACATCACCCGTCTATCTATCGGTTCATCCACAAACGGCACCACAAATGGATCGTGCCCACACCTTTTGCATCGTATGCCTTTAATCCTGTGGATGGATGGGCACAGAGTCTGCCGTATCATATCTTCCCGATACTGTTTCCATTACAGAAATGTGCTTACATGGGCTTGTTTGTGGGTGTGACAATGTGGACTGTTTTCATTCGTATGTCCTCCTGCCCTGAATATCCCCAGAACACTTGTTTTGTTGCTGACGGTGGTGGTAGATGATGCTGAGTACTTGTCCGACTCGAAAGTGATCAATGGTGCGGCGTGCCATACAATGCATCATCTTTATTTTAATTACAATTATGGCCAGTTTACGACGTTTTGGGATCGGGTGGGCGGGACGTATCAGGTGCCTCATGGACGGGCTTTTGCTCATCCCAAAGATGAGGGTGAGAAGCGGGTTGGGAAGAAGGTTGATTGATTGATACTCGTATCCTTCCGGGTTGAAGTCAAAGATACGAAGTGCTCATTTGGTTGTATAATATTCTCGTTAGTATGTACAAAAATCATTAATAATGTTACACCCTCGGCACCGCAAACTGAATAAACTCATTCAACTTTCCCAAATCATCAGTCGCAACACTATCCAGATACTGAAATCTCTTCCCATTTTTCGTCTCGTCGTCGCTGTTGGCAACGACATCAAGCGTAGTCATCAGCAACCACCATAGTTCCTCTGCATGTTTCGGGTATCCCAGATGGAGATTTTGTTCCGTCGTCGTTGGCTTTTGATGGAAATGACTTGAAACCGACTTCCAGAGTTTACTCCAATTCATGGCGGCGTGTTTGATGGTATCGATTGATAGAAAGCCCAGCAGGCCGGATCGTGCCTGAAAGGCGAGGGAGTTCATTGCTAATCATCATTGTGTATTAGAATCGATATGTATTTAACAAGAGGTGATGCATACCGTATATAAGCATGAGAAAATGCTCAACAGATAACAATCGGTCCCAAGATATGCGGTTATTCGACGACGGCATCTGGAGTAGGCTCTCCGCGACTTTTCGTAGCGTAGGAAGCGATTGCCCAGTTGTCTGAGTTGCGACAACGTCGTTGAACAAAGACACATTCTCAGCCTCGAACAGTTCCGTGCTCCATGGAAAATCACAGTCCATTTCGAAAATTGTGAGTTGGGGATGATTCTTGAAGCAGACGGTCAAGAAGCCGTCGGCAAGAAATGTCCAGCATGCAACCCTATCAGCCAAAATACTTAGTACCTCCATATCGTATCAAATACAATGGGTTTGGAAGAGACTACCTGATACAAACCTCCTCAACCGCAAGCTCCCTCCACTTCCCCTCATCACATACACCCGGCGCCTGGTGTCGCTTATACCGAAAGAGTCCCATAGACCGTATCGTCGAGACCAGACACGGATGTCTTACAATCCTGATCCGTCGTCGGATCAGCGGATCGCCCTGTGAGAACTGCAGCATTTCGAGTATAAGTGCTGCCTGAACTGTTTCAATCGCGTATCCCTGGACAGGTTGGTCGGCAAGGATCGTTGAAGTAGATAGATTCGCGACCTTGCGGAAGACGTATTCTTCGGCTACGCTAAGGAGGGATGCGGGCAGTGATAGATTGGTGCCGTTGAAGGGGATCGTGTAGACCGCACCAGCTAGGAAGATTGCAAGTAAAAGACTGTTTGAGACATTGGCGGGATCAAAGGTTGGGCAGTGCACGACGGGCATATGCCAATGCAGCGAATGGAAGAACGCCGTGATGAAGACGGTGAGATTGTCAAGCGAGAACAGCGCATCCAAGTCTGTCATGTCGAGCATGCTTTGTTCATTCCCGGCGTCAAGGCTCATGGATCTCGACGTCTCAACCAACTCGGTTGCTATATCATGTAACTGTCCTGGCAGCTTAAAGCCCAAAACAGCACTATCAGGCATAAACTCATCAAGCTGGAAATAATCATCTCCAGCCACCGAGTCACCCAAACTCAACAATCCAGGATCCACAGCATCACCAATAAAAAATTCCAGCGGACTGCTGATATTCTCAAGCGATGAAAACGAAAACGCATTTACAGGATTCCTTCTTATGGAGCMCCCCGCCGTTTCGGAGATTGCCAATCGATCATTCTTCACCGTGGGATCCGTGAAATGCAACAGGAAATAAAACGGCTCATTGTTCATCACCACCCTACATCCACTAGACGTGGCGATGGTAGTGGTAGCCACAGACCCAGCCAGCGAAGTAGCAATGGTACCCGAGCCTTCCAAAGAACACCCAACCCCCAACATCCTACACCTCACACACGGAATCGACCTCCTCTCGCACGCACTCCTCGCAACAAAACACGTCTCACAAGAAACCTTTTTCCGGCCCGCGCGCGCAGCCGGCGGGATAGGTAGATTGTGTTTTTTGGCGCATTGGATGCTGTGACGGCGGGCTACCTCTCTAACCCCCGAAAACACATTAGTATTGATTAATCCTACTTGAAAGAGAGAAGCAGGGGGAATGGAGGTTGTACGGTTTCTGGAATTCCTTTTTGCATATGGGACAGCTTGCTGAGAGGTTGTATCCGTCTGTTCATTGACATGTTAGAGTGTGTAATGTTGGATGATGAGAGGGGAGCGAAGCTTACGGGTTAGTTCATGCCGGACCAAATGGCTCCTTCGGGCGTATGATTTGTCGCATTGAGGGCATTGGAACATTTCGGCCTTTTGAGTCGATTGGTATATCTGATGTCACGAGCACGTTGAAAGGATTGGACAGATGTAGACTTGGAAGTGAGTGAGTTGTTTGGCTGAGGACGGAACGAAAAGTTCCGGTGGCAGCCTTAGGCATCGAGGGCAGATGTAGGTATTCGCAAGTAGGGATTCGCCTCTTATGCCCTAACACTCATTGAGCACATATATTGCGTTACACTACTTTTGACAGCGATTGCAACAAATCTATCGATAATCATAAAGTCCAATTATTAGTTATACAGTACATACACACATCAACCAGGCATATAGCGACTTGAAAACAATATCATCACTAACGAGCGTGTACATCCAGGTCATAACAATGACCGAGTGGGAATATTGCAGCCATAAACATCAAAGAAAATATCTTGCAAATAGAGAAAATACAAGAAAAAGATAGCCACGACTATATCAAAATCAAAGATCTTCAGAAAACTTAGAATCCCGCGCAGAGCCACTCAAACTCCTCCGCTCAGCTGGCACCAGATTCGGCGGTGGTGGCAAGGACTCCTCCGTAAAACTGTCATGCAACTCATTGCGCTCCATAGTGTTCAGTCTCGGAACTAACTGGGGACGAACAGACATCGCGGTCGTACCGACCGTCTTGCCTCCACTAGCAACAGGAGCAGAGGTAGTCGGAGATGCCAACGGCGATCCTGCGGCTGACCCCGTGTCAGAAGTTGATCGTCGCGCGATCATGTCTCGCAGACTCATGCGCAGACCCTTTTTGCGTCGGTTTCCGTCTTCGCCGGTGGGGCTGGAGGACCAGTGTCGGTTGGAGTCTTCGGTAGAACTGCTCCATTGGCGGGAGACTTCTTCGTTGAACGTATCTTCTTCGGGTCGTTGGGGTGCGAGGTCGGATACTAGATCTGTGTCCCTGACGGGATGTGAGGTCAGAGGTGCTGCGCGGTCGCTGGCTTCTGCTGTTGAGACGCCGCCGGTAGCAACGGACTCTCCTTCATGCCTGGTGGATTCTTCGGCAGGTGGTGGCTTGCTGAGTCGACGACTGAGTCTTCCTCTAAACCATGATTTGATCTTTGATTCTGACTTGGGTGACGTTGGGTTGCTTGTTTGTGGCTCAGCATCTGCGGCTTCAGTTACGACTTGCTCATGCGAAGGGCCAGGATTAGACTCTTCCGTTCTCTGGGCTGTCGACGCTGATTCTATTACTGGAGCAGTAGCATTCACAGAGCCTTGTTCAAACTGCCTAGCACCATCCGTAACAGGAGTTGCAGTCTGCTCCTTTCGTTCTTCGTTCTCTGCCGTCTTAGAAGATTTCCTATTGGTGCGAGAGAAGATCTTTCTACTACCCAGCATGGAACGTCTCCGACCAAGGGCTCCTTTTTCGTTCTCTTTTTCTTGCAAGACTTCTATGGCTAATTAGTAGATGGAATTGTATATGCAGTGAAGCAGGAATAAACGAACCATCTTGTTTCTTCTCCTCTGCCCGAACCTGCGCCTCTCTCGCCCGATCTGTCTCCAACCTCCTTTGTCTCCTTTCTTGCTCCAACTTCTCCTCAACCTCCCGGGCACGCTGTTCCTCAACCCGATTATCAATCTCATCCAGCGTAGGCTGAATACGCGATCGCGCAATGGCCTCAACCTCCGTCTGATCCATATACTTATCACCACCAACAGAAACCCGACCAAAGTTCGTCAAACGGGCCTCACTTTCTTGCTTCGCGCGTAGTTGTGCCTTTTCTTCCCATTCGCGTTGCATAGTTGGCGAGGGTTTGCCAGTGTGCGCATAAACCTTTTCGTCCATGTCGTGAATAGCGGCATGGACATTTTTGCGCGCAATTTCCATTAGATCAGCCCTGTCCTTGGACTTTTTCTCGTCAATCGCGTTCACGCGGCTCTGTAAGGAGGACATCTGGTGCCTGATTCGTTCAGAGCGTTGCCAATCAATCTCCGACACATCTCCGTCACTCGACGTCCGTCTCCTCAAACGACGAGTAAAATTCTGGCGCGACTTGGGACTTGCGGCAGTTCCATAGTACTGCTGCTTATTATACAAATCATTCCTTTGCATCTTTGCAAGTTTCTCTGCGGCAATTTTCTGAGCAGCTTCATGCAAATTCGGTGGGGTTCGCTGTTGCGTGGCGTTATACTCATCTCCAGGCACCCAGGAGAATTGAGACTGCGAGAGACGATGCGACAATCTCTTTTGTGCCGCCGCACTCGCAAAATCAGTCTCGCTGGAAGGGTCTTCCTTTTTCGCGGCTGCCGACGCATACATGTCTCTTGCCATTGACACCGCAGCAGCCCGAAGAGTATCTTTGTATCTTTGCTCCTCAAGCTCAATCTCCACAGGAGGCGTGGCTGTGTACAGTTGTACATTCGTCCGCGCAATGTGATGTATCCGAGCAGCTTCCATGCCTGGATCAAGATCACTCAAGACGTTCCGCGCAGACGCATCCTGACTGGCACGATGCGATATAGTGGCAGCCGTAAGCGCAGCAGAGACATCCGGGTGAAACATGGGCTTCGTAGGCGCGGACTCGGTCCGTCGTCGATTCGAGACTGCGCCCGTAGCTGCCGTCAAAGCACCGGGACTGAACTGCAGCGTAGTGTCTCGCTGCGGAGCACGACTCTTGTCAGACATGATGTTTTCAAACGCGGCTTTATCAAATTTGAGCTCTGGCGTAGTCGCCGCCGGAGGAGAAGCGGTAAACACTCGATCCTGCGCGGCTAACAGCGCGGCCTTGTAGACATCCGGATTGGTTTGTTTGGTGGACGCCGGTTCAGGAGCTTGGTAGCTTCGAACAAAGGCGGCCGCCTTTTCGGCGTAGGGCTGTCGTTCGGGTCGCCAGGCAGCTGTCGATTTTTGGTTTGCGTGCGCAAGGCTTGCGGCGGCGCTAGCGTTAGCGAGGGTGAGACCTGCAGGAAGTGGAGTGGCTACATATTCGTCAGTTCTCAGACAGCTGTATCGTATCTGCGGGAGTAAGACATACGTTGGTTCTGCGGTGATTGAAGGGCCTCGCTTCCGGCACGTTTTCGCGTTGGGTCTGTCGCGTACAATGCGGCCGTTGCAGCTACGTTGTCAGTATGCTGTTATAAAGTTGTGGGTAGAGAGGCATACCGTGATCAGCCAAGTGGGCAGAGCCCGTATTGGTGCTCCGTACTGCAGTCATTGTGTCTATGCAGTATCAGGCTAACAACGTCAAGCAGCCCTAAAGAAAAGATGTAGACAGATCACAAACAAAACATGCATGAACGTATACAAGATACATATAAGGACCGGCCCGACACTCAGCGGTCAACACTGAAATGTCAATCGACAAGCATGTAGTGAAGTAGTTAAGAAGAAAGTCATTTCATCATCCACGACCACCGAGAGCTCCGCTGCGTTGCGGTATGGGTGACGTAGTTGGGGCTGAGCCTGCGGACGAGAGGCGGCCTAGGCTGTGATAGGCTAGCGTCGATGCGAACTGTGAGCACACTGTTTCAGCCAATCACATCGCACACACCACTGCCAAGACACTTCTGGCTGCCTTTTTGGGAAAGATCTTTTTGAGCATGTGGAGTGCACTAGTCCCTTATTGGAGTTGGCGCCTCTGATCTTTTGGGCGGGAAACTTTAAACTGTGCCAATCACGTGCTGTGATTGGCCGATCTTCGTCGATTTTTCTGTAGAGTCTACTTTCAGATGGCTTTGGCCTACTGCGTCATGAGTGAACATGTTTCTATGAGAATCAGACTAAGCAGAATGCAATTGGTATCACTGATTCGCTATCACCATAAATGTAACGCTTTCAAAATATTATGCCGCGCAAAAAAAGACCTATTCCGCTTACCGAAAATATCTATGATCATCGTTAGTGGGATATACTAGGCAGTGTGAGAAAGCTTACACATAGGAATCGCCAGCAGACAAATGCCGACTTGAATCGTGCCAATGGCGATAAACGGAGCGCGCGAGCCGGCCTTGACCACGAGCCAGTCGTACGCAAAGAACGTGAGGATGAAACTAAAGACGTTCTTGAAGAACAGCATGCATGTAAATGCTTCGACGGCAATTTGACCTGTCCAAATCAGCAAACATCTGAATGAAAAGACGGACACGTACGGTGTGCATCTACGATATACAAGGCACTCGACACAGCGCCCATCACCATTCCCATCACGACAAATGCAATAAATMCATCGGGAATAAGCCAGCCATATCGTTTAACGTCCTCTGCAGTGATACCAAATCCATAAAGGCCAATGCCACTGAACAACAGTTGGAAAAATACGAGAATTATGCGAAATTCGGGCTCGTAGGTTCCTTTGTTGATCTTAATCATGCGCTTGTTCATCCAGTCAGATAGAAGACCGGAAAAGACTAAACCAAGGATTGATCCGATAAAGGCGCCAGTATATAGATATCCAGTTTTGACTTGGTCAAACCATAATGGAGGGCCAAGGAAGACAGCTGCCAGGACAACTCCGATAAATACCGTCCATCCGATCAGTACACCTTGAGTGAGACAGGCCTATAAAGTCAGTGGCTTGACGTGAAAGCAATTCTTGAAAACATACCCAGAGAATGCCAGGGTGGAAGAAAAGCGGAAACGGGCGAAGAAACAATTTGAGAAAGTTCTCGTCTGTCTTTCTTCCGTTGAACAGTCGAAGTGTCTGCCAATACGAGTATTGCGAGTGTGTGGTATTCGACGCGATTTCATTTCTCGGTCCTGATGGATGTGGTTTCTCTTGCACATCGTCGGAGCCATCGACCACACCAGGTGAATCGACAATACCTGTCTGAGAGCCCTCCCTATGATTATGAGAATCATCTGAAAAGTCCGTATTCAAATACTCCGCTCGACGATACGCAGTCTCCGGGACGAAAAAGAACACAAACGGCAGCGCCGCCGCGGTGAATATGGAAACAAAATAAAAAGACCACTTCCATCCCAAAGTCGCTGTCATTTTACCCACAACGGCTGGCGTGAGAAAAGCACCGCCAAAGAGGGCGACATTCGAGAAAGCCATTCGTTTTCCACGTTCCTATCACCATCAACGATCTAATCCAAGAGTTTTGAGAGAGGCAGGAGAACTTACATGCATAAAGAACAAATCACCCACACAAGCATTCACCAGAGCCTCAAACGGCGCCAGCGCAAACCCCTGAAAGACTCGCGCCGCCACCAAACTCCGCCAATTCCCAGAACTCCCTCCTGCCCAGGCAGTACTGATGATCATTAATATATTACCAATAATAAATAGATGCCTCTTTCCCCAGATCCTCGCCGTCGGCACACACAGTATACCCGCCAACCCAACACCAAGAAGATGATAACCTGTCAACAAGGCAACCTGCGTAAAGTTTTTTCTAAAGACGAGAGCAATGGTAACCGTGTTGGCGGCCATAATGGGACTCATAGTGGCGCAAATGACAGCGATGAGGGAGAGGATGGCTAAGATTAGGTCGCGGCGCCATAGCGGCCAGTTCTGTCTGACATTAGATGACATCCGGTTGCTTTATTCAAGTATAGACAGTGTAGGGAACATACTAAGGGATCATAAGGGTCATCGCTGGGTTGGGGAATGAGAAGGATAGGGACTGGACCGGAGCGGTCGTATTTCAGCCATGGTTGTTGTTGGTCTGGCTGTGTTTGAAGGTCTGCGTTCTCATTTACGTAGGACGTTCCTGTGTCGTTAGCATCAATAGTATATCAACATGTAATTATATCAAGAGAGAGAGAGTACCAGGAACATGATCCAACTTGTGGTCCTCCAAGACACCTAGACCCATGCCGACTAGACAGGTGTGTATAATGCGAGCATGAGATGGCTAGGAACAATTTCCTGTCGAGAGGGGAAGACAGGGAGAACGGTTAAATCTAACCTGGGTAAAAAGAGGCAGCTCTATGCAGCGACCCTCGGCAGGCACTGTAAAATACGGTACGTACGTTCAGACCTCGCAACTGACTTTGTACTCAGACCCTGCCACTTTGGCACACATTTGGTAGCAGGACGAGCGCTGATTGGTGGACCCCGGATTTGTGAGTAGTCGTGAGCCATTGATTGGTCAATGGGGGAAAAGCCAGCATCACGATTGCCTTTTTCGTCAAAATCTCTCATACTTGGTACGTCTGTATTACATGACTGAACAAACAAATACATACAGTCGATTCAGCTCTCCACTTGTTGGATCTGAGTCTGTACAGCTTCTAGCTCAGTGGAGATTCCAGCCCTCTCTTATCTTTTGCATTGACAGGTATAAATTCCGTTGGGCTGTCATACCGGAAGCTGGCCAAAATATCAATAATTGAGGCCGACCAAACTCAGCTAAGCCCTCGTAAACTGTACGGTAATCTACGTGGCGCGTGTAGCGGGCACAAAGTTACTGTCACAGTGATACAAACATACATGTAAATGTAGGTACAGACTTTGCACCGAGTCAAATATTGAAGCTTGAGCTCAAGCACCGCAACTAAGGTTTTGGACAAACCATGTCTGTCACCGTCGCTGTTGTCACTGTTGTCGCTGGTATAAATTACCGATAACTCCCGGTCTGATTCCGCCAGTCCATCGATTTCCTCCTGCATCTGTCTGTCTCTTGTGTTACACACCAAGGATTCTTGCACTTCTCCCCCTTTCGATCACCAAAAGTACTCTCATCTCCTCGACGTCAATCAATTCATCATGAAGCTCACGACAAGCGTCCTTTCAGGCCTCGCTCTGTGCGTTGCCAGTGTTGCCGCGCAGAACTTTGGATCTCTGCCCACCTGTGCTGTATGTCTCCATCTCCAGACACAAAACACCAAAAAGATCAACTAACCAGACAACACAAACAGCAAGGCTGCGCTACAAATGCTATTCCAGCTTCCTGCGGTCTAGACGTCACGTGCATCTGCAGTACTTCCTCGTTCATTACCTCCGTCTCCTGCTGCGTTGCTACTGCCTGTGACGCCGCCGACCAGCAGGGTAAGTCCAACATCCCCCTTCCATCTTCCTATTGTTTTAATGCTGACAATTCCTAGCAACCATCCAATTCGCACAACAGCTCTGTGCCGGCGCAGGCATCACCTCTCTCCCCAGCGCAGCTGGTTGTTCCGCCACGACAGGCGCCGCTACCTCCACTGCCGCAGGTTCTACTACTTCTAAGGCGAGCGCCGCTTCCACCGCCGTGACATCCTCAAAGACATCCGCAAAGACATCCGCAAAGACATCTGCTTCGGCCGTCGGCAGCAGCTCTGCGGTATCCGCTAACCCCAGCACTACCGGTACTGGTTCTGCTTCGTCCTCTGCTTCATCCACGAGCCATTCGGGCGCTGCTACGCCTTTGGCGAAGAGTAACGGCGTCGCTGCGGTGGGTGCGGGTGCCGCGGCGCTTTTGGCTGCTATTTTCGTGTAAACTACCTTTGAATGAGGGTGTAGTCAGGTTAGGATGTGGTCGACCGGTCGTCTCATTTGTCAATAGAAATACAGTAATAATGAAGATGCTGTAAACAAACTCCTATTATGCATAAGTAATTGTGATTGTACAAAATACATTAGCCTTGGTCGGCTAGAGCTTGAGATTCCGCTCGTTCTCGGCGGCTTGTTGCTGCGCCAGGCGAGCAGCCACCTCGCGTCGTTCCTCGCGCACATTCGACAGTGTCTACACATCATTAGCCTCAAAATTTCTTTCTCTGGGTGTGGGAATGGACGAACCCATAACCAAAACATCATCTCCACAAACGCATACGTAAACACAACCCTACTCTTAACCTGCTCCAAACCCAATTTCATTTGCGCATCATCACTATCCTCCCACGCCAAACCGCTCGATTTCCCTCCACTCGTATAGATAAACAACGAAACCGCGAAAAAGAAACAGAATCGTGCACCCGCAATGAACGTCCATATTTCATTATACAGCGTCGCGAGTTGAATGGTCAATGCATTGATGCTCTGTTTCGGTTTTTGGAGCGTAATGCGCGAAAAGCCTGTGTCTTCGGTGCGGCGTTGCTCGTGTTGGACGGTGGAGAGGATGTCGTCGATTTGCGGCAGTTTGCGCGCGATGATCAGGTCGGTCAAAGCCTCGCCACTTAGTAAGATGGCGCAGATGGCGAGCGGGTAATACGCTGTTGTCATTGCGGGGTCGAGGTCCTGTTTTTTGTCAGCTTTTAGTCTTGCGTTTGTTGGGCTGGGGTTGAGCACGCACGATTTGCATTGCTTCGCCGATTATGAAGATGATGTCTGATTCGGTGATGGCGCTGGGGGAGGCGATGAGGTAGACGGCGAGGATGAATGTGAAGAGCGCGTGCGCTTGGATGAGGGTTTTGGATGAGAGGAGGGCCATTTTGTATGAGCTGATGGCTTGTATACGATTGCTATGTTACGACTATTGAAGAATATTGTCAGTGAAGAAAAGCTATCCCGGAGCTACCGAGACCACCTACAGCTCCGCAGCGGGATTGACCCGCACTAATATTACACAGCTCGATTGGCTAGATTCTTCTGAATGTTAAACAAAGAATACATCAAATAATAAAATCTAGAACAATATGTCTTCCAGAGAACAATAGCTTGCATTTCAGCCCTGTCCAGTGGCGTAGATAATTGGCCCTCGCTAACCATTTCGTCTCCTCGCTTCGTCAACCTCCATCTTGAACATCCAAACATCTAAACATAACACTACGTGGATACAAAAAAAAAAGTAATCATGTCCTCAACAACATTCACCAAAGAACGCCACACAAAATACTTCCTCCGCTGCCTCAAAACCCAACTTCCGCACCAATACACCAGCGGTGACGGTGGGCGGATCCTGCTCAGCTTCTTCATCATCGCGGGGCTCGACTTGCTTGGATCTCTGCACACAGTCACAACCCCCGCCGAACGCCAATCCTACATCTCCTGGCTGTATCACTGCCAACACCCTTCTGGCGGCTTTCGAGGATTCACAGGAACAATATTCGGCGATCCAACAACCCACAATAATGATAATAAGGCCTGGGATCCAGCAAATGTGCCTGCAACGTTCTTGGCACTTCAGACTTTACTGATCTTAGGCGACGATTTGTCACGTGTGAAGAGAAGGGAGTGTTTAGAGTGGTTACCGCAATTACAACGTCCAGATGGCAGTTTTGGGGACTTGTTGGGTGTTGGAGGCAAGATCTCCGGAGGGGAGGATCTGAGGTTTTGTTATTGTGCGGCGGGGATTAGATATTTGCTTCGTGGGCCGAGGGGGGCGGGTGTGGAGGATGTGAGGGATATTGATGTTGGGAAGCTGGTTGCTTATGTGCAGTCTTGTCAGGTTTGTTTGCTTCTTTTTGTATTTTTGATGCATTGGCTGATGTGGATAAGTCCTATGATGGGGGACTTGGAGAGACACCTTATCGAGAGGCTCACGGTATGTATATTTGATTTGCTACAGTGGAACGATGGCTAACAGACACAAGCTGGCTTGACATACTGCGCAATGGGAGCTCTCGCCTTGTTGCATAGAACAGGCTCAATAGACCAACCGGAAATTCTCTCACCGCAAAGCGAGCGATTCCAGTCTTTGCTTGGATGGCTAGTTACGAGGCAGACAACGGACCTGGAGGAAGACGAAGAAGAAGAAGACGACGACGAGTCGGATGCTAATGATAGAGCATCGACATCACAGCCAGCACAAGAAACACCAAACGCGACAAATTTGGGTGAACAGATCGGAAAATTACCGGACTTTATGCCACTTGATCAAGCGTCCCTGAAATGGGCGGGCTTTAACGGTCGGTTGAATAAATTGGCAGACACATGTTACTGTTTCTGGGTGACTGGAACATTAGGCGTAAGCATTCTCTAAATGCCTATCACTATCAATTCTCTACTAATTGATCAGATAATGGGCAAAATACCACTCATCGATGCTCCTGGCTTGCGGCACTACCTACTTGACAAGACACAGCACATCATCGGAGGTTTCGGTAAGACCGTGGGAGAAGTCCCAGGTAAGTCACCCTGAAAAAGTTTCCTTGACTTCTGCTAATACTAATTTGGTAGATATTTATCATGCGTATCTGGGCTTAATTAGCCTGGCATTGATCAATGAGCCGGGGCTTGAGGCGGCGGATCCGGCACTATGTACGGGGCTCAGCTTGATGGAGAATTTGAAGAAGCTGCCGTGGTGGAAGGAGACATAATCTGTTTCACATAAGGATAAAAAGTGTAGAGAGTAGAAATGATACCTTTTGATGCTAGCCAAATATGAGGAAGAGCCTGGAACTAAAGGGGAGGCAGAGTAGTTGAGTGTAATAATATCCATCTTGATACAATTCCAAAGGGCTTGTCTTTCTTATCAGAGGATAACTAGGTAAGATAAAACAGCTGAGCATCCCTCTTATATCTAATAAGTCACTATCTCGGTTTTCACATGGCTCTAGCAAGACTGCATCAGCATGAAGCAGGTCGTTTACAACGTTTCTACATATATATCAGTGCGCAAAGACAAAATCCAGCCTCTTGTTGCCCTGGTCTTTGGTGGTTTTCACATATGTCACTCTTTCCTAAAGTATCTGTCAGCTTTATACTGATCTGCCATGAAGAGAACTTGGGGATACCGTACCTCTTCAGTAAGCGAAGCCCATTTCTTGGCCTTCCACTTGTTCCTGATGATATAATAGAACTTGGTCAAGATGAACAGCACGATCCCAAGAACGTTAATGACGATAAGAGCCGTATTTCCTCGGTGGTACAGTGGCGCGTCATCTGCTCGATAAATGTTTGCTGATATTACGTTGCCCAGTTGAACCATCACTAAACGGACACGTTAGTGGCTCAGTTGATCAATGGGAAAAGAATAGCAAGGCTTACTATTGTAAACGGCAGCAGAAACGGAACGTGTGCGCACAGATCCCGAGTTTTTCGAGCACCAGGCCCTAGTCATCATGCGCTGTTAGAAAACAAAGTCCGAAAGTGATATGAGTGAACGCTGGACGGAAGAAGCTTACACAAGAATAGCATGACAATATGGGTAACTGAGCAGCACTGTCAACAATGCAAACGTGCCCCATGATTCCTTCAATTCTCCGGACCAAAATCTAAGGGCGATAACGCAGGGAAGTGTCCAGATTGTTTGCAGCATGCTGATCAGTGTTCTCTCCCGGAATCTTTCACTAAGCCATGTTATTCCAAGTAAAGTGAAAATCCCAGCAACGGTTGATGGGATGGTGAGAAGGTTTGTTTGGAACTTTTGTATATATCAGCCTTTTCCTAAGAAAAACAGTGGTTAGATTCCCAGGGCAGGACTGCTTACGGTGTTGAACCCAATTTGTCGTAGAGAAAGGGTTAGATAATAGGTAACCGGCCCTTGGGGAATATAGACAATCAACCCAAGAGCATAAATCTGAGTCTTCTTAGTTCTCTAATACTCGTGTTAAGGTCAATGAAGAAGAACTGACTGGCCATATATCGTAATCAGATAGCGACTTCCACAGTCGTTTGGGAGTGATAGCCATGCGATTATGCATATCTCCTAGAAGATATTAATCTTAACCGCTCCTGGCTTCTCGTAGATCCAAATGCAGAACGTACCTTTGCTTGGATCGTCTCGCAAGACTCGATTTACAACAATACTTAGCTCTCGATCGTTGAACCATCCGTTTCGGCGGAACCAAGTCTTGGTCTGCACTGCTGAAGCAGGCATCCGAAAGAATGAGGCGACTCCGACCCCTAGGGTAATCAGCCCTTCGATAAGGAATAGATATCTGTAGAGTCAGGATTTAGTAAACAGCCCGAGTTGCTAGGCAAGCGCCGCAGGTTCGAACAATTTACCTCCAACCCGAGATACCATGGACCCCATCTAGATGAAAAATGGCAAATGCCAGTAGAGATGTCACAATCCCAGTCAGACTCAGCGTCGTCCAGAAAAAGCTACCCAAGTATTAGCGCTCGGTGTGTGGACTCAAAATTTCGACGTCTTGTAGGTTGTAAGGCATAATCGCACCTTAGACGAATCGGAAGTTCATGTCCCGTATAAAAGTATGACAGCCACAGGACAACATCCGGAATGAAACCGCCCTAGAGTACGGAATTAGTCTTCCTTCCGGCCATGATGACTGCACTTCCAGATGTCCTGAGCAGCATATTATCGTCGGCACCTACCTCAAGGACTCCGAGCAAGGCCCGAGTGGCATAGAAAGAACCCCTGCCACTCAGAGCAACTTGGCTGATCGCCACAATAGACCACAGAGTTATTTGCGTGGGAATCCATCTATCAGGGCCAATTTTCTTCGACACCAGCTGAGAAGGGAGCTCTGCTAGCAGGAACGAAATCAGGAATATCGTGTTTCCTGTATATCTTATAAGCGCGAGCCTTTTTTTTTTTCTTTGTGATCATTGTGCTCACCATAATTGTAGTCTGGGAAATTATCGTCAGCTGTCAGCCCTATCCTGGTACTTCACTCCATTAACGATTGAGCCAGGAACAACGTACCGTTCGTGGACAGCTTTAGCTCGTTCAACAGGTTGTTCGATACAGCCTGTTTTAGATTTGCTCGATCGACCTGCAGTGCAAAAAACATAGTACACTGAACCAACATTAGTCGTCTGATCATTACTTTCAACTTGACTAGCACATCCATACCGCCCACAAACAGACATGCCAATCCAATTTCCGCACCAACTTCCTTTCCTCTTCACGGGTCCATTCGAGACTTGGGTCCAGCAAATGGCGACACTCGTACTTTGCCTTCTCATATAACGTGGTATAGTGCTCGAGAGTTTTCGGGTCTGAAAAGATATTATTGGACGTATTGGCTCCATGAGAATCAATACTGCCGGTACTTGGTACAGGCACTGCTTCTGCACTCCACGTATTGAGTGCCACCTTGTTTAAACCAACTTCGGGATCAATTGGGAGCGACATTATTACGAATCTTTGCAGTCGACTAGGACAGACGATCGCAGTAATTGATTCGAGAGCGTGGTATATGAAGGCAGTACGATGCCCGTTTCTCTTTGAGCGATCTATGCCATTTAAGCAGAGAGTCAATGCGTCTTAGGTATAGATGATTGAGAACACTAAGCAAGATGAAATCCCAGGTGGCTATGGCGTGATGTCTATTGTTCGTGGCATCGCGGATGCTATAAGAGAATGGAAAGGCCAGAGCATTGATGCTGGATGGCATCATGGAATGGAATTGGCGGCAGAGCGCCAGCGATGCTCCACCGACCTGTCATCCAGCCTCAAGTCCCTCGTGCTTGTCAATTATTTGCTATTTCGCTGGCCAAGCGCGATACTCGCAGGGTTCTATCTTCAGGGACAATGGCGCCGCGCCGCATATCTAGCCGAAAAAGGAAGGTCAGATATATCGATCAATTGATACTTTCATGTCTTTATAGCGACACCAATGATAATGGAATTAGCGCATTGCGTCTTCATTCACAACATTTATGCCATCCTCACACTCTGCGTGCCACAATCATCGAGGCCGTGCGGGGGTTGTGAACGAGCACACCAAAAGTGAGCTACCTGACGTGCTCTACGATAAGGAGAGTTTTCAAGCCAATTGGCCAGTATCTCAGAGGAGGCGTAGAGACTCTGTAAACTGAATTTCTGAACATATTTCGCAATCTGTACTTATCATTTCAGGTCACATAATTATAAATCTTCAAGGTTGGAAGCACGACTAGCGCACCTGAATGATCTGTCAACAACCCGAGAAGAACATAACACATAAAATGAATTTCTATCTAGTTAGCCTCATCCCAACAGTAATCAACAATCCTAAGGTAAAGCATGAAATCCAAGTCCCTTATCTTGTCTATAGGTTGCAGGACCAGTCAAATCATGGCAATGATGTACGGTCTTCATGCAGAATGATAAGAATGCAGCAGTCTTTACAGAGCCAGGTTCCGCCTATTCTGAATGATATCTAAGCCAAACCTAATTGACTGCATATTTCCCTCTGCATCTCTATTTGTATCTCTCGGCAACTCCAGAACGCACCGCATAGAATCAGGCAGTGCCTTGAAATGTCTCTCGATCGCAAGTGATGAAGAGGGAACATTCTTCATGAATTCTGCGTTTAACAGGTTCACTCTTCTTTTAGCTGCAAGGCATTTGACGGCCTCGTTGGAAAGTGCATAGTCGTCGACTATGCTGTCATCGTACACGCCCAGAACAAATAGAAGGACAGCAATGGATACCCCCGTACGATCTCTCCCAAGCTCGCAGTGCACGAGCAGCGGCGATTGGGGCAGCTTGTCTCGAATGTGTTCGAATAAGCTGATAAAGGCAGTTGTTGAGTTTATGTAGGTATGTATATAGCTGTGCGCATGCTGCTGCGGGGTCAGATGGGGAAAGTTCGTGGAAGTACGTTGTAAGAATGTCCTTGTTGAAAGTTCAACTGCAAATAATGAGACGGCGAGTATTGATGATGGGCTGCTTGACTTGGTAGTTCGCTGCTCGCCGGCGCTTCGGACGTCAAACACCACACTGATTCCGTAGAGATCGCATAATGGATCAAGAACGACGTCGTGGTCGAGGTCGAAGTTGGCAGACCGAAAGACCATTTCTTTCTGAACGATTTGACTCACCCGGCTTACTGGAAGATGGTTGAAAGTTTTCAAGAGATTGCTTTCTTGACCGAAATGGGCCAGGAGCGCGATGCACTGGCATCCAGTCGACAGGGTCTGGAGCAGTGGACCATGGAGCTGTATGACAAGATTACAGAACTCAAAGGGGGATACTACAGCTTCTACCTCTCTGCGCTTCTTAGTCTCCTTTATCTTGGATTGGATACACCGTCCAACGTCGAATGCACCAAAGAGATACTCATCCCGTTGGGTGCACAAGAGAAGAAATGCTCATGGGTCGTGATCCAGGCATGGAAGATGAGCAGAGGGTAGACAATATTGATAAAAGTGGAGGGCTCGATGGATCCATTTTTGATATCATGTTGGGCTGTGTTCGAAGCAAATGATCAACTGATGTTCCAGCATGTCAGCTCCGGTCAATTAATCGCTTTTGCAGAACTAGTTGGGATTATTTAGAGTCTATTTTAGGACTTTAGAATGCTGTGCCCTATTTTTCCGCATAAAATTCGATTAGTTCACTGCCATGTATCTTGCGCTTCGATCATCAACACACTAGTATCTCGCATTAGTCCTAAGCACCCCATAGCCACGCATTTGACCAAATTAATATTCTTATCAGCAAGGCATATTGCTTCTTTGATGAAGCCATGCAGCTATACCCCGGAGAGGCACGTTTCCTGATTTGGCCTAGGGCGGTTCCTGAGCATTCTCGGCCTTTGCGGGAAGCATGACATGACTCTCATCTTGTTTTCCAATTTCCATCTTGTTTCTTTCCACTATTTCTACGTACATTCAACAATCCCTCGTTCTCTACTCTACGGTCACATTCCCAACCAACCGAATCACTGCTATTTGAAACTAGTCGTTTATCAATGACAATCCCGGCCTGTCTGACGTTTCGGAACATGCGACCATCAACACTCTTTTAATCTTTATCGAGCTCCTTTGTCCGCTCCACGTCTTCGATTATATACTCGACTTCAGAATCTTCGCCCCCATCACGTTATCGCCGCTCGAATTCGCATTACGCTATTAATCAATATCCGCGGAGAATTAATCAGCGCAGGCATTTGTGGTTTCTTGTAACGAACCTGATTGATCCGATCAGTCTGTCGAGGCATCTCCGAATGGCACCATTGACATTCGCCTGATCTCACCGTTGAATTGCACGCTGCAGATAAAGGGGAAATAGATGTACACAACGTCCCCCCAATAACAACACATGCAGGCAGTCAGGGCGAAAGCAGAGGTCCTGTCCCAGAAGGAAAAGCTTGTCAACTCCTACAATGAGTTACTTCAGTAAGATTGTCCGAGTCAATACGACGCCAGAGTCCTGCTGACCGATTTAGGGAGTTTTCCTCGACGGACCTCCGCAGCGTTGGCAATTACACGCTTGGAAGACTGATTGGCAAAGGCTCCTTTGGCAAGGTCTATCTCGCGACTCACAAGCTTACAAACAACTCCAAGGTAAGTCGGACGCAGCAGTGCCGGGTATAATCTGACGGAGATTTAATAGGTCGTTCTGAAATCCTCGAATAAGCAAGATTCCAATCTCGCGCGCGAAATACATCACCACCGCCAATTCCTCCACCCTCATATCGCGCGACTTTACGAGGTCATTGTAACGGAGAACTTGGTTTGGCTGGTGCTAGAATACTGTCCGGGTATGCTATACCATAAAAGGTGAAGGCTGAATAAGTGTTAATGTATACGCAGGCGATGAACTATACAACTACATCTTGGAACATGGTCCTCTGCCCGTCGACAAGGTCCGCCGGATTTTCGCACAATTAGTCGGAGCCGTCGCATACGTTCACAGCAAATCGTGCGTACACAGAGACCTGAAGCTCGAGAACATTCTACTTGATAAACATGGAAACGTCAAATTGTGCGACTTTGGATTTACTCGCGAATATGAGGGCAAGGCCAGCTATTTGCAGACTTTCTGCGGCACGATATGTTATAGCGCGCCGGAGATGCTGAAAGGAGAAAAGTATGCGGGAGAAAAAGTCGATGTATGGAGTCTAGGGATTATACTCTACGCGCTTCTGGCGGGAGAGCTTCCATATGATGAAGATGACGACCAAGAAACAAAGGCAAAAATTCTCAAGGAGGACCCCGTTTTTAGTGACAAGTTTCCGGACGACTCGCAAGCATTGATCAAGATTTTGCTATCGAAGCGGCCTCTGTTACGCCCGACGTTAGCTGAAATCTTGACGCATCCATTTCTGGCAGAACACGGAGTGGAGCAGCAGATCATTTTACAAGCACCACGACCGTCTCCATTTACGACAGCTCTAGAGAAAACGACTCTGCTACGTATGAAAAGCGCAGGTGTGAACATTGATCAGGTCATAGAACACGTTCTGGCGCAACGATGTGATGCCTTGGCCGGATGGTGGGCTTTGCTCATCGAAAAAGAGGAACGAAAAGAAAAGAAACGCGAAAAAAGGAGGAAAGAAAAGGAGGCCGATGCTCGTAGCTTGCGTCGCTTGAGTGCCGCCAGCAGTCGGTTGGAAAAGATTTCTGCTCTAGTTGAAGTTGATGAAGAGGGTACTGCGGCAGACACTCTACAGACAAGAGGAAGAAGAGATCGTCGCAGTCTACCGAATCGTAAGTACTGTCTGCGCCGTCTACTAGCCTCGTAGCTCCCTTCGTTCATTCTGACTTTACTAGCCGAGCTTTCAATACCGGAAGTCCCGAAAGTACCAGAAGCATATGCAAATATTCCAGCTTTGGATATTGCATTACCACCGCAGCCGATTGATAAAGACTCGATACGATCATTGAGTTCCACCAGACGACGTCCTGTGCCTCCACCAAAAGAGAATCGTCCTTCCCGACCTAGCATGCTCCATGTTAGTGCATCTCAGCCGGAACTAGCATCCCATTCTAGCGGTCTCTTTAGACGCCGTACAGGTCGACGCAACCAGCACTCTCTGATGAGCCAACTGGCATCGCTCAAACATTGGATAGTCGAGTCGGCAAAACGTGCCAAATCACCTCATCCCCGAACACCAAAGAGCACCAGTGCCCAGTCTTCAAAGTCGAAATCTAGTCCGGGCAAAAATTCGGACACTCAACGCAGACCAGTAGCGAAATCCACTACGAATGCGGAAGCACCGCTCATGACGCCGACGCAGATCAAGCGTTCATCGAATGCCAGCAGTCTTGCGCCTAACAGTGCGTCTTATGCTCATCATCGAAATTCATACGGGCGCGCGCCTCGCAGTCATCGGAACTCATTGTCTCCTGCTCCTCTTACTCCGCGGGGCTCCTATCGACGTTCATCTGTTGGTTTGCGCGGGCGCAAGTCAACTTCATCATCTGTCTCTTCTGTGAGGAGTATCCACCATGCCCATTCCCACTCTAAAGCTTCATCTATTTCATCGAACAGCATCGATACCATGTCTACGCCAACTGCCTCAAGAATAAGCCGCTCTCCGCATACATCTGTCAAAGTACTTCCTGCTACACCTAATGCTAGTTCTCGATTTCCCAGCAATATCCGGCTCGTACGCAACCCACCGCATGCTATACGAGACGTGAACGACCCCAATAACCATGGTATCTACTCTGTATTTAATGATGCGGTGGCTGGTCCGTCAACAGCACCTCCACAAGCACCTGGCTTTATATTTGCTCGACGGAAGAGAACGCCATTCAGAGGGCCAATGCTCCATACTAATACATTGATGTTTACGAACGGACCGGGAACACCTAATCTATCGCCTCCACTTCAACGAGAAGCTGCATCAAGCGAAACCGTCAAGCCACACACGCGCAAAAGCCAGATTATAGAAGAGGAAGACGATGATATAGGAGAGGATATTGAGGAGGTTGACACATTCAGCGATCCTGGCGTCACAGATACCAGCTTCACGGCTGAGGCTGTGATTGAGCTTGAAGAGGACGGCGATGAAACAATAGTCTTTGCGCCGGTTGAGACGGAAACACTGAAGGGGAGTCCTCAGGAAGCAGCTCTTGAGCCGGCGATTGAGCCTTCGTCTTCTATCCCACCGCGGACATCATCGCTGAATGATCCTGACGTTCTTCAAAATCCGATAGACGAGGTCATTGAAGAGCAGCCCGATCTGGAGGCCGAAACAGCAGCAGCGCCAGCGCCAGAGACCACTGAAGCGGTCGAGACGATTATACCTGAAGAAGCAGCACCAACCGACGGAACATCAAACCAAAAGACTCCTACCACAACCTAATTCCCTTATCCCCAATTTTTCATTTCGTATATACATGTACCATCCACCACCCTTCTATATTTTGTATTCTTCTTTTCTTCCATAATTATACCCCACCCACCATCCATTTCCCTGCGCTTTGAGAAGCATGCATCGTGCATTGAAAACCTGTGGATCTAGCCTGTTCTTTATCACATTTGTCTTTTTCTCTTCTTGGTATTTCATAATATATGTGTGTAGGAGATAGTTACTTGACAATGTCGGTGTATAGATTTATTCGATTTTCTTTCATTGCTTCATTCTATCGCTTCATATCTGGATCTAACATAACATGGTCAGCGAAGTAATACCGCTGTTGTCGCATAGATAAGATAGCTATAATAAGTAAGATTAGCACAATGTCTATAATCTAACTAAATGTATGATCTTTGAGGCCATGAAAAGCAGGACAAGATAATTGAACACCTTTCTCTCTTGCTGTCTTCTATGATGAGACAAGAAATTGTGACGTTGCTTGCTTCTGTTGTTCTATAATGAGTAATCTCCACCACCCGAGTTTGAACGGATTAAGCAGCTTTGATCTTCCCATTCTGCTTCTCAGAGGGAGATGGCTGCTCAACGCGTTGGTCATATAGGCGTCGCTCAAAGTACTTGAGGATTTCGTCGATCAAACTATCATCGTGTCAGCATTTGAACAAAAGACAAAGACGCAGAGGGGACATACATGACAGGCAAACTAATCCCAATAACAGCTTGCCACTCATTCCAATCCAGCGGCAAAATAGCAAACAACCCCTGCAAGAACGGGATGTACAAGATCGCGAAGTGGAGCGACATGGATAACGCAATTGCGTAGACGAGCATGGGGTTGTGCCATAATGGGAATGTGAGAAGGGACTCGCTTGACGACAATGCGTTCATGGCGTTGAGCATTTCGATCACGACGAGAATAGACAGAGAGACAGTGGAGGCGGATTTGGACATGTCGCTGTGGAACATGCTGCAGCCGATTTCGGGGAAGGAGGTGCTGCATTTGTGGAAGTGTGACTGTGATAAAGATTAGTACAAATGTGGAGTATAGATAGAATGGGACTGACCAATTGGTAATAGGAGATCTGGGGCCCGGCAGGGTTGAACATGAACCACCAGACATAGCCAAACACGGTGGCTGCGCCAACGTATATTCCGATGACCATGTACCGGAAGAATAGCCATCCGCCAACAAGAGCCTCGTCACGCTTACGGGGAGGGCGACGCATGACGTCGTGATCGGGAGGATTAAACGAAAGCGCAGTAGCAGGCAGACCATCGGTAACCAAGTTCACCCACAGCAACTGAACAGGAATCAAAGCCTCTGGTAGGCCCAGCGCAGCGGTCAAGAAGATGGATACCACTTCACCGATGTTGGACGAAATCAGGTACCGGATGAACTGTTGCGTGTTGCTGTAGATTGAACGACCTTCTTCAACTGCGACCTCGATGGTAGCGAAATTGTCATCGGCAAGGACCATGTCGGCCGCGAGTTTGGCGACGTCCGTTCCTGTACCCATAGCAACACCGATATCTGCCTTTTTCAAGGCGGGGGCATCGTTGACACCGTCGCCAGTCATGGCGACAACATGGCCGAGCGATTGAAGAAGATCGACAAGCTTGGACTTGTGAGCGGGTTCGGTACGAGAAAAGAGAGATGCGTTCTTGACTGCCTCCAATTTCTGGCTATCGCTCAAATCGTCAAACTCTCTGCCAGTATAACTCTTGCCCTGTAGGTTCTCATCAGGGCCGAAAACACCGATTTGGCGGCAAATAGACTCGGCAGTGTTGCGGTTATCTCCAGTAATGACAATAATTCGAATTCCGGCTTCACGGCATTTTTGAATAGAACTAGCAACCTCTGGACGAGGAGGATCAAGCATACCGACAAGGCCGATCAGAGTCATGTTGCGCTCCAACTGCGCATACTCTTCTGACGTTTTGGCAGTGTGTAAGAGGGGGTTGGTTGAGACGTCGCTTACGGTGGCCAGGGCAATGACACGAAGACCCCGGTTACCGCATTCGACTACCTGTTCAGAGATCAAACTGATGTGGCTCTGGGTCAATGGTACGCGGGGGCCATCAGACCCGAGAAGGACATGGGAGCAACGTTCGAGGATAGATTCAGGGGCACCCTTGACCAAAAGCTTCTGATCTTTGCCTTCACCGACTAGAACAGACATACTCTTGCGGTCGCGGGAGAACTCGTAGGTTGCCTTGAGTGGTAGCTTGTTCTGATAGTATTTGCTGGTAGCGTGCAAAGCACCAGACGCAGGTAAGGATCGTATGCTCTCGTTGAAAGCGGCGTTGTCGGTTCCAATCTTTTCAGCCAGAACACGCAGGGCTCCCTCGGTAGGCTCACCAATGCAAGAATATCCAATTTTGGGGTCATAAGCCAGGGTAGCCTCATTGTTCACAGAAAGTACTTCGGTCATTTGACGGATAGTCGAGGAAGAAACTGCCAAATCTTTCAAAGGCTTTCCTCCTTTCTTCAATGCACCAACGGGAGCGAAAGTGGTACCCTCGACATCGATTTCCTCAAAGCCTTGTCCGGTCGAATTTAGGTAGAGAACCCGTTCAACACTCATCTGGTTGGTGGTCAAAGTTCCAGTCTTATCAGAGCAAATGACACTGCAGCTTCCGAGGGTCTCAACAGAAGGTAGAGATCGAACCACAGCGTTCTTTGCTGCCATCTTACGAGTACCCAATGCCAAACATGTCGTTATAACGACAGCAAGACCTTCCGGAATAGCAGCAACACCTAGAGACACGGCAATCTTCAGATAGTAGATGGCACCCTTGGCCCAGCCGCCATGAGAAGGATCGTTGAAATGCTCAATGTTGATCAGCCAGACGACGATACAGATAACTGTGATGACCTTTGCAAGCACATCGCCAAAATCGTTCAGCTTTTGTTTCAAAGGCGTGGGCTCGGAAATCTGAGAAGTAATGCTCTCATGGATGCCACCGATAGCGGTCGAAGCTCCCGTAAGAACAACAATTGCAGTGGCATGACCAGCTACTACGGTAGTACCGGAGAACAACATATTTGTTTGATCCTGCTTCACCGCCTGCTTGTCCGAGACGACTTTGGTGTCCTTGCTAACACTTTCACTCTCACCGGTCAAAATAGCCTGGTCTACACGGAAGCTGTTGCTCTGGATTGAGAGCAACCGGCAGTCGGCCGGAACGCGGTCACCCACAGCGATGTGGATGATGTCTCCGGGGACCAGCTCCTCGGCCTTAAGCTTCTGGAGAGTGCCATTGCGCACGACCTTTGTGACATTTGCCGAATATTCTTGAAGAGCTGCGATTGCTTTTTCGGCGCTGCTTTCTTGGGATACACCGACGATAGCATTGAGGATAAGGATGGTGAGGATCTGTCACAAAGTATCTTAGTAAGCGTTGCATTTTCATTGCGCGGAACTGCTTACCACAGCCGGGTCAACGAAAGCAGTCCAGTCATCTCCATCTTCAAAGAGAGCTAGAACGAACGAGATTGTTGCGGAACCGAGGAGGATGAGGACAAGTTGGTCTTGGAACTGCTCGAGAACTAGTTTCCAGAGAGGGGTAGCTTCCTCTTCCTCAAGAGCTGTAAAGCAGAGTGTTAACAGAAATTACTTTATTCATGACAGGTATTCCCTTCCAAATAAAACGCATTCCATCTAAAGGTACAAAGTGAAGGATACTCACCATTCGATCCGTACTTCTCGCGCAAGCGCAAGACTTGGTCCTGCGTCAGGCCTGCATCCTCCGAAACACCAAAGTCGCGGAGCAGTTCTGCAGGAGAGCGGGTAAAAGAGTGATCCATGGCTCGCAGACAATCTCAATGTCGTGATCAGAGAGCCTGATTACGACCACAAAGAAAGTAGCAAGTGTGTATGGAAAGGAAGGGAGTATTGATGTTCAAGAAAGAAGGTTTAGAAAAGGACAGCAAGCAATATACGTAGATGATTACAGATCGATGGTATTAGAATTACGAAATACGTGTAATTCAGGGCCTCGTATCGCAGATTAGCCGGCTATCAACCCGATAGACACCTTGGCAGGACTAGGGTTAAGATAGCCTGCATTCTGCAGGCCGCTAACCCATCAGGAGCGCCGCACGGAGCAATGCTCTGCGTTGAGGCTTTTGATAGGCGCCGCCGGTTGCCGCTTGGAACCGTATCGCGAATTGATACTTTGCAATGACAGCACTTTTGAACTTATACTTGCATTTTTTGAATTTGAGTGACTGTAAAAGCATATTCAAGGCCAGTCGACAAAAGCTTTCTAATCGCATGAGTACGAGTGTCAAACAAAAGAAGTCGCCATCTGAATGGTCGAGATGGGCATATTACGTAGAGTGGTAATGTATACGGTATCATACAGGTACAAATACAGTTCCACATGGCCTTGTTCGGGCTGCCAATTACGGAGTGATTCCCCATACAAACAGCCAGACCGGTCATGTGATGCACAATGTTCTTTTTGTTTCTAGTCAAGTCTTCAAGCTCAAGCCAGTCGCCTTGAAGAACAGGTCATATCGACACTCATCACGATCAGGCTGTAACCATGGTCCGATAGATTCCCCCCCAGCAACGTGCTTCAAGCCGAGTCTGTTCTCTGTTCCCTAGGCCTTATCGGCCTCAGCCTGCTGCCATCTGTATCTCGTAGACTGTAGATTGTCGAAAGTTGTATATGGAACGGTTAGGGCTGAGACATCGAACACCAAACTTGCGAATACTTGGCAAGCCAAGATGGTCCAGCTGATACTCAAAGTAGGCAATATCGCTACCAACGAGAAGATAAGCCTCAACGATATCATTCAACATATGGGTTCGTGTTGCTGGCACATGTTTAAGTCATAGCAACGAATTTTGACCCTCACATGATCTGCAGAGATATCGAGGATTGTGTTCGCCTTCACCCTTTTCAACGTCAATAGTCCAACGAATTCAGAATTCGCTCCGCTGATAATAGGACAAACAGCTACTAGAATAATGGTCAATATACAATTGTACTCATAATAATAATATTCGTAAGGCAGAAACAGCCAAACAGCCAAAAGAAATTGCACGCTGGCTGCTGGCTCGCTAAGCCTAATCGGGCGATGCACGGCTGGACGACTGCGCCGCCATCCCTCAAGCGTCTCTGCCAACAACATCTATCACTCGAATCCTGCCATATTTTTTCTTCTTCTCCTCACAACATCAATTTCTTCTTATTCATTCTCTGTGTCGTGCAAATCCCTTACCAACCTATCAAACTCGTATTTCGCTTCCCAGTCTCTAGCCTGACTCAACCGATCGTCCCTGTTGCTATTGACAGCCATCCACCATGACTTCTGACGTTTCTGAGGTTTGTACACATCATAACCCCTCATTTTGTCATGGCACCAGCCTGGCGCTACCAGCATCTCCAAAATGCTGCTTTTCGCTCTCCTTGACAGAGCTCTAATTTCTTGATTTGATAATGATTTGACTAACTTCTTTTTGGCTACAGCGTGAAAGGTAATGCACTCGTAATCATGTTTACTAGTTCTGGTGATCTAGTTACTAACACCCCCAAAGCAAGACTTTCCTTGCACGCCTCTGCGAGCAGGCTGAGCGCTACGATGGTGAGTCAAGCATTGTCTCTATCCAGAGTTTGTAACTAACCAGACTCGTGTAAACAGAGATGGTCACATACATGAAGGTAAGCAACTATCCACCAAATTGATCGTAAGTTGGATTCTATCTAACCACCACCTCTGCAGGAAGTTGCCAACGTACGTTTCCTCTTTTTTTCGAATATACAAATTAAAAATCGCCATTCGTACTAATAAAGGGACAGCTGAATGGTGAGCTTTCTGTCGACGAGCGCAATCTCCTCTCCGTCGCCTACAAGAACGTCGTCGGTACCCGTCGTGCTTCCTGGCGCATCATCTCCTCCATCGAGCAAAAGGAAGAATCCAAGGGATCCTCCGAGCACGTTTCCATCATCCGTGACTACCGCCAGAAGATCGAGACTGAGCTCGAGAAAGTGTGCCAAGATGTCTTGGACGTGCTCGACGAGTCTCTTATCCCCAAGGCCGAGTCTGGCGAGTCGAAGGTTTTCTATCACAAGATGTACGCAATCTGTTCCATTTTTCAATGTCGGAGCCAGGGATTTATTAATTCAATCGCAGGAAGGGTGACTACCACCGTTATCTCGCTGAATTCGCATCCGGCAACAAGCGCAAGGTCGCAGCCACTGCCGCTCACGAGGCTTACAAGGTTAGTTTGCAGCCATTATATTTGTGCTCTTCGTGCTAACGATCATAGAACGCCACCGATGTTGCACAGACTGAGCTCACTCCTACCCACCCCATCCGCCTTGGTCTCGCCCTCAACTTCTCAGTCTTCTACTATGAAATCTTGAACTCGCCCGACCGTGCTTGCCACTTGGCCAAGCAGGCATTCGACGATGCTATTGCCGAACTCGACTCTCTCTCCGAGGAGTCCTACCGCGACAGCACCCTCATTATGCAGTTGCTGCGTGACAACCTCACCCTCTGGACCTCATCCGACGGCGGTGAGCCCGAAGCTGCTGAGCCCAAGGAAGAAAAGCCCGTTGAGGAGGCCGCTGCTCCTGCCGAGGCAAAGGCTGAGGAGGAGGAAGCTCCTGCTGCTGCTCCCGCTCCAGCAGAGTAGAAAGTCTGTTGTCTTTACGAAAACGCACAAGGAAGCTGGTCTTCAATGTCTTCAATGACTTCCTGGAACTACCCTCCTATGTCTTACTGCGTCTTTCGAATCGGAGTCTTGAGCGCCCTGCTTTTATTTTCCCTTTCCCTGTTACCCCCACAATCGATGCGGCAAATCTCAGCCTATCCCCCCTTTCCCCATTGTTAGGCAAGTCCAAACGACTGCCTTTAGCCGCCCTTGTTGTTTGTTCCCTGATCAGGCCTGTAGTTGGATGCGGAGTTTGATATTTGGAGAAACGCTAGGTTGGAGCTGGATATCTGTTTGCGAAATTTCGTGCTATTTCATCTCTCCAATAATCTTTTCTTCCTTGTCTTATCCCCTGCCCTGTTTCTGGTTGACTTTCTGGTCCTAAAATGTCAAATGATATTGAAGGAGCCGAGAAATTGAGACTGTGGACAGTTTGAGAGAATCTCTTCTTGGAATATTCTATTTTGGATTCTTTTGACTTCCATCTTTTGTGTCGATCAGCCCAGCAGATCTTATCTCTTGTCTTATTCCCTTTCCAAATATGTGTTAAACAATTTCCACAGGCAAACACAAATGAAACCAAACCAAACCAATCATTTAACTTATTACTGTTGTCTCCTCGTAAGTTCTAATACTAAATTAAAAGATGAAGCCAGTGTCTATTCATCGAGAAAACAGTGCCATTAATCTATACGTGCGCAATGTTCTTCCAGTACATATCAACACGTAAGGAACAACTGATGTAATGTATATAAACTTTTCAATCCAATAGACAAGAAAGACGTAACTTGCACTGCGAGAAAGAATAAACATGAAAGACACCGAGCAATAGCTATGCATATAGAACGGAATAATCGATTTCCATAGGAACAAGGTGGGAGGAAACGAAACGACCTATATGGTCAGAAGATAAATTACATGAAATCGTCATCACCCAAGTCATCATCATCGTAAGTATTAGTATCCACCTTCGTGAAGTCGCGCGCAGTGTTGAGTGAAGTCTTGGTCTTTGCTGCTTTGGACTTCTTACCTCCCTTATCAGCCTGACGCTCCTCCCGCATCTTCTCATTGCTAAGCGTCGTTAGCGCACTAGCCACCTTCTTAACCTGATCACTCGGCAACTCCTTAACCAACTGCTTTGCGAACTCCGGCGCCCAAAGCGCGTATTGCGCCTTTTTGGAATTCGCCGTCAACAGCGGGATAAGTGTGGCCGTCAACGTGCTGAACTGGTCCTTTGTAGTGGGCTTGAAGAGCGGCATGGCAGATAGATCGATCGACTTTGTAGGATCCGACGCGTCGCCTACAACGATGGCCTTGGCCTTACCCCGGTTGCGGTTGAGGTCGACATCGCCGAGTAGATCCTCGGCGTGCTTGAGATCTGAGTCCTTCTCGGTCTTGCGCAGGCGTGCGCGACGCTCGGCCTCGTCTTCGCTGCTGTAGTCTTCGTCTGAGTCATCATCTTCGAGCCGTTTGCGTTCTTGTTGGTGTTCTTGTATACGTTGCGCTTTACTTTTCTTTTTCGCGGCGGCTTCGGCGTCGGCTTTGGCCTTTGCGGCAGCGGCGGCTTTGGCTTTTTCGCGCTCGACTTCGGAGTCCTCGGCGGCGTCCCAGGAGTCTAGGACCTAGATACGAGTCAGTTTGGATAAATATCACATGCGACTATCGTGAGGTTTACTTCGTCATCTTCTTCGTCGTCAAACTTACGACGACCGGCGACGGGAGGCGGGGAGGAGGGAGGGGTGCTATCCTCTTCGTCATCTATCGATGAGATATTGTCAGTCAGTCTCTCTTTCTCGAATATCACAACACTGGTCGTGAAAATCATGGAAAAGGAATCCGTCAATCTGACTCACCCCACTTTGAAGGCGCCATGGCGAGAGAAATCTTTTGCTTGAAACTCTGTTGAGAAGGTTTCGAGGAGTTACGAGAAAGGTTTATGTTCGCTTCTTACTTTCTAGCAAGAAATAATGGCGAAAATCAAAGGCGTCGCCTTGGGGTTGTGCGTGACAAAAAATTGGCAAGGGCAAACTTGGGGAAAAAAAGGCCTATCACAAAGCAAAGAGAGGGGTCAGCCCAGGCAATCACGTGAATATATTGATTGGGCTGCAAGGCGGGAAAATCGGGATGGACAATCCTTCCGACCTCTTCTGAAGACACTCACTCCACGGCTGTTCTTTAGATGGGAATCGACAATGATCAATCTTGACTTGCAATTCGGCCAATAGATACTATTCAGAGTAAAGACGCACTACAGAAGGACTACGTACGAGCAAACATGGTGGACTGCAGGATTACCTGTCAACTGCACGTCGACGTCATCTTAGTTTGATATCAGACTATTTTCATTCCTGAAAGAGACATACCAATTGTCAGCTTATTATTTGTGATTCTGAAATGGACAATCAAAGGTTTAGCCTGAGGCATTGATCCTGGCTCTCGTGCTAGGGCCTGCTAGAATTATGTACCTAGGTCGTTCGGGGTTGGCCCTGATCACAACAAACAAGCTTTGGTAGGATGTCTGTCTGATTGATAGACAGCGTTCTCTGTACTGCATCTGATTATCCATGATAAACCGTAATGGTTTTTCTCGGTTTTTCTCAATCTCTACCCCGCCATCCCACCTATCCAGATACCCGAGCCAAAATACCTACAAAACTGGTTGCCGAACGGTGCAAGTACATATATATGATTTGGTCAAGCGCGTGCAGCCCATCGCCGAACCTCACGCCAGTATAACATTCAGCCTTTCGACTTCTGCCATTCGCTGGGCAGGTTCCAGGTCTCGTTCCGGTTACCCTGACAATGCAAGGCATCAACGTCGTCAAATGACTCATTGGCCCCTTCAAGCCATGAATATATTGAATAATCACTCAAAATAGGAAGCTGAAACCAACTATTGAAAGTATGCAGGTGAGTCATACCGACGATGGATTGATGAAAACTAGGCATCAATCCGGTATACAACCCTAACCCTAGAGCGGTTGATTATGCATCCTGATGGTTGTAGTTGCCATACACATCCTCTGACGAATTTCAAAGCACTTGACCGAAAGATTCGTTCGTATATTCTGGACATCCTATTCCACGAGTCGCTGTAACCCAACCGAACTGTATAGAGTCTTCTGTCTAAGAAAATAATTAGGGTTATCTCTCCTCACAGATCCAGTCTTGGCACGGTCACATGATAAACCCCACAGATAAGGCTTAGCGCGCTTTTTTTTTTCTTTTATCGGTTTCGTAAATCGAAGCGCGTCTTCTCGAGAATTTCCCTTTCCGCACCATAGCTGATATAGCTGTGGTCCATCTCACGTTCAAGATGAAGTACGTCTTAGTATCAGGAGGTCAGCTCGTTCCCTTGAATATGAATATCTGATGTGAAAGAGAAGACTGACAGAATCTTGTTTATAGGTGTCATTTCCGGTGTTGGAAAAGGCATTATTGCCTCCAGCACTGGTTTGCTTCTCAAGACTATTGGTCTTACGGTTACGAGTATTGTATGTGTCCTTGGATCTTGAGTTTTCTGTCTTTGTTGTATTTGGGGGGGTGCTTAAGTGTTTGTAAAAAGTTGTATTGTCAATTACTGACTTAGAATAGAAAATTGATCCATACATTAACATTGATGTGAGTAGACCTATCTATGATTTCGAGATTCATGTACAATCCCATGGCTAATTCATAAATTTAGGCTGGCACAATGTCACCTATAGAGTTCGTACTTGGTCTGCTATTTTGCTCCTTCTATACTGATCGTTGCCTTCTAGGCACGGTGAGGTCTACGTGACAGATGGTATGTTTGAGTTGCTCCAGTAATAAAACTAATGGCTAACTAAAGCTAGATGGTGGTGTATGTGCCCCTAAAAAAAACTACATTCGATACGACATGATTCTCATCTGAGTATAGGAAATGGATCTCGATCTCGGCAACTATGAGCGATATCTTCTGACCACACTCACCCGAGACCACAACATCACAACCGGCAAGATCTACCAGCACGTCATTGAGAGAGAGCGTGTCGGACAATATCTCGGTAAAACCGTTCAAGTGTATGTCCTCAATTCCACCGGAGTAGGACTGTTCTGACAATGAGAAGCGTACCACATATCACCAATGCCATTCAAGATTGGATCGAGCGCGTTGCCAAGGTTCCTGTTGACGAGTCTGGAGCCGAACCTGATGTTTGCATTATCGAATTAGGTATTTTCGGCTTGTGAATTAATGGATGAGCGGTGGCTGACTATGAAAAGGTGGTACTGTCGGAGATATCGAGAGTGCTCCATTCATTCATGCTGTCAGTCAGCTTCAAAGACGGGCTGGCAAAGGCAACTATGCACAGATTCACGTCTCATATGTTCCTGTCATTCCGTGAGTTTTACCTCTAGTCAGAAGGGTTGTCAGGGACTAATACAGACCAGACCTGGACCCGGTGGTGAGCAAAAGACGAAACCGACACAGAGGGCTGTTAGCGATGTCCGAAGTGCCGGTCTCAACCCAGATTTGGTATAGCATCCTCTTGACTAGCAACTTGACACAACTAACATCAGACCAGATCGCCTGCCGCTGTGAACAACCGCTAGAGGACACTACAATCGACAAGATCGCAAACATGTGCCAAATGGAGCGAAAACAAGTCGTTGCAGTACACAACGTATCCACCACATATCACGTTCCTCTACTCCTTGAAAAACAAAAACTCCTCAAAACACTCAGCGAGCTTCTCAACCTCTCCTCTATTCCACAACCGGCCCCTCGCATTGAGCAGGGTAGTCGCATGTGGAGAGACTGGGTTGATCTTGCACACAGCCAGGACAATCTTCACGACACAGTGAATATCGCGCTTGTGGGTAAATATACAACGCTCCATGACGCATACATCAGTCTCAGCAAATCCTTTGAGCATGCTGCCATGTACTGCCGCAAGAAGCTCAAGGTTATCTGGGTCGACGCCTCGCACCTCGAAGATGAGACCTTGGAAGTTTCGCCTGCAGAGTTCCACAAGGCGTGGCACAATGTGTGCACCGCTGACGGATTGTGTGTTCCCGGCGGATTCGGCACTCGCGCTACGCTCGGTATGATGAAAGCGATAACATGGGCGCGCACCAAGAACGTGCCCTTTTTGGGTATTTGTCTCGGTATGCAGCTTGCTGTTATCGAGTATGCTCGCAACGTTGTCGGGATTGAAGATGCGGGTAGCGCAGAGTTGCATCCTGATGCTAAGGAGCATGCCATTATCTACATGCCCGAGGTTGGTTTCCCTGAATTCCTAGACGAACTTCTATTAATGAAAATTACAGGTCGACAAGACAAAACTCGGCGGCACAATGCGTCTCGGCAAGCATCCTTGCATCTTCCAGGCTGGCAGCGAATGGTCAAAACTCCGCGCTCTATATGGATCAGCGCCTCAGATCCAGGAACGACACCGCCACCGCTACGAGGTCAATCCAGAAATGGTTGAGCGTCTCGAAAAGGCTGGTCTCACTTTTGTCGGAAAGGATGTCAAGGGTGAGCGTATGGAGATTATTGAATTGAAGGACCACCCTTGGTTCGTGGGTGTGCAGTTCCATCCTGAGTATCTGTCGCGAGTGCTGTCGCCTAGCTTTGTACGTTCCCCGTTCCCTTCTATATCGATGTATCGCACTAATTAATTGGTTGTTATAGACTGTTCTCGGCTTCTTCGCCGCCGCCGCTGGATGCCTGGACGAAATCACAGCGAAGCTGAATAATGATGGAGAGAATTCTATGCGATTGCCATTCCATGAGAGAAGCGGTGCGCAATAAGAGATGGGAAGGGACATATAGATCCGAATAATGGAGTTAGACCAGTGTAAAACAGAAACCAAAAGGAATCAATAGACGACTTGTTTTTCTCTTATTTAGACTGTTGTGTGAAAACGCCCAAACCGTACGCCGGAAGAACTTCCTTTTTAAGTCTGAGTCTTGGTCCTCGTCATATTCTGGAGAGGTGGCGATGCAATTTCTCGAGTTTGAGCGGCTGGAGGGCAAGTGTTCATTGGGAGATTGAGGAAAGTTCTGCGTTTTGGGGGTGGGATACAAGTCCACCACACTTTGATTGAAATTCTACTGATGGGACAGGGCTTGAAATATTTTCTTTTTTGGAAAAATTCTATTAGCTATGGCAACATACTATCATTAATCAAGAGAGATTGCTTTTCTTCCCATCTCGAAATAATGTCGCCCAAGATCGTAGCTTCGTAGCACTTATTTTCATTCTGTCGAATTTCAAATCATTCTCTTCCCTTTCATCAAGTCGTCACGACTGATTTAAAGGTTGACAGATGTGCGGAACTTCTCGCCAGCGTAGATGGCGTTCTCGCCCAGCTCTTCCTCGATACGGAGGATCTGGTTGAGCTTGGCGAGACGCTCAGAACGGGCAGGAGCACCGGTCTTGATCTGACCGGAGCGGAGACCGACGACGATGTCGGCAATGGTGACGTCCTCGGTCTCACCGGAACGGTGGGAGACCATGACACCCCAGCCACCGGCGTAGGAATCCTTGGCGGCCTGGATGGACTCAGTGAGGGTACCGATCTGGTTGACCTTGAGCAAGAGAGCATTGCAGGACTTGAGCTCGATGGCCTTCTTGATGCGGAGGGGGTTGGTGACGGTCAAGTCATCACTATGATCGTTAGCTGGTGAACAATAGTTCCATATAGCGTGAGCTGACATACCCAACAATCTGGAAGTCAGAGGTCTTGAAGAAGTAGCTCCAAGCCTCCCAGTCATCCTCAGCAAAAGGATCCTCAATGCTGACAATAGGGTACTTCTTGGCGAGGTCCTTGTACAAGTCGGCGAGCTGTTCGTAAGTGAGCCACTTTTCAGGGTCACTCTCGGGGTTCTTGAAGTCGAGGTCGTATTTCTTTACGTCAGCCTTGTAGAACTCGCTGGAGGCAACGTCCATAGCGATCTTGATCTTGCCAGTGTATCCGGCCTGCTCAATGGCCTCGGTGATCAAGTCGAGAGCCTCCTCGGCAGTCTGAATATCAGGAGCAACACCACCTTCGTCACCAACGTTACCGGCAGACTGGCCGTACTTCTTCTTGGCCAAGGACTTGAGCTTCTGGTAAACCTCGGCGCCTTGGCGAAGACCTTCGCTGAATGTGGGAGCGGTGCTGTAACCGTTAGCTTTTGTTTCGTCGCGTGGATTTATGGCAGCTTACTCAGGGACAATCATGAATTCCTGGAAGGCAAGACGGCCACCAGCGTGGGAACCACCGTTCAAGACGTTCTGGAAAGGGACGGGGAGAACATAAGGCTTCTTGGTTCCGGCAAGGTCGGAGATGTGAGCGTAGAGAGGGACACCCTTCTCGGCAGCACCAGCCTTGGCAATGGCCAAGGAGACACCAAGGATGGCGTTGGCACCGAGGTTGGTCTTGTTGGCTGTGCCGTCGAGCTTAATGAGGAATTCGTCAACCTTGCTCTGGTCCTTGACGTCGATGTTCTCCTTGATGATGGCGGGTCCGATGGTCTCGTTGACGTTGGCGACGGCCTTGAGGACACCTGAGAAGATCAATACACGTTTCTCTCATCTCGTTTCAGGTAACTCACCCTTTCCACCCCACTTGGTCTTGTCACCATCGCGGAGCTCGCAAGCCTCGTGTTGACCTAGAATAATCGGTTAACAGACTTATCACAACACAGATCAGGGTAGACAAACCAGTAGAAGCTCCAGAGGGAACAATGGCGCGGTGCAAGCCGGTCTCGGTGACGACGTCAACCTCGACGGTAGGGTTACCGCGAGAGTCGTAAACGGAACGAGCGTGGATCTTGGAGATAGGCATGTTGTAGTCTGATGAGATGATTAGAAACTGCTGAAGAAGAGAAGAAGAGAAAGAGAAAGAAAGATTGACGAGGGTGGGATGGTTTTTCTAGAGGGCCACTGGGTGAGCTGCTAAGGTCACAAAAGTTTCACCGACGGCCCAAAAAGAGAGCGATGATGAACTCCTGCTAAACCTCGCAACGTGACGCGATGAATAGCGTCAATTGATCACTCACCGAGAATGAGTCACTATGTGCAGCTGACAGTATGAATCAATGCGTGAAATTCTTGAAGATGGATGGGGAAGAGGGAGAAGATGAAAGCAAGCAGTCACTGTGTTTGGTGGGATGGTGGGGCAAGCTCGATGATACGTTCCAGAAACAGAAGACTTACCTATTCCAAAGTTGTGTTAAGTGTAAACAGACAGTTGAATGTAAACAAAGCTTTGGTTAAGTGGCCTGATATTGTTCTCAATCTCGAATAGCCAATAGAGTAGGGCAAGCTTGTTCTAAGGGCTAGTCAAGATCTTTCATGCTGTCACTTTTGGAGGGGCAACCCGGCTCTATATACACCCAGTCCAGAGCATCAGAATAGCTGCACATTCCGAGGATACAGACCCTTGTGGGGCAGAAACCATGCTTTTCGGATAGATCTGGATCAATTGTTTACAGCTCCGTGATTTTATCTACAAATGATCTGACCCCAAGGCGATTTCTCCCGCTGTGAAGGTCGGAGAGATGCGGAGAGAGTCAGCGTCATTTTATGTGCCGGATGAGGCCAGGAAACTCAGGCACGGATAAGGCATTAAGGCACTAAGGCAACAAGGCAACAAGGCACCAGGTTCGGCGTTGTTTGCACTATTTGTATCTGATGGTCCGTGCGTGGTTCTATCGACCTGATATGTCACGTGAGGCTACGTATGGAAGGAGCTGGCGGCAGAAGCAACGGGAGCTTGTTGGAAGGAAGCTCATCAATCCATCAACACCTTCATCATTAACTTTACGCCTGCTACTTCCCCTTCTATTGACCTTCAGTCCCGAACCGCACATCCCTTACTACAATTTCTTAAGTCCGATTTGTTTCTAGTGCCGAACCAGCTGGTTCTCCGTCACGATGAACGGCGCTGGCGACCCCGAGAGGAACCTGGCCATCGAAGATTACAAAAAGACACTTTTGGACCTTCGAGAATGGGAGGCAAAGCTGAAATCTCTCCGTATGGAAATTAAAGACTCACAGAAAGAGTACGATATAACAGAAGAAAACATCAAGGCGCTGCAAAGTGTTGGTCAGATCATCGGCGAAGTTCTCAAACAGCTAGATGAAGAACGATGTAAGCATCCCAGCATCTTTTGCCTCTTGTATTTTCTAATCAAACCAAATAGTCATCGTCAAAGCATCCTCCGGTCCGCGGTACGTCGTCGGCTGCAGGTCCAAAGTCGATAAGGCGAAGCTCAAACAAGGCACTCGTGTGGCCCTCGACATGACGACGCTTACGATTATGCGAATGCTGCCTCGCGAAGTCGACCCGTTGGTGTACAACATGTCCTTGGAAGACCCCGGTCAAGTGAACTTTGCCGGAATCGGTGGTTTGAACGATCAGATCCGAGAACTGCGAGAAGTCATCGAGCTCCCCTTGAAGAACCCGGAGCTCTTTATGCGAGTCGGTATCAAGCCGCCAAAGGGTGTTTTGTTGTATGGTCCTCCGGGTACAGGAAAGACGCTACTTGCAAGAGCTGTAGCTAGCTCTTTGGAAACCAATTTTTTGAAAGGTGCCTAGCCTAGTTGGCTGTGTTGCTGTTCTGTGCTAATACTATCTGCTATAGTGGTTTCCTCTGCTATCGTCGACAAATATATCGGTGAATCGGCGCGTTTAATTCGAGAGATGTTCGGATATGCGAAGGAACACGAACCCTGTATTATCTTCATGGACGAAATCGACGCTATCGGTGGACGACGTTTCTCCGAAGGAACGTCGGCGGATCGTGAAATTCAACGAACACTTATGGAACTGCTCAATCAACTCGATGGTTTTGATTACCTTGGAAAGACAAAGATTATTATGGCTACGAATAGGCCCGATACTCTCGACCCAGCTCTTCTGCGTGCTGGACGTTTGGACCGAAAGATCGAGATCCCCCTACCTAATGAGGTGGGCCGTTTGGAAATTCTCAAGATTCATGCCAGCACTGTGGTAACCGAGGGCGAAATCGATTTTGAGAGCATAGTGAAGATGAGTGATGGTCTCAACGGAGCCGATTTGCGTAACGTCGTGACCGAGGCGTACGTACCTCCTCTCACTCAACATGGACCATGATTGCTAACTTTAATTATAGTGGATTCTTCGCAATCAAGGATGAACGTGACTCTATCAATCAAGATGATTTCAACAAGGCAGTCCGCAAGGTGGCCGAAGCAAAGAAACTCGAGGGCAAATTGGAGTACCAGAAACTATAGAGCTGCATAGGTTTCTTTGGCGTATAATCGGATGCATGTAAATTAACCAGACGCATTGCAATTTATCCTGCATTCACGATATAATTTTTATTGTATTAAGTATCTTTCGACCTGCTTGTGAATAATATCGTACGTAGTGACGACCAATGAGCTAGAGTCGGCGATGTGCCGAGCTTCCCCCTGGTCTCCGTCAATGCGGAGAAGCCACCTCGACTCGAACGTTGGAACAAACAGTCTTGACCACTGTTTTCTGCAGAGTTTCCTCATTGACTGAGGATTGTATAAAACCTGAAATTGATTTTCAGAATCTTATTCTACGCGCCCATGTCAACCCTTAAATGAGGTGAGTCCGTCTCCATATAATCATAGAGCTCCGTTGCGGCCACGGTGGAGCTTCAAATGTCCCTGCATCGATCCTTGTCTGGGATTGTTTTACATTGCATGCCCCCAACACCTATCAAATTTTTGGTTATGTGCTTTTGAGTGCTGACGTCCAATGATTTTTCATACGTCTAGGACACGTTTCGCTTTTTTACCACGTGTGTCTGCGTGGGTTCGCCTTCAAAGTCGTTGATCGGAAAATTATACACATTCAGAGAAAGGACCACTCCCCGTTTCACGAGCCCGCGCAACGATATTGACAACGGAATAATTGGCCGAAGTAGAATCGAGAAGCCAGGAATAGCCTGGGTTGAAGCACAATGGTGGGCGGCGGCTTCGTCCACTCGTCTCAGAATGACCGCTCCCAACAAGGTCTCGACTGGCGAGCACCAACGGCACGCAGCGGTGGTAACTTAGGTGGCTATGGCTTCGCATCCAAGAACAACAGCGGAACTGGCAACGGCAACGGCAGCAGCGGTGGTGGTGCAGGTCTCGGCAATATGAACAGCTTCTTTGGTGGGAAGAAGAATCGGGATTTGCCGGTGTACAAGGACAAGCCGTATTTTAAACCACGCCGGACAGGGCCGAATCGAACCGCGTCTCGCGTTGTGTATGCGGTGGTTGCGTGCTTCATGATGATGTTGCTGTATGTGTTTTGGGGTGGTTGGGGAAGTCCGGCAGCCGTTGGACCTGTTGGTGAAACTGGAGAGAATCTGTGGAAATGGATTCAGACGTTTGATGCTGAAGATGAGCCCGCTTCGTCTAAAAAGGTGGACTGGGAAGAGAGGAGGGAGAAAGTCAAGGATGTGTTCACTATAAGTTGGGACTCGTATGAGAAATATGGCTGGGGKGAGTTTGGGAGAAGCAACTTGGTGGCATACCTTACTAATCTGGCATATAGGATACGATGAGTACAAACCTGTTTCTAAAAAAGGAAGGAATATGGTTGAAGGCGGTATGGGGTGGACCATTGTCGATGCTCTTGACACTATGATTCTAATGAATCTTACTTCTCGAGTGCAACATGCTCGGCATTGGATCCATAATTCATTACGGTACGATCAGAATCATGATGTGAATACATTCGAAACTACCATTCGTATGCTTGGTGGTCTATTATCGGCACACTATCTATCAACAAATTATCCAAATTTGGCACCCATAACCGACGATGATCCAGGGGCTCCTGGCGAAGATCTCTATATTGAGAAAGCTGCCGATCTGGCGGATCGACTACTAGGCGCCTTTGAGTCTCCATCAGGAGTACCCTATGCCAGCATAAACCTGAATACGTCACTGGGAATACCGTCTCACGCAGATGGCGGCGCGTCCTCGACAGCGGAGGCGACCACTGTACAGCTGGAGTTCAAGTATCTAGCTAAATTGACCGGAGAGGCAGAGTACTGGGAGATTGTCGAGCATGTCATGGAGGTTGTTGATAATCAACAAGCCGAGGATGGACTCTTGCCAATATTTATCTATGCGGACAAGGGAGAGTTCCGTGGAAGGAACATTCGACTGGGAAGTAGGGGCGACTCTTACTATGGTAAGCCTGCACCGTCATCCGTAACATAACCGTGCTGATTCACGACAGAGTATCTCATTAAACAATACCTGCAAACATCCGAGGGAGAACCCATCTACAAGGAAATGTGGGACGAAGCACTCACTGGAATCAGTAAACATTTGATCACATATACTAAAAACGGAAGAATGGCAGTTCTAGCTGAAAGACCAGACGGCCTTGACCATTCCCTACTACCCAAGATGGACCACCTCGTGTGCTTCATGCCTGGTACGATAGCCCTCGGAGCAACACACGGCCAATTGCTATCCAAAGCAAGACAATCATCGAGCTGGAGCCGACGACAAGATGAGGAAATACTCCTTGCACGTGAGTTGATGAAGACCTGCTGGGCTACATATCTCGCGACAACAACTGGACTTGCGCCTGAGATCACATATTTCAAGACTGACAGCACCCCTCTTATGCTATCGGACGTATACCCCGATTCAGCTCTGTTTCTACCTCCTAGAAGCAGCAAAGACAGTTCATACACACCAGAAGAACTCGATCTCATATCCGCCTCGCTAGAGGATAAAGATGTATGGAAATCCGACATTGAGATACATGCCCAGGACACCCATAACCTCCAGCGACCAGAAACAGTCGAATCCCTTTTCTACATGTACCGCATCACCGGCGATAAGCAATACCGCGAATGGGGCTGGCAAATGTTCAAATCCTTCGTCAAGCACACCGCAGTCGTCGAAAAGGTGTCTCCGGGTGACCACGAAGGTGACGACAGCAACCAACGTATCATCGACAGCAGTCATGATGCCGATGACCAGAGCCACGCCTCCTACCGAGTTGTAGGATTCACGTCCCTCTCAAACGCCAATATCGACCCACCCATGAAGCGCGATAACATGGAGAGTTTCTGGATGGCAGAGACATTGAAGTATTTCTATCTCTTGTTCTCGGATCGCGATTTTATCCCGGTGGAGGATGTAGTGTTTAATACCGAGGCTCATATCTTCCCTCGATTCAAGGTAGGAGGGGATTTGAAGACGGGGTGGTCGAGGAAGCCTCGTGAATAGTTCTTTCGTCTCCTTCGAGCAGACATCTTTGGTCTTTCTTTGATATTGTAAATAGCATCGTACAATCGGTTTTTGTTTCTGTCATCATATAGTATTGACTGATCTGAATGATATCAGATCTTGCTACAATATACCATCTGTTCAGGTTTGAATTACTGACTGTATTACTGTATCACTCTAGGTAATACCGATCGTCCCAATTGTTTATGACTCGTCCTGGAATTCTTTTGCAGTCATGGTTCATCTCATCTATGCTTTCATGGGCTGCGCTTTGTCCATAGGCTACGTTGGGCCACCAGTCACTTCTACTCATCTCCCCCGTCACCCTTCGGTCACCTTATCATCGTCACACCCTTCTCCGTTCCTTAACTATATAACTACACTGCTCAGCCCTCGACTCCTCATATCCCTTTCTCTTCTTCCTAATTAATCTTCTCTACTGAAAAGAGAAATTCGTGCCAAGTTATAACTACTTCATTGAAACCAGTGATAAGGACAAACGCACCCAATATCCAAGAAGGATACTCTTCCCAAGACGCTGTCTAAGAAAATGGTTAAATGGTTATTTTCGAACGCACTTCCTAATCATAAAAAAGACCGACAACGGCAAAAACAGTTCGACACAGAAGCCAGAATGGAAACTGTTCAACCTGTCACCCCGCCGAGCTATGAGTCTGTGACTCATCGCATTAATACAGCTGGAGGGACTCAAATTGATTACATTGGAGACGCTACTCATGTGGTTTCTGGTGCTAGGCATGCATATGCTGAATCTGTGTCCGAGTCCTTCGTTACCGAGGACGTCGAGGACGATATAGCGCTTGAGGATCCCGGATGGGAAACGAAGGATGCTAATGACGCTATCTCTGACTCGAAGAAGTCTGCGTCCCCTACGAGCTCAGAATTTACGATCCCTCGATCCGAGTCATCTGCAGTGATTCAGAACAGCAACGCCGGAATCGGAATTAAGCTCGATGCCTCCTTTTCTTCTGGAAATCAGAACTATCACTACAACAATTACTCCGATGATAGAATCATGAAAACTAGTGGTACTCTCACCAGATCACACATAGGGAATATTTATCAATCCAGTGGAGGTTGCATGCTCCAAAATGTTCATTTCTATGGGAATCCTAATTTCAGGGCACATGCTCAAGATTCCAACACGGGAGCAGATATCCGGATTTCGGGAGGTGGTATCCACGTCAATGATAATTTTATCTACCTTCACCAAGGGTATAATTATCAGTCCGGTACAAGGCCCATAATCCAAGATGTTGAAATCTATGGGGATATAGATTTCGGGGCACATGCTCAAGATTCCGACACGGAAGATGGTCTCCGGATATCGGGAGGTAGGATCCACGTCAAAGAAAAATGTGGATGTGAAGTCCACGTTAAGAATAGTAATGATATCAAAATTCATAGATGTACAGATGCATCCGAGGTCATGGCTTGTAACACCACAAGCGATCGCAGAGGTAGGAGAGACCGTGGTTCGCACGTGGTCTATGGCGGTATCTATAATACAGGTAGCGGAAGTCAAATCAAGGGGTGATTCATGGGAATATCTATTAGTCTCGTCTGCACTGCATCCGAACATTGGACTACTTAGCCGGCTTCATTTATATCTTATTTGTTATCTCATTCCCTTGGTAGTGAGTCCTTGTCATCATTCCCCCAGGAGCTCGAGAGGTATTGAGCCTGATCATACTCTCACGACTGTTGAGGTCCAATTTAGACATGACTTTCTCCTGTGTTGTTAGTTATGCTATGTATTTCTATGACTTTAGACTTGATTTCAAGGGCTTTGTACTTAGGTAGTGGTATATTGTTTCAACAAGAATGAATGGTATTAATCCAAAAACTCAGCTAACCTAACCACTGCACAAATCACCATCAGGTAGAATCCAGGAGTCTCTCCAGGCACCCCTATCCGCATCCAGAAACGTATCAATTGCGCCCTCTACTCAATCTCTACCCGGCTCGGAGGTACGTTGTTTTTATATCTGCTAACAGCTCGGGCGCGATTTCCTTAGCTATGTATACTGACCTTGTTCAATGACAAAATCTGAATATATTGAAAATTTAGTAAGTCGTACGAGCCAATTTTGATACAACCAGCTAGATCAAAAAGCTATATATGGGCGCATTAGATGGCATGATATAGTAACATATGACTAACAGGACTTACCGGGCAAAAACAAGCGGCATTCCAACAGCTGAATAGTACTAAACCCAATTGATCCTATGAGACACTCAACAGATATAAGAAAAGTCACATACGACCCACGGCTACTCTCAAGGTAAATAAGATGACTAGATGTAAACCAAAGCAATACAGAAACATAGTACATCGAGTTGTGGATGCGTTCCGATATGGTTTCCTTAAAATCTCGTCACTCGAATCTCGTCACTCGAATCATTGTCTTGAATACTTAGTTCGTATTGTGTTTAATAGTCGGATTTGGATAGAATCTCTTGCCGCTGTCATTGTGAGATGTTTGTCCATTAACAAAAAAAAAGATGGATGGCCGGGTTTAGCCCTAGCCCTAGTCCTAGCCCTAACAACCCTACGTGGAGCAGAACGCGTCATGTAACCAAAGAAAGGGACAAAAGGAGCCACACTTTATTTCTCTATGATTTATTTGATCTGTGGAGTGATCTGCATCGCTGTCTTAACATTTAGGGCGGAGTATCTCTTTTCCACTCTATACGTCAGTGCCCTTTGTGCTGTGCCACAAGTCTTCATCTTCAAGGGAAACATCCATGGTAGGAAATAACAAGTGGCTGAGGCAATGAAACATATGCAGGAACACCGGACAAATCGACGATAAAATACTGTCTTAGACTAGCACATGAGTGGACCACATACGTACGTATTCTAACTAATAAACCAGGACAGACTAAGCGTAGATCTCATGTGACGCGTCATCAGCCTAGTGAGCTTAATACAAGCTTAATATCGAAAAATCAAATATGAAACCTCAGCGATTGACATCAGCTTCTTGAAATGTTTACCCCCCGGCAAAAGAATTATCCTGCATACGCAAGTAATTTGTCTTTTTGCCTGGTATATTTGTACTGTCTGGGTATAGCATCATCGTTATGGTCCCAAATAGGCATATACGCCTTGAAATTGTTACATACTATCTGGCGATATCGGATATGTAGCGTACGCGTACTTGAATCAGATAGAAACAATGTTTCCAGGGTCATGAGTTGACCTGGTCCGCGTGTTTTCATTCATGGGTCTAGGACTAGTAGATTCAGGAACTACCCAAGCTCTACAAGACAGAAAATGTCTGCTCCTATCTAATTAATATCTAGTTATAAAGAGGCGCAGATCTGCCAGTCCATCATCTTCTATCTCACTTCTCAAGATATCAAACTTTCCATACTCAGCACGATGCGTGGAACAATGCGCGCCACTCTGACTGCAGCCGTGGCAGCAACAGTTTCTGCCACATCCCTCTCCGATGTCTGCACCGTATCCAACGTTCAAGCAGCCCTCCCAGCAAATGGCACCCTCCTCGGAATAGAGCTGATCCCATCGAGCGTGACCGCCAACAGCGTTTATAATGCAACTGTCTCATCCATGTTGACCACCTCTTCGGACACAGCTTATAATTATTGCAACGTCACTGTATCTTATATTCATCCCGGGAAAGACGACAAAGTCGTGGTCAAGTATGCTCTTCCCGAGCCCTCTAGCTATGCCAACCGATTCTACGTCGTGGGCGGTGGCGGTTACTCGCTCGCGACAGATCCTACTGGTGGACTTCCATACGGTGCTGCCGGTGGTGTCACTGATGCGGGATATGATGCTTTCTCTTACTCTTATGATGAAGTTTTTCTGTATGGAAACGGTTCCATCAACTGGGATGCCACGTACATGTTTGCTTATCAGGCGCTGGGCGAGTTGACGGTTATTGGCAAACCTCTATCCCAAGGGTTTTACAGCTCTTCCGATAAGGTCTATACCTACTTTGAAGGATGTTCGGATGGTGGAAGAGAGGCTATGAGCCAAGTCCAACGATGGGGAAATGAATACGACGGAGTCATTGCCGGTGCTCCCGCGTTCCGTTACGCCCAACAGCAAGTGAATCATGTCTTCTCCTCTGAAGTCGAATATACCTTGGACTACTTCCCACCTCCCTGTGAGCTAGACAAGATCGTCAACGCGACAATTGCTGCATGTGATCCTCTCGACGGAAGAACAGATGGTGTCGTATCACGCACAGATCTGTGCCAACTCAATTTCAACCTCAGCTCAATCATTGGCGAATCATACTACTGCGCTGCTGAGACTAGTACTTCTCTTGGATTTGGGTTTGGTAAGCGCCAGGCCGAAGGCAGTACAACTTCCTACCAGCCTGCTCAGAATGGAACAGTGTCTGCAGAGGGAGTTGCTGTTGCTMAAGCCATATATGACGGCCTCCATGATTCCGAGGGCCGCCGAGCATACCTTTCATGGCAAATTGCTTCTTCGCTATCAGACGCTGCCACCGAGTACGATAATACAACCGGCTCTTGGGAGCTAGATATTCCATCTACCGGAGGCGAATTCGTGACGAAATATGTTCAGTTGCTGGACCTCGACAACCTCTCTAGCCTGGAAAATACCACCTACGACACTCTTATTGAATGGATGAACACAGCCTTTTTCAGATATCAAGACAGCCTGCAGACCACAGTACCCGATCTCACGACTTTTCAGTCTTCAGGTGGCAAGCTATTGCATTATCACGGTGAATCCGACCCCAGCGTTCCCGCAGCCTCCTCAGTACACTATTGGCAATCAGTCGCCTCTGTGATGTATAACAGTACTTCCGCCAACGCGAGCTGGAGTGACTTGCAGAGCTGGTATCAGTTGTACCTTATTCCTGGTGCAGCCCATTGCAGTACGAACACTCTACAGCCAGGACCCTACCCGGAAACAAACATGGAGATAATGATTGATTGGGTTGAGAATGGTGTGCAGCCAACGAGGTTGAATACCACCGTTTCTTCCGGCACGTATAAGGGAGAGACGCAACTGCTCTGTCAGTGGCCGAATCGTCCCCTGTGGAAGGGTAACAGTTCTTCGTTCGATTGTGTCTACGACCAAAAGTCTTATGATGCGTGGACTTATACCTTCCCCGCTTTCAAGACTGTCGTGTATTAAGCTATGGATTATTTGGATCTTAAGATAATTTTACTTGAGTGCTTTGAATTCAATCCCACAGTTGTGTCGTATGCTTTCGGTACACCCATGTACAAAGATATGCAACATTTGAACCTTAAGTCTACCTTAAACATATAATTTAATCAATACAAATAGGTGACTGTATTTTTTTTAGTAATCCTCAACAAAAATATGACTAGATGAAATAATCAACACGTATTTTCTGAGGCAAGCCTTTCTAGATAATGTCTCATTAGCAGCATCGAGACATTCCCCCGACTGCCATTCTACTTGGACAGGGTCAAGAGACCTGGGAGGTAAGGAAGATCGTTATATGAATCGCCGTCAGAGCTAGGGCTTCTTCCTTGGTAGAGCAGCTGAAGGTTGCAGGGATCGACTGGTTTAGTCTGATCAGCACTGCTTCGGATAAGGTCACCACTGCTGATATCCTTGGTCCAGGTAGCACCGCTATTGGCATATCCAGCGAATGGGTTTGACTCAGTGCTAGCTTGAGCAGTCCACGTGCCACCTAGACTCGTAGCTGTAAAGGAGCGGAAATATCTTCCGTTGGAACCAATGCACTCAACAATCATAAGGTAAAGGTTCTGGCCCTGAATAGAGTAGACTTCGACAGCTTCGAAGAGGTTGTATGTCGAATCAGTCAGGATGGTTGTAGCAGAAGAGCCAAAGCTAGCAGGGAAGTTGCCAATGGGCATAGAAGCTCGGTAGATATTGCCATTGTCGCCGGCGAAGAAGAGATAAACATTTGTATCATCAGCGATAATTGCCGGATCAATAGGACCTGTTCCGGATAAGGTTCCTTGGTAAAGCGGTTGTGGCGAAGACCAGCCGTTGGCATTGGTAGGGTTGGTGGATGTGAGATAGCAAAAGGCCCATTCACACCATTCGTAACCTAGAACCCAGATCTGTTTTGGTGCAAAGTACAGGAGATCAGGGGCAACAGCTCCCTGGCTCATCTGCGTCTTGGTGGCGGAAGCCATTTGAGACCAGTTCGAGAACAGAGCAAAGTTCATTGAACCATAGCTTCCACCGGTATTAACATCAGAAGCATACACAAGGTGCTGGCCATTATACGGCACATGAGTGAAGTCCTTGAGCGACAGATAGCCTGACGCTGGGTTCGCGAGCGATCCGCTTGAAGTCCACTTATACTGAGACGGCAGAGTGCATGTGCTTGAAGAGCTGGAGGTAGTGGAGGAAGTGGAGGTTGGCTTGGTGGTGGTGGTTAAAGTAGTTGAGGTAGTAGTAGTACCACTTCCGCCGGAGCACGGAAGACACTGCGAGTACCAGGCATTGGAGTAGGTACAACAAGAGCCAGAAACACAGGTAGTAGCTCCAGTCCAGCCCTGACCACCGCCTGCGTAGGATCTTAGCTCTACTGCAAATAAAGACTAGTATGCTTCGGAAATTGAGACTTACATTGACCATAAAGCGATGCTTGAGCTGTGACAGCTGGTATCACCAGGAGCAAAGACGCAACCCAGAGCATCGTGAAGGTGTCAAGTTAGTCAGATCAACTCAAGTACAAGGCTTGTCTTTTGTCTGACCAGTTGTGGATGCAAAAAAACAATATTCCCTGGTCTGACCCTTTCAATTTATATTTTTTGTGGGAGGTAAATGGTCTATGTACACTACCTTCCTAGGTAGGTAGGCCCCAGTTGACGACGCTAGTAATGAAGGTGAGCATAACTCCGAGATTTGAATTTAAAATATTAGGCTAATAGGTGTTAGCTCCAGCCCATCATCCTACTGTTCATAGTGATTATGTCTCACATGGCATTAATCCTCCTATGAACGTCGCCGTATTATAACGCTGCAGCAAGCATCTAGGTACTAGACGCCGATCCAGCACTGAATAATGCGGGGTTAAATAACTTCAATTACCGAAATTCTGTTCTGTAGCAGCTAGAATTGCTTATTATTACCTCGATTGTCTAATTAGTGCAAGTCAAATGATTAGGTGGAAATCGTTCGCGGAATAGCGGCATGACTGGGTCATACCCCATACCGGTGCTTAAAATGGCAACGATCATAGGAGCATGGAAGACTACCTAGAATGGACAGAATTACCGAGAGCTAATCTGTAGTGGCAGTGACATTTGGACGCTAGAAGTGGATGTTTAGTTCCTGTAGACCTTTCTTTTGTGTCCAACGACCTCTTCAAAACCGAAACTGTGCTACACGAGGCCAATTATTACTCTAGAAATTATCCGAACTGAAAATTTTAGGCACTTGACTACCAGCTCATATTGTAAGAATAACAAGGCCCACGGGTAAAAGATCATAACTACTACACTGATTAAGAGCCAATTTACAAATGTAGACATCGAATATACCCTAATGTAACCTCATTCTCTCGACTGGCTGTGTATGCTCTCACTCCAAATGCCCGTGAAAACGCAAGCACTCACTGACCTCCTAACTAGGCAGGAAGGCACTGCGAATAGTACGCGTTCGAGTATGTGCAGACATAAGGACTGACGCAAGTGGTCGGTCCCGTCCAACCTTGACCACCGCACTGGCCCCATTCTTGTGCGGCACCTGAGGAGGTACTCGTTGTCGTAGACGAGGCTGAAGTAGTAAAAGAGCTAGTCGTCTTTGTTGCTGTCGTTGTCGTTGAGCCACTTGAGCCTGTGGTAATCACGAAGGTAACTGCAGAGCGCCCCGGAAGGGAGCCTCCCACTGTACCGCCGCTCAACGTCGCAGAAAAAGTTGATGGCGAGGAGACCGCACTGTCGATGTAGTATGCAGACACCTTAGAGGCCGTGATTCCGCTCAGAGAAATGGTTTGGCTGTTTGCGTTATTGTTGATCGCGACAACCACAATAGAGCCGTCAGTGTTTTTGAAAGCTCCCACATTGACATTGCTAGGTGATCCAGAAGTGCTAATTCGCACGGCATCAGGTCGAATAAAACGTGAAAACATGGCAAATGCCCAAAGAGGTCCTGATGCTTGAACCGTAGATCCGTTTAGTGTGACGAGAGCGGCAGCATTGCTATTCGATTGTGCGCCTAGATCTTCGGGTTAGAAATATGTAATATAGCAGTGATAGCCAGTAGATCTAGCTAGAATGGCAAATGATAACTAACCAATCCAGTACAAGAAGGCACTCAAGTCGGCCTCAACAAGACCCTGCCAGATAAGATTTGCCCAATGCAAACCTTCATTGGCAGCTCCGCTTGAGTACCAGGCTGTAGTAAAAGCGTCGTCGAGATCGGCGTACTCAGTCTCCCACACCCTGAGACTGGTACTAATGGGCGATGTTCCCTGGGAAGCATACCAGTGAGAAGTGATACGGGCGAGGTACTGAGTGGCACCCGCTGATGCAAGCTGTGCTGTCCAGGTAACTGCGTCACTCCAGCCGAATGGATCACAGCAAGCAATTCCGGTTGATAGCCCAGCGCTCTTGATTGTATTATACAAAGTCGGGATAAAAGAGGCGGCCTGTGTGCCGCTCGTGATCAGCATCGAATCGTAATCGGGTCTTGTCTAATTAGTAAATTACCAAATGTAAGGATAGGCACAGGACGTACGAGTAATCAGGTTCGTTCAGCCATCCAAGAAAGTCGATAGTGATACCCTCGCTTTCATAGTCTTTGAGGTACTGGACAAGGTAGTTTGCATACGCCTGTCTCCAGTCACCAGATGAACAAGTTTCTCCGGTCGTGCCGCAGAGATAGCCTCCATTTGCCTAGAAATTAAGATTGGTAAAAAGGACTTCTCTCTGTAAGGCTCAGAGTCATACTTACTACATTATCATTGGTTTTCATGAATGCTGGGGCGCTCCAGGCATCAGCGTAGATGTATTTTACTCCATTTGCGCGGGCTTGTTTGGACCACCAAACCTGTTCATTCGAATCCGTCAGGAAAACACTCAAGTTGGCTATGGTAGATGTGAGAACCATACCTGCCCGGCATCATTGCCATCCCAGGTATAAGTCGGCTGAGCACTTGGGCCTGAAGGCGCATTTGGCTCGATCGAACCGGAGCCTGCAGCAATGCGATTACGCAAAATGGTCAAGCCAGCACCAGTGCTAGTGCTGAACAGTAAGTTGGTCACTTGCGTTTGGATTGAAGCCGATGCACTAGCTATAGGCGCTCCAAATCCAAAGGCTTCAGAGAAACCGAATCCATCGATAGTTTGGTAGGTGGTGCTTGGGTTGATCGTAACTTGACCAAGAGCCACAATACCATTCAGTGCAACTGCCAGTGCAGCAGAATTCGTATTTAGATTCCACATAGCGAAGACTATGTAATAACTTAGATGATATCAGAAGACACAAGAAAGTTGAGAATGTTCCTATACCCTCTGCGTGTTATTTCGACCAAGTCCTGGTCCAAGGATGGCACTTTATAGTAACCAGAATCGTGTCAACGCTTCCTACACTACATACATAGTACTATTGACTCAATAAGCTTTTGCGGCTAGAAAAGTATAATCTAGATTTTATTGAAAGCCGATTTTCTCTAAAACAAGCTATTCTGGTGGACCGGCAATTGAAATTACAGTATTTGAATATCTTCCAACCACAACCGACTATCCGCAGGCTAAAACMCCCGCCGTTTCAATCAGTTCCAGACAGAATTGCCCGTCATTGCATACCGGATTGGATGATCAATTCTATCGAATACCTTTTATTAACCGAGATTTGCTTTTGTTCGTAGACAAGGCTATTTGCATGAAACAGATGAAATTAATCGATACAACACCACGGCATATGTTTCACCACTATACCATGTGCAAATGCCGGGAGCCGACCTTACGCGGCCAAGCTTTGTCTTCTACGGCTATCTACGATCTTGAAGCTTGAGTGTATGTTAAGATGGTCGTAGAGCTTACGCTGTAATCGAGGTCTCTTAGTGGTGGTTAATTCTGACAGTGTGCTATACATTGCTATGGGCTCATCATTGGAATGTATGATCGCCCATGTCATCTATAGTCTTTTCAGACGTACAATTCTATCATTGTGACATGACAGATTCCAACTTCGCTGTGGCATCAATGGCCGCTGGATTTGTTTTCGAAAATTTTGGCCCGTTGGGAGCAGTGACTATCTCTACATTTCCCCCTTTTTGTTTGCCTTTAAAGATCAACCTGTCTCCATCTTGTTCTATGCTATGCTGCCCAATGCTTGCCCCAATTCTTGCAACTTTTCATCATATTTACGTTTGAGACTTGTGCCCTTGACGAAGAATGGCGAAAGAGAGAATGAGATACCACAGCACGGCATCATGAAGTAGTCAATACCATGTGCTTTTGAAACATAAGTCGCAACTTTCTTATTTAGGGGGTGGCTATAACCCACTATATGCCTAATTGACCGCCTGTTGTTGCGACTCAGATAATCCTAGGGACGCTGAGCTGATCTAAGTGGGATTTGAGATAGAACTGCAGGTTGATCCGAAGACACGAGTAAAGCTCAGTTCTGACAAGGCAACATTTTTAGCGTGTATATTCCAGCGCGAGGGGTATTTGTCACTTTTGAAGGATTGTTTAGAATCGCTGCGCAGGCCAACGGTTCCGCCAAAAAGTCTCAGAAAGTTACGCGTTCCTGTCTCCACAGCCATCTCACTCCTTTTGAAACTTGCCTGGATCGCAATGAAACTTGTGTGGAACCTCTGGCCGACTCCAATATCACTCAAAATTTGATACACAACTAACTTCGCATTTGATATCATAGGTGAAATTGTAGGCAAAGACCGCATGTGATGGATCATTTTCCAAATCCAAACCACAGATTCAGCTGATAATTACCAGTGCGAGAGACGAAAGCCCCTGCTGTGAATGTTGTGATGGTCTGAAAAAGGACGAATGGCAATAGTAAAACAGCGTAGTGAATAGGCGAAGCTTGCCGGACGACCTGATAGAATTGTGGAATAGTATGAAAAATCATCTGTATGCCAAATTATACTCATATAGTAGAGATTGCAGTAGAACATGAAGCCTGTGAAGAATGCCCCGCCATTGAATCTGGCGACTGTAGAGTTTTTAAATATGTAGACTAGTAAAAGGGTGAGTTGAAGGTATTCCATTTTGCCCCCTATGTGCTTCAAAGCGTACTGAGAATCAAAGGCAAAGAGGCAACTCTCATCTCAACATAGATGAATGCTTCAATGAGACAAATACCAATGATGAGAAATGTAATACAAGCCACCGAGCTTCAGGGATACTGAGTGCTTCTCCTGTAAACTTTGAGTAATCAAGCATTCGTCCAGATGTCATTGGGAATTTGAGAGAATCCAGCGCACCATGACAGGGGCAGTAGAATAAGGATCAGAGTGGCGATCATAAGAGCACTACTTAGATAATTTATCTGCTTCGGCTTTCCTTTATATCCGCCTTTGACAGGCCTGATGGGAAGTACGACGGTGACAACCAATATTGCAATTCTTGTGAGCGGAATCGCGAGAAAACATGCGACGGAGTCCTCACTTTGCAATGCAATCAATGGATGGCTTTATCGAAGTAGGCAACAGCTCGGTACAAAAATTAAGGAAGGAAGCGATGCATTCACTTACGGGGGCTTCGCTTATCCTAACAAGACGCTAACAAGAACCTAGGATATGTCGTTCCAGACTTTCAATCAAACTACAGTAACAATCAATCAACTACTTAGTTAAGTTTCCGCGTGATCAGATGGTTTTTCGCAAGTCGTCGGCAATAGGAGACATTTATGTAGAGACAGCGTGTACCAACATTGAAGCGAGCCCTATGCAAGCGAGAACCCCTTTGTAAATTCCCCGCCTTTAAAGATCAAGAGAGCTAGAGACTTTAGCATCTTACTTCAATGTTCCTTTTAATGTAATTCTGTTTAATTTTTCCCTGCGAGTTTCCAACGTACAGTAGAGTATCGTGATTCGAAAGAAGATCGCACTCATATCTGTCTCAATAACAGTCCGAACAACATGCCACTTCACGAACCCGTTACAACCGACCCAGACAGGATCGCCAGTATTCTCTCTAGACAAATGAACGTTTTGCCTTCTTCCGCGGAATACCATTCGCTGCCACAACTGCAGGTGCAAATAAATGGCGTCACCATAGCCAGTTGAGCCTCGGGAAGGTGTCAGAGACTGCTCCAAGTTTGGTCCACTTGCACCCCAATTGCCATCGAGACTCTGTCCTGGTCAGAAAAGCGAGGATTGTCTGAATTTAGATTTTTGGACTCCAGCGGAGTTAAGATTCCACCACTCTTCCGTCGTCGGGTGATTTGCTCACGCACTCTTGAGATTGATAGGTTGCAGGCATCAGCTAGTCCAAGTACTCCGTCTATGTCTGGATCTATGGAGGAAAGTTTCTCTGTGGAGCCGGAACAGATAGAAATTTCAATGGCACCTTTGTTGTCGCCAAAGTGTGATTGTCGTTACATTCAATTACAGACTGGGCATTCTAGGATGTCTAGCCCATCCGGCGTTGTCCGCCGGGAGTTCACATAGTGCGTCCGGAAACTACGGACTGTTAGATCAAAACTGTTTGTCTTCAATGGATCGGAGAAACATAAAAGCTTTCGGCGATGATCCGGGCAATGTGACCATTGGCGGCCACTGTGCCGGCGCCTTTTGCGTTGGTCTTCATTTGTACGGGTCCCAGTCAAAGGGCTTGTTCCACAGAGCGATTCCTCAGTCCGGCCTTCGTCATTTTCGAGATCCTCTCATATTATGCCTTGCTCTTTCTTACCGATCAAAGGAGCAAGCCGAGGCGGAAGAGGAGATGATCCTAGCCGAGATGAAAGCTATGAATTTGGACAAGCTGTTGGAGGGCAATCACAGGGTCGACATAATTATGTGGGGGCTTCCGCCATTATATCGTGCTTGTCTCGATGGATGGCTGTTACCACAGACCTATGAAGATACCTTGTTGCAAGGTACAATGAAGTCCCTATATTGAATGGCCAGAACAAGGATGAGGGCGGTAATTGCACCAATCCCGATTTCAACGACGACGATATAGCTGTTGTTGCACCACTGAGATACGGCTCATTTACCAACCACTTTTTCGAATTCGCTTTTTTGAATTGTATATCGATGAAGACACGGCCTTGCAGCAATGATTAATGCCAAATGCGAAGAACAAGGAGTGGGAATTTTTCTGGAAAGGATATTTTGAGGCACAGAAAGTTTGGTGAACATGGACAAACAACTCACCATCTACGATTATTCCCTTGGTCAGATTCTCCTTTGAGATGCAGGAAACGACGGTATCTTATAAAATGCCGCTGTTGACGGCTTCAATTTACTCATATATAATCTGGAAAAGCGGATGATTCTGCGGTTGTGTATGCCAGGTCTACAAGAGAGGGTTGAGACTCGAGAGCCCGTTTGGAACAGAGATATCCCGAGATTATAATATACGGGTAATTTCCACATGTGCCTAGGTACTGAGGGGAACTCGTTCACTTTTCTTCCACCTCCCACTTCAGTACAAGGCAATCTAATCCAATCTATTTAAGGGCATACGATTCGTGCCTTGTCTATAGCGCCAGGACTACCCGCAAACTTTCCACGAGGAACTACCTAATTTAGTTAATCCAGTCGAAGCAGGTTCCCCAAATTATCCGGGCCTCCATCCCAATAATGTATAAGATCTGCTTTATATGAACGAATACCAAGAACCAATGAACATCTCCTGCCATCTGACTAATTCAAAGAAAAAAATTGCATACGGATGTTAAAGACTAATGAAATCCTACCTGAAAAGTAGCCACTACATAAGTAAAAGGGAAACAAATTGTAAGACGTCGATTTAACCTTAAGAAATCTTCCCGCAGATCTTTAGCCGTGCCCTACCTAAACCCCAGGAAATGTTCCACCAATCGCAGCGAGCAAACGGGGTATCATTCGAGCGACTGGCGAAGTTCGGGGTAATTCATATAACGTCATTGTGTATGGGGTATTCGTTAGCGAGAAATAATATAGATGAGGATGGTGTTTAAATACACCCGAAGGTACTTCGTCTGGGGAAGATGTACAAGGGTGTTGGAATCTTGGATAGGACAGGATTGGTAGGATTGGCAGTCTGACTACAGAAATAGTCTGTCATAAGTCAACTGAGAGATGTTCTTCTTCCGTTTCCTGGCAACAGTCTTGCTGCTGCTCAATTTCAAGTCCGTGGTAGCGCAAACATCGAATACTTCCTCACCCGTGCACTGGGATAAATACAGTCTTTCAATTAACGGCGAGAGACTGTTTGTCTTTGCTGGCGAGTTTCATTATATTCGTCTACCCGTTCCGGAATTATGGCTTGATGTGTTTCAAAAGTTGAAAGCGAACGGGTTCAATGCCATCTCAGGTATTCGTCTTCCCCTTTCTCTACTTGCTTTGCTCTGACCGAAATAGTGTACTTCTACTGGAACCACCACAGCGCTTCCGAAGGCGTCTACGACTTCGAAACCGGCGGCCACAACGTCCAGCGCCTGTTTGACTACGCGAAAGAAGCGGGGGTCTACATAATCGCCAGACCCGGACCATACGCCAATGGCGAACTTTCTGCAGGAGGATTCGCCCTATGGGCTGCCAACGGCCGACTCGGTAAAGAGCGTACTAGCGATACACAATACTACGATCTGTGGTCACCATGGATTACCGAGATAGGCAAAATCATCGCAGCTAATCAGATCACCGAGGGTGGACCTGTGATTCTGGTTCAGCATGAGAATGAGCTGCAGGAAACGACTCATAGTGCCAATAACACGTTGGTGCTGTACATGGAGCAGATTACGCAGGTCCTTGACGACGCGGGTATTGTCGTTCCGAGTACCCATAACGAAAAGGGGATGCGGTCTATGAGTTGGTCAACGGATTATGAGGATGTTGGTGGTGCAGTCAATATCTACGGTTTGGATAGCTACCCTGGTGGATTGTCCTGCACGAACCCCGATGCAGGCTTCGATCTTATCCGAACGTATTATCAATGGTTTCAGAACTATTCATATACGCAACCTGAGTTCTTACCCGAGTTTGAGGGAGGTTATTTTACGGCTTGGGGKGGCGTGTTTTATGATGATTGTTCTTCAATACTTCAGCCGGAGTATGCCGATGTGTTTTACAAGAATAATATTGGTAGCCGCGTCACGTTACAGAGTCTGTATATGACGTATGGAGGAACGAATTGGGGTCATATCGCTGCGCCGGTGGTGTATACATCTTATGATTATGATGCGCCCCTGAGAGAGACTCGTGAGATTCGCGATAAGCTGAAACAGACGAAGCTTTTAGGTTTGTTCACGCGGGTGTCTACGGATCTGCTGCAGACTGAGATGACGGGTAATGGCACTGGGTATACGACCGGTGCAGATATTTTTACGTGGGCGTTGAGGAATCCAGAGACGAATGCTGGTTTCTATGTCGTTGCGCAGGATGACAGCTCTTCGACGACGGACGTCGTATTTGATCTTGAAGTCGAGACTTCTGCAGGTACGTACCTACGCTCTTAGGGTGCGGTCAGATACTAATAAAACAGGCACCGTGAATATCACAAGCATTGGCCTCGACGGCCGTCAAAGCAAAATTATCACCACAGACTACAAAGTCGGCAACACCACACTGCTCTACTGCTCTGCAGACATCCTGACCTATGCCACCCTGGACGTCGACGTACTCGCTCTATATCTAAACCAAGGCCAAACCGGTACTTTTGCATTCGCAAACGCAAGCTCTCACTTAAAGTACACTGTCTATGGTAACTCGACGGTGACTACTTCGAATTCCAGCCAGGGGACAGTCTATACATATACGCAAGGACGAGGCACCTCGGCTATCAAGTTCTCGAATGGATTCTTGGTCTACTTGCTTGATAAGTATACCGCATGGGACTTTTTCGCACCGCCACTGCAGCTGTCGGATCCGATTGTGAAACCGAATGAGCATATATTTGTGATTGGACCTTACCTCGTGCGCGAGGCTAACATCAAGGGTCGTACACTGGAGCTCACTGGTGATAATCAGAACACTACATCCATCGAGTAAGCAATTACCCCCTTCTTTTCAAGCCAATTCATCCAAGCTAAAAACCGACAGAATCTACCACGGCAACCCATCCATCTCCTCCATAACCTGGAACAGCAAGCCCCTCTCCACCAAACGCACCGCCTACGGCAGTCTGACAGCCACCATCCCCGGCACCGAATCTATTTCTGTTTCCCTTCCCAAACTCACGTCCTGGAAATCCCACGACACGATCCCCGAAATCGACCCTAACTACGACGACTCCAACTGGGTAGTATGCAATAAAACCACCACTTTCAACTCTATCGCGCCTTTGTCGTTGCCAGTGCTCTACTCTGGCGACTATGGGTATCATGCAGGCCCCAAAGTCTACCGAGGGCGATTCGGCAGCACAAATGCTACGGGTGTAAATATCACGGCTCAGAATGGGTATGCCGCGGGGTGGTCCGCATGGTTGAACGGCGTATACGTAGGCGGCGTGACCGGCAACGTCAGCATTGAAGCAACCAGCGCGGTACTGGGATTAAACTCGTCGATACTCAAACAAGATGGTACGGACAATGTGCTCACCGTGCTGGTTGATTACACGGGTCATGACGAGGATAACGTCAAGCCCGCGGGAACCCAAAACCCGCGTGGCCTGCTAGGCGCCGTCTTCGTGGGATCGACAACGACGATTTTCACTTCGTGGAAAATCCAGGGTAATGCCGGCGGCGAGAAAAACATTGACGCGCTTCGGGGCCCCATGAATGAAGGCGGTTTCTACGCTGAGCGTCTCGGATGGCACTTACCGGGCTTCGAGCCATCGTCGTCCAGAAAAGGAGGATGGGACACCAAATCACCATCCGAAGGCGTCGCTGGCGGCGAACACAGATTCTACCTTACCTCCTTCACACTCGATCTCGGCCCAAACAGTCATTTCCTCGACATCCCCATCGGCATTAAGTTGAACGCATCCTCAACCTCCGGCCCAGCGGTAGCATATGTCTGGCTGAATGGATACAAATTCGCGCATTACCTGCCTCATATTGGTCCGCAAACAGTGTTCCCATTCCAACCTGGTGTGCTCAATATTCAGGGGAATGACGGCCATAAACGAACGAATACGCTTGCGATAAGTCTATGGGCGTTGACGGATGAGCCAGCAGCGTTGGAGGTGGTGGAACTCGTGGCGTATGGAAAGTATACAACTTCATTCGATTTTGGGAGGGATTGGAGTTATTTACAGCCTGGGTGGGTGAATAGGAGTGAATATGCTTGATCCTGTTCTTTAGGGTGAGGTTGACAAAATAGTGGTATCATGATATTAATTTATACACGAAGTGAAAAACAATAGGGTATCATTTACAACATCAACAACCTCCTCTTAATCCTCTCAATATTTACCTCCTCACACCCAATCGACAAAAGATACGCTTTCGCTCCACCATATTTCGTATCTAGATAGTCTTTCAGCGCCTCCGTAAACCCCGGCGGCGTCTTTGCATATTCCTCATCGAGGCCTATATCCGTAATCTCTTTCATCAACGAGTCCAGCTCAGGCTTTAGCTCTGCCTCTGATTTGGAGTAATCCGCCGCTATAGCGGTGAGCGGTATATCTGATGCCGTTTCTTTGACAAGAAGCAGTAACAACATGATAATCAACCCGGTACGATCTTTGCCCTGCGTGCAATGGATCAAAACCGGGTATGATTCGTCTTTGGTGAGAACATCAAAGACGGCACGGATCTCGGCGCCGGCGCTGTCCAGAGTGTCTTGGCCGAGTCCGATGAGGCCGCGCGGTTTCATGACTTTCGTTGCGATTACTTTGATGGCGTCTTTGCGGTAGCCCGATGCTAGTAGGCCCAGTACTTTCCTATTCCTGGGGTTAGCAACGAGATTATGCAATAGTCGGAAAGGCGGGCGTACATGAAGTTATACCAGTCTAACCGCCACAACAGTAATCTCTCAAAAGCGCGTCCTGTGAGACTGATAAAGTGCCGTTGTACTCCTGGTAAGCCTAGGAGATGTGGCCGATCGGCAATGTCTGGGATACTAATGTTCTCCGAGGAGCTCATTGATAGAGAGTGTTGACGTCTTTGCGTCGCCAAGTCATGTTCCGTGCTGTTGGCGTTAATTATTGACCATTCATACCAAGGAAGATGACATACTTTGTGCGTAGGTCGATAATGGTAGACAGATTAATATCGTCTATGAGACGTTGTTTGTCCCGCTCTGACGCATCGTCGAGCTGTATCAAACCATCAGTATTGCATTCTTCAATGACCAAGTGTGCCCAGAGACATAAGACATACCCTCGCACTTCGAAATAGAATCCCCTCTCTCACAACCCTACCCAATCATCAATTAGCAATGGACCCTTTGCGGATCAGTTAAAGATACATACCTATTACCCGCAAACTCGTTAACAGCCCTCCCGACATCCCGAAAGTTCAAAATATTATCAAACGGGCGATCCGGCGAGGCAAGATCAAAACTCGACGAGATCGAGCTTGCCGATGGACTTGGTGAGGGGGTGAGTCTGGTTGGTCTTTTAGATCTTTTTTGACGCATCTTTTCACCCTTTCTTCCTTTCGTGGAGTTATTTTATTTCTGTTTATTTTTGGAGATTGGATTTGTGGTTTGAATCAAGTGTTTTGACAATTCAAGAATTGAGCTGTGGTAATGATCCCGAGGAACGAGTTGTTATTGTTGCAGAAGAATACCGGTACCGAACGCGCCGAATCAAGTCCAACATGGATGATGAATGTAATCATTTAGATAACTCTTTCAGACACTTCGTTTTCTCTTATTCTGTCGAGATGTGTTGAAATGAATTGAATCGTTGTACAACAAATCTCCTCCTTACCGGGGGCGCGCGACAATCATATACTCTGGAAGGACTCCAGGATTGTGGAAACAGAAGATTAAAGTTGAAAACGGATGGGAAACCAAGATTCCAGATGTCGGTGGATCAAAAAAGGGGAGATGGTAAACAAAGAGGATCCAATAGAATTAACCAAAGCAATGGATTTGATAGACTATGTATACAATGGTCTTGAATATTGAATTGTCGGTGAGTGTGTCAGACAATTAGCCTGATATTAGTCAGGAGGGAGTCGGTCAGTCTAAGGCTTCTAGACTCTGCAGAATGATGTGTTGGCGCCTTAACGCCTTGACCGTTGACGCCTGCCGAAATTGGTGCCTTACGATCTGACTCCTCAGTGCTCAGGATATTGCACTTATGCAAAAATCAAGGTCCAGTCAATTTCACGAAAAATTTAGGACATTACTAAATAATTATGTGCATCTGGGATATCCCGATGCATAACAATATTCCAACGCCAATCATCCTCCAGAGCCAAGAATACATTGACGTACAAATGAGTATCCAAAACAGAGATTATTATTACAATCATTAATTCATGAGCATGCAATGCGTTTCTATGTAGATAAATCGACTTGGGGATCTTTCCACACCGTCCACGGATTATCAATTCAGTGGGCTTATTTCTTAAATGATTAGAAGTCTCGGGGCACATGTGTGCCGCTCATGTGGTGCCCGTTGACGACTTGGCCGCGGTAGGTGTTTCCTCGATCGCCCATGGAGTCTGTAGTCACGGGCTCTTCGTACGTGATCTCATGCTGAGGTCCAGAGCTAGTGCTCGGCCGGCTCATGTGCAGTGCTTTCTCGCCCTGTGGAATATGATGGCGAGTGCGTACGGACGGAAGCAAATCGATAATGAATGAAAGGACGTAGAATGTAAAGACCAATGCAATGACTACAAGAGTTAGTACGCGCCGTTTCAAGACAGAAAGGAATGAGTTTACGTACCCCATTCGAGAATAGCAGCCGCGTTTGTGACACCGTGTTCCTTCTGGTTCAAGACTCCAAATCCAATAGCGAGACCGAGCTCAATGATGATAAACAGGAGTTTGATCCAGAAGCTGATGAATAGCACACGGTGTTGTCGCCGATATGTGACACCCAGTCGCAGATATTCCATACAGATGAATATAGCGCTAAGCAAGTAGCCTCCACTATTTTTTCGTCAGAACAATACTATACCATTGGGGCATAATGAACTACTCACATGAACACTCCTAACATCGAGTCATGCACATTCTTATAATCGACGTCATTAAAGATCGACAGCAAGATCAGCCCTGCCGCTCCAATGAACGAGAAAATGATCGAGATGATCGAGCAGGCCTTATCGAAGCGTCCTTTGTTGCGCACAAGCTGTCCCGAGTGTCGTAGCCAGCGCTCTGACAAGAAAGAGAGATCTAGAAAAACGACTGTGACCACGCTGCCGGCAATGAAGAGAGGTTGTATCCCAGTTGCACCGATATCTGAGATGTATCTAGTTTGCGGCTAGATATTAGCAAAGAACTGGTCAACAAGGCAAGAAATGTGGACAAGAGGCTTACGGAATTGTGCGGCTTGCGGGCATGTTGCTGTAATGAGGCTTTCCCTTGACTGCCCAGGTCGATAGCATCGCAATCAGCATTGCGAGCCACATGCAGGCCGAGATGACGGGGAAAACCCAGAATGAGATGATCCACATGGTTGCGGTTTGTGTGTGGGTATGTTCTTGCAGGAGTCGAAGTAAAGCTGTTGGCTAGGTGGATTTTGGTATTATAGAGAACGCGCAATTCTCAACGAATGCGACGACAGGAAAGAGACGGCGCGAATGAGACAGTGACCGATGTATAGACTTCTCTGGAGCGAGTGAAGCCAGCGAGGGATAAAGCATACCACGTAAGGAAAAGGGAAAACATAGTAAATATTAAGAGGTCCAAGGGGGTAATATAACTTATACGTAGTGAGAGACTAAGAATGCGGCCAGAGCGGCCATGACTTCATAAGTTCATCGCTGGGCGGCTGGCCGAAAGAAGAAGGAGATGAGCCCAGTGGAGCACCGACGTCATCGGCCGCCATGGAGATCTCGTGCCGCGATCTGCACACAACAAATGCTTCTTTCTGCCCTGACGCACTACATACTATATCTACTATGTATGTAAACAACAATCGACAACTAGTTACTCGCATTATTAGATGAATAATTAATCTATATACAGAACATGCAACAAACAGAGAGAAAATCTATAATCATAATTAAACCGCTCTAGAACTCCTGCCACGAACAAGCCCGGGCATAACATTTGTGTACGCGCATGTTAAGCAAAAATGGTGAAGATCAAAAATCAAACAAAGGGTATGGCACGAAAATCAGATCTCAAGGCAGGCACAATTTCACTTTTTACGTAGTTACCGACCACGCCGCCGACGAGTTTCGCGGTTCCCACCGGAACCCCCGCCAGCCACTGCCGTGCGCCCTCCATACGCGCGAACAGCGGGTGGCTGTGTAACTTGCACTCCCTCATCGTCGTCGTCATCATCTTCGTCGTCGTCGTCGTCGTTTTCGCTGGCGTGGTCGTCGCTAGAGTCGTCTTCAGATTCGGAAACTTCATCGGGAATGCGACGACCTGTCGAGTTGACTGCTTCTCGGCGAGGAATGTTCTGACTAGCAGCTGTATGTGCATGGTTGGGATTAAAAGAAGATGCATCCGAGGGAACCGGTCGACGGCTCGGAAGGCTAGCGTAGCGGGGATCAATAGGAATCGTTCCGTATTGCTGTTGCAGATATACAGGGTTGTCATATGGATACGGCAATACATTAGACTGGGAGCGTTGCCGAGGTGCCCATTGCGGATCATCAGGTAGGGCACGAACGTAAGGCGGCTCACGTTCGGACGGGTAACGCTGCATATAAGTCGCTTGATGCATGGGAGAATTAGCGGAAGGCTGCGGGCGTAGAGATTGCATAGTCGGGGTTCTTGGACGAGATGCTGAACTGGTCGAACTATTGTTCATGGATGGATAGATACCGGTTGGCGGACGTAGGGGGACTCCAGAGAACTCATTCGTTGAATATTGGCTTTGTGAGCTTCGTCGCGATTCAGAAGCACCACTTGCCCTGGGAGAGGCCTTCGCAACCGATTCTCTACTTTTTGGTCGTCTATCGTTTGCAGGCGCACGACCAGGAGAACCGATAGGAACAGTAACCGTAGCTTTCTTGTTGTTTGTGATTCCCTTTCGTCTTCGTTCCAACGCGTCCAGCTCTTCTTGAGAAAGTCGAACGTTTTTCTTGCCCAGCATCTGAGCACGTCTTATCCTCTCCAGCGCCTTCTCGACCAACATTTCTTCCTTGTCTCGCATTGCCAGTTGCACTGCATACGCGACAGTGCTATCCGCATCGTCATCCAAATCAAATTCCGCGCCATCCGATAACTCGCTCTCGTATTCATATCCATTACTTCTCAGCCGCAACTCACGAGCGCTCGCCTTGCTTCCAATCCTTCCGTTCCGCCGCGATCCATCAAACTTCACACCATTATAACCATCATCCACCTCACTGTCAATCTCCTCGACACGCACACCATTGAAATCCTCCCATTGTCCAGCCCTCCTTCGCGCCTGATTTCCCTGCCATACCCCTGGTGGTCTTCCCCATCGGGGCATATCGTAAGGAGTTCGCGGCCGACCACCTAGACCGCCTCCTCGGAAAAAGCATTCTCGATAGGCTTTTCCATAAACGCGGCATGACCGAGAGTAGTCACGCCAGTAGCACCAATCAACCAGAGAGCAAACGCGATGGGAGATGCCCAGAGACCGAGAGGAACAGCAATGATCAGCAATGTGGTGTAGAGCTGAGAGGTACTTGCGCGAAGAAATCCGACGTCGAGATCGCGACCGTCGAGTTTGCCGATCCCGTACATACCACCGGCGACCAATACAATGACAAAGAGAAGAACGGGGTTAGTGAGGAGACCGTAGATGCTCAGCATGAGGAAGACGACGAAGTAGTTGCTGGAGAAGTAGGACAGGTTGTAGTTGACACGGCTCTGCACTTCGCTAAAGTCGGCGGGCTTCGAGATACGCTTTATATCGAGAAACTCGGAGATGGGTTTGAGATTGGCAAAACGCGAGCTCATCGATGTAGAGCGCATGCTCTGGAAGCGGTCGCCGAAGCGAGAAGTGATGAGGTCGACGGGGATCTTGAATTGGGCCATTGTTGTTGGTTGACTGAAGAATCAGACGGTAAGAATATAAAGAATTAAAGGAGTCTTGGGTGGAAGACCAAAGGCCTGAGTTTAAAAATCGCTGTTGCAATGATTGAATGAGGATGTTTTGAGAGGAAGGCAGAAAGTTTCAAGACAAAAAAAGTGAAGCCTAATAGGAACGCGCGATGGCTCAMCTCAGCCAGGGGCAACCGCGAGCCAATCCGCGGCTGCCAAATTCCCCCTATGGGAGAAACCCAGCCGGAAAGGGCCTAGCGCGATCGAGGATGGCTTAATCAGCGATTTATCGATTCAGCAGCATCTTTTCCCTCGTACAATAGAACTGTACTTCGGGTCACCCAGACATGGCGGTAGAAGAGAGAAAAAAAGGACGGGAGAGACTTCCATTAAATACGAGACTTCGGGAAAGATTCCTTCTCTCTTTGACGGGTTTTTAGCTTTCGCTTGGCCGGACTGAAATGCAGCCAACCCCGCATACGGCATTCAACAACCAAGGCGGACGTCCGTTGGCATTAGGCCCATGATTATCGAGCAATCACAGTGCTGGAGAGTCAAGACATGTCAGATCAGGTCCACCGCCAGTTTCCAGTCTGGTTTACTTACTCATCACCGCAGCATCTGTCCTGGTCAGCATTTTCCAAAGTCAGAGCGAGCTGACGTGTCATATCGGAGGATATCCCCCCATGATCACGGCATTCTCTTTGACCCAAATGGCAAGAAGAAGTTCAATGTTCAACTACGCTATGAGATCGAGACATGACTTGGCCTGCACTTTGTTGCCATGGCTTTTGTCTGAACATGGTGTGATTAGGACGTGGCATCCTTTGAACAGTTGTATTCGGCCAGCACAGTGTCCTATAGTAATCTTACAGTACAACTAACTTAGCCAACCCCTCATTGATCACGAATAACCACCAAATAGCGTCAGCCATGTCGATTGGACCGGCCATTGACTCAGTCCACAATTAATGCCTGAGGCATAATTTATCACATCACGTGCTCGGTTGAGACCTAAGCTGAAGCAGCATTCATTCTTCTCATTTCTCGTAGTTGTCTAGTCGGAATATAAGTATTCTGAGGATTCTTCAACGTTTGCGTCATGCATGCAATTATCGAATAGCAGCCCAAATTAATAACGACGTCCACCACCTCATCTTCCGTCGTCATGACCGATTCAGCTCTCCTTGTTCGTCCACGTTTCCACAGATTTCTCCGCCAACGTGATGACAGACTACTGTCTCCCCATCTAAGATTGCGCTCAAAATGCCCATGACGGTGATGAATAGTCCCATTGATTGGGTTATACAAGCTCTGCGGTCGATACTCCCATTCTCGGCGTCAAAGGCACTTAGTTGCCGAGCTACAACCTGCCATGAATACAATTACCATTTCAAGTTGTATTTGGAATCAACAAGATAACATATTATCTACTCAAGTGACATCCTTGACGACTCGCGAGCGCTATCATACCGACTCGGCAGCTCCCGAAACACAAAAGACTGTCGCGGAATCTCACTCTTCCGATCGAACACCGACTGGAGACCATGCTCGAAATTCAATACGCAGAAGATAGCACATGCCGTTGCGAGAAAGGTGAAAATTAACGCTACAAAGGCGAACAGTAGCATCATATATTTTCCTGGGGTGTTTGCGAGCAGGCTATGTCCGCATAGAACGACGATACGGGAGATGATATATGCTAGGAGGCCGAGGTAGGAGATCTGTTCATGTCAGATTAGTTTTGCCGTTAAAAGAAAGATGAAGACTCACTATAACGATGACAGTTCCAATCCTGTTCTCAGATCGGACAAAGTACACGCTCAGAACCATGATCATAACTACGGCCGGAATGAGAGCCATGGTCAATGAGAACTCGGGCTCGTTGAAGTGTACGTCGACCAGATTGTACTGGATTATGAAGCCAATGAGGAAATAAACGTCGAATATGATCAAGACAAGGTAGACCTGGAGCCATTAATTTGCTTTCTCCAACATTGAAGCTCTTGGAAGCGTCCACTGGTGGGCTATGTACCTCGTATCCCCTATACCTGAACCGAACTTTCGGATCCCCCTGCACACACTGATATATAGCCCACGAGTACTCCTTATGCAACCGATACGCAACCGGACACACGATCGCAGTCGCAATGCCAACAACAATTGGCACAGTCACCTCCGTCGGATGAATCTCCTTCCACAAATCCCGCGATAAATCCACCAGAGGCTGATTGAGAGAATCTCGACTTCCCTGGATCGTAATCACGTTTGCGTGCATGGATGTGTACTGCAGGATCGAATATGCGAATATGCAGGCTTTACTGACACAGATCGCTACCAGTAGAATGTTGCTTTTGTCGTGCATGAGTTTTAGGGATATGAGCGATTCGTAGAATACGGCGAACATGATGAGGGAAAGATTGACAGGTATGAGGTAGGAGACGGGGACTTGGTTGCTATTGGGATGGAGCCATGATTCCCATTGAGAGAGGTTGTAGCTAGTAGACGAATTAGATATAGAAAAAGTATGAATGCATCACTCAGTTTGCGTGGACGATTGCTTTCATCCATGGATGTAAAACTCACATCTCCAGGACCAGCACGGCCACTGCTTGCACCCATACGGTCCAACAGAACCATCGCTCATTTCTCGAAGTCGGCCAATACATGACGCTCCTCGGATGCCCGCAAATGAATTATTGAGAACATGTATGTACCTTGATGATGTTGGCCAGGATAAGGAATAACTTATCTTTAAAATTTAGTCTGAAGGGCGCAAATTGTGGCTTTATAATAACCCACATCTCAGCCTCCTGCCCTATGAAAATGGGGCCCTATGTGGACTACCGGTATGGGGAACTGGACTCCGGAGTACCTAACATTGAATTGATGGAAAAAATTTTGGGATAAGTATTACATCCACACCCATAACCACACTTTCGATACTCGTGACTTTTCGAAATTCTCCTCCTTGATCTCTATGCATAGTCATACCTATACGTTCCTACTCGCATCGAATTTGCGTGGTGTACTTGAGATTCTATGTAGTGTGCTTCTCATTCGGATATTTTAACATTCGGGTATTTTAGCGGTGCGGATCCCAGAATTTTTACAGTTGCTTGTCCTTTTATGGTACCCTAGAGCCCCTGTCTCACATCGCTACCCTATCATATCGAATTCTTCAGAGGGGCTTGGCCGCTTTCAAGACAACAGCCTTATCTAAAAATTGGCCATAGGGCGACGAGGGAAAGGTCGCATTGCTTGGACCGAGTCACTGTACGCATCGAAGTTCTGATCAAAAGCTCAGTGGAACTTCTCTTTTTAGTGGCGGCCGTGGTTCTACGTCATGATGTGCTGTATGTATGTGTCTTAGGCACTTTTCTACGGCCGCTGCATACATCTGCTTAGAATTGTAAGATACATGTAGGCAAGGTATGTTTGAATGGTGAAAAGACTTAACGTGCTGGATGTGCGTGAATGTAAATTTTGTAAAACACGTATAAATAGTGTCGCGTTGTCACACATGGACTGCCGTAATGCCTCAAGAGATTGTCCGAAGCTTTATGCCCTGTCAGTAGGTCAGAATAGGCTGAGTCTAATGAGCTCTGGCGATAGTACTAAACTTGCATTGTAATTCTAGTAACCCAGAGGGATTGAACTTTTATTGCAGGGATTCCGAAGAAGTTAGAATAGACTGAGTCTAGTGAGCTCTGGCGATAGCACTAAACTTGCACTGCATTTTTAGTATCTAGAGAGATTGAGCTTTTTCAACGGGGGTTCCGAGTATTAGAGAACCGCTCTATGTAACTCGGGCTGTAACTTGCACCCTGATAACTCGATTTATAGCTAAGTAAAGCATAGTACACATATACCAAATTCAGTCAAATGAATCTAAAGGTTCTAATAACACTGCTTTAAGAATATCAAGGAGATTTAAAAGATAAAACAAGGACATATAAAGTGTTCTAAATAAATAGCATGGAGTAATCCCTACTTAAATAATATTTTTAGTCTATTCTATACACTACAGTATCTTTTAGACAGACTTATCCCATAACAAGTTGGAATAGGCTGAGTCTTGAGATTGATGGCAAGGACCATTACCGCACTACAATTTTAGCTCTGTGGAGGAGTGAATGATTCGGGGCTCTTAGGGCTCCCATAGCGTTGAGTGGTGACCCGGCCCCAGCGCTAGCGGCTGCTCTCTTTTAAGGCGCCTTCCGCTATTCAGAGCTGATTATGCAAACCATTTGTTACAACACCGCTACTTTTTGATGGCTGGATTCCAATTACGACAGATCAAGTACAATTGCCGGAAGTGAACAACTGGACTCGGCATGATGTCTACCAATACTGGTATCCGTAAGTTCTACTTCGTTTGCTCGCCTTAGATCGCAAATATCTACGTATGAAAGCCAACTTTTCATCCTCTAACATCCTCTGGTCTAGCGGCACGAAGTATCTATGGCTGCTGGACATGCAGAGTCCGAAGGAAGAAATGCGATGAAAGCCGCCCGCTGTGCACTACTTGTAACTCTTTAAGGCTCAAATGCCACGGCTACGGACCAAGACCAGAGTGGATGGACAACGGATCATTACAAAAAGAGAAATCCTTGGAGTTCAAGCAGATTGTCAGCCATACGAAGTGGAAAAAAGGAAAACGAAACTTGCTGCATACAATACGCCGCTCATCGCAAGACCGGAATGCCCATAACAATCAGAATCGAATAAGTCAATTGAATCTTAATCAAACGCAGACTACTACCGCATCTAATTCAACAAAAACACAGCTGGGACAATCGCATTGCCTCATTGGTGAAGATAAAACCGGCGACGAATCGACCGAGTCAGAACGAACAAGCTACCTTGAGCAGATATGGAACGCACCACCCCATGACGGCATTATTTCATCTAATTCTGTCTGTTTCCGCGATCCAGGGTACTATGCACCAGTCTCGCTATATCCGAGAGATGTCTCGCCACCATATGGGCCAGGTACTTCGGCCTCAGAACTAGCCGCTGAGCAAACGAGCGCTATAGACTGGGTCGATGTTGCACCTCAAGAGATATTGGAAATGACCATTAATGGCGGAGACAACTCACACCATTCCGATGAAATGATGTGGAGTATGCCGCAATATACCACCTCGACCATACCGATACTTACAGCTCCGGACTACTGTATAAACCCATTGAATACGTCCCCGCGTGGACAGACCTCGGTGTCAGATAACCCTACACCAAGATGTGCAACACCTAAAACGATAACGCTAGACTCTCAAAAAGAGGATGCTTTGTTTATGCATTACCTAGACGATGTATTCTACACCCAGAACGCCTTCTACAACCCAGCGGACAAATACAAAAGAGCTTGGTTGTTTTCAGTCATCAAGCAAGTCAAGCCAGCTTACTATGCAACCTTGGCTTTAAGTGAACGCGACCTTCTCATCTCCTCGATGCCTCAAACTCAAAATATGGATATTGAAGCTTTGACAGAGCGGTTAAGGGCCAAAGATAGCTACTATGACCTCGCGGCTCAAGGTTTGAAGTCATATCTCGATGATGCTCAAAACTTGCAGGGCCAGAGCGACTTAGCCCGTTGCGTGGAGGGTCTTACATCTATTCTTCAAGTTCTATATTGGGAGGTATGTAATGCTTATTGATATTATGGCACTGCACACCCATGCTAACAATTTTTGTAACATTAGCTTTTGGCTGGTGGAAGCAGGAATTGGCAGGGCTTTCTTCGCTCAGCCTCTCCTCTCATAGCCCCTCTTATAAAGATGCGACTGCCCGATCAATCGAGTACCCAGCCCAAAACGCAACAAACAAGCAAAAAACCCTTGACTCCAGAGCAGGACGGCGCCACATGCGTCTTGCTTGGATCTTTTATATCTCTGGACATCCTCGCATGTGCATCAACGCGTAGTGCACCTTTCCTGGATATCAACCATCTCCAGGCTCTAAGTCAACTCGGTATCACAATGGAGCGTATGATAGGGTGCGAAAACTCCGTCTTATCACTCATATTCGAAATCACCGTGCTGGATAAATGGAAGGCACAGTCGCAGGCAACACACAAGCTAAGCATTCTCGAATTGGCAAAACGTGGTCTACATATTGAGCAACGTCTTCAGCAAGAGTTAGCAGACCTCAACATGAGCACAGAATCATCACCACAACCATCGAATCATCCTTCGGTGATTCATGCCACCCCGTCCCACAAAACAGCCACCAAGGCCTATGCTCTTGCTGCCATCATCTACCTACACGTCGTCCTATCAGGCCCCTACCCCGAACTTCCAGAGATTGCAGGGCCCGTCTCTGACGCAATAGCGCTGTTCCGAATCACTCGAGACAATCCAAAGTTGCTGCTGAACATGATCTGGCCGCTATGCGTCACCGGATGTATGGCGGCTGAAAGCCAGCAAAGCTTTTTCCGCCACCTGGCTGCGTCATTTTCTCCGAGAAACATTGGCGAAGAGTCATTGCAATCCCTGTCAGCATCTACAGGGACTTTTTTGGAGGCAATGAAGATTATAGAGCAATGTTGGCATACTAGGAAGAACCTTCCGTTTGATTGTGATTGGGCTTCGATTATGGATCAGAGTGCTTGTTATGTTTTGCTTAGGTAGATGTATATGCATCATGCTTGTTAAAGTCAAACCTACTTAATAGCTCTCATCTTGCTATCTAGGCACTTAAGGACGTTGTTACAGGTAGATACCCCTATTCAGACAGATCTCTTGTCATCGGCGGCGCGCACACTAAAAGAAGCTGATGCATATTGTATCTGGAGAATTTGACAGACTTGAGTGTTTACTGAACGTCACAAAGCTCTCTACATGCTGACCAACACATAAAAATAAAGTAGATAAGGGAAGGGCTGCCTGGACGATAGCCCATCGGCCTTTGGCGGCGGCGGCAACGTTAACCCTAAACTGCGCGTCAACGCTAAGCCAAATCTAGGATGTCTGCGTTGATACTTCTGATTGGTTGGGGACTCTATACTTTACGTCTCATCCTTTTTTACATAGATTGAAGTTGACGAGCCAAAGTCTATGGACGCGATGTTGGAAAGCTGACATATGCTGAATGATAGCCAAATGCCTGCTTACCGCGCCTCTGTAAGTGTCGGGATCGGCGGTCGAATGGAGTCTTTTGACGCCTGTCTTAACGCACAGTCTCATGCTTGCTAGATTGCTTCCGTACGGTATGCTTTGTATTGCCAACTTCTTGTAGTCAGTATGAACAGAAGGCACCGTATTGTTCCGAATTCAGGGCGATTTGTTCCTCCGTAACTCGGGGAGTTTTTCTTCTCCTGGATATGAGCATCACCAATAACTACCTATCTGGATAAGTATAGAATCTTTCTCGCATGGTCATTAAATACTTACCTTCAGGCGCTCGAAAATTCCTCCTCTCAGCTGACTTACCTTGCATGATCAGCTTTGAATGTCAAGATCATAGACAGCAATTATGGATACCAACACCTTTGGCACCATTGGCCTCGACAAAAACCACACCTCTCATCCCCTCAGAGGCGATGAAATCCATGACAATGTCCACAATGCCTTGAATGCAGCAGTAGCACCCGACCCCGAAAAACAAGCCATCAAGACCAAGGCAGAGACCGCTCCTCGCGAAATATCAGGCTTCAAATGGGCACTCGTCGTCGCAGCCATCTACAGCTCCCAATTCCTGTTCGCCCTCGACAACACAATCGTCGCAAACGTCCAGCCAGTCATAGTCGAGCACTTCAATTCCGTCGCAAAGCTCTCATGGATCAGTGTTTCGTTTCTGATTGGTTCTGCCGGCACAAATCTCATCTGGGGTAAAGTCTATGCTCAGTTCAATGCCAAATGGACTTATATTGTTTGTGTGGTTGTCTTTGAAGTTGGATCGGCTGTCTGTGGAGCTGCACCGTCTATTGATGCGTTCATTATTGCTCGTGCTATATGTGGTGTTTCTGGAGCGGGTATGTATGTCGGACTCATGACACTGCTTGCCGTTACAACGACCATTCAGGAACGTCCCATGTACGTGAGTGGTGCCGGTTTTACCTGGGGTCTCGGAACGGTCCTTGGTCCTATTATTGGGGGAGCTTTCACGGACTCCTCGGCCGGATGGCGTTGGTCATTCTATATCAATCTCTGTATTGGTGCCGTGTGTGCTCCCGTCTATCTGTTCATGCTCCCATCGGACAAGGATCCCCGTCCTGGCGTTAGCTTTCTTGACCGTGCTCGTGAGCTAGACTATATAGGTGGTACCCTGCTCACTGGCGCTTTTGTCTCTGGTGTCATGGCAGTGTCTTTCGGTGGAGTGATGTTTCCCTGGAATTCCGGAAGAATCGTCGGCTTGTTTGTATGTTCTGGCGTTCTCTTCATACTCCTTGGCATCCAGCAGACACACACAATTTTCACAACTGCTGCGCGCCGTATAATGCCCGTCGAATTTTTCAAGATGCCCACTATCTTGACTCTTTTTGCTGCAACAGCGGCGGGCGGAACCGCCATCTTTGTTCCGGTATATATGGCGCCTCTCTTCTTTCAATTTACGCGAGGCGACTCTGCTCTGCAATCCGGTGTTCGTTTATTGCCATTTATTTTCATCATGATTGTAGCGGTTATTGCCAACGGTGCCGTACTCTCCAAGACTGGAATGTATATGCCATGGTATCTTGCCGGAGGAATCCTGATCGTCATTGGCGCAGCACTGATGTACACCGTCGACATTTCAACCTCCATCTCGCACATCTACGGATACACCGTCTTGATCGGACTCGGCGTAGGCCTGTTTTCTCAAACATCCTTCTCAGTTGCTCAAGCCCTTGTGGAGCCTCACATGATCCCAGCTGCCGTTGGATTCATCTCATGCGCTCAGATCACTGGGATCACATTATCACTTGCTATCGCGAATGCGGTTTTCTTGAACAAGAGTGAAGAGGGTATCAAAACCATTCTGCCCGATATACCCAGCGCAGAGATTGAGCAGACAATTGCAGGAGCGCAGTCTACTCTTTTGCAGAGTTTGTCGCCAGGTGTCAAGCACCAGGTGTTAGAAGTCATTGTTGATGCTCAGAATAACGCATATATCCTTGTAATGACCGCAGGTGCCTTGGTGACTTTGCTGGGCCTTACTATGAAGCGTGAGAAGCTCTTCATGGAAGCTTCTGCTGGAGGTGCTTGATGTAAATCAAAGGGGCTGCAGAGCTCTGAGGAAATGGAGGTGCATAGATCAGATTGACGACAGTAGATTCGCAGCAAGTATTCGAGTTTTTAGCTCTGATTGAAATAACAGACTAATATCAAAGAATAATAATGAATAGAAGGAGACAGAAATTGATTGGCTCAAATCAAGATGATGACTCTAGCCTGATATAGTAAAGCGTATATCCGTCTGGCCCAAAATAAATGAACAACATTGACATGTGTCCGTATGGAGGTGTGTGTTTCGCATGTTGTCAACTTGAGAACTCACCATGCGGCATACAGCTTTTCAGTTCCTGGTTGTGGCCATTCTTTTTGTGTTCGTCGCAGCCTGGACCAAAGAAGGTACGCCTCCTTCAACGTGTCAAATTCATGCGGACGTTTAAACTGACTGGAAGCTTTTCTTAGACCACGAAATCTTTCAAATTCGAGATGAGATATTAGCCAAAGAAGGCGCCAATGTCACATTCTACGGTAAGACTACTAACAGGTATATTGTGTAAATGCATGCTGACAAAGACAATCGTCAGACTTCCTCGGGGTCTCTCCAAACGCAAACCAAGATGACATCAACAAAGCCTATCGCAAAAAGTCCAAACAACTGCATCCCGACAAAGTAAGGCGCTCCTTCGTTGCCAACAGCTCACGAGGGGATGGCAAGCAAAAGGGCAAAAAGCCAGGCGTCCACGTTTCCAAGGGACCATCGGAACGTCAAATCGCAAACGCCGTCAAAGAGGCCACCGAGCGCTCCGCACGACTCAACACCGTTGCAAATATCCTTCGAGGCCCTTCGCGTGAGAGATACGATCATTTCATGAAATATGGGTTCCCGACGTGGAAGGGCACTGGATACTATTACTCTCGATTCCGACCGGGTCTTGGAAGTGTGCTGCTAGGTCTTTTTGTTGCGTTTGGCGGCTTTGGTCATTATATTGCTCTTGTGCTTTCTTACAGAAGACAGCGGGAGTTTATGGAGAGATATATCCGTCATGCAAGGAAAGCTGCCTGGGGAGATGATCGGGCACTGGGTGGTATACCCGGTCTTGATGCTACTGCGACTGCTGCTCCGGCCGCCGCACCTCAAGCAGAGGTCGAAGAATCACCCGCGGCGATGGCATTGAACCGTCGACAGAAACGTATGATGGAGCGCGAGAACCGCAAGGAAAGTAAGAAGGGGAACAAGAGTTCTGGACCAAGTGATTCAGCACCGGGTTCTGGCACAGCTACCCCTGTTAGTGAGAATGTGGCGGGKGCATCAGGKACTAAGAAGCGCGTTTACGCGGAGAATGGAAAGGTTCTGGTCGTCGACTCGATCGGCAATGTCTTCTTGGAGGAAGAAACGGAGGAAGGCGAGAAGCAGGAATTCTTGTTGGATCTTGATGAGATTCCTCGACCGGCGATTCGGGACACGTTTGTATTCCGTCTACCGCGGTGGGTTTACCACAAGGTGCTCGGCAAAAAGGACCTAGAAGAGCTTGGCGAAGCTGTTGAAGGATTGGATAATGTGGACGCCAATGAGCAGGACATTATCGCCGACACTGAAGTGACAAAGTCAACTTCGTCTAAGGGATCTGCTGCTACTGCAGCCACAAGAAAGCGTGGCAAGCGGGGCCAGAAAAAGTGATTAGACAGTTCAGGAGTGATCGAAATATTGTGTATAAAATATTGCCAGATAGGCATTGCTTCATAAAAAGAAAGACTTTACATTGGCCATTTGACCCGTGAGAGTAAAGGTCTCCAACCAAGCTGAAATGCTGCCAATATCAAATATTCGATTGCCCAAGTCTATTGTAATCTTTGCAACAGTAGCGGTCAAAGGCAGCACCTATCCCTTCCATTAACATTTGAACGTGAACTGGTGCCTTGGCATGTTTTTTATGGCGAGTTTCCTGCTTCGTCTTGCTTCTTCTAGCGCTGGCTAGTGTCACGGCTACAGGCTTCTATCTCGATGTTATGTGGAAGCTGCGAACTGCCTTCTCAGAGAGTACCGATTCCCTGAGTACTTGAGTCGTTCTTTTCTCATTTCCAAGTCGTTGAGGTGTCGGGAGACTCCCGGGATCGTTCCTTCGCAATTTGGGCGTCATTGTTTGTTTTCTCCCTTCTCATCCTTACGCCCGTATTTCCTGTCCGAACCTGATAGGATATCTTACGGACATATCCATACGTGCAATCTTCCCCTTTATTTAGCTCTAGAAATCAGTCATCAATTCCATAAAACTATCCGTGGCTTCGTTTCGTAGACTTTGCTAGCCAGCCGAACACCAATCCAAGCTGTGTTTTCTGGACTGTGTAGATCCAACAATTAGGTAGTAAAGCGTGGATCGCGGCGGTGATCTGTTTGCATGAGATCGATAAGTTGCACAGAAGTGCACCTTTTTGATGATGCTCTGGGCATGGGTCTGAAAGAATGGTGGACTTATGCATTGTGATGTATGTTCTGAAGTAGTCCCATTGATATTGACGAAATAAGATGTCATCATGAGTTTCAGCAGCGATCATCGCTACCAGTCTATAAGATAAGTACTGTACAAATGGAAAGAACATGAAGAAAAGAGAGGTGCTAATCTTCCAGCCTTAATCAAACGAAGGATTTCTACATCAACAAGCGCCAAGCACCGACAATAAGAGCAGCGGTACCAGTGCAAACACCACTAAAAACAAGTAAGTAATCGAAGAGATAGGAGCAGAATGGTGGTTAGACTTACACGAGCCATTGCAAAGTCGACTGCTTCACAGCTTGCACTCGTTCCCTCAATCCGGCAACTTCCTGCTCAATCCTCGTCTCGGTCTCCTTGATTCGCATTTCTTGGCTATTGGCCTCCTCTCGAATACGGCCTTTCTCTAAATTCAGATCTAGTCGCACGGAGGCTTGTGTGCGGCTGATTTCGTCTCGTAGTCTAGAGTTCATCTTGGCCAAGTCTGCTGCTATTCGTTCGTGGGAGGAGCGTGTTAACTGTGCTTCTGTCGAGTCGGAGTTCAATAGTTCGGACCGCAGTTTTGCGAAATCCACTTTTTGTGTGTATGTTGCTCGCTCGGAGTCTGCAGCAGTTCATATTAGCTCTGTTCTGAGGCTCCATGGTAATCTGATTTCATCATACCTTCTTTCAAAACCATAGTCCGTGTTAAGTTTTGAATAGACTCTTGAATAACATCGTTAAGCACCTTCATCATGGCAACCGCTTGTTCTTCGCTGAACCCTTCCATCTTCAGTCTTTGCACGAATTTCAGCGTATCGAAATGATGTTCACGGCTCATGATAGCCGACGCATGAAATGCGCGTCGTGCAGGTTTGAAAGCGGCGACATATACACCATTATGTCGGATAGGCGTGCTGTCTGTATTTGGAGAAGTTTTCGAAGGGGGTGACGATGACGTTGTCAAGGATGAGAAGCGAGTTGATGAAACCGAAGATCTGCGCACGGGAGTCGACGGCGTATGGTATTTTCGACTGTTTATATGATATTCTTCTGCCTTATTGCCCTGCGAACGGATAGTCGAGATAGGCGCGCCTTGGATGGCTGTGATGGTGATGCGGGGTGTACCGTTCCAGGTCAACCGGGGAAGGAGATATCGAGGGGTGACGGTGATTTGCTTTGAGGGCGCCATTTTGGCAAGTAGAGTATAAGACCCAGCAGTGCGAACGAAATGGAAAGTAGTCTAACGAAGGCGATATAACGCTGCAAAAAGGGTGATGATAAGAAACGGCATCTGTCGGAGTTGTATAGATCTGGGAGGACGATTGGATGCGCTCGCCGCGGGAAAAAATGTCAGCGCCGAATGCCGGGCCGGGATGTTTGTTTTGTTTGTCTTGCTCTCCGTGCCAAGCCCAGACCTTCCTTCCCCGGCTGACATTTTTTGCTCACAACGTCTAAATAGAAGACATTGATCAACACTTCCAGAATTGCTGCAATTCATCATGGCCTCACGGGGCGCTGGTCTGCCCTACAGGCAGCTTATGCAGAGATGTAAGTTCCACCATGCATTGTATCGTTGATGCAGCAATTGACAGCAGCAGCGCGCTCGACATTAGTATCCCAACGAACAATTAGCTACACCCGCCCATTACGCGCAGAAGTCGAACAAGAGAAAGATGCAAAAAACATCAAACCTACCAAGAAGTCGTCTTTATTGGACTCGATGAAGGGTCTTATCTTCAGCAGACCTGCACAGCCAGGAGACAAGCCGACACGAAAACCTCAACTTCCTTCAGAGCCCCAGCGAGAAGGTTCCTTAGGCCAAGAGTCCATCTTCGCTGATGAGGCTGTTGGCGAAATCGAAGAAACAGAGACAACCGATGGAAAGACACTTACCAATAAGAAGGTACTGACGTGGGAGAATATGCAAAGGGTACTTGACCCCAAGCCCGAAGCACGCAAGCGATGGGAGCGAAAGATGATCATTCGAGAGATTCGGAAACGGGGCCGATTGACTAAGGAGGAAATTATTGCGGCAACAGAGCGTGAATCGCTTGTCAAGTCTCATTGGTTCAAGACTTCAGTCAAGAAGTTGACACCGCTGGCACGACAAATTGCCGGCAAAAATATCGATGAAGCTATTCTGCAGATGCGATTTAGCAAGAAAAAGGTCGCCAAGGATGTTTTGGAACATTTGAAACTCGCCAAGAACACAGCTGTCGTCCGTTACGGAATGGGACTTGGGAAAGCAAGCGACCCTGCCAATAAGATCGAACCGATCACTGTCATTCTGAAAGACGGCGAGAAACACACCATTTCAGACCCAACATCGATTTATATTTCAGAGGCATGGGTGAACCGAGGTCCTTTTGACAAAGGATACGACCACCGAGCCAGAGGAAAGATCAACCTTTTACGCCTGCCATACACCGGTCTGTCGGTGATGCTCAAGGAAGAAAAGACTAGAATTCGCGAGTGGAAGGACCGAGAGACGAGAGCGCTGCGTCAGCGTAAATCCCAACTGTGGACACAATTGCCGGATCGACCTGTGTCGCAGCAGAACCAGTACTACAGCTGGTAATTATTCACCGTGTTTTATATCGTGTATTCCTGAGCATGTCGCCGTTTACGGGTTTCTTTCTCCTTTTGTCTTTATATCTACCATCTTGGCCGACTGTACTATAGAAATCAAATCATACATGACAATTTACCGGACGAATGTGCAAGAATTTGACATAGATACTGGTTATCGACTGCCTCGATGTTAATCACAGCCGTCCAAAGTCGAAGTGCGCCAACTTTCAAAGACCCTTCTCTTTCCCAGCAATAGATGTCGTCAGTTGGGATATGGTAGGAACTGGCCAGGTAATCAAATCAATACAACGGGCTTTGCCAGAGAGCTCGTTAATACTTGCACACTCCTCCCAAATGCGCAGCTTCTTTTACTGATGATATACCTATATATGAGTTCTGAGCATCACTGGTTCTGCTCTCCTCTTCTCTCAGTCATCACTTTGGGTTGCAGGATTACGAAAATCTTAACTATACTCACGGTCAACAAACGAAGCTGCCTCGTCAGTGATTGTATCAAACTTGAAATAGGGCACCATTGTACATGTGACCAAGTCTTCACCCCCAACAAACAAACGGATGTTGCCGATTTAACAAATGAACTCCCAGAAGCCATGAGTCAAACCCAGCCTTCTTTTGTGCGCGATGACGATGTTGACCCTACAAACGAGTCGCATATCCGTAGGGATTTTTCTGTCTCTTCTCTTTTGTCTGGCTCTTCCTCTTCATCACCCTCCTCGTCACTACACCCATCCCTCACGACAACACATTCTTCAGTCCTCTTCCAGGGTTTCCATCCCCATAACCACCACCACAACGCAAGCCAACTTTTCCAGAAACTATCCTTGCTAGATAACCAAAGTTCAGACACTTCTACACCCATGGCTCGCCGCAAATTACCTCTTTCTCGACTAACCCCATCCTCATCGCGACAAGATCCCAAAGACGAGAAGAAAGTCAAGAAACCAGTCAGCAGGAAGAAACGTACACCCCTCAAGTTCAAACACTATCGCCATCCAGGCACAATAGCTGCCATCACGAGCGCCCTGGAAGCTTTAGATACTCACGATGACGACTCGATGGACACTCAGCCAGTAGTCAACGGTCTTGATCACAGTATGGTGCTTGGACTGGAAAACAAAAGCCCTAAMCCTGCCACGTCTTCGACTACCGATGAACACGCCATGATCGAGTCTCCTATCCAGCATCAGCATGTGGCGAATCGAGACATTATGCGGATTGCTTCAGTCCTAAATGATTCGGCGCAGACTATGTCAGGACCTACAGCATCGGGCGATGATCCGTCTCCATCTCCATCCCCTGAATCTCCATCGATGAACATGCCAGATCACTACCTCGAGCATAGCAACACCGACATTATCGACATCGCTGATGTGCGCTCTCAAATCGCAAAATACGGTCTGCGAAGTGAATATCTCGACATGCTCACAGACCCCGCACGCCAACGGTATGAAGAGGCCTTGGTTGAGATCGTGGGTGATTTGGAGTTACCCTTTTTCGGGGGTCGGCATGGATCTGCACATGAATAGTCGACTATCTAGGTAGAGGATCGAGCATTCTTCTCAAACTGATGGTGCTCAAGGGGTGATGTGTCCTTGAATGTTTTCGATGCTTGACTATCCAGATGATACCAATGCTAGTACAAATGATGACGATGATAACGAATTGAGATATTGATTCTATCTTAAATACGTAGATTATACCTCAACTACCTCTCTAACCTGTAACGGCCCTTTCCCTCCAGCCGCCAACGGATCACTCTTACATGCCGGCACGCCCGTGGGAGGCTCAATAATTCTATCCGGCTCCTTTCCCGGCAGTCTCTCCGCCCTTACGAGAACCGGTATAACGCCGCCAGTCTGTAGTTCGAATCGTCTATGCCCGACGACATCCAATATAGAGGTTATGGCGCCTGAATGCGCTGTGATGGAGATGAATGTGTTGTCTGTGTTGGCTGCAAAGATGTCGTCGAGGAATTTCTTCAAGCGAGCGTTGTGCGCAGAGTCTGATTCGCGCTCTTCGGGATGCCAGAGTTCGTCGTTTTCGGTGAGGCTTTCTTCGATGATGTAGTCTGGGTATTCTTCTTGAATGGCAGTTTTGCTGGAGCGGCGGTCGCAGGTGTGTATACCAATGGTTTCTCGTACCAACTATGACAGTTAACTCAATTTGAAACTCGAAACAGTCCATCAATCTAAACAGATTGGGGAGGTGGATCGAACCTCCTTAACCGTCGGCCTGAAGGGTCTCACAACCTCCTTCTCCAGTCCCCGAAACGTAATCGCTGCAGTCTCCAAACACCGATTCAATGGACTAACGTAAAACATCTCCGGAAACGGGACTTGCTGCTCAATCTGTTTCTGCCATGCATCATGCGCGGTCTGGGCTTGCGACTTTCCGACTTGTGTGAGTCGGGCATCAGACCAGATTGATGTCTCGTTGCCATCTTGGAGTGACCAGTAGCACTTTTCTCACCTCTTTTGTCAGCACGGAAGTCAAGAAGACTATAAAGGTAAGGTTGGGGGAACGTACATCCCAGGCATCATCGCCATACCAGCTCTGCGCAACGTTGTGGAAGCCCTCGCCATGTCGGCCGAGGTAGAGGACTTTGTACGCCACATTTGGGTCTGCTTGTTCATTTAAAGTGCGAACTTGTCGCTCGAAGCGAGACCATTGCGTCGTTGGCTCAGCTTCATCCTCGTGTCCTTCATGTCGTGCAGATAATTGCCCCTCATAATCATAAGTCCGATTTATGAGGCCGAAATTAGTCGCAACCTATCGCCTAATTGTTAATTATCGGTCTTAGGAAGTACAGGGTGTAGAAGACAAGATGTACATAGTCGAAATTGCGTGAATCTGTATCCTCCTCGTCCTGCAGGAAATAGCCTTTCACCGTAGAGTATGTCAAGTACGATTCTGTGCTCCGTTTTGCTGTGGCTAGTGATTCGCTCATGGCCATGAGTCCTGCGAGCACGATTGTGAGGAACAGTAAGAGCGGTCTATGTAAATCAGCGTGTATGAACAATAGTATGTATATTACAATAAAATATATGTATAGAAGAAAATAAATGGGTCTGAGCGAACAAGAGCAAATAGCGGGGAACGCTAATCAGATTTACGCTGGGCTGGAATTGGATGCTTTGAAGGGACCAACATACATAATCACCTCGACGCGACAGAAGTGACTCGGTTGCTGTCTGCGAGCGAATTGCGGTTTGTATGCTGCATATTGACGGTGTCTTTTTGCGTTTTTCGGTCTTGTTGTTTGCCGATCGTCATCTGTATACATTCTGGCGTTGAGGTGGCGATTGTTGTTTTGAGTAGAGTTGGAGGGCGGGCCGTTCTAGTAAGGGATGCTTTTCTACTTCTAGAGGTCTATAGCACGTGCCATCGATAGCTTTTATCGTACTATTACAGATTATTTCTCTATAACCATTCATCAACATTAATAATGATCAAGCAGAAAAAACATCCTTCCATGTTCCAACCAAACCCTCCAACACCCCCTCCACACCTCCAGCGACTTTAGCCTCTGCACCGTTCTTCGTAGCAGCAGCAATAGTCTCGTTCTGCCATTGCAACTCCCACTTCAACAACTCCGCATTGAAAGCTGTTTGGTTATACTGCGCCGGTCTTGTGTCGACCAGATAATCAATGAACTTCTCCCATCGCGGAATGTAGTACGACGATACGAGTCCAGCCCAGGACTTGGAAGCATAATCGCTAATCTGGCCCGCGGGGCCCCAGAGAGTGATTTGGTTAATAGCGTCGTACTCCAAGAAATCTTCTAGATTCTGTTGGCCCGCGGATGTGCGCGCGGCAGAGATCCAGGTTGACAGTTTGAAATTCTCGTTTGTGCTGAGAATTGTGTCGACGGCGGTCAAGATACCGATGAGCTCTGCGCCGATGGTCTGGATTTTGGTTGTTGATGGAGTGGAGGTGTTCCATGCCGCAACGAGTTCTTGATAGACTGGAATAAAGGCGTTTGCCAACACCTGGCGAGACATATCGACAAGATCAAACTCATAGGCTGGATTCAGCCAGAGAGAGGGTTCCTTGAAGGCTGAATTGTAGAATAGACTCCATGCTTTGACCATGTCGGCTGGGTGATAGTTGAGGGTTGTTGGGTGGTGGCCTGTTCGATTCACAAGGCCAGTTGCGCTGGGGATCAGTTCGAAGATTGCCTTGGGGACGGCGTTGGAGGCGAGGTTGGTGTTGTTGTAGACGGTTGTTCGCAGAAGGTCCCATGAGTTGTAGACGTCGGTGGGGATAGATTTGCTGCCAGCGTATCGCGCGGCAACCCAGTCATGAAAGTATGTGGCTGTGTCAATCGGCGTCGCGCTCCAGGCCTGATCGAGCAAAAGATCGTAGACAATCTCATTACCTTCCTGTCCCTCCATGGAAAGACCAAATCCGACAAGAGAGGTCGTTGCATTGTTCAGCGCGGCAATCGGGTTGACGGTGATGTTCATGACCTGCCCGTAGAATCCCATGTTACCGCCATAGTCATGGATCTGGCACCATATCCAGGGCTTGCCGAAGTAAGAGTTTGTGCGCTGCCACTGCGGCAGCGACTCAGACGCGAGATCTAGAATCAGCAAATCTGAGTTAACGGTCACACCGCCAAGGTACGCTTCAACGCGGTCGTTGGTCCAGAATGCAGAGTTACTCGAAAACAGCCAGCCCTGCATAACCCATGTAGCGTTTGGGGCAGCGGCTTTGAGCGCTTGCCAGGTTCCGGAACTGACATTTTTCAAATAACTCAAGTCACCAGAGGACGGGTTATTCTCATTGAATTGATCCAGTGTGTAGAATGTGGTGACGTCTCCATATGCCGCAGTCTGCTTGGAAATAAAGCTCTTCTGAATCTCGGTAAAATGAGGATCCGTGGGCTCCATAAATGCGTCGTTCGTATACAACGTTGGAAACGCCTCCCACGCAGAACCATTAATAACATCCGCATCAGGAAGCACCCTTGTAATTGCTCTCGGCACAAACCCCGGGAATGCAGGCAGGATGGGCGTCATACCCAACTCAACCATACGCTGGACAATCTTCTTCTGCAAGTCGAACTGACTATCAACCCATGAATAGGGTAGCGAACCGCCCCACGATCCCTGAATATTACCGAAATGATTCCATGCAAGGAACGCAGGGCCACTAAGGAAATCAGCGATCTCGGCGTCGGTCAGTCCAAGCTCTTGGAAGACTTCGATGAAGATCTTTTCGACGCCGATCCAGGCCAGAGGCAGGTTTACGCCGCGAAGCGCCATCCAGTCGAGTTGGAGTTCCCAGTCTTCCCAGGACCAGAATGCGGCAGTGTAGGATGTTGTTACTACTCTTAAATAAGTTTAAAGTAAGAAGATTTAGAGAAGAGGGGTTACCAGTGTTGAAGTGATATCGATACGGCACAACGCTAGATCCCGTCAAGGTCTCGCTGACCTTTGGGAGTTGTCCGGCAATTTGGTCAAGACGGCTGCCAATAAACCAGTAGATATCGACATGCGCAACATCAGCCAGATAGCGATGCAATCTACTCATAATCAGCATGCCGTACATGAAAACTATCATAGTGGGAAAAACATACCCTGTAGCCAACGCACTCAACGAACTACCCTCAACCTTAATTTTCCCATTCTCCCCATTCGATACGACATAAACGTCATTCTCTCCGAGCGAGGTTGCATTCACAATACCAAACTCGAATTTGTCCGCATGCTGCGGCAATCGGCGCTGCAGGAGCGACTCGATACCTGTCGTCGACGGCTCTGAGGAATCACAGCGAGCAGCGGGGGCAGCTACAACGGTGCTGGCGATAGCTAGCAGGCCGCAAATGAGGTTGAAGATCTGCATGGTTGCAGGTGATGCCTCACTTTTACTCTCAGACTTGCATGCAACGTGCGTCAAGAAGAAAAGAAAAAAGAGAGGGAAGAGAAACGCGTTTATCTCCCCTCCCAGCTAATGGATCTACTAATCCCAACGCGGGATAATCATCATAAGCAGAGATGCCGTCAATGGAACGGAACGTGCCAACGTGGGATCGAGTTAATCTAGCTCGACTGCATAGAAGCGGGKCCTTATAGAGGACCGGTTGATATCCGACTGGCAACGCGTGCGCGCTAATCGCGAACGCCGCCCTGTATTGGCCGTGAACGTTGGGCGTAGGGCAAGATTATGATCAGAGATTCTATAATAGAAACAAGTATTGTGAGTATGGGGTTTTGTTGAATTGGCCCTGGAGCTCATATCTGGATTCGCGAAGTGGCATACAAACAGTCATATCAATTGGTATAAGAAATTATAGGAAAGTAACCCTTGACTCCTCATAGATMCCCGCCCCTCCTCACCGCTCTGATTGGCCGACAGAACATTCCATAGAAGCTTCTGCTTATCAGCACGTGGACCGACTGTCAGGGGGCTGACATCATGTGACATGCTTGGATATTCTCTTTTGCTTCTGCCTCGTGATGTTGTTTGTTCATCATCCTCGATATTGTTGATGTCATTCTCTGCTACAGGATGATCCCATCATCAGATTTGACATGCGAGCTTTGATCAAACTGTCAAAGGCGTCAACAAACTATACTATTCAGTAAAATGAATGGCAGGATGACTTGCATAATGTGTTGCGTTGGGGTTTCGCCCTCAGAGAATGGAAAATTCCAGGTGGAAGGAAGACGAGAGGTTTAGTCAAGTAGTCCTGTGAGATGCCAGTAGGTCGGCCACCGACTCGTGCCCGTTCGCTACTGCCAATTGCAGCGCTGTCCTTCCGCTATAGTATTCATTGTTGTCGTGACCGTAGTCATCACAGGCCTCGCCGTACCCATCAATGTAACTATCGCTGTCGTAATCGACACGGCCCCTATAGCTTTCCTCCAAGCGAGTGTTGGCGCCGTACTTGAGCAGCAGGCTGACCACCGCACCATGCCCGTTCGCTGCCGCCATGTGCAGCGCCGTCCGACCACCGTAGTCTTTATCGCCGCCGTCGCCGTCCTCAATGCCCCTATAGCTATTTTCCAGGTCGATCTCGGCCCCGTTCTCGACCAGGAGCTTGACCATCACCAAATGCCCGCCCTTTGCCGCCCAGTGCAGCGCCGCCTGACCGTGGTGGCTGTTTCTATTGCAACCCCATTCCATTGAGTTGATGTCGGCGCCGTTCTCGACAAGCAGCTTGACCACTGCCTCGTGCCCGTTCGCTACTGCCAAATGCAGCGCCGTCTGACCCCTGTAGTTGCCGTAAAAAGGCTGGTAGCCATCACCGTACTCGCCGTGGTACCCCTTACAGTCATTCGACGTCGAGTCGATATCAGCACCAGCCTTGGCCAACAGCTCGATAATCGCCACATCCCCGTTCGCCGCCGCTGAATGCAGCGCCGTCTGACCGTACTCCTGCTCCACGTTGACGTTGGCGCCGTATTTGATCAACTGCTTGATAACCGCTACATGCCCCTTCGCTACTGCCAAGTGCAGTGGTGTTTGACTGTAGTCCGCTCGCTTCGCCTCGATATCGGCACCGTTCTCGACCAACAGCTTGGTAACCGCTACATACCCATTCACTGCCGCCAAATGCAGTGGTGTTTGATTTTGGGCTGATAGCTTCGTGTTAATATCAGCCCCGTTCTCGACAAGCAGCTTGACCATCGCCACATACCCGCCCTCAGCCGCCCAGTGCAGCGCCGTCTGACCGTAGTGGCTGTGTGCGCTGTCAAGCCACCTCGTGGAATTAATGTCGACGCCGTTCTCGACAAGCAGCTTGACCACTGCCTGGTGCCCGTTCGCTACAGCCAAGTGCAGTGGTGTTTTACCGTTGTGTTCCGAGTCAGCATCAACTCCCTTATCGACTAATAGCTTGACTACCGCCACATGCCCATTTTCTGCTGCCAAGCGCAGCGCCGTCCGACCATCGTCATCCTTCGCGTTAGCCTCATAACGCATATTGACCAGCAGCTTCTTGACTACTGCCTTGTATCCATTCTCTGCCGCTAATTGCAGCGCGGTTTGACCATTATCTTTGAAATTCACATCGACCTTGTCAACTAGTGGCTTGAATACTGCCGATGGTCCACTCATTACCGCACAGTGTAGGGCAGTCCAACGTCGCTTCTCATCCTTCAAATTGTCCTTGACGTCTTTGTTGGCGAGCAGCTTGACTACCTCCTCATACCCGTTCACTATCGCTATCTGCAGCATTGCCCGGTCCTTTTCATCCTCCAAATTGATCTTGACGTTCCTCATGGCTAGCAGCTCAACTACGGCCTTGTGTCCGTTCACTGCCGCTAAATGCAGTGCCGTCCAGCCGAACTCGTTGTCCCTGGCCTCAATGTCAGCGCCATTATCTAGCAGTAGCCTGACTACCGCCTCGTGCTCAGTCAATGCTGCCAAGTGCAACGCCGTCCAACCAAACTTTTTATCCTTGGCCTCGACATTTGCGCCACTGTCTAGCAGTAGCTTGACTACCGCCTCGTGCCTATTTATGACTGCGTAATGTAGCGGCGTCAAGTGATTCCAACCCTTGGCATCTACGTCCGCGCCATTCTCAATCAGTAGTGTAGCCACAGACTCAAATCCCTTTTCAGCTGCTGTGTGTAGGGCAATGTTCTCAAATTTGTCCTTAGTGTTTACATGACTTCCCGCATTTAGCAACAACTGCACAACCGGTGTCGAGCCTCCCCAGGCTGCACGATGTAGCGCAGTCTGCTCCTCCCCATCCTCTGCCTTCGCCTCGACACGAGCGCCATTGTGAAGTAAATATGAAACTGCGATCTCGTCGCCTCGTTCTGCCGCAAGGTGCAGCGGCCGCTGTCCAAGCTTATCTTGCACATCAAGATCTTCTGCTTTTTCAACGAGGCTCTTGGCAAGCTCGTGGAATACGTCATGGTGCCCTCTCCAGATCGCATAGTTCAATGCTATCCTTTTTGAAGCAAGTTCATGAAGGCTAGGGCTTGCCGTCTGTACTAAGTTCTCGACACGATTTTCGTCTCCATTCAAGGCTGCTGAAGGTAGGGCAGGGATTCCCCAGTCGCTGTATTTCCGGCTCTTCGTTACCCGGGCATTAGAGTCGGGATTACTTTCTCTCCCCCGTATATCAGCTAATAATCTTACTTCCTCGATCCGACCTTCAGTCTCTGTCAGACCTGGGTGGAAATACAATGCTCCTACATAACCATAAGAGCCTTTGCCCAGTTTCTTCACCAGTAGAGCTCTATCAACAAGGCCAATTTCAGACGTAGAGACATACTCGGTTAGGAGGACACATTCATCCTCATCCTCCAGGTGATGCTCAAGCCGCTTTCTTATAAGAGGATGTATACCGTTCCAAACACACTTCTCCATATGAGAGCGGTTCACAGGGATACATTTCCACTTCCCGACGAGATCCAGATCTTCCGTGATGCTGAGAGTTTCCTCGGACTCAGCCATAACGCTTGAATCAAAAATGGGCATATCAAACAGACTGTTTGGACACCAGCTGACTCTGGACATGGTTGCAGAATTATGGAAAAGATGTTGCGGTGAAACCTTGCCTAATTTCCTGAGAATACTTATATAGATATCTTGTTGCCATATATCCTGCTTCCCAGACTGAGATGCTATTTCAACGCCGACTAATTGTCCGGAAATGATAGCTATATCCTTGGGCCAAGAGGTATGGCGCGCTCCCAATACCCTCAAAAGGCCATTGAGATCCGAGACGCCCTTTCGGAGAGTCCTGATTATATCAGTCGCCGCTTTATGAGGACCGGAACACGTGTCGTCCCTTGCGAGAATTTGTTCATCGAGGTCCTTAATAAGAGGACCGCACGGTCCTTTAAACACCACTTTCACTTTGCGCGAATTGGCCAATTCCAAAGCTGTCCAGCCTCGACTGAACCAGGGCGACATGAGAATAGCAAAACAGGCACCTTCAGCATTAACCCACTCCCAGTTTCGGAGGAAGCAGTCATGCACCAAGGTGATTCGAGCGTCCTGGTAATTATTCTGAATTTTCCGGATAGCCTTGTTACGAGCGGACTTTTCTCTAGGGATACAGATAGTATCCCACCAGATTCCCTCACATTGGAATTGTCTGGCGATCTCTTGAAAAAGATTGTATAGGCATATGTTGACTTCTCCCTCTGCCCAGCCCCCCGTTCCAGTCCCATCTGACCAGACGTGGGAGATTGCCATATATGGCCGAGGGGTTTCGACTATTGATGTCCCATCCAAACTCCACACGGTCGAGCTTCCAGCCTCCGCAGCTGCGTTCAGTATATCTCTTGAAAACAGGCCTCTGAGCTGCACACAGTCATTCTTCTCTTCTTCTTCGCACTCGTGGCGCTGCTCAACGGCGGTAAAATCGCGTTGCGAATGTTCGCAGAAATCAAATGTGCACAAGTCATGATGATGCTCTTCATCGTTGGAGATCGAGTTACCGTCGGCTAGTATCGAGCTGTCTTGTGGTAATAATTGCGGTAATTTCTCCCTGGCAACGACCCATATGCGGTTTGGACAAAGTTTGAACGTTGTCGTTGCCTTTTCGAAGGTATCCAGGAGCTCTCTGTGAGAGTTTCCCCTCTTCCTCTTGGAGTCGTCAGACATCTCGGTACTGCGATCTTCACCTAGAAAACTTCAAAGGCAGATTGTGAACGATATAACGTCTACGATAATGATCAAGGATTGATGGGGAGATAACGTATTGAACGATGGAGATAATTAAGCCATAAAGTTACATGCCCAACTTTCACTATGGCAATTACTGAGCTGGAAAGTGGCAGGCTGGGAGGTTCCCAATACCATCAGCTAGGCAGGCTGAGGTACAGACATCCCTGCTATGCGCAGCTACCGCTCATGCACATAGCCGCCGAAAATGTGCCTGCTCTACCCTAACCTAACATAGTACCGCTGCTTCGCGTCTATGAAACATGGCTGGAGAGATAAGAATTCCATACAAGAGCCAGTACATGGTGATCGCAGCGTATGAATTTACTCGCGCGCTCTTATGTCTCAAAGTGAACCTCCAGGTGGAATGGCGGGAGAAAGATGCCGGAGGTGTACGAGACGTCACGTGAACGTGGTGCGTAGGATGTTTACTGGATAGATACACTCTAGATACACTAACTTTTCTACAAGTCTATCATGATCTGGTTGAGAATCAAGTGGATGAGAATTAACGAGGTGGGATGCATTTATCATTTTGCTATCACTTCATGTATCTTGACTAGTAATTCACCGGCGGATTGGCTTACCCATCAGATGTTGATCCCATCCACGTGTTACCTCTTCTTGTTTCGTCGAGAAACAGCCCATCAATAGGTGCTAGCTAGACTTGCATTTTGTATCAGGCCAACCTAATCAAACTTGCAGAGCCATCGGGCGACCTAAAGATAGCGAAGTAGACAACACCGAGGCACAAGTATTCGTCACAGGCTTGCGTTGGTGGAATCGCTCGGCGATATTATACAATGTCGACTGAAACAGCATCGCAACTTGTTGCATGCCTTGGAAAGCCTCGACACAAAGTTTTGACATCCAGTACACCGCGGATAAAATGACTGTAGAAACTCTGTAGAATTCCTGAACTGCCAGATACCCGGTCTGTGGGGCGTCTTTGAACATTGCACTGAGAGGGTTTGATGCTTGTAGTCCGCTGAACAGAGTTTGCAGTTCCGGGGCGAGGATTGCCGAGAGCACCATCACTGCTGATGGAGCTGGAGCCTCTTGCCATGTCGATAGCACTGGAGCAACAGATGAAGGCGCAACCGTCGAAAGTCGAGGCATTGCTGTCGAAGACAGTGGTAGTAAGCTTGAAGTTGGCACTGTCTGTCGAACCACGCTTGACGCTGGCACAACAATTTCCACTGGTCCTTGGTGGACCGGTCGTCCCAATGATGCTGCCGGTGGAACCAGCGAGCTGGTCGTCGGTAGCATCTGCGGGACCGAGGTGGATTGCTGTTGTTGTGCGGTTGGCAGTACCATCGTGGTTGATTCCAATGAGCCTAGCCGTACAGACGAAGTATTCTGCACTGGAGTAGATGCGCCGCCCGGTTGTCGCGGCGACGTTTCTGAATGAACCAGCGAGACATTCGTTGGTAGCACCTGTTGGGTCGGGGTGGACACCAGTCCTTGTGCGTTTGCTAGTCTTGTAAGTCCTGTTGTCTGTACAGCTTCCTGTCCAGATGAAATATTCGGCGTGAGGCCAGACGTGCCTACTTCCAGGGCTGATAGTCCTCCTGTCGTGACTAGTCCGCCAGCATTGTATGAGCCGCCATCGCTGATGCCATCCCGTAGTCCAAGCAAGTGATTGAAGGATTCGTCCCGCTGTGGCAAGTATCCAAAATTGGTTTGTAGATTTGTGGATACCTCCGGCGTGTTGATGGTACGGTGACGAGCAGGTGAAATGCCATATGACTCTGTTTGATAAAGTTGGGCTGCATCTGCTGTTGATGTATGCGATACCAAGTTTGCCCATCGCTCCATGTCATTCAAGTCATCCAAGCTTGCCAAGGCGGAGTCAATCTCCTCGTTGAACGATTGGCTATCAACTTGAGAAAATAAGGATGGCGAGAAAGATGACCGAGAAGTAGTAGATGGAGTCTCAGATGGTGAAGTAGTCACTAATCCTGGTGCAGGCCTAGCAGCCTTGGACAAGGTTGCCTTGCGTTTTCTCTTGGTTTCCAATGCAACCTTTGCTGATTGTTTCTCGTGGCAGTTGCACTATCCATGTTAGCTTGAGACACTAAAGTCAGAAGGCAGACTAACCTTCTTGTGTTGTTTCTTGTGCTTGAGGCAAGCGCCGTTCCGGCGAGCGTTGATGTAGTCTTCTATCTGAGCTTGAGTGCGCTTCTTCTGTTTTTTTGGCAAATTCTTAGCCGTGTTCAGATTGATGTCAAACACAAGCTCCTGGCCACCGGTCTGAGGGACCGACTTATCGCTGTGAGATGCTGAAGAGACTGGTGTGCTCGCAATCGGGCTCTGCTGTGATGATTGGGAGTACGAGTTTGAAGGCGAGTCGGAGAAGGAGAATTCCGAATCGGTGGGAAACAATTGAGAGTCAGAATGCGTGGTTGCGAAGCGTTGCAAATGCAGGTCAATGGCGGCGTCTCTTCTTTTTTGTTTCATGGAGCGGGAGCGTTGGTCTGCAGATGCCCATGAATCTACGAGGAAACGGAATTCATCCGCTTGTGGTGCAAATGATTCGTAATTGGCTGTGAGGGGACTCTCATTGACCGAAGAGGCAGGATACTCAAAGGTGTCAAAAGCATTGACACTTGCATCGTACTGGGAGAAGTCCATGTCTGGGATGAGCTGCATGTCCGAGAAGCTCAGATCGGCAGAGACATCCTCAGTGGGGAATTGGAAGTCCGTGTTGTTGTCTTCAGGGAAGTTGATAAACGAACCAAAGTCGAACCCTTGGTCGTAAACGTGAGAGTTATCCATAATAGTGTTCTCTTCCCCTCTGTCTGAATAAATAATGAATGAAAATGGCGACAGTGAGTGCAATTGACTGATTATGACTAATGACCAAATCAATCTCTTGTCACTGCTTCACCAGAGCAAAGCTGGGGATTGCCAGAGTGATGAAAAAAGTAGATGAAGAGGACAAGACACATCCGACGTCTACGAGTATTAAAAGAGATGAAGAGCCTGAGGAAGAGAGGGATTGCGGAGACTCCTGATATTGAGCGGCCTCGTTATGGTTGCATGTCTGTGGGTGAGTCAGCCTCAGGCTACACTCGCCAGAGCCAATCAGAGCCGCAGTAAAGCACAGCCTGGGGGTGTGCGCCTTCCCTGTTTGGGACCCCGCACCTGCCTAAGCCTCAGAGAAATATATTACGCTAGCCTTTTAGGGACGCCGACTCTCTCTCGATTTGCGCCAATCAGGTTGCACACAAAACCCTCGATCTGGGCCCTATACCCTAAGCCCTAGCTACTCATGGTCGTAGGTGATTTTGATGGTCTAGACCGCCGGAATTGCATACCTCACCGGTTCAAATTTCGGACTACAGCATACACCAATGAAGCATTCACGCTTCCCCAACCTTGCAGATTTCGAAACACTCATACATAGTATCCTATAAAGGATCTCGATTTCTTAATTCAACTTAATTCAGTCACGTTGCTCTTGAAACGTAAAAGTAAGTTCATAGCGACCTTCATTGGCCGAAGCCCAGCGGCTGTCTCTACCACGAGAGCCAATCGCACCGCATTGATCATACGGCGCCTTGCAAAACACACGGCATGAGTTTCGGTCAACGACTTCGTAATCATGAAACGCTGCCCGTCTCTTCCGCGTCTTCTGGATCTCAGCTTCAGCCCTCGCAGAAAGAGTAATTGGGTGCAATGCAACGTCGGCATCAAGACGATCGAGCAGTTCGCGATTTGGAACACTTACAGTAGAAAGCGGGTAGCAGTCTAATCGCACCGCAGCCAATCACCGTGCGTAGTGAGGGAAGATCGGTCACTAGCGCGGTCTGGCGGACAGACCGGGATGACGTAACCATCGTCATGTCGTCGTCGCGGGAAAGAGAAGGGAGAAAAATGTACGGATCACCGCCCTTGCTCCTGACATTCTTCTGCTCATATATTCCGTGTCCACCTACACCTGCATATCTTTGCTTTTCTCTCTTGAACCACTTCATATCGCCATCTTCCATCTCCTCTTATCACTCAACACCCCAAACCACACCACACCACACCACACTATCCACCACAATGCCGCGCATTATTGGACTCGGCCTCCGGGCCCTCGAGTTCGCCTTCACTGTCATCCTCTTAGGATTGGTCGGTTCCCTCGAAGCCAACAGTAGCAGTAACCCAGAAAGCGTGCACTTCTCCATGTTCACGGCCGCATGGTCGGCGTTTTTCTTGCTATACTTGATCCCGGCTACGTGGACCGAGTCGTTCACCGGCCATCCTATTCTTCCGATCATTGTGGATGCGTTGAATGTGGTCTTTACTTTCTGTGCGGCTGTTACGTTGGCTGCTAGGACTAAGGCTAAGAGCTGCTCTAACTCTGTATGCATCCTTCCTTTCCGTCCCTTTTTCTTCAGGCATAAAGGCTAATTGTAACAGGCTTTCCTCCTTACAAACGAGATTTCCATGGGGTCTGAACACCGTTGCCGCGAGGCTCAGGCAGCCTGTGCATTCTTCTGGTTCCTCTGGGCTTGCTACGTGGGAAGCTTGATCAGCTCCGTTGTTGGCGGACGATCCAGCGCCAATCTCCGATCTCGTCCATCTACCCGCCGACCCATGTCGCAGGTCTAGACGATGAACTTATCCAGATGACTGGCACCCAAAACAAGCACCGACTCCCTACGACACTACCAGGTGCGAGTCCATACCACTCCCGACGACACCATTTTACTCCTCCGGCAGGATTGGCGCTTTGGAGTGTGAACGGAGCTGATAATTGGTTCATAATACATATACTAATATTCGACGAATGATGTATGACTATTCCACAGTTGACTGTTTTCATGAAGTTATGTACTCTTCTTGATGTTGATACGCTATGCTTATTTAATACATTTCCATTACCTATCCAAGCCAACCTCATCTATTAACATGAAGATATCTATGAGTGCGTTACCAACTAGTTAACCCCCTCTCCTTATCGAATCCTCCCCTCAACTGGGTCTCTGGATGCACAACCTTCCCCTGCAGAATCGTATATTTGACAATCCCCTCACAATGCTCCGGCCGTATACGCGCCAACCAAATCAACTGCCCTTCCTCTCTGCGATACACCAGCACATTCGCCGAGAATTTGTGTCCGCCTACATGCGAAACATAATATATCCCTACGCCGCCGGGACGCTCGTCGTTGGCGTCACGATAGAGTCCCGCGGGTCGCAAATGTCGCTCTAGTTCTTTTTTGATTAATGGTGCTGAGATGCCGCAGCGAGCATCGCGGCGTTTGTGGGAGCATAAAAGTACGACGTAGTCGTGTGGACAGGCGCGGGGTGTCAGTGTTGAAATATCTGATATGGTGGATGTATCATCGTTGTCAATGAAGCGCGAGACTAGTTCTGGGACCGAGGGAATGGTGACGTTGTCTACGAATTGGAATGACGGTAACAGTAACACCGTTGTCGCATCTTCCTCTTCATCCGAGGTAGAGGATTCGTCTTTGTGTGCCGTGAGGTTAGAGGCGTTTACCATAAGACGCTATCGGCGAAAGTCAGCCCTGATCCATGCAATCTTGCAACAGGAAAAAATACCTCCTTCGAACTCGCCTCGCACAGCGCATGAACAACTGTCCCCCTTTCCCATTCCGGCTTCGACACCCAATCCGATTTGCCAGTCGCTACGAGCACGTGCGTCGCAAACGGTTTAATTTTGCCGTATATTTTGCGTTCACTATCAATATGGAATTTATCAGGGAAGTGGACTGTGCAATCTGCGCAGTCCTTGAGACATTCGGGGCCGTCTCCAGTGGTGCTCACAGTGGGGAATATGTAGTTTTTGTTGTCGCCGCCGATGCGGGAAATTAAAGATTTGAACATGTTATCTGCTGTTAGTTCCGTCAATGTAGCACAATTCTCTTTTCTTTGAGCTTAGATATCTCTAGAAATTGGACAAATTCACTTTCATGACTGGGTGGAAAACTGTATTATATATATACAGCTAGATAAACACGACGAGGTACTCCTAAAGCCGAGCCCGAGACGGAGAGTTATCCCCGAGATGCCATACCTACCTGGGCGATAGGCACCTGATAAATGTCTGCCCAGAGCTCTTAGGCAACCACCTTTTACTGCAAATGTCCAAGTCCGTAAGCCATCAACTAGCTAGACCGCTAGGCCACTGGCATATCCCTCCCAGCGCCGTAACCCCCTCCAGACATCCGGCCCTGTCGAACGTCTAATGGGGGTGTGGAACACACAAATCAAGCCAAGAGCGGGCTGACACTGAGCGATTCGTAACAACTAGGCTACTCGTACGCGTACATAACCCGCTTAGTCCCTCAGTCATCTACAAAGGATTTATCCCCGCGCGTGGTGACATTGCAATCCGCCAGCCAACAGCCCAGGCGGATTGGCGTAGCCCGTACCTTAACAAGCCTCCTGCGGGGATACACCCACATCTTAGCGATCGTTGAACCTCCCAGATGTAGCCACCAGGAAGGCCGGGGAGCTAGGTCAGCTGCGGATTGTCTCTATTCATCAGATTATTACCCGTTCGCTCTGCGCAGACTCTGTGGCAGGGCGGTACCCCGAGCTACTTGGTACCGAGACCTACCGAGAGTTCACCGCATCCAGACGTGTTGTGTTGCCTTACAGCGGGTAAGTAGGAGACTTCCCGCTTAATCTGCCATCAACACAGACTTGGTGACGGCCGGACTAGGCGGCGACCAGGGGCGTCGCGCCTGGGACTAGTTCAATACTGTGTTAATCCCTGTTGTAACTTTTCTAGCACCTCTAGCCTCAAATTTCGAGGAACTAAAGGATATATAGTGGTGCTAAATAAGTGTTGACCAGGGTCTGAAGAAGCTTCGAACTTGAACAAATGTGGAGAGTGAATGCGTGGCTTGGTATGCATGGAGGACCTTATATGCAGCTTCCGACAGTACGACGTGATTTCGGTTAGGGGCAGCGCGGCAATTTGAAGTGTACTTAGCTAGACTGAATGTAATACTGTGTCAGAATGCATGAATTTCGTGACTCACTGAATCAGAAAAAGCATAACATGTATAGTATACAATGCTGGAGATGGCGGAAGGATGCCCGACAAACGCGGAACGAAAGCTGCCTTCCGAGTCACATGTTAATTCTGCATTATGATTGGTCAAATGACCCACTGTCTCGGGCTTGTGTTCCCCTTTAGGAATGGGGCAGAGAAACATCAGCCCATTTCATCTTCAAGTCGGATCTCATCATCTCGACTTCGTCTGTTGGAAAGCGTTCGGAATTTGTTACTGCTGCACGTTAGTCTTCAGCTAGCAACCTGTTTGTGGTGTCTATTCGCAGAGACCAAGAACAGATCAGCATGGCCGCCGCGGAGATGGATCTCCTAGATCCGGAGTCCGCCAACAACACCAACAACTCTCCATCCGAGACGCGCCCGCGCAAACGTCGCAGGCGAACAGTTGCTTGTACTCAGTGTCGCACCAGAAAACTAAAATGCGACCGCGAGTATCCAGCATGCAGTCGTTGTCTCAAAAGCGGCATTCCAGACAGATGTAAATACGAAGATAGCTTTGTCTGGCAGCAGCCCAACACCGTCACTGCATCAACAGCTACCGCATCATCTACAACAACACCACCAAATGGAGGAATTGCCGGAATTGACCGGCTGAGTAGTACTAGTCATATTACGCTTCCTCCTCCAGGTCGTGTTGCGACGGACGCTTCTCCTAGGTTTGCTACTGTTTTACCGGCTTATCCGAAGTCTGCGGCAGCAGTCCCGACACCATTGCCGCTGCCGGCATCCCATTTGCAGCAGTCGTCCAGGTATGATAATGTTTCTGCGTCGAATTTGAGGCAACCAGGACCATCCAGAGCTCGATTTCTGGATACTGTTTTGGATGCGCCTAATCCGCCTGTCAGCAAAACCTGGCGGGCGGATGGAGATGCGGCTCAGCCCGGTCACCCCGGTAGCTATCAACATACATTGGCTACACCATCGCAGAGACTTGAATTGCCGAACAAAGTCATGATTCGAGGAAAGGAGACCAGGACTCGTTTCAATGGCGGAGGAATCATGTCTAATTTGATGCTTCAGGTATGATCCGAGCTCACAATTGTTCCAGCTTCATGCTAATTCTGCATAGTTCCCTGAGCTAAAGGCTTTTCTTCGCGAAGTCAAGAGTCACAATCCAAACTTTGCCAAAATACGTAATGCAAAAGATGCACTCAAATTCACCAGTCTCAAGTCCAAGCTCAAGGAGGCAATTCCTAGTATCAATACGGCCACCCTGCTATCGCTTCTCCCGCCAAAGCCGGTCGTGGATATGTTGCTGCGCTTGTACATGCTCTATGTAGAGTCCATGCACCGCGTTATTCACGTTCCATCATTTCGACGAGAGCTAGCCGAGCTGCATGCTAACATACACAATCCCGATATGATATCGGCCGCCTTCGTTGTTCAGCTTTTGCTCATGCTTGCTGCTGCGGTGGGATTTTATGAGGCAGAACCATCACTTGAGTATGCGGATTTGACGGTTAGCAATACTTTTCAGGTCGTGGACTGGATACGCTATTCGGAAAAATGGATGGACACGACATATATCAAGCGACCAGATATGACTATCTTACGCATACAATGCTTGCTAATCATTGCTAAGAACAATCAAGGCCTGAATCGTAGCCAGGCATGGTTAGCTACAGGGAACTTGGTCAAGATGGCCATGCTGGCTGGTTACCACCGGGATCCAGCCAACATCCCGAAAATCACCCTGTTCAACAAGGAAATGCGAAGACGTATGTGGGCCACAATTATTGAATTGGATGCTCAGATTGCGATTGATAGAGGTATGCCGCCGACTTTACAAGCGTCGGATTTTGATACTGCGTCGCCTCTGAATATCAATGACGATGAAATCCATGAAAGTACAACGGAAGAACCCCATTCGCATCCTCTCCATGAGGTGACTGATTGCACCTTCCAAGTTGTGCTCACCCAATCACTACCACTACGACTCAAAATATTCAGCCTTATGAACTCACCTGTCGTATCGTGCTCTTATGAAGATATCCTCCGACTTGAATGGGAACTTGGCCGCTTCCAAGCCAGCCTGCCACATTGGCAGGCCACCGCTGACCGAGAAATAAGTCACAAACTCACGCTATGGAGCGCTGTCCTCGAGACAAAACTCGGCCAAGCCCTTTTAGCAATCCACACTCCCTTTGCCATCGAAGCCAACGACGACCCTCTATTCGAGCCCTCATCAAGAGCCCGCCTGGAAGTCGCTACGGTCATACTATCGCGTCATCTCAAACTCCACGAAACATCCGCGCGACTTTCCTTTGGTCACTCAGCCGACAGCACAGTTCAGGCCTGTTTCTCCGTCCTCCAGCATTTATTCGCTCGACGAACGGGGTACACATCTAACCTCTTACGTCAAGTCCTCCCCGCATTCACAGAGTCCTTACTTGACCTCGTCGAAAAGACAATCTCCTGCATGGAAGCTAGGTTGCTACTAATCATCAAAGGCGCCAAGCAGTTTTTTTTCCTGTACATGATCTTTGCTTTGGTGAAAGCGGAGCTGTATCCTGACCAGTCCGAGGAGATCAAGAAGCTTATTCTGGATCGAATTTTGTCGGTCACGTATCGCATTCTGCGGGGGTCGGATGGGTTGAATATCCTTGAGGGAATTGATTTAGTTTGTTACATCGTTTCTTGAATAGTCTCCATGCGTACTAACGTCCGTAGCAACCGTCTATCTCTCAAGTTCCGAGCCTTGTGCCGGGCAATGAGCAAAATACGCCGCTCGAAAGTATACCGGGGTCATTTGACAGTAACAATCTATCCGATCTCATGTTAACAGTATGTCACCGTTTGTTCTCTTTCTGTTCTGTTATCTCAAGAGACTAACATGTGATTTCTCAGCCGCCGGATGACTTCAACAGCCTCCTCCAAGTCTTCGACTGGGAGGAGTTCTCCACCTTCCCATTCTCCATTTGATATCTCATGACTCATTGCCCCTTTGTATAAGGAAAGGACGAAATCCCGGGCTTAGCTTTGGGTTACTGTATATCTGGTACTACCACTGTACATCAAAATTATAAGTTGTCATTTGTCGTCCTATTCTGTTAGCGCTCGAAAACCTGTTTGGATATCTCAAGAGCATACATAGAGTAGCGATAGTATCAGTCGAGAATGAGGCATTTTTGGTTGCCGTGTACACCTGATAAGGATACCTTTTCCGCTTTTCATCTGATGTCCATACTTAGTATGCAATCTTTGACAAAGAGTTGAAGCTGGACAGTGTGTACATAGATAGGTATTTCGAGGGTGACTCAACTCAATGAATCAATCCTGAGATCACCGTTCCGAGCAGAGGAAATCTCGTGATATCAATTCTCTGGCGAAACCAGACAGATATGGCAACAAGAGTCATCTCACAATACAACAAACTGAGTAGCTACATACTTGACACGGCTTTGTTCTCGATGTCATACACTGTACAACATTTGATCCTGTAATAGGCCCAAGACAAAGAATCGCCATGACGCTTTCTTTGAATCTTCGTTCGGTGTCATGCAACAGTCCGGGGAGATAGATATCAATTTTTTTTTGTTTGTAGTTGATCGGTGCTAGATTTGAGGCGGTGGTGTACGTACGGCTTCGAGATGCCGTTTGGAGGGTTCAGATGAACCTTGGGAGGAGGGGACATTGAAATTGGGTGTTACCTATGTGCCCAGGTAGACTATATATTGTATGGCTATGCAATGGTGATACGCACATATCCAGACCATAGGATGAGTAGGGTGAAACGGGGCCATGAGTGCAGTCCTAGGTAGATAGGTAAGTCTCATTTGAACACAGTTTATGGTGTTTTTCAAAGAATTTAAGAGGCCATCTTTTCCTGCCATAAGTTAGTCGATGCGACAATAACAAGCATCAATATCAAATCATAAGATCCATTGGGAACCATACACGCGTATTCCAAGCATCTACCAAGATAGCACTCAACATGCGTCTCTCACTCTCCATCTTCGCAGCCTATCTGGCCACCATCGCCGTAGCCTTACCAACCACTCCTAGTCTGTACTCTTTTCCTCCTCATCACGCGAAAGAAACTGACCTTCGTAGCAGCCGAGACAGGAACCCTCGACACCTCATACCCCAACGCCAAGCTAGTCTTCTCCTCCGGCGTTGGCAAAGAAGCGAAACGCGAGCAATGCGACGGCAACCCTACGAACTTGCAATGCTGGCAGAATAAGAGATGCGACATTACGGATTTGGAGTGTTGGCAGCATCATTATGGTGATTTTGAGAGAAGTGAGAGACGAGGAAAGGCGGCTGTGCCTGTGTATGGGATTCCGGAGGCTTTGGATCAGTAGGTGCGTAGGGACTCTGTCAATGTTGAGGAAGGGAAGGCGTAAGGGTGGTCGAGGTTTGCTGCATTTGTGGCTGTCCGGTCATTTCTGGGTTAGATTACATGTATGAGTTCTTCTAGGTACCTACACATAGCTGCTATGTAGAGGGAGACTGATCCATGAATGATCTATGAGATTGTGCTGTATTCGATGTTGTAGCCCTACCACCCGACTCGAAAGGCAATACATCAACGCTCTAAAAACATGATAATGCATGTATGCATCAAATAACAATAAATCCAACATGCCGTATTATTTCATACAGATCATAAAATCGTCAACTTCGTAGATAGTTTTGTTCACATGCAAATGATATACCCTGCTGAATGACGACTAGCCAACCGAACTAGAAGATCACCGCCGGCCAAATCGCCCCCTTCCAAATCTCCCCTGCCCTCTTGATCGGATCTTGAGCGACCGGTAATTAGCATGAGCATCAGGATTGACTTTTCTCTTCTTCGGCGACGATGGCTTCTTTTTGTCTTCGTCGTTCTTTTCAGCGGTACTCTTTTTCATCTTCTTGAGTGGCTGAACTGATGAGAATGCGGCTTTCAACTTCTCAGAGAAACTTGACGTTGGTTTGCCGTTTGTGGTAGGTAGCGATTGTTTTGTGGAGACGATTTCGGCAAAGTCTGAGTCGGAGGAGTTGTCGTCTGAGGCCACTTCGTTGTATTCATCCTCTTCGTTCGCGTCGCATGCATCGTCTGCATTTGAGTTGTCTTCTGTAGGTTTCTTCCTCTCTCTCAGAGTTCGGGTCTCTGGTAGGGAATTTTCGTTGGCATCCAGCGACTCAGGATTGGCGCCACTTTGAAGCTCGTCTTCGCTTTCATCTTCTTCATTGTCCTTCTCTTGTTCCATGTTCTTTGACGCCTTTGCTGCAGTCGTTTGTGGTGGCTTTTTCTTGGCTTGCATCACTGGCTTCATCTTGACCAGTCGAGTAGTCCTCTTCTGCCCTTTCTTTTTCCATACCCTCCCACCACTCGGGCCTTCACCTGCAGCGTCATGAGGCACTTGGCTATCCCCAACTTGAACCTTTTCTCCTGCCATCCCAATGTTCTGTTCCGCTTCCAACTCATTCAGAATATCCCAATCATCCTCCATCCGCTCATTCTCCATATCTCGCAATCCCTGCACTAGCGCACTGAGTCCCTTTCCATTATACCGCTGATGTTTCTTCACACCAACTGGACTTAGCGGGTTAGCGGGATCATTGTCATTGCTAGTCACGTATCTCCCCGAATTCGACCGTCGCAGAAAGCTAGGCGTTCCCGAAGTGAGAGCATCCATGTCCTCTGCCTGTACTTCTTCCACATTTTTATACAGTATCCGCTGCGGCTGGCTATCCTCCCCTTCTTCCATCATAGTGGCAAATCGAAGCGTCGTCGGCGTCGCAAACAATCGTTCAAGATATAATCTCTTGCTCGACGAGGTCGGCGTCCGTCCCATGACTGTATGCTCATATTCATCATCATCGCCTGCATTTCCTTCTTTGTCCTCAGACTCCTGGATATCATCCAATTTTTGACCCATCTTCCGTCTCGAAGGGGTCTGAACAATTGCATGCCCTAGGGCTGCAACTCGCGTCGCGGATGGTGTAGCCGTGCTTCCCCCGGAAGCAGAGAGCATGTCGAATAACCCCAGTATTTTGCCATTGCGTTGCGGTGTAGGCCCAATGGCGGTTTTGAGGGGAAGTGGAGATGGCTGTTGCGATTGACGATGGGTTGACGGACTGAAAAGGCGACGGAACACGGATGGAGAGTCGTAGGGGTCTAGTGTTGCGGGATGATTCGGATTGATCCTATTCTTTGATGGAGTGATGATTTCCCGTCGCACCTTGCGGGGTGTGTACTGGTTGTTCACTGATGTGTCGTTTGGGTTGATGTCTGCATGTTTACGTTTTGTGGGAGCATGTGATCTTGATGGTGTTTTGTCCAGACCACCGGCGTTGTGAGGGGATGTTGATGACTCCTCGAGGGCGCGCAGTCGACCGTAAGTTTTGTATTTGGCGGCTGTGGTTGTTACATCAATTTTGGCTTTTCTATTTTTAATGAAAGACACGCTCATCATACCTATACTTGGATCCTGCTTGATATCATGTCTGCCCGCTTTTCGTCCTCCATTGGCATCCGCAAACGCCTTTTCCCATAGTTTGAGTTCGACGCGCAGGGTATTGAGTTGTGTTGCATCAGCGGTGCTCAACATGGTTACAATTGCCATGATGTCTCATTTTCTATATTGATTGAATTCAGAACGGAAATGTGTATGTGTTCGTGCTGTCTGCTAGCGCTGGTCGTTGTCCCTTGAAAGTTAGGTGATGGACGCGTCGCGAGAAACCCATTAACGCGTCAATAGGCGGACTAACCGTAATTACATTTTACTGTAATCTATTATTAGTATTATTAGTCTATTTAAAGTGGGTTTGGATAGCTCCGTTATTGAGTCTTGGCGTCATAGATGAAATATAACGATCCGATTGGCCGGTCGCTGGCGATAAAATACGATTATGTATTAGTATTGTCATACGTATGTTACCTCTCTAGGATAGCAGTGTGAGCATGCGAGTATACTTTTTATAGATAGATTTTGTTATATACGCCAATCATGAGTTTGAGTATGCTGTAGCTGAAAATACAATATCAATTTGGTAACCCGAATACACGCTACTAGACGCACAATGCAAGCTAAAATATGAGCAAAATAACACCGTAACAAGTTGGAGGTTCAGATAGCAACACCAGTAACCCATCTCACACTCGCCTTGACAAACTCCTCAATTAATTGCAACTCCTCCAAATTCCGTGGTGCATAAACCATCGTCCACCCCTTCTGCACATGCGGTAGACAGAACCTCTGTCCCCAGCGCGCCTCAATGATTTTCCTTGCATCTGCCTCACTTAGCCAAAGATGCAGACTATTGTCGGCGGGATGGGCGTGGCCAATCTCGTAATCTAATGTGCGATCCGCGACAACGATTGGGTTTACTGATTTATTTTTTTTGCGCGCGTATAAGCCATCTGCAGTCATACCCTCGGTATGAGAGGGTCTGCTTTCGAGGATGTCTGGGTGTTCACTTGCCAGACGGCTCATAAGCGACATGAGCTTTTTCTGAGTTAGCGGTTCGATGGGTTCTGGCCTCTGTCGTTGAGGAAGAATACGTGGCATGAGCCTTGGGCGGCCGCCGGCTCGTGCTGGAATGAATTTGAGAAATGACGGCCCATCACTGCTCAGTGTCTTGGGTTCGGTTTGGAGTGGTACATGGTAAGCAAACATGATGCGACATAAAGTCATTCGATAGTAGCCACTACCAATATAATAAGTCACTGCGCATTCTCGGATTTAGATTGGAGAAACTTACTAGACGTTAGAGGGTGTACCGCCGGTGCCCAACGCTATCCATTGTTTGTAGTCGTGTATTACCCTTTTGAACAGTTAGGCGTTGACTTGAAAGGTCTCTGATGTGTACTTTAAATCTGATATCCTACCAAGCAGTGCACAACGCAACAGTAACAGCAAGTCCTGATACAACAGGATCGCCTCTAACAATCGCTAGCAGTCGCTCAGCGACTATCTGCACCCTTTCGGTAGCACTTGCACTCATATTGCTGTGGTATGTACTCCCGATGCATAGACGGCACGCGATGGAACAAAAAAGTTCTTTATTCCAGACAGAGGATGCAATACTAATTTATGTACTCGGATGGATCAAGTGATTCCTTGGAAATCGTGGGGTATCAGCTTGTACGTCGTACATAGATTGATCAGATGATCCGTCTCAAACTTTCCGAGTGATGACTGTCCAGTTGGAATCCAGGGATACGAGATGCACGGTTTTCTTCTCAACTGACCATTTCCCGAATAGTCGTGCTTTGTTAATATAGCTTCAAGATTGGAGATTGGCCTAGATAAAACAAGTAACTGATGCTCGACGTAATATTGTCGTGGGTCGCCCAAGCATCATAGGTACGTAGCCGGTATAACCCTAATACAAGTATCGGCGATATTTCGGCCTACACACAAGCCCTAACGAGAGGATAGCTTCATTATAAGGGAATACATGTGTAGCATTGTTGATGGATGTATGTTATCGTAACAAAAAAAACTCTTGTTGCACTTTATTGTATCGTGCTCTATGTACTAACCATGTAATTGGCTGTATCTAAATTCCGGATGTAAGAAGTACCAGGAATGAGCCTTCTTCAGTATAAGGTGCGCCATATTGCTGAGTTAGACGACTCATTCAGTCCTTCTTTGACCCCTGAGTCATTTTTTCTCGGTTCGAGAAGTTGAACCCGCTTTCATCAATGTTCAACATGACTCGATTCACATGAGGGCTGTGATATAGTTGGGACGCCTGAATTGTTCGGTATGTTAATGTACGAGCTGACACACTATGGTCGTATTCTTACCCTCTCGCACAACAAACATGACTCAATGTTCAGCTGTACGAAAAATCCCGTATGGTCCAGAAATGCAGATCACCAAAAGCTAGAACCTCAAGAACACTTTGATGCACAAGATTATCTTTCTCATTGGCGTCTCAACAGGTATCTGCTACGAAATCCCTGGGACCGCTTCTGTTGCTTGAAAAGAGACTGGCTGAGCCAGCTTCGTCTTAATAGCCTCGTGGGTCGTCAACTCTAGTTCGATTGTGCATCATGTGTCGGGGAAATGGTTTGATAATATCAATCCCAAAGGTTGAGTGCGATGCACCGCAGTCTTAGGCGATGGCCAAAGAAAAACAGCAATGATACATAAATAAGACCAAAAAAATTAAATCAATGATATCGATCCAGGAATGTGCATAAACTGTGCGTTATGCCGGGTGGTATCACAATCAATTTGCAACAATAGTTTCCCAAAGGAACCAAAGCCAGCTGGGAGAAGAATAGAAAACTTCCGAAGGGCTTTACAGTATATAGAGTAGAGCTGTGTTCCATAAGCTAGTAGAAGAATCAATTGTTGATAAGATCTATATTCCAGATCTGTCTGTAGGATGTTTATCAGAAGGCTTTCTACCAAAATTAGTATGTATAGTATTATGCTATGATATGTGTAGTAAGTGGCTAAAGTAAACAAGAAGCCGGATACGGCAATTGACATCTATTTATCAAACAGGACCGTACGCTACCAAGCTGCGACAGCTGAGCCTTAGAAGATGGTGTTGTTATAGTCAATACCTTGAGCCTTCAAGCCTAGACCCCAGTCGGCATACTGGTCCCAAGTCTCACTGACATTCAACCCATCCGCAGCAACCCCGCTAATGTGAGCAAGAGTCGAAGTCGTCAGCTCGGTGACGTACAAGCCTCCATTATGATAGATGATACGATGAGTCCAGCTGTACTGGGTCGGCAAGACAATCGAGTTTTGTACCGCAATTCTCGGAGCTGCGGTTCCGGTCGTCGAGTTATCGGCGATTTTCACGCTGAAAACTGCATTGACACAAGGAGCACATAGGGTCGATGATCCCAAGAGCCAGAATTGGGAAGGGTCTTGCGAAAATGCAATGTGGATGATACCGGCGGTGCTGCCGACGTTAGAGGACAGGGTGAACCAGTCGATAGATGCGTCAGCGTTGATGCGTCCGAATGTGCCTGTGCCGGTGGTTGAGTTGCCCAACAAACCGACCCAGGCGTTACCGTCAGGTCCAGCAACCAGGCCGACGGGGATACTGCCTTTGTTTGCAGGAACGGCAATCTCCTCACCAGCACTTCCATCATTCTTGTAGTGCCAGATCTTGCTGCTCAAGTCTAGACCAGAGTAGATGTCTCCGCTAGTAGGGTGAACAGCAACAAAGATAGGACGTCCGCTAACAGCCCACACTTGGTAATCATCCGTATTGTCAATATTGATTCTGACTACGTGCGAGCTGTCCTTGCACGCTGCCCATAGCGTTCCGTTATTATACAATAGGCCGTGTGGTCCGTAGGCGGGAGAAGGAATAGGGATAGTCTTGACGACCGTTGGCGGAGAGTTGATATCGTCACCATTGGGATCAATTTGGAGAATAGCATTGTCAAATTGGACGGTTGCCCAGACGGTGGGACTAGAGGAATTGCCTGACGTTCCAGAGCCTATTGTAAGTCCATGTAGACCGGACCATTGGTTTGTTGGGGTGTATTTGCGAGAGCCGGTAGGCTTTCCGTTGCTATCAAGCGATACTTTGACGAGACTTCCGTCAGTTTGTTGAGAAATGAGTAAAAGGTTGTCGCTCACCGCGACAATCTCGTGTGTTTCGGCGGCGGCTGGGAGAGGGTATTCGACCACGCTTTTGACTGGTGAGCTGCCCACCGTGGCAGCACTGACGTGCAATCGGCTCAGTAGCAATAAGGAGAAAAGACCAACAAAACGCATTGTGATTTTTGTGGCGGTTTTCCGGTAGGATGAAGAAAAATGCTTGGTGGTCAAGATTCTTGAGAATGATGAAAAGTCAAGCGGGACTCGAGCCTTATTTTAGTAGATATCGAGCTTATAGCTAAGGTGGACCATACAATCACAATCAACATATTAAACACGCTGAAATGGGAAGCATGCTGGCACGGATACATTTTCCATGACGATCGTCCCTACAAGGGGCTAGCTTCAAGATATGGCATTTTTTAGCTTGAAGTTTATCTGATTCAGTTCATCTTGTAAACAATAAAAGCCCCACCGGGCTGTTCACTTGACGAATCGACACTCGGCACTGTGTCAGCGCTAGCACAGGAGAAGTACTTAGTACCAAAGCCCTAATACGCGTTCGCGCAGCCCCAGCAAAAAGCGATCTTGTTTTCCGATTTGGCTTGAAATTTTTGGACGGAGCACTTCGGCATTGCCATCGGATAACACCAATAATCTCATAAACAGCTGGCTGACCCTAGAGAGTACGGTGCATGGTTCAGCTAGCCGCATCATAGTCGATCGCTTGCGGCCCCACTAAGGAGACGCCTCATGTTCAGTTTTGACCTCTTGACCAGCCGTGACTCGGAAAATGGGAATTTGGGTGCAGCCTGACCACTCTCTTTTTCGTAGAAATTTCCGCTGTGCCTCGTATCCCACTGTAGGCGTAAGTGGCGGTTTGTATGGCACGTAAATCATAGATCTCAAGAGAAATCCCTGAAGATTGGTTGCTGGAGTAGGTCTAAGTGGTGCATTCATGCATCGACAATAACAAATAGACATGCAATCTTCCTTACAAGCATGAAGATACATAGAAAACTAAGCCCTGACAACAATCGGTATGCCATCGATAACCCACCACAAGCCTTAAGCTTGTAGATACTACCAAATCATCTACGATATGGATGATATTTTCATTTCAACATTTTTTGTTTGAAGAAACATGCTGATCTAACATACAGTCGTCAAGCGATTAATTATTGGAAATAAATCCTCGGCTTTAAGGGTACTCTGGCCCTTGTAATTATAGGACAATCTATGTTTATTCTTGGATAGAATAACTTCTAGCAATACCGATATGAGATACTGGCATGACTGCTGCTCTCTATTACATGGCGTCACGGGTATCAATAATGCTGAATTATCTACCGGTTTAATTCATTGATTGTGGCTGTCGATGGTCAAGGTGCTATTTTCACGACCAAGCCAAAATCTCTTTTTGATCGATCAATTCAGCTGAATTGGAAATAGCTATATGCATTATTAACAGTAAACAGCCTTCAAAGGAGGAGGATGTATAAATACCGAACAATCTCTCTTGTGTGGCGGTACCACTCTGGTAGGGGTACACTGTCCGGATGCAGCCCCGGCTAAGACCCTCCCCCAGATTGACAACAATGGCAGCATAATAAATTGAGATTAGGGCCATAAGGATAGATAATTATATCTATCAGAACATTTTGGTATTCGAATCTGTTGGATATAGTAGTGGCTACTTATGCAAGTAGCCTTCTGCATTAGAATATGTTATTACATGTACGCATTAGGTAGTAAGAGATCAATAAGACCTAATGCAATGCCGAAGCTGGAGGTGAGCCCTAATTATTCCACGATTTACACCTTAGCAATTCATTGCCTGAATAATGCGCGGTTTGATCCGCCTTCCTATGATGTGGTGGCAATCGACTAGAAATGTCTATAGCACTACTACTGCGTCTGCCTTCCAGTCTGACAGACTACATGTATGAGAGTTGAAGACCGCTGCTCTCAATCGTCGAATGAAGTACTAGATACCTACAAAGCCAATTTAAACTGTCGGGGTCAAAAAGTGTAATCTGAGCATTAAACCTTCGATGTTTGATATATGCTTTCTATCTGTTCGAAGAAAGTGCGGACAGAACTTTTCATCTTCATTGTTCCTTTTTTTTTTTGATCATTCGTCAATAAGGTCACGTAATCCCCGTTTGACCACTGCTTCAGGCCTCCGTACTCTTCGAAAAATCGACCGGACCGTGATGTATCCAGAGAGACTAGCTTCATCCCCCTGTCTGGCATGTTGTACGAACCTTGTATCACATTAGTGAAAGGTCTTTGTACTAGTTTGTTATTACTGCATGTAATGGGAGAAGGGCCTCAAGCATCAATAGTAAGTAAACTCTTCAAGAGCGACCAGTAGTTTAAACAAACAGCCACTCAGTCCCTCTATACTCAATTGCAAATATTCTTTAGCAGAAGAGTTGTCTTTAGAGCTGTTAAAGGTGGCAAACGTAACTTGACAACGGTGAAATTGGGGTTCCGCGGCACATGCCATAACAGGCTGTCAGTTTAAGACTGTCTTGTGTATCGTTTATAGATAGAGACCACAAGGTGATTACTCGATCATCAAGATCTATATGTTTGCTTCGAAGTTCTATTATTCTTTATAAAAGCCAGGAGTCAAGTAAGACTCAGTATGCAACGACTATGGGAGCAAGGTTCGTCGGTTTGAAATCGAATCATTTCCTGCTGAGATCAGGACGCGGAAGTTGATCGATGTATTAAATATCTGGCTCGATTTATTGCGAGATGTTGAGGGTTGACTGCAAGGCTAGAAGAAACGTTAGTTTTTAGTCAACATTCCAGTGACTACCCCAAAACTAAACATTAAAAAGCAATTCATTGCATTTTATGTGACATTTGACCTAGAACTTCTTTTTGTCATTCTACCATTCTACTACATCTTATACTATATACAATCTAACACTGTCAATCATAGAGGTCATCAGTTCGACTCTCGGTTGACCTGCCTTAACTAAAAGAGGTCCAGTGGGCAGTGCATCACATCCTTGCTCATGAGGTGCAGACCCTTTCATCCGATTGTTCCGCAAAGTCACAATGTCTTCATTTCCCTCTTTGGGTACACGCACTAATTCCAGTCTTGATGCGCTGGCATGTCGCAGGAAATTGGTCTCAAGTCCTTACAATAGGCTGCTTGGGCCGAAATTTGATCCAACCAGGAAAGATACAGAAACGTACGATGCAGCGCGTGATCAGCCATAATCACGAAAAGTGACACAACTTATCTCTATCAGCATATTCTAATGCTAGCCCAGGATTGCTGATCCAGGATATTCTCGATTCATGCAAAGCTAGGCTTGACTAAGGTGGCATTGGGTGTACAAATAGGCAGCAACGATCAGACTCCAGTAACAACTTTGACCATGCACCTCTAAAACCAAYCCGAGACATACCAAGCCATGATGCTAAACTCCGTAAGCGCCTGAAAATAGAAACAGGTCCTCCTATCCAGTAAAATGAGATAACGTGTTTCCACCGTAACTTTTGCTACTCAGCCCCAGGTCTGAATTATCTTACATAAATAGCATAGTAATCCTCGTCGTGAGGTTTCGGGCTTGACAAACATCTAGAGGATCTTTAGTCGTCAGTAGCATTATCAACTGTACCGATAATGCTACCAAGCAACATTTTCCATACAGGGGAACGATCACTTGTGGTATCAACGATATCGCTAATGCAACAAATCAGTCACCAAAAATCTACTTTCATAGACCACTTGCGATGAAGGGATGAAATACTCAGGACACTTACTAAGATTTGAAATCCTTGGCTAAATCGTCGTCCAGGTATTTCAAACGAGCTTTAGCAACCTCATTGTCACCGAACCGAATGAACTGAATCGATATATTGGACCGCATTTGATTCTGCCGACGCATTTCTCCGACAAGTGAACGAATGGCGTTATCAACTCCACAGATATTGTCACTGTTCGTGGCATCATCCCAAATTCCATCGGTTAGAATATAAATGCTGGTTTTCGGATTTTTGTGTGATATCTTTTCCTTCACTTGGTCCAAAATTATGCTGATACTACCCTCCATATCGAAAATTATATCCTCCTGCTTCATGCCTTGAGAGATCACTTTATCAACTAACCTATCCACTCCCCTGAATTTATACAACAACTTGGACCCTGGCTTTTTGGTTGATTCGGGGCTCGATCTAAAGTACAGGTCGATACCATCAGGGTCAACCTCGTCGGTGAGATGTGCGAGGGCTCTGAATGTGTCAACAACTGCTGGCCAATGATTTTTTTTCATCGACACTGTGTCGTCAATGATGAATATCTTCGGAAAGTTGGAGTGAGCTTTGACCCTTTTTAACACATTGCACATCGTTGAACATACCTGTTGTCGTTTTTTCAGCTTCTCAAGTGCAATAGATAAGCACCTATAAACCTCATCACTTTCCTTCTTCCCTCCTTGTATCCAATTGATTACATGAGGAACGCGGAATTTGAGGTATTTGGTTTGATTGGTTGTTGGTGAACTTGTTCGTTTGGCGACCTCAGGTTTGATTGTTCTATCATATTTGGAAGATTCTATTACAGAATCGGCTGTAATTTCATTCTTGCTACTGGGAAATGAGTCTCTGTGGACTGGAGGAGTTAATAATGGATGCAGCTCAGATTCTCGTCGAGGATCCAAACTTGTTTCTTCAGGTAAGGAATGTGGACTGTCCGAATCGCGAGCTCCATTGACCGAATCATGACGGTTGAATCTCCTCTGGCCTGATTGATTTCCTCCCGATGTTGACCTCCTTGGGAAAGCGTTATAGTCAGGTGACGTCCGCGCATATTCGAACGAACGAGGGTTTGCCCTCTGGTCAAGTTCCGTTATAGAGGTTCTACCAGTTGGAGATGGCACCTGCCATGGTGTCTGCGGTGTTTTAGCCTTTTCTTCGAAATATTGCCTGATAGCGGCCCCCAGTTCTTTAGCATCATAGCGCGGTTTTCGTACCGGCACCATCGCATGTTTCAACACGATTTCGCAGAAACCTTCTGTTATATCATCAAAAAAGCGCCGTTGTTCGAGTACGCGGTCCAGCGTCTTGTCTACCGCATCGAGTCTTCTATCGCCATTATGAAACGATGCCCCATACCCTTGATTGCGAAGAAGAGTATTTGGGTCATTTTCTTCGCACCGCAATGATCTGAATTCCTCTCGTCCTCTCTCATCGGATATCGCCCAGACAGCTGCTTCAAAGAGTACACAACCGAATGACCATATATCAACGAGATGGCTGATACCTTCGTCGAGGGATCGGGAGAAATCATCGTAGTTGGTCATTTCCGGAGCGTTATACATGATACCGCCTTTATTATCACGGGTTTTTTTGATATGATATGCCTCATCCGAAGTAAAACTGGTCAACCCGAAATCGCCAATTTTGAAACTATACTTGTATGTGCCCCCTTCTTCGTTCCGAAAGACAAAGATATTTGCTGGCTTTAAATCTTGATGTACTCCTCGTAACTGCCTGTTGGTTCTTCGGAGATCTTGCGCATGCAATAGTCTCAGGCCCCTAAGCAGCCCAGAGAGGTTTTCGAACAACCCAAGAAGCTCCTCACGTGTGCGCGGCACTCTGTTACTCTTGTAAAGTTCAAGCAAGCTTCCCTCATCGGCAAATTCAAGGATTATGAACGCTTTGTCTTTCTGCTTGAACGACCCATGATATTTGAGAAAATATTTGGATACATAATCTTCGTTGCCAGGGTACTGAAATGATAAATACGCTTTCAGTTCGTTCTTGAAGCTGTGCCCAATTTCACTTTTCGGATACTCTTTGATGACGACGAGGTCCTGGAGAAGTTCAAAATGTCAGACTTCGTGTATCTTGTGATAGATAGAAACAACAATAAAAGATAATCAAGAAAGAATGAATGTACATCTTTTGTTTGAAGCTTCGAGGCTTTGTGCAATTTATATAATTTAGTAGTAACTGTGTTAGCAGGGCTGCCAAAATGACCGGAAAGTTGACGTTCAAAGGTCAACGGTAGAACGCAGCGACTGTGAAGATCTCTTCCATGCAATCCTGATCCAAATACGACTGGACTGAACAAAAACTGGGACTGCAGAAATCTCGCTTCGACTTCCTTCCCTTCCAATGTGCCAGGAAAACAACCTTCCATAAACGGTAGGATATGGTCGTCAGAACCTTTTTCATTGAGCTCGCTAAGGTAGGCTAGGCTTGGTAGGTTGGGCGTTGCGATGTATACAAGAATCGAAAAGATGCGAATATAACTTTTAATAATAGATCTCGGCGGAGGTAGGGTTTGACGATGTACGCCGGCTTGCCATAAGACGTCGCTAATCAGATTTTCGTTCCAGTAGCCTCTTAGGTCATCTTCCGATATGTAAAATTCTTCTTTCCCGTCGCCAGTCAAGCCCTGAATACAGATTTTCTTCACCCAGTAGCCGAAGTCCTTCGAGATTGAGTCCATTTTACGTGTATCAAGAGTGGCTGCAGCAGGTAATTGCACGCTGGCCTACCTTGCCAATCACGCAAAAATACAAGATTCGACCTCTTCAGGAACTCGCCACGGGTATATATAATATGGTGGTATATACTGCAGCGCTAGGACTGCCTTTTGGCAGTGGTTGTCGAGCGCGGACCTGACCTGCGTCATGTAGGTGGCAAAGAAATGCAAGTAAGAAGAGGGGTTGCAGGGAATTTGTACAAGGCTGTCATAGCGGCTCATTACTTAACTAATTCTCAACTCAGCCTCAGCCTAATTCAACTGACGAGGTGGCTGAGGTGCCCCAATGCGTCAATGCATGCTCTACTCTGCGAACTAGTCTGTGTAACGTATTTGATACCGTACGTACAGTAATGACAAGGCTGATAATGGTCAAGAGCTTCTCTGAATCTAAGAGCCTCAATAGCACGCGGTACTTCTGTGTTCTTTTCTTCTAGTCCTTCATGCCTAACATAACCATACACGACGTTTGAGTAATCTAGAGTCCAACCTAGTGTAAAATCCAGGCCTGTACACCTGAAAAACTATGTTCTATATAAATAAATTTACATTGATTGAGTGCCTCAATATTTGCCTTTTTCCAAAAAGCCTTGGCCATCTGAAATTTCAGTTTCCTCGTCAATATCCATTTCTCCACGACGTCGAGTGGCCCACCAATACGCACAAATCCATATCAAACCAATGACTGCCATGAAAGGAAAGCATACTTTGGCAAAGAGTGCGAAGAATTCCGGCTTGAAAGTAGGCATCACTTCAGGTTGATTCTGATCCCACTGAAATAGTCCACTACCAAGAAATGTCTGGTCAAAAGTTAGATGGTCTGTAAACTTACGCAACTTCAAACTTGGCATGCCTAGTCTTACGGCAATAAACGTTCCCGGAAGGAAAATAAGGGTAACTAGAGTGATGATGTGCATCGAAGCGGTTTCTCTCTCAGTTCTTTCCGCAACCCTGTGCATGCTTTTTGTCATCTTTTGCATCTTCATTGTAGAATCATGCATTTCCTGTGTCATGCTTTCCATTCGAAGGGAGCCGTGGTGTGCATTTGTGGCAAATAATGTGTTGATCTCGATGTTCCTGAACTGAAGGATGGATTCAAACTACTCAATTTTTGTCAACTTCTAAAAGACCTTTCAAAGGTCAGAGGTGTCATTATTTACCATGCTTTTGCCATTACCCAGCACTTGTAACAATGAATCAATTCGACATTGTTCTCTTTTCAGATCATTCACAATGCTCGTAATTTGTTGGAAAAAGTCCGATACTGCCGTTGACGAGCCATCCTTGATTTCGGATGGAAAATAAGGGTCGTCGATAAGACGTTGGTAATAGCCCATTATTTCAAGAAGCACACCAGCGTTCAGTTTTATCACCATGCCTATCTCTTGAAGTGTAGATTCTATGCGAGAAAGATCTTGTAGCTGTTCGATGGGGAACGGCTCAGAAAATCTAAAGTGACTTGATACATCGACGTTGTCGTTCTGCGTTGATGACAACGACCCTTGAAGTGTGGACTGTACCAAAGTTGCCTGTGGTTTGTTCCGGTAATTTTGCCTTCCCCATTTGGCAAGATTTGGAGAAATAATGGTCTCAGGAATGGCGGATAAGCCTGTTGTCTGTCTCGACGGAGCCCTTCCTACGTTTGTTGTCCCCATTCCTGACTCAAATCCTCCAGCGTCCCCATTTAGACCGTTATCGCCAGCGTTCTCGGAGGTTTTCAACTCCAAAAGTTCGACTGGGGCGTTGAAAACTTTTTTTAAAATTTCGCTCGATCTCTTCTCGAGTCTAGTCAACTGGTGCCGCCAATTCTCCCTGCACCACTCGAAATGAATAAGGTGGGTTTGCAAAGTAGTAGAGAAACAACTGCTCAGGTCAACCATGTTCTGCGCACTTATACTGCCAGAAATTGCTGTCTCTTCTTTGATTCTTGATTTTATCACACTATTGGCTTTGATGTCAATCCAAAAAGCCTTTCCGGTTTCCACGTCGAAAGAATGATAGACCACCGTCTGTCGGATGGACCACGGGTTGCTGCCCCCAGACGACGGCTCGGTAGACCAAAGATTATAACATTGTTTGAATTCCCGACCTGATCGACCTAGTCGGAATATAGCAAATTTTGTATTGAGTTGGTCTAGAAAGCTTTCATGTCGAAAGCTTGTATAGTGGAAGTCGTCGGGCTGTTTTCCCGCACCGAAAGCAAGCACAAGTTCTAAGAACGATGGAGATACCTGATGAAATGACAATAGGTATTCCAACATCTCTTTGGAGCAGTCTAGTGGACTTCTTGAGCTTTCGGCTTCAATGAATCTGATAGCCTCTTAGTTGATCAGTCCCATATTTTGCTTAGAGGTAGACTTACACATGACGGCATTTCGGATCTTTACGATTCAATTGGAAATGTTTCTTCAGGGTTTCCACTAGCTTAATGCTAGTCGACGTGAATTCTACTCATTGCATGGTGTCAGTTTCCATGCTATAACAAGAGAGAGAGCGTTTCTGTTAACAAACCATGATCACCGTCACAAGTCTCTACCAGCTCGATGAGATGGTATTGAGACTTTGATTCAAATAAACTCTTCTGATTCTCTTGGAGGCGCTTCCGATAAGATTCTAACACATGAGAAAATGCATGTGTGCGAATCAGGTTTGTCGGATACGGACGACTTGAATCACACGCCACTTGCAACGTATCGTATTGATCTAGCATCCTGATATCGTGGTAGTTAGATTTGCTGGAAATGATCTCGGGAATAGAGAACCTCCTTGTTTATCCAGATTCGTATGTGATTTTTACTTGATACTGCAGTCTAGAATTAGCACTTTATATCAATGGACGAGGCTTTGCGGATGAGACCCGAAAGGCGTATTCCTAACTTAAGCATAACTGATATTCAACTGAAAAAAGTATCCTGCTCGAATATTGCCCAGGTCGAAGGCTAAATGCTTAGCAGGCCGTTGTTTGCATCACAAACAGGGTGGATCAGCTAGGCAGACTGAGTGGCAATGTCCGACAAATGAAGATTAAAATTAAGGCAAGACACATTAAACGAATTTGCACCAGTTGACGGGGTCAGGATCAAAGATGTCCTTGCTTCTTGCACTACTCGTAACATGGGCTCGTGGGCAAGACAAAAGCTCAGCATTCGTAGAACCACAAAAATACAATAAAAGAACATGGACCAATCATTCACCGCCTGCCAGTTCGAAGATTATCGATAGAATCCCATTGCTCCTGTACAGCATTAGATAGATTTGGTTCCGACCTTTCCATCCGGTATTTCAAATACACGTACGTCTGTGAGGCTTTGAGGCACATCTACCACATAGTAATCATCTTGCACCTGTTACATATGGTCAGGACACCAACGAGGCTGTGCCAGTGTGGCTGTGATACGCGTCACTCACGTCGAAAACAATAATAGTGTAGCCAAAGACGTCTTCCAGATGACTCTTGAGCTTTTCTTGGCTTAACCGATATGTAGGAACATATACTAGAACCATATTGATATTACTGTCTTGATTTCTGGAGCTCCGTCAATGTCTCTGATATTAGTATGCAGCAAACGCTTCGTCGAGAAATGATGGAACGCTGGAACCCGGCTGAGGCTGGGCTTTTCTATACACTGTCATGGATTGTGCAGGGTATAAAAAGGCGATGCATTCTCATCTCAAACCAATTATATTTTTACAATCAATACCAGGTGCGGGTATCGCGCGGACCATCTTGAAATACAGTTGATGTGGATGGAACCCGATTCCTTGTAATGCACAGCCTCGCGAAACAAGCTGAGCGAGAAGTGACAGGGGTAGAGGGGGAAGAGCAAGGCTCTGGGTTACACAGCATTGAATATTCAGAAATGGCGTGTAATTACGTGTATTGAAATACAACACAGGTATGTCACGGCAAGGCTGCGACCTAGGTACAGCTATCACATGCGGCTGACGTGTTGTAGTTGATCTTCTACGAGGGCTGGTTGAGCCTGATGACATCCGAGAGTCGCAACAGGATCAGGCTGAAATGTGCGACCAGAGGTCTGCCTTGGTACAGGATGACCGATTTCCAGAGAGAGCAAGGGCTTGGTCTGTACGGCATCGAAGCGGCACAGTCAGGGCAGAGAAAACTGGAAATGAGGCACGTACTTTCAATATCCGTTAAGTTATGTCCGTCATACGAATTGTCCAATGAATCCATCTTAATGGGCTTGATATTGCATAGACAGTTCGTGGCAGATGATTTACTTCAATCCTCTGGATGATAATAGGCTGGTATCTGTATATCAATGGCAGGGATATCGCCGGGGTCGTTCTGGGGTCACTTTAGTATTCCAATCATCGACAAGAAAACAAGGGACGTGATAAATCTCACCCCCATCCTCCTCAAAATCCAAGTCTACCGCTTTTGAAGCTACGTACTGGATTTTACCTGACGCCTCACAGCTTTTCTGTTCCGTTTACTGCTCACCCTCCGCCGCTTTTACTTACTGAGAAGAACTGAGCACGACCCTGAGCGCCGTGATTATCTCAGGTTCTCAGATTAGCTAGCCTGAAAAGGGAAAGGCCTCATGATGACTAAGGCTTTTGGTATCTAACTAAGTTAGTCCACGCGGACTCTCTTGAACAAGAGATGGCTAATTATCTTCTCTCACAACATGGAAATCAACAAGTTGGAGAGAAATGGGTATACAATCTTGTTCAACATCGCCCAGAGATTGATTCAAAGTTCTCACGAAGATATAACTATGGACGAGCTAAATGCGAAGATCCGAAGATTATTCCAGTCTGTATACCTCCTCATTCCTTATATCTTTTACAGTCTCTTGATGTTGGCTGTCTGGCTATTTTATAGCAATATCATGGACAACTAGTTGAGCAGCGGATGAGACTTGGATTCAATCATATCAATCACATCGACTTTTTAATTACATTTCCAAAGGCTTATATAATAGCATATAAAGCTTAAACTATTCGAAATCGCTTCGCGGCAACTGGATTAGTGTCTTTTAAAACAGATCGAGTTATTCAACAACTTACTGTTCATAAAGCCATTGATATCTCCTTCAAGTCGATCAAGCCATATACAGTCATCTTGCTTACAAACATCTCAAAATATAAGCCAATTCGTACGTCAGTAAACTACAATCAAAAGCCGTATAGAGAAGCCCAAATCAAGTGATTGATCAAGCAATTATGTGGATGTCGAAAGCCTATGAAACAACAATGATTTACGAGCTGCGCATGAAAAAGAGAAGCAAAAGCGCCCAAATATCTAAAAAGCAGACATTGATTGAGCACGTAATGACTAGAGAGGAAGCTCAGGCACTCGTACAAGGCCAAGTTAAGGCATCTCAAGCTGTTATTACTGCTCCGGCTGAGCCGGAGCTCCCATCTTCTCAACCAGTCGTACGCCGCCCATTTCGCTGCAGTGGTTGTGGCGTTGGAGAACATAATAAACAGATGTCCTAGTCGTACTAGTAATACTTTTTATGTATAACTTATACATGAGTTGGAAATTAGGAATTGAAATTAAGATTGTATACAGGTTCGGGGAAAAAAACCCACTTCGTTTACCGATTACTTTACGTGCTGCGTGGAATGTGATGGGCGGCTTATTAATTAATAATACCTGAGACACAACGATGACCTGTACGTATAAAGGGCCGCACCGTGAGTAAGTCTTGAAAAATCCCCTCGATTTTATTTTTCCTTTTCCCCATTGCCCATTTTGGTTCGCGATGAAAGAAGTGATTGTATCTCCGACCTTCCCTGAGGTAACCGCTCGTATACAAGATGGACCGATGCCTGGCATTGGTCCCGACGAGATATTGGTCAAGGTGGTTGTTGCAGCCAGCAACCCTAAAGGTATATATCTCCATTGGTACCATCGCTGCTCACTCTAAGTAAACTACAATGCAGATTACAGGCATTTGTATATAACAAACAAATCCGTAAACAGCGGCGACGATGTCGCCGGATACGTGAGCGCTATAGGCGAGGACGTCAAAAGAATGGGGGAGTTCCGTATTGGTGACCGTGTGGCGGGKTTTCACAAGATGCTAATGCCAGGAGGAGCATATGCCGAGTTTGCGGTTGTTCCGGCCCATACGGCGTTTCTCATTCCCGACAATATCTCATTTGAGGGTAAGTAACAGGCCCCCCCCCCCCCTCCTCTCTTCCATTATGCCTTCTAACAATCCTTCAAATCCGATTATAGAAGCTTCAACGATTCCTCTCACGATCTTGGCCGCGGCTCTACCTTTGTTTCGCCGCCAAAATCTCCCAGCACCGTGGATGGGCCATTCTAGAAACGCAGAGCCATTGCCGTTGATTGTATACGGCGCTTCCTCTGCACTGGGCACCTTCGCAATCAAACTGGCATCACTTGCAAATATCCATCCAATCATCGCAATATGTGGTGCCACAAGGTCTGGATTGACTCCTCTTCTCAAACCAGAGCTGGGAGACAGGATCATCGACTATCGTGTAGGAGCCGATGCAATGAAGGCAGCGGTAAAGGAAGCACTGAAGGGCCTCACTGCATACCATGCTCTCGATGCGATTTGTGAAAACGAATCCTGGATCCCAATTTCCCAACTGCTGGGTCACGGGGGTCATCTATCTGTTGTACAAGGAGGTCCCCCTGACAAATATAAACATCCCAGCATCCCGGCCAATGTCGAGATTGGTTATAGCTATGTAGGATCATCGCATTATGGATCCTTTGTTCCCACGATGCCCAACCAACCTGCGGACAAAGACTTGGTGGTTAAGGATATCGACTTTGCATATGTGCTTATGCGGTATGTGGCGCGAGAATTGGCCAGGGGCAATCTTTCCGGCCATCCATGGGAGCTTATACCTGGAGGACTCGAAGGTGTACAGAGTGGCCTTCGGAAGTTACAACGTGGTGAAGCCAAAGGTGTGAAGTATATATACCGAATCGCAGAGACGAGCGGACTCATACCCTAGCCCCAAGAAAGGCGTCAATAGGAGCTTGTTACCTTCAAAATTATCAGCAATTCGCACCTCGATAATCATTTTTTCAACCCCGACTGCATCGGCTTCTCCTTCGATAGTCCCAGAACCAAATATTTTCCAGCTAACAATTTTCAGAGCCCACAGCTCCGATGCATTCATTGACTCCCACCAATGCAACAACCGCACTCATTTCGTCCACTGTAGCAATGCCAGTCTTTATTTTGACCTCTTCTACTGTCGATTTGTACACGTCATTTGCAATTGTATGCATCAATTGTAGCCCTTCCGTCACAAGCTCTTACAGTACTTTGCAAATTCAGGATTTCTCATGAATACACTCCATTTAGTTTTACACCCATCCTTAAAACAAACTAGGTTCATATTCTGTAAAGGAGTTCACGACCTCGTTACTCCTTGTCAAACTTGATTGCGCAGTGCTGGAAATGCCGCGAATGCTTTCTGTACAGGACTTATCAATCCAAATACAGTGTATGATACTCCCATTAGTAGCTCTAAGCGGACTGCTATTCATGGCCACCGCAAGGCATAGACGATGAAGTATTGTTAATTGGTAGCATCTCTAGCATTAGAGCGTCACTGACATCTTAACTGATGCTATCCTTAAGAAATTGGGTTACGCTGAGTTTAGGTTCAAGGACCAGCTTTAGGAAGCTATAGTTTGAGTTAATAGGCTCTATAAGCCCTAATTAATAGATATCAGTTCCTGAGATAAGCCATAGGGGCTTACTTAAGAGTGCTTAGAGTTATATTTACTTAAGGGCTTCTTCGGGGCATCTCTTAAGTGTTTATTAATTGGCTTGTCTAAATCTGGGTAGAGCGTATTAATGGAAGTTTCAGGAAAATTCTCCAGCGAGACAGTTTGCGTCTGGCTTGATGAAACGGAAAAAATGCGTCAATGTTGCCTATAATTTAGTTAAACCTCCTATACTTCCCAACATATATGACTCCGTTATCAATTTTGCCGCGGCCGACTAGAAATTTTCAGTCCTCGTTGTGCCCAAGGAGTTAGGTTGATAAGGATGATACTATAAACTAGAGAGAATCTGAAATAATTTAACGGACCGGTAGTCTAGCCCAGATGGTGGCGAAAATATAGGTGCGAACCCACCACCAGTCTGGCACTCTCTAGCCCTCGAGTATCGTGGCAGCTCGATGTCGATTCGTAAAAGCAGATAAATAACGAACCGCTGGCTCCCAACATGTCGATCATAACCCTCCCCGTTGAGATTCTAAACCATATTAGTGTTGCCTTCGATATCACAGACTGATGCTTCCTAAGACTCTCCTACAAAAAACTATATGACGGCTCTACAGAGGCCTTCGCAAACCGGTACTATAGAAGCATCAAAGTTTTCATCAACAGCGATAGTCTCCCCGGACTTTCTTGATAAGGTTCACGGAGGGTATCGATTCGACATGTCAGTGAAGTCGGCCCGATCTCGTTTACGTGAGAAGAAAATCTGAGAGAATGCTGAGGTCGAAGCTCGCTGTGTAACATGGGAAGCGTTCGTTGCGGAAAACTGCGAGCTCTTCGCATCTTCTATTCTTGTGAACTTTCTCGAGACGTGTGTGGCACTCTATAATAGTTTTCTCACAATTCACGTGCGAGAGCGACATGGCATCTATGGTAACATGGATCCGGTCAAGGGCTTTTGAGTTCAGTTGCTTAGGTGGCGAAGAAATAGAGCTCGACTTAATCCCCTCGAACGGCACACAATGTATTCTGTTCCTGAACCGGCTTCATCAAGCCAAACAATTGTCTTATCGATGCTCATAGATGCGATGATTCAGTACAAAATAGTGCTACTATTACTAGACTCTTTATTCCCATAGTGCAGCCACGAGAAGAGAAGCAAGATCAATTTAGATATGAAGTAAAAGGCCCGAAATGTTATTCATAATTGAAATACACCTGATAATTACCGGTAAACAAAAGAGTCGTCGAGTAAACTAGTGAATAAATGCTCTCCGTGGCATCGCCACCGCCAGTTTTCGTACACATCAATCAACACACCGTCTTATGCACACCCTCACCCATCTTCGCCATTTGATGACGCGGCTGATCGTGAGCTTGTTGTCCAAGCTTTTCGGCATGATCACGTCTCCGCTCAATACGAGAACGATGCGCGTGAGTCTGTAGTGTAGACAAATCGACGGGGTCTGAATCAACCAGTCTCTCCGTGACGGCGATAATATCGGCTATCAGGCGCTCGAGAAGGTCGGCACTCATGCTCTCTCGGACGACTACTCGCAAGATCTCGATCTTGTTAGCAGTCGGGGGAAGTGGATAATCTAAGTGGATATCAGCAGCGGCAGAGGTACAGAAAGCGAAGGTGATCGGCCTTACTGGGAATGATATACTGCTTCGCCCGAAGCAGAATACTGACACTTTCCTGTTTCACATGAGGGTAATCTTTCTGGAACTGATCGGAGAATCGGAAAGCCACGACAGGCAGTCCGGCCACGTAGTCGGCAGAGGTCTCCTGTCCTTCACCAAGCACAGTATCCTTGGCCGCCTTCAATGACTTCTTGCGATGAATACTGCTGACACATGTGAACCAGCCCGTCTTTTCTAGAGCTTTGCTAAGTAGGCGTGCGTTTGCAAGGCAATTCTCCATAATGTCGCGGTATCCGTTAAATCCGAGATGAATGAGGTTGTAGTACTGCGCGATGACCTGCCCTCCAGGTCTTGAGAAGTTGAGTGTGTACGACTCTTCAGTACCTCCCAGGTAGTGTAACTCAAAGATCAGGTCCTTGGGAAGGTATGACTGATCACGCCAGATGATCCAACCTAGTCCAGCGTATACAAGTCCGAATTTGTGGCCAGAAGTGTTGATCGACTTGACTCGAGGGAGTTCAAAGTTCCTAAAACCATCAGCATCAGATTGATGGGGTTGTGCAACAGGGAAAAATGCTTACCACTTTTGACCACCACCAACATACGTGAAAGGTGCGATGAAACCGCCACTTGCCCCATCGACGTGAATTGGTATATCATGGCCAGTCTCGGCTTCATATTCATCCAAAATCTTCGAAACCTCTTCCACAGGCTCATAATGTCCAGTGTAGGTGGAGCCAAGAATAACAAAAACGCCGATAGTATTCTCGTCGATGTTTTTACGGACCATTTCTGGATCGAGGGCATAATTGCTCTTTTCCGAAACATCTAGAATACGTGCCTCCACATCAAAGTATCGGGCAAATTTCTCCAGGGCTACCTGTGCATTGGCTCCCATGAGAATGTTGGGTCGAGAAGTATCCTTCCCAGCTGCTCGTCTCTTTTCCTGCCATCGGCGCTGCATTGCTTTACCGCCAAGCATGATTGCTTCGGAAGATCCAACGGTTGCTGATCCAATCGCTTTCTCTTTGGATTGGGCGCCCCAAAGATTAGCTATTATGGAAACACATCGCGCGTGCATGGCCATCAAAGCAGGGTATTCGTCGGCGTCTGACAGGTTTTTGGCCATATTCTCGTACATCAGTGCATTTGCCTGTCGTTCCATGTATGTTCCAACGAAGCTATCCACAATCAGCACAGATCTCAATTTTCTTGAAACAATTGGCCTTGCGACCTACCTGGCCAGATTCAAATTGGGGCGTCCGTCGAGATCGAGCTCGTCACGAAGTAGCTGCGCTGCGACATCTGCAGGTGTGCCTTCTGTGGGTATGCGAAACTTGGGAATGGCCTCTTTGCTGGCATAGCGGGTTGAATATGGGGTTGTACTTGCGACGGCATTCTCAGTGTGGATGTTGGTTTTGAGGCTGTCGTGCGAGCCATCTCGCAGAGTCTTGATGAGCTCGTCGGGATCGACCTGTTACATTGTTAATTCAGGCTTCTTTAGAGAGGAACAAGAACTTACGTGGCGAGATAGAGTCATTGTGAACTAGAAGTTTTTTGTTGGGTAGGAAATTGTTGCAAAGGCCAGAGATGCAACAGCTGGTGTGAGAAAGAGAAGAAAGGCAAGTGCGAGGGACGTCATGGGTTATAACTCAAACGGTCCGGCGGTCCAGCCTAAAGAACCAAGCTTTTTCTCATGACATACCACGTAGTATCCCTACTGCTAAGCTTTCTTCACGTGGGGTGATTTGCATCGTGTCCAATGGATCTGACCAGACAGGGTCTACATACATCATATGTTGATCTACGGTGGGGTGTCGTCGTGTCTTTCTTTCTAACTTGGAAGATGTCTAGTGAGAAAAAACCCTTGACCTCGACCGATGATTGATTGGATCCAGCTTGAACTCATTAGCAATTTTATTGTTTTGCTACGTAGTAGACTTGATGACGTCCAGGAAATTGCTTCTCTTTCGTGGAGCATCGGCTAGCATGACGTCACCACCATCGTCTCCGCATGGTGAAGCTTTCATTGTCCGATTGGCAAAATACTATAGTTGCTGTAATGAAATTGGATCAGATAGGTTGAATGACTGCAGGAAATTCTGTGGCACGCAAGTTGGCGTCTAATAATTTCTTAACACATTATTGACCAGTCATTTGGGTTAGGGTTAGGGTTGGCATGATCGACCAGCAGAGATCCTGCACTATGACCAGTAATCTCCTGAACAATCGAATCAAATTGAAAAATACTGGGCCCTTCCATAGATTCGCTTGGTGTTATGCAAGTATGAGAAGATCAATCAAATCTGTGTAACAGGTCATATGCTAGCAGTCGTGACTACGTATTGCGATGAGAAAATGGTAGTGCTTATACGAGATTACTTTCTTTAAGGACTCTTGTCCGTTTTTCTGTCATCAGCGAAAATGTCGAAATTTGATGATGGGTCTAGATTGATCTATTAGTAGGCTAGATCGATCGAGATGTATACTAGTAGGTCATCACGAATGCTACCGGGGAGGCACTTGATAAATTAGTGCTGATAGACGTGCATACAATTCATCACACGTTGACTCGTCTAGTAAGTAGGATACTGAATGAGATTCATTGCCTGGAAAAGAGAAAATCTGTCAAAGCCCAAAAGTAGTCAGTCGAAACCCTAAACTGCCTTACCCTGAGCTAAGCTTAAGCCCTCGATCATCCACCGAATAACAACTCACTCAATTGGATTATTTAGTCGTAGATAAAATTCGGCATCTAAAATCGATAGGGACACAAACCCTGAAGAAAACATGGTTTATTCTCCGATACTGTCCACGTCTGTGGGGCTGAATCTTCTTTAGCCTTTTGCCTACACAAGTGGTATTTAGTGTGGCAGACCAAAATCCAAGGGGTAAGATACTAGCATGGACTACCCAGACATGTTTCGAATCAGAATTGTCGATTCCATTCTTGACTTTTGAAATACGTGTCCATGCAGGATATATGTAATCTTACCGACGAGTGCGGTAAGCACCGACAAAACTGTCCTACTATCTTTAAGCGCTCAAATGCGAACGTCGACATGAGGGTTGCATATGTATGTGATTAAATGGTACAAGATGGACTCACATGACCCCATTGCACTTAAATCAGCCAGATGGAGCCACATTCTATGTTTCGCACTCGGTCATGGAAACTACTCCGAATTGTGGATGATGGCAAGTAGAACACAAAGACTTGGCTCAACACTCATTGGACCGGAGAAAGACACTTCTTGTCTCAATCAGTTAGAATTTGAATTCTGATACTTTTGATATCAGCGAAAAAGGGACTAGGAGTACGAACTATACGTTACTAACATGACCCAGTGGGGGTATTTCTGATGAGCCAGCACGTACCGATACGTACGTACGGAGTACCAAAAACGCAAGCATGAAGGAAGGGAACGTGCTTGACCACTCGACACTAGTGAATCTATCAAAAAGTCTAATGAAAACATCTTTGGCCACTGAGTGGTGGTATGGAAATACTCCGCTTCTATTTCGAGCTTTTCAAAATTAGGACGGTTACCGTTAGTACGTACCTGGGCTAGCGAGTACACTTTAGGCGCGAACACTGAAGCTAGGGAGATTGCCTCTTGGATAGGAAAATACTACTGTAGTATAGCGTTATCAAGCTAAAGTAATTAGCTAGTAGAAACAATTTGATATTCGATAGTTGATTCGCAATTTAACTGAATGGATCTTCTAAATCGATTTGTTATGGGTATCGTGAGAGCGTCAAGAATATTGGATTTTTGTTTGACTGCGGAGACTCGGTATTTGATCCTTCATGTCGGACAGTATGTACTTAACGTACACGGTGGGTCTAGCTAAAAGCTCATGTACAGTGTATGCACATGGATGCCCCTCAATGTGACTATTGACTCTATGGATATTGGTGCTATGAACAGAGAGATGACATCTAATTATCAGCAACTTGAGGCTCAGATGTGTAAGATACGGAAAATAAGGGACCATATCATAATCCTAGTGGTTGTCTATAAAAATTACCCGTTACGAAGAGACAACAGGATTCAAACAGAAATTTAGAAAAAAAAAGGAAACAGGAACATACCGACCCCACCTCTACACACACGATAATTGGCCAATGGCTAAATTGTTTATCTAGGTACGGAGTCACGGAGAGCGCCCAACTCATCCACAGCAATAACACATGCCCGTTCATAAGGAATATCGGAAGTTTAGAGAAGGGGTTCACGAATCATCCCTGTTGATAGAAACAAGCCAACCAACATGTTCATATCATGCAGTACTATTAATATGAAGGTATTTCCAGAGTCCAAACCTACTTACATACATGCGCAGTACAGAGGGAGGGTACAGACCGAGGCACCAATCACAAGATACTTGTATTTACCCTAGCGTCCGGGGCTTAGCTGTATTGGGTATGGTTTGCCTTCTGGCTCGTACCGACTTTAGCACCGTACATATCTGACTAGCCACGAAGGGTTAGAGGGGCAGACTAATGTGATCAACTGACCACTCGCAGTGCTTGCCAGCATGTCGTCAGGCTAAGTCTTTCGTGGACTAGACTCGGGCCACGGTCAAATCGATAGATTCGATGCCTAAATATTAGCTCGTGTCCGTACGCACTGTCTCTGGACGAGTAACAGTAAGTGACTAAGTGCAGAAGATTCAGTTTCATTGCTTGATGAATTCAGATGGGGCTAAAATCGAGATGTAACGGTAATCAATGTCCATATATCAGACTGTCAGATCATGAGATGGGCACTGCCAGTAAGTTTTGCCACCCACATATTCTAGCACTGGCAGGCACCAGAATCACTTTGCATATGGCTAACAGCCCATGATCAAGATTCCACATCCATCAGTCTTGAGAAGGGCCGAAACTCGTTCTGTAATCTGTATGGTGTACGTACATACTATGTACATTCATACAATCATACAATGAATACAATGAGTGGGGCCGATGTTAGCGTCTTCTAGCGCCATTCCTCACCACTCAATCGGGCTTTCGCTGCCGAGTCTAGATGCGGCTCTAGGCTCGTTACGTACTAGTCCAATACTACAATACATACATAACAATCTGTGCTAGCGATTCAATAGTCAGGGTATAATACAGTCACTTATTATTTCTCATTTGCCTTGTACGTATCATAGTGCGCGGTTGCGCTATAATACTACGTAGTAATAGCAAGTATGAGGTCTGTTTTCGCCGCATTATTAGGGTTCATCATCTCGCTTACATAGTATGTTGTTAGGACAGTTAATTAGGTTGAATACACCCGATACGTACGAGGGCCGTACGGTAAACCATGACTTGTAAAGTGGGATCGCACCAGGACCATGTGATTTATTTTATCGAAAAAGTGGAGTCGACTTCATGCCTGTCCGTTTATTATTTTTTTCTTTTGGATTCAGAGTCCAGTATGTACACGCAAAATCCTACCCTCGATACAGACGTATGTTCATACGTCGTTTGTACGGTAATTATTCCATGATTTTCGTCGGTATATCAGCTTTGTTAAAATAATGGTTGGACAGGATGTTTGTCGGTAGTTCCTCGGGATTCTTACTCTTATACTTTTCTGTTCCAAGGTTGACTTTCTACATTCGACACGATACAGATGGTGACATTATTCACTTCCTGATACGCATCTGGACAAATAGCTGTCGTGGAGTAGTCAATACACACGGTCCAGAAAAAAAAACATCCCTGCATGCACAGTGCAACATAGACATACAGTTCGCTGTCAGATTGTAGGGTTACTAGGCCAGGGCGGAGGCGGAGGCATATTCCTGGATGCAAGGGAGTCGACAGAACGAATTACCGACGCCACGCGATACGTTCAATTGGTCGCCTTTTCGCTGATATTTGTACGGTACCGGGTACCGAGTATCATCAATACAATCTTATTATTCGTTTCTTACTGTACGCTGTATAGCGCGTTACCAAGTCTTGTCCGTCCTTTTGTCTGCATGCTGCAAAGCATCATATACTCGGTCTCTACACGGAGTAGAGTCAATAGACACCATAGCAGTCAGAAATACTATGGAAAGATTCTAGGAATGATGGACATGGCAAAAGAAAAGTTCTAGATCAATTAAATGAGCCTAATCGACTTTTATACATCGTATGGATCAGTTATGTTGATCTTCGCTGCGCCGCACCACCATGATCGTCACTCGCTCTTGGTTTTTCTCCACAACAGGTCAATCTTGCACAGATCCAGCATCGTTTAGCAGTCGCTCTTCGCGCCTATTTCTCTTTGCCGGCGGTTCGATTTCTGGCATTTCTTTTCTTTTTCCTGTAGGGCATTCAAACTTCGTTGCTGCGATTAACTGTAAGATTGTTGATCATTTGTTTCGGTGTTTAATCTTTCGATCTGCAGTCTTTTGCGTGATTTTGGGAGTGGTTATTCGGATCGCCAGCGATACGTAGAGAGTATTAGACAGTACCTAATCGCAACAAGCATCCATTCGAAGGATATTCGTTCTTCATGGCAATCAGAATAAATCTCGATTTCCTCTATATTACTAACTATGTAAATAAGCTACACAATAAAGCCATGAACTAACAGATCGACTCGACCAGACGAAAGCCCAATCGGGAAGTGACCAACGATGGCTGAGGCGGCGGCGCGCGGAGGGGACCGCCAGCCCTGTCAACCACGTTGTCGCTGATCCTGATCCATAATTTATTGCTCTTCGCTGAATTATACATGGTCGATTTGCGTTCTGGAAAGCTACAATTTACCTTGTAGTATGTACAACAGAATCGCTCCCTTTTCGACTCCTTTAGGCATCCGAGATATTTACGCCTACTTGCAATTTGTTCTTTTTCATGCTAATTACCAGAAATTGCTACGTAGGTCCGTATGGAGTCATCCAGCGCGACTAGTCGTAATTCATAAATTACAGTTCATTTCCGTAATAACACGCGACAAATTCGGTGAGACCGTGGTCAGTGGTTACTGGTGAATCAGCATTATTACTCAGCGTGATAAGAATGATTCTATCATTTTACCCAACATATTTCGCTGACTGGCTGGCTGAACGTACAAAGTGCTCTGGTACGTACACTCGTATCGAAGGTTCCACCTGGACTATTGGCCAGCGATTGAACGAACCCTTAATGCTGCTAATCACTCATGTCAGTTTTCTGGTCATTGATTTCATCGAGTCCAAAATTTCACACACGACTTTACCGTTGGTCGGCGAATTGAGCAATCACACCATACAGTGTACGGCGGTAAGATACGTACCGTACAAACAATTGTTCAAACGTACAGACCGCTGGCTGGCCCACGGCCGCCCACCCATTCTTCCTTCCTTTTGTCTCTGTGTGTTTTTTCTTTCCTTTTTTCTTCCTGCTTCTTTTGGTAGTGCGCATTTACATACATACTGATCGTTGATAAGTATGTTGTTTCGTATCGACTAACCTGGTACAGCTGCTGCGCCGTCCTATATAGTATTAATCACATTTATTCGTATCCCCCCTTTTTCATTTTGCTTTTTTGCTTCCTGTTTAGCATTCCATCTCATCCATAAGCAGGCATACCGCGTTGAATACTGCATTGCTATCTATGATGGACTCATTTCGCATCAGCGCTACGGTGATTGCCTGATTGTTGGGTCCATATTCGGTACCGAATAGTCAATACGCGCCGTACCCGTATTTCGGCGGAACTAGTCGTATTGGCTGTATTTGGTGTATTATCGAGCTTTTTCTTACTACTCTCGCAGTCGCCTCTCCTGTCGCCTTCATTTCGTGTGGTCTGCCTGCACAGTTGGGTTAATTAAGTGAAGCTGAGCGAGTTTAACTAGATGAATAGCTGCTATTGTATCGCCATCATACCATACGCATATGGCAGCAACACTAATCAAGTGAACCAAATACGATAAAACAGTGGCAATAGACCGAGCACGGGATTCCCCGCGCTGGGCGACGCTGGTCCAGACCCGACCAGAGGASGAGCCACAGCCGACCGACTAATTCCACTTGGGCCTGCACGATCGTGGAGCCACACGCCCACCTCGCCGGATACCTCCTTCTCCAGCGCCCTGGTCCCTCTCTTTCTCTTCTCTCTCTCTCTTCTCTCGCCCTCTTTCCTCTTAATCCTCCTCTCTTACTCGCTAGTCTAGCCATCTCTTCTCCTCTCCTCTTCGCTGCTCTCACTGCTAGTTAGCTAGTGTGCCTCGAGATCTGCTGTCCCTTCTCCATCGCTCTTTCTGTCCCAACGCTCATTCTTCCTCCCTATCGCACCTCTACGTGTGTCGACTCTGCTGACCTCGTCTCGTCTTGTCTCGCCCTCTTATTCTTGTGTGTGAGGGTTTGCGATCAGAGGAGTCTTTGTGCACAGACCGAAAAAGACGTGGACGTGGTGAAATTGTTTGTCGCGTACTCGGTCGGCATCCAAAGCTTGCGGCTATCAGTGTGAGGAAACCGGAAAACCAATTATTTTCACGGGATATTTTGTGCAAACCGGTTGTTCGCATCGGCGCTGTAGACACGACTAGTCATCATCAATATTACAGGACAACCCTATGAAGGCATACTACTGGTGATGCGACGACGACTTCTGACTACCGCCCATCGCTAGCATCGGGTCAGCGCTTCTGCTTCCCTACACGCCATCCACGACCGCGACTGAGATACTTGGCGCTCGCAAAAACAAGAGAGATCAATAAACTTCAGCATTCTTCGGGTAGTTCCCAGATTTGACCTTTACCATGCAATCTGGTGCACGTTATTTTGGATAAATTCCCCGTCTGGACCCACGGTCCTCGATTATCAGATCCGTCTCTACTCCCATTCGCCGCTCAAACTATATATTCGGCCGTTTCAAATTGGGAAACTGGTATTTAAACACTTCCTACAGGAAGATACCAACGGCGCTCCTCTCGCACAGTTTCATCGGTTAGGGACCTTTCCCTGAGAAATCAGTCCTACTGGATCCTTCAGGCGACTTCAGTGGCCGATTCTGGTCCTTGGGTTCGAACGCGATCAACCCAGCTGTAAACCTTGCAGGTACGGTTCCTGCACCAGCAACGTTGTCAACTCCGCCCAATCTCGACCCCGAATATCTCCGTTCCACTCAAGGTTTCCACCGTCAGCAACCAGCCAATATGGCAGCTCTCGCGGTTCCTCTACCCGGCATGGGTCCAGCGCTTGATTTGAATCCAGCTCCGCAACCACTTACGGCACGTCGGCCAGCAGCATCGAATCTTCCTGTATTCGAGCTGCCTCCGCCAGCGAACTTTGGCCTGGTCAATGCCTCCACCAAGTTTCCATCCCCCTCGGCCATCAACCCCGTGTCGAACGTGAGCAATCTACTCACCCCGCCCTCAAATCACTCTGGAGAGGGCGCGACTAATTCGCTGCCACCCGGCCCGAGTATATCTACTGCGATTTCTGCGTCTCAAGAGGTATCTTCGTATCAGTCATCGTGGCAAAACCAGAACTCGTATACTTACGGTTCTCCTTCCCAAGCCTCCTGGGGCCATAATTCCACCGGTGTCTTTCCGCCACCACGAAGTGTGCTCTCCCCCACGTCTGGATCTCTCGCTCGAGGCAGCGTTAGTTTACCGCCCACGAGCGAAGGTATGGCACAGCAATATGAGCTCAACCATCATCTGCCCCCCTTTCAACAACAGTCGATACCCACTTCATCTCCTGCTTCTGCTACTTCCGTTATATCGCATGGACAACATCCGCAACAGCAAGCTATGAGTCAGCTTCCTACGACATCTGGTGGTTCCTCCCATTATCAAACGGCTACGGTTGATCTGTATGGATCGCGACCAATGGTGAGCCCGTTGTTCAACTCATCCTCAGTCGGTGCTGGCGCGTATCCTCCTTCGTACGGAGCTTCGCCGGTTGGCCAAAGCGGATACACTCCTCGACTTCAGTCTGGCCCAAGCCATTCTCCGCCAATGCAGCCGCCCCATTTGAGCTACAGCCGGCCGCCATGGCCTTCGTATTCACTACCTGCTATGACGGGACCGATCATGACCAACGTGCATAATCCCAATGGACAGATGTCGCTCATGGGTAACATGGCAACCGGCATGATGCCGGGATTCACTAGCGGTCATCTCGCAAGCATGCAGCACATGTATGGTAGCCATCCTTCGCATCACCAAGGACACGGCCAGTCTGCACCGCCTAATGATCGTCCTTTCAAGTGTGATCAGTGTCCTCAGTCGTTCAATCGAAATCACGATCTTAAAAGACACAAGCGCATCCACTTGTCCGTCAAACCTTTTCCTTGCAATCACTGCGAAAAGAGCTTTTCACGCAAGGATGCTCTCAAGGTACGTCCTACTTTCTTCGATTCTAGTCAGTAATGACTATACTAACACTTTCCATAGCGACATCTCCTTGTCAAAGGATGCGGGAAAAACACGGATACGAGCTCTAATGCCGGAACCAAGGACGACGACAGTCTGACCAAAGTCGAGTCGCATAGTGACAAAGCGAGCCCCCTTTCAAACGGCGTCTAAATGAACCGTTACAATACTTTGTAAACTCTTCCGACCGTTCTTTTCGTTATTTTTGCAAGATTCCTTTTTTTTGTCTAAAGTTATTGTCATTCTGAGCAAGGTGTCAGGAGGGTTGTTTGAAATATCTGGGCGCATTACTGTTTGCTTCATCATATCATGTATTCCAAGATGATTCCTGTATGGTTTACGATCATCACGCTTTTGTTTCTGTCTGCTTCTCCATGATCGGCCGAACAGTACACTTTTTCCTCTTCTTATCCTTCGATTCTTGTTATCAAATCATTCCATACGATTTTTCTTGCCTTTGGTCTCTTTTTCTAATCGTATCCGAATATGATTGAATGGTCAAATGGTTCCTTTTTGCAGTTGGCGAGGCAAGGCGAGGAGAAATTAGGCGGTTGATTTTGTCTCTATACATACTTGCACATATACACATACATACTTCTCACTCACACATAGACATTCTGTGCTTAAATAGTACATAGCCTTTGATACCCAGGACTATCAATCAGCAATCTTGCCCGGGATGGAAAGCCAACTTGCATTGACAGAAATTACTCAACTAGGTAAAAAGTCAGCAAGAAGTGAAGTAATTAGGGCAAGCGAATCCCTGTGACCTTGCTTTTCGCAATCGCTGACTTAGCTTTGATTCCTTTGTTGGCTGTGCTAGGTAATGATCGACGCGTAGTATGTGTGTATCCTGTCTGGAATGACATGTATTTACATTACACATCTAGATGCTATATATGCAACGATTGGGTTGATTATCTTCTTCGATATACACACAGAAACAGATGTAGCGTCTCTACAGTTTCGTTTTCTTTGGTGACATTGTACATAGTTTGTAGGAAATACTCTTTAGAGGTGTTTGATACACCAATAAGAAATGGCTCAATTGAGCTGTGTGATTGGTCGCATTGAAGGGAATGACATAATCTGAGACTGACCTCATCGTGATAAGTTAACTATTCCCAGCGGGGTTGTCCTCTTTTTATCGAATGAACTGAGTATATTCACTCTGATGTCTTTTGTCAATTGTTATCGTCTAAAGATCCTTGGACACCCATGTATCTACCAAATCCGCTCCATCATCATCAATTGCAGTCAACCAATTCTCTCCTGCGACTGTTTCTACGTAGTACTAACGTAGACGATCTCCGTCTCCGATCCTCACCCCACCTTGACACTCCCCCTCAATGCGATTCTTCGCAGGTCCTTCCTTTAGCTCGAGGACCGCAACTAATATTAAAAGAGCGACTAATCGCCTCTTGCCCAAACCTGTTTTATCCGTGTCTCAGCGCTGTCAATTGAAGACTCCTTCTTTCTCTTCGAATTATAAAACATCTGCAACTTCGGTTTTCAAGAGACCTATTCATTGCTCCTCTGTCGCGATGGCTGGTGTTAGCAAAGCTTGTTGCTCGTGAGTTGTCTGATTATTGATGTTCTGGTTGAGATTTGGCTGCTGATGATAATGATGCAGTATCCCCCCCGTTATCTCAAAGGGTTATGAAGCCAAGGGTGAATACAAGACCCTTGGTGGACTGAAGACCTGTACGTTGTTTGTCGGGCTGATTACAAATTCAACCGCTAATAATCTATGCAGATGTCACTGGTCCCGCCGACGCTACTCGTGCCATTTTCGTCATCTACGGTACCTCTTTGCCCTACACTCTACAAAAGCAATAGACTAATGATAGAAGATATCTTCGGCTTCTATCCCCAAACCCTCCAAGGCGCTGACATTCTTGCCAACGCCGACAAGGACAAGAAATACCGCGTTTACATCCCTGATTTCTTCGAAGGCGAACCCGCCGACATCTCGTGGTACCCACCTACCACCGATGAACACAAACAAAAACTCGGCAAATTCTTCGAAACTGCCGCCGCTCCTCCACGCGTTCTCGCAAAGATCCCCGGCGTTTTCGCAGATGCCAATAAGGAAGCCAGCAGCGGCAGCGGATTCGCCTCTTGGGGCATCTTAGGATACTGCTGGGGCGGCAAAGTTGCCAATCTCGCCTTGGGCAAGGACACCGTTTTCAAGGCTGGTGCGCAGGCTCACCCAGCTATGTTGGATCCGGAAGATGCAAAGAACGTCACTGTGCCGATTGCGGTGTTGGCGTCAAAGGATGAGGATCCTGCTGCTGTCAAGGGTTATGAGGCTAACTTGAAGGTTGCCAAGTTTGTTGACACTTATCCCACGCAGATCCATGGATGGCTGGCAGCCCGAGCTAATTTGGAGGATCCAGAGGTCAAGAAGGAATATGAACGCGGATATAATGCTCTGTTGGACTTTTTCCACAAGCATCTGTGATGACGTCATTTGATTAAGTTGAAGGGGATGCCTCAGATGATATAGCTACGTAGTACTCGCTTGTATGCTGAACAAAATGACTTTTATCGATCTCTAGCGCGAGTATCTCATTGAAAAATAAAAAGATTTCATACGTACGTAGCTGGGGTCTAATGTTGAACTCTCACCAGCCGAATGTTCCGTGTTCCCATGTCGGCGCTAGACCTTCGCGGCCCGTTGCCGATTGCCGACGATCATGACGTGACTAAGCTTCATTCTCAAATGCCGCTAGTTGTGACCGTCAGATCATGACTCTTTCCTTATACCGAAATTTATCCGGATGGCTGTAAATTTCTATATAATGGTGTCGCGCCACTGATCGCTTCATGGTTGCACGCAATGTTCATGTCTCATCGAGCAGCGGGTTAGGTACCTAGCATACGATCGAGCTGCCATCGCAGCAAAAGATCTCGAGATGAACTACACCCAAGACACTCTAGAGTCTCCTCCCCTCGAACGCACTCGATCTTTTGATGAGGAGCCAAAACAGCCAACCAACATCCCCAACGGCATTGAGCATGCGTTACAGAACCTCGATACTGCAACAGCAACGAAAATAACGAAAGCGACAGCGAATTCGGCGAGAAACGGATTGACCAAAGATGATGTGAAATACCTCTTTTCCGGAGCGCCGCATTTCATGCTCGAAAAGGGGAGACACAACCATTGGTATCCACATGTCTTGTTCCCCTGGGACACGAGTTTACCGATTCAGGATCTGTGGGATAGAGAGCAATTGCGCCATGAATCGTTTACGTTGTCGACGCTCCATGCGCATCTCCCCATACCATCGAAATGCGACAATAAGGACAACAACAGACAAGGATGGCAATACGAAGAAGGCGTCAAACGATCAACGTACGATCTCGGAATTTTCGAGGTCCCCAACATGCTCTCCGTAAACGGCAAGGAACCCGGCGCAATCGGATTCCGACATTTTCTGGAGTTGGCGACTGCTGATGCGGTGCGATACAAAAGGGCGCTTCCGACGAGAGGTTCAGGGGACGCCCTGGACCCGCACCTGTTGTCGAGTTTGCCGTTGACAGAGGCGTTTGATACCTTGAGTCATTTGAGAGATTCGTATTCGCTATGCAATCATGAGTCAATCGTTTTGGATCGACACAAACTGCTATGCGAGGGTCCGGTGGCTTGGAAACGGATCGGCGTGCGCGATATTCCTATTAGGGATCTTGTGGAGAGGTTGCAGCATCTTTCCAATTTTCGACTGGAGGCGATCAAGCAACTACCTACGGACGAGTCGGGCCATAGGAAGATCATCACAATTCTAGACAAAGAAACGCCGGAGTCACTACACAAAAATCTGTATACGAAACTCTTGTTCCCGCCTCCACATGGCTGGAGTCAGCATCAACATGAAGAGCTCAAAGGGCAGATTGAAGTACTCACGCGGGTTCTAGCGGTCAAGGGTGCTTGGGTCGATATGAGTCTTCCCGAGTGGCGACTGCGTGTTGGACAGATACTTTGGGAGAGACCACCGCATGCAGATGGAGATTGCATGGATTGCGTGAAAGAGGAAAACGGAAAGCCTGAAGAGAACAAAAAAGGCCAATCATCTTTAAGCCTCAATACTGGTATCGAGAGGAAATGGCTATTGATACAACTTCTCTTGGCTGGAGAGCTGCTCATGCGTCTGGATGCTATCGTGCAATTAGCTGTCTTGCAGCACTCCAAAACTATATCCGTCACAGCTCAGGATATGCGCGAATTCGACAAGTTGCGGCATGGAAAAGTTAATTGGGATATTCTTTTCTTCCAGCGCGCATCTGATAATCTGATCTTCAAGTTTATACCCCCAGGGACACCACCGGCTACTACATCTGAACAGCCCCAATCAAAAAACGATATGCCTCCGCAGACCCAAACAAAACAACACGGCGGCTTTCGGTCAAGATTTGGCAGCATCTCGAAGCATTTTCCTTTGCGCCATTCCAGCTCTACCGGACAAGAGAACATATCCTATCAGCAGTCTTCATGTGAATCTATTTGGGATACTGTCGTGGTTATCCCACGGCATCCAGAGCGGCAGCTCAAAGGCCTTTCCGTATTTGCGGAAAAGATTGGCTGGCCTGGCCATGAGACACATGAAGCAAGAATTCAATCAAACTTACTTCTGACTTCAGACTCCGTTGAATCGGTGTATAGGATACCAGTCAAAAACCAATCAATATCAAGAGAGTTGCCAAAAAAGGAGGCATATTGCAGAAGCCAATCTCATCGTTATGTGAGCCTTCACAAATCTGACCGCGCGGCCGATAATGCGACCTCCCGCACAGGAGGATGGCTTTCTCGTTCATGGCTGGCAGGCCTCATAATGCCTGGCGAAAGCATCCACCAAATACTTATGGCCACAGTCCTTGAGAATGACCCTACAGTCCTACATAATCTAGGCTCCGTCGCCAATCTATACGGAGGGCTCAGCTATGGCGATGAATACACATGGTGGAGCACCAAGTGTATCGTCGGTAGAGTTCTCGCTGCTTTACCCGAGTCAAAGGTATGCATGGGATGGGCGAGGGTACGCACAATCCCAGAGACCGAGAACGACAAAGAATTTGCCGAACTCAACAATACGTGGATTTCAGTGGAAAGTGTTCAAGAACCACTGCAAGGGAATGCACGGATTCGACAAGGGATAAAGATGGCGCTCGAATCTAATCCGCTCGGAAAGGGGCGAGTGGCTAGTGATACATTCACCATCCCGGTTGACGAAGGCGGCGATGAAAAGATCTCACAATTCGATGTCAAGTTTGATAAACTCATACTCTCACGGCAGGCAACGCCGGTTGAGTGCTGTGGGTCAGAAGCCATCAAAAGCATCTTCACTGCAGATCGAGCATCGGTGTTGTTTCAAGTCATCTCACCTGAGTCATCTACAGTTGCCTTTCACTTGAAGCATAACGTCGCTTTCATCTCGTCGTATACGTGTCAACCCCCGCGCGGATCAGTTGCCCATCATACGCCGCAGCATGACAGTCCTGAGACACACGAAGACGATGGGCAGTTTCAACACACGCATCTACCAGGCCATCCACTACACAAATCATACAAATACAAATACGTCCCTCTCCAAGATCTGCGTTCGGACACGCGACCGCCAATCATCGTCTTTCCGTCGACTAAGGAATCTTCTTCGTCATCTAGTGATGCTCATCTCGCCACCGCCCACAATGATGAGCTGATACATGACCACGCCCATAAACAAGACGAGAAAGACACAGTGGAAGAAACCCTTGAACCAGTCTGGATCCTAGATGCGCGCTCCTCGACACGCGACAAGGAAGTGTTTGCGCGTGCTTGGTGTGCAGCTGTTGGCGTTAATGCACTCATTGGCCGGGTTGGAAGAACTTGTTTGGCTTGCTGTGTAAGGGAAGCTAGGGCGATTGGAGTTGGAGTTGTTATCCGAGTTTAATTGTTTGCATGACTTTTGAGATATCCTTGGGTGAAGACGGATTGTATATATTTATACACATACTAATGAATGATGATGATGCTTGATATAGAGACCTAATCGAAAATATTCAACACGAGTGTAATACTTCAAAAACATCTACTTCATTTCATTCTGCGTATCGATTGTAAACCATACACAACCCTAATCCGGTATACACCGAACCCCGCTATCTCTGCATATTCACCGCCTGCCTTTTACAGCTCAATGTCGGTGGTGTTTGCATTGTTTGCTCTGAACAACAAATAAACAAGACGGCATTTCGTTGATATCAGATTCAACCACGCCATATTCAAACTCGCTCAATTAATGAGTCCCCCTTCTTACGACTTACCTTTCCAAGTGCATTGTCGTCGTATTGTGATTTATCGCTCATAAAACATGGCTCAGCCAGTAAGTCGAGTACTTTCGTCTCCGATTCGCAACATACCGGATACTAACTCCTTTATCCTTCCCTACAGAACCCTCAAATCCCTCAACACGTCTCCGCATTACTTTCACATCTCACATCCCGACCAGGCGTCCAATCAACTTTGATATTATCTCGCAAAGATGGTTCCATCATTCAAAGTACCGGTCTCTTAGCCGCAACCTCACCCTCATCGCTCGGAACGAGCAACACGACCAACACGGACATCAACAATGCAGACAACTCAATCCCGTCCAGAGGCACCATTACGAGCTCCTCCACAACATCGACAGATCTTGCATCACCGACGCTACCGCCGCCAGAGTCTACTGTGTCAAGTCAGCAACCCTCTACAAACCCAAATCAGAACAACCAGCAATCGTACAAGCCCAGTCAAGCGGAGACTCTGGCTGCACACATATTCGCTTTTATGACTAGTGCCTCTGGCCTTGCGTTGTCTCTTTCAGGAGGTTCTGGATCAACGGGCAATGACGATATTGGGTATGACTCGCGATCGAAAGGGATCAACGGCACGTTAGACAACGGCACCACTCCCGACGGTACCACCGCTACAGACCGAACACATGAACGCGAGGAGGACGATGAGATTAAGCTTTTAAGACTGCGCACGAAAAAGAATGAGATTGTCGTCGTGCCTGACCGGAAATATTTGTTATGCGTGGTGCATGATGCTTCTGGGGCTGGTGCTACGTCTACTTCTGGCGGTGGGACATCAAGGTGAACAACTTCGATTTTGGAGAGTTTTGAGCGTCTAGGATGATGGTTTCGGGCTGTTTTTATCTTGTACATATGATGATGAAGTTTTGGACTCGGTTATTGTTGCGATGATACCACTTTGAAAGATTCAGAAACTGTTTTGACGAATACCTCCAGGTTGTCCAGGTGTAGAAAAAATCTGAGAATTCAAGCACGCCATGTTGCATTGACGACGGGGAACCCTTAAGCTACAATAGATTTCACATGGGCTTCGGGGTCTCTATCACCGAGTCCTCTCAGTGGGGTAGTTCATGGAGACTGACGGGATAAGAGCTTGGTCAAGTAAGTAGATAGCTCGTTCACCAACTATTTCAAGGACTCAACTATCTTTCAATCTTACTATACTATTCTCCTCGCGCACTGTGATACGAGATGGCGGCTACATTCGATGTTTCCCAAGCCAGGACACGGTTTCCAGGGCTGAATCAGCCGATAGTCCTTCTTGATAACGCAGGTATAGTGCCAACTCTAACACAAGAGAGAGAAACATGCATCATTTCAACTGACATGCAAGTTAAATAGGTGGAAGTCAGGTGCTCGATACGGTTATCGAATCGTGAGTACCAGATACTCGATACCCATCGACCGAATACTGATGAGACATAGTATCTGCAACTACCTGTCAAAGACCAATGTTCAACTTACAGCTACATATCCAGTTTCACAGACATCTACCCAGTTGTATAACGCTGGATACGCGGCAGCTGCAAAATTCATCAATGCCAGTGTAGACGAAGTATGCAAATCCAATATAATGAGTGTGCTATCGTACTGAAGAAGAGAACAGATATCAATAGGAATATCATCTACTCAACTCCTTCATAATCTCTCAACGGCCTTTGACTTCCAGTCCGGAGACGAAATCATCATCTCGAATCTCAACCATGAGGCCAACAGCGCTGCCTGGGCACGCATTGCGCAACGTTTGAATCTAACGCTTAAAGTCTGGAGCGGCAAGGGCACAAACCCGGATTGCGATTTGGATTCTCTGAGGCCCTTGTTGTCGGATAATACAAGGATTGTGGCTTGCCCGCATTCATCGAATATCACGGGCACGATAACTAGAGTGAAGGAAATAGCGGATTTAGTCCATTCGTTTCCAAAGGTAGGACTCAGGCTTTTGTATCGTTTGCCACTGACGAGGCATACTCTTCTAGGCCTTACTATGCGTCGACGGCGTTGCCCTAGCTCCTCATCGACAGGTAGACGTGAAAGCCCTCGATGTCGACTTTTATGTTAGTACCCAGCCAAATCTTCTAGAATATAGGCCCAACCGCTAACATGTTTGCAGGTCTTCTCATGGTATAAAGTCTACGGCCCCCACATCGCGCAGTTATATGCCTCTTCACGAGTACACAACCAAATAAACTCCTTAGCCCACTACTTCAAACCCACCCAACCACCCCAAAACCTCGACACAAAACTCAATCTTGCCTCTGCAAGTTACGATCTTCTTCCCTCGCTGCCATTGATCGTTTACGATTATTTCGGCACAGATGATCCTAAGAAGGTAGAAGCCGTTTGGTCTGCGATTGCGGATCATGAAGAACGTCTGCAGGAGATTCTGCTACAATTTTTGCGTGGCAAGGCTAAAGAAGGGATCGTCACTATCTATGGAGAGCCAAGTGCCAGTCAAGACTTGAGGGTGCCGGTGATTAGCTTTACGGTGAAAGGAATGTCATCTCGAAGCGTTGTTGAGGAGGTGGAGAAGATCTCTAAACTTGGGTTCCGGAATGGCCATATGTATTCCCACCGCTTGTTGAAGGATGTATTTGCTCTTGAGGACGTCGATGATGGAGTCGTACGTATCAGTATGCTGCATTATAACACAGGTAAGTCTGCGTTTATTTGGTCGATTACTGCTTATCGTGACTGATGATTTGTGATGTATAGAAGCAGAGATGCATGAGGTTGTCAAGGTATTGGACCAGGTTATACCGAAAGCATAGCCTATTGCAGAGGGACTTGAGCAATCAAGAATTCAATTAGGGTTTTGTAATCTCCAAAATGTGAAGTAGAAAACTACTAAGTATGCTTGTGCCTGATTATTCTGGCATCAATGTTGAGATAACATGTCACGTGCTGATAAGAAATATTCTCGGCATCAAAAAAAGTTGACAACCAAAACCACAACAACTGATGAATCATTACACGTCGGCGAAGTTTTCAATTCCGTAGCTTGAAGTTCTTTCACTAAAATACAATAAAGAAAATTTGTCATCTTCTTGTTTATTCGAGGTCGGACAAAGAACCACGGATAGTCAAAAGCGTTTTTCAATCCGCTCAGTCAAGCCAAGATGGGTTCAAGTCAAAAGAGGAAGAAGGAGAAGCAGAAAGATTTCCAGGTCGGTTCATTATTCCTCTAGATATACATGCTGCCCGGCTGACATATTTTTTTTCTTCTATAGAAACCAAAGCTCAAAGTTGGTAAGGCAAAGGCTAAGCCTGCAAACTTCACAGATACGAGTTTTAAATCGAAAGGTATGTACTTCTTTTTCTATCATTGAAAACTAATTGGACTCCCTATTAACAAACATAGCAATTGTGCTTAATCAACAATCACTCTCCACCAATGCACCAACAACCTCTTCGCAATTCTCGCACCATCTATCTCTCCTATCAAGCAAATCCGACACACAGCGCAAAGAGTCGCTCGCGCATCTCACAACATCGGTGTCATCTCGCCCCGTGGATTCGCCCTTGCCACAGCCTGTGAGCGTGATGATACCAAAACTAGTGCCCTTACTTCTGGACGTCAGTAATAGCGTACGAGCACAGCTTCTGAAGTTTCTCAAAACCCTGCCGACAGCTGATATTGAGGCCCACGCTGCCCAGTTGCTGCCATATATTCGAGCGGGAATGACACATTTAGCAGCAGATATCCGCTCATCGGCAGTTGAAGTTCTCGGATGGTTGGTGGAGACGGCGGGAGGAGAAGTCGTGTCTTGCCCTGGAGGTTGGATCAAGACTTTGAATTGTTTCCTGTCTCTCCTCGGATGGCATACAGAAGAGTCGGCGAAGTGGTCTTCTAATCGAAGTTCATTTGGTAAAGCTGGTAGCGAAGGCCGGCCTATGGTCAAAGCCCTTCATGCCCTTGCTGAATTTCTTCGCGCTGGAATTAGTAGCGTGGAAACGACTGCACAAGGTCAGTCTGTGGCAGGAGCAATTGCAGACCGTGGTGCGGGAGTGGATTTCTTCCCAATTGACCCTTCTGTTCAGCAAAACATGATCCCAGATCGATCCGCGCCTTACGCTTATCTAAATCTCTTTGGCCAACCTCGTGACGCAGAGGGCGAAATGTACGAAAGTCGCGAAGATAGGCTACGAGTTTTTGGTGACATGTTTCGCAAAGCTATTGAGCGTGGTGCGGACAATGCTCGTAAGGAAGGGGGCGAAGTTGGACGTGCTTCAGCGGCAGTATTCAAGGTGCTTCGAGAGACGAGATCGGAGAGCTGAGAGATCTTTTGCACAGCAAGATATTAATAAGACTGCGTTGTCAAAGTTGATATGATACTGGTCGACTGTCCTATGTCTAGCATATATGCCTAGTCATTTGCCACAGGGATATATGCACGAGTCATCAGGAAGGAAACCGGTGTCTATATACGTACGACAACAAAGATTTTGACTCTTAGACAACAAATCAACTTTACCTCAACTACACTTGCTGGATAATGACCGCCTCGTGTCCTTCACACCTCCATTTCAAAGCCCAACCTACGTTCACCTCAGCCGACTCAAGCATATTCGTCAAAGCGCATGCATTAGTAGTCATGTCAGGTTGAAAGTTGACTTTGCGGCTTGGTCACAGGCCTACTTTGTTTCGAATCAATTGCTTGGATAAGTCAATGAGTACATTGCATATTGGCTTTCAGATATCACTTGTTGAGCCTATATGTCTATTATGGGCTGTTACAAGATGGCAATTGTTGCAATGGAGGAATACGACTTGATGCCTACGCTGAATCCACGTGCATGTTTGCCGAGCGCAATGCGTCTTCATCCAAGTTCTTCGGCGAAGCTTTATTAGTCTGTCACACTCTATGCATTGCCAAGTACTACCTGGATGGTGGCCTGGGACGATATTCCGCCGAAAGAGGGTTCAATTTATTGTATAGATTAGTTTTCTTGTGAAGGAGTCATTCAATAATTCGAGTAGCGAGAACACACACAAAGCATGGGTGCCGAAGGACAGAGGCCGGTGGAGATATTTCCAAATGTATTAAATGCATCTAACCGAGCATACATATGAAACATCCCCGGTCAAATCACCTAGCAGTTAAATTCTCTTACCTACTACGTTTCACACTCCGCACTCTCCCGAGGTCCCTGAACGTGTATCAGATAAATCAATAATAAAGATCCCGGGCATCTTAGGTACCTATACTTCCTTAGGCATGGAGTCCACAATATAAGATTGCATCCATGTATATATCCGAGGTATTAATATAGTACGTACTCGATGGAAAACTTTGAAAACAGATGGGAAACGTATGTATGTATGTGAGATAGATGAAACCAGCCAATTAGCCTGAATCGCAATTTAGCGGTCAACGACCACTTGCATGGTTATCAGGTAGGTACGCAAGCTTGTTCGCCGTTTTGACTGCAGTTGGCATAGCTTGCTGCATTTTGTTGAGGCACGTATCATGCATGGCGTTTCTTGTTCGGGTTAGCATTACGTATGCTAAGAGAGGTTGTGTGCGTGGTTGAGGTAAACAGCATACATGATGGTCGTCAGGATTCTATGGACACGAGATGGCATTGCATTTGGCGCGCTACGTATGCATGTAAGACCGCCTGTTTTGTCAAGGTTAGCCCTTGAGAAAGAAAGTGTATGTAGTCAGAAAATGACCGCACAATACAATACGCCCTCCAGCTTTGGTTCCAGCCAATATCTTCATCTAATCACGAGCACGAGGTATGTGTTGTACAATATATACACGCTGCATAGAGGCGTATGTACAGTGTGTCTTCAATTCCAAAACTGACTAGAGTACGCATTCAATTCAGTGGCTGTTGTCAGGCCGGTGTTCCGATGCCGGACTCTCTACGTTTACTAACGCTGCGTGATACTTGTCAATTCCCTATTCAGCATTGGGCAACGGGCATATACACACGTACAAATACCGAGAAGTAAGTCTCGACACAGCCAACAATGTATATCTAGTAGTCTTGGATAGATCAAGTCGTTCTAAACAAATGGTTCGTTTTCACTAGCTTTTGACTTGAGCAACTTACGTATGTATCTCGTGTTGAGCACAATCGTCCAGTGCTAGGCAAGGTAATGCGACACACGACAAAAAAGCTGCGAAGACTGTACAGAGTCACTGTCGTACTTCTACATGGGAGTAGCCCCTCCATGACGTCAAGAGCAAGGAGAGAATAGGGAAACTCCTCCGTCTATAAAGAGGGTGGAAGGATTTACGGCGTTCTCCGTATGTATGTAACGGTGCCTCGTAGCATGATGCTTGAATTCCGATACAAGTTTCAAGATTTAGGCTTGCATGGGTGAAGGGTACGTACGCACTATTGTACCTTAGAGTCCATAAGTATAGCGCGGAGCCTCTTCGAACGCATACGTAGACTCGGTGTAAGGTTTCCACGTAACTTCGGAGTAGATAAGTTACTCTATAACAGAAGGCGGTTAATCCGCTGGCTAGTCATGCAACTAGCTCTGGCCTCTTGTACAGGGAAAATGTTGGCTCGGGTGTTCCGATTCGCCTATAACGGATATCTTATCACATTTATGCTTAGGATTGCCCTTCGCTATTCTTGCTGTGATCGACTGGAATATGATGAATCTGCTGTATAGCTATGTGTAGTTCTCCAACCGAGGTTTTTACGGTGGCGATTTTGACCATTATCGATGGCTGAGACCATGAGGTTGTTGACATGTCGTATTATGCGGTATTGATTAAATCTCACCAAGCTACTACTTAGACCTGTCGACGTGCATAAGTTCGAAATGCCCTATTGAGCTTGCGTGATAGACCCCTGTTCAAGCAGTATAACGTGTAACTAACTTGAACAAAGCAAGAATTTAACTATGTGTCTGTCCCCCGTGAGAAAAGGGGATTCCATACATGGACTTTAAAAGATCGACAACGACCGGATAGTAGCGACCCTGAAAAGTCGCACGGTCTGATCATCTAGTCGGCTAGTTAATTTAATTTTACGCATCCAGCCAACATATGAACCCAACATAAGAGTCCGGTACCGTGGAACTAACCGACAAATATCGTTCAATCTCGATTTATCCCCCATCGACTCCGTTCGTGGTTCCATGGATCTTTTGCACTGCCACGAAAATGAAATTGTATAATTTTAAATTTTTAGTTTATCTGCAGCACGCGTTGGCCCTCCTGCAGTAGAAGGTTTGTTCTAGAGGCGAGCACACCGCGAATCTACATGGAGAAGTACCTACGGACAGGATTTAGGGTTGTATCCACCGGATCCTTGCGGTAGTATAGCAAGCATAGCATGTCAACGTCCTAATCTCAAGTACACAATTACAAAAATCGTAAACAATACTCCGATTCCGTACGGAATAACCGTTCGAAAAAAGTAATAACAGGGTAGTTGATATAGTCAGATTAGTATGTAGTTTACGTATGTGTAGACAAGGTTTAATTTAAGGATCATGTCTTGCTCCACATAGTGTCAGCCCAGTTAGCCTGCTTCACCAGGACCAAAAAGGCAAGTTGAAATTTTTCCATTCTTTTCTTTTTTTTTTCTCAGGCTAGTACAGACTGGTTTTAGGGGAGATAAACTGTCGGGTTTGTTAGCGGGAGTTGATCGGCAGTTTCGCAATAGTGGTCACTACACGTGATATGCCAGGTCTTTCCTTGTAGAGATCGAGACATATCATCTACTCCGTATTGCGGAGCATATCTAGCCTGTAGTTTCATCCCGTAGGCATTGGATAATGGACAATCCTGGGTAACCCAATAATGATGGCAAATTATAGGCTATGAGATGAGGCTATTACTCGATACGGCATGATTGTCGAAGTTGAGCAAGTTATTTACATGTTAGCAAAATGCGAATCACTTGATCACTCCAGCTCGACAATTGCCACCGAGTCGCAAGGACATCCAATACGCTACACAAGCTGGCGAATACTACACCGTACGTATCATCACAGAATCTGATTATGCGCTCTTATCAGGTGGCCAATCTATGTTCGAAGTACTGTATTACGGTGTATCACAGTCTGGGCTAAGAGCACTGATTGGTCGCCCAATGGTTACTTTCATTAACCACGGAGTATATCATCATTGTCATAGCAGAAGTCAGCCAATCACAGTCTCAAGGTCGAATTTGGTTTAAGCTGCCATAACGGGGAAGGCTCGATCGTGAACTATTGTTGCTTTGGTTGGAATTTTTCGTTGTCGACGACTCGACGTAACTGGGTCCCACCACTGCTTACTACTTACGTAGAGAAATGCCGTCATACGTCCTCCATACCGCGGAGGACAGAGTCCAGAGTCAGTACAAAGATCCCTGTTGAAGCCCAGCTGAACTGGTGGTAGTGGCTTTTGCACCATACTTATCTGATACCGGGGACTCCCCGGTAACTTCATGTACCCTACTCCGTAGATGGCAATAAGCATGTCACGGTCATGGCCTCCACGGGTCGGTAGAAGGCGATACTACGGAGATCAGTACTGACCGGCAGTCTGGTAGACACGAGGGGGCATGGTTCTGCCAGTAGCGAACTAGAATATCATCGACGTTGCCCATTTCATCCGAAGTGGTTGTATGACAAAAGGAAGCAAAAAGGAAACCATCTGATGACCTGAGCCCCACTACAGTGTCTCTTATTGGCTCAATTATCTAAAACGGGGAGAATTCTGAAACACGCTTCAGGCTTGGCATATTTATGGTCTAGTCTAATATGGTTAGTCTGAATCGTGGGTTGGTGCTTTAGGGCTTCCATCCTAATTAGGAATAGCTGCAGCGTACTTCCATCCGAGTCTCACTTTTGACTCTCAAATGAGATCCTCATTCGGCGGCCTTGGATCACGTCGAGGGCTCCTACTGTAGCATTCTCGGCTTCCTCTCGAACGGAATCTCTCTGTTGGCTCTGACAATTCCTCTTCCTATTGGACAGACTGTAATGCTCCGAGCATGGATGATCGGTCTCCTTTCTTGAGTTGGTAGTCATTCTCCGGCTATTCTTTATTTTTCTTGTGTTCCATTCAGCCTTGCTCTGCCCCTTTTCTCGTTGCTTGACCCGTTCAATTGCTGACTTCAAAGTGGACATTGGAGGACATTCACTACGTTCATATGCTACCCTCGTATGGAGTTCGTACTCGATCGGGGGACTTCGGATTGGGTAACTCAATGGTAAATGAGACGTATTTGACTTGCAGACGCCATGAGATAAATCGACACAGTCTAACTGGATCAAGTAGATAGTGAAAGGTAAATGTGGCAGCGTGGCTGAACTGGGGTACGTTCTACTCTGTGAGTCCGTATGCAGTGCTCCGTAAGTACCAGAGAATTGACGTCTTCTTCTCCAAACTCAATTAGGCATGCACAAGGAAGGGAAAAATTAAATGCGAAAATTTTTCCACCTTGTCTTGAAATACGACAGAATCAAATTTGCTTGGATCTCTACTGAGTCCCGACTGACACTGGCAGACAGATCTTGGTGACAATGCTTGAATATATAGCTGTACAATTGGGTACCGTTCTCTTCTAGAGAGATCTGTGCGGCTGAAAAGCCATTTTCTCCGAGGTTTTCGATCTAAGTCTCAAACACATGGCCCACGAATCCACGATCATATATGGGACCTTAATAATAAAGGATGACAAGAACGAATCGAGTATTTGGTTCCGGAGCATACCACAAAAGACACACTCCGTAGGTGGCTACACATTGCAGGCCACGCAGCTGGTTGGGCACAAGTGTACATAGACACCCAGGAACGCCCCTTTACGACTCAGGTCACAGCTTGATCTACGTTTTTGTCTCCGGAGTCTATTCCTATCCTCTTGATGGATTGATCGCTATAGTAGCCTTCCATCAGCTTCGAAAATACGACCATTCTTAACGACTGATAAATCTTTCTCGATTCAACAATCCATCGATAGAATGCCGTCATTGAAAGAGCCCAACTTATCTTAGTAACCAAACCGACCCACTATCTGGGTTGAGGACAAGGACAGGTGCTACAACGCGTTCTCCGGAATCTGTAACATACGCTAGCCTACATAAGTGGTAAATCACCCTCCAAGAACGGGGACCAATTTGAGGTAGAATGCAACTCATGGTATCTAATTGGCCTCTTCAGCCCCTGAAGCTTATTTGATCATGTAAAGAACCAATCAATCCCCGTACTATTTAGCGTACAATGACTGGAATTCTATGGGTTTTAGTTGGGTTGTAACGAAAATAGGAGAGAATTAGCTCAAAGCTCCATCTGGAACACACTGAAAACACTGAACAGTCCAAGCCCAGTGTTTCACCCCACGATTAGCTCCCACTTTTTTTTTCCCTTTTTGCTTTTTACATTTTTCTCGACGCCTTCTTCAGAACTTCCACCACCCTACATGCATGTTTTAGATTGAAGTTACTAAGATGTCGTCAATCTCGTTAAGTAACTGTAGTACCTAGTTAATCAACTTAGAGGTGTCTATATATGTAGCACCACACTAAATAGGAGTATCAAGTCGAAAAGCTAACTTAATCTAATATCTACTCCATAAGAAGTATGGGCTTGACTAAACGGTTAGGCCAGGCCAGTCATTCTTCTTCAATCTAACCATAATCATATTCTACTGCTTCCTACATTACTTCCTACACTGCTACGGACACTGCCGAAGTACATACGTACCATACCTATTTTCTTACTAAGTTGCTATCACAAGAAGAAAAAGGAAATTAAATCCTGATTTAAAAAAAGAAAACCACATGGCCTACCTATTTTGACCTGATACTTTTCTTCTTCACACACACAACACACACTCCTTCATAATTGTTTATTCTTTTCTACTTCTTCTACTCGACGTACCTGTGCTCTCCTCCCTTTCATCTCTTCCTTCTTTCCTTTTGCTTGTTCTCCACTATTCCTCTTTACTTTTCTTTTTCTCTATACCCTACAAACCATATTCTAAAATAAATTCTTTGTTATTGCCTTTGCGCCTGGAGGAATCAAAGGAAGATTTCGGGAAAGAGCGAAAAGAGGCATCATTTAATCTACCTGGATTAGATTAGCGCATTGCCTATCGGATCTGAGGCTTGAGCGGTTCATTCTTCTCATCGGAAAATAGAAACGCCCGACTTGCTGCTGCTATTTTCAATACATATTATATACTGGGGCACCACGGTGGTCTGTTTTCCCTGCGCAGAAGAAAAAGAAAGGAATTCGCTGTTGCGACTGGGAATACCAGACTGCTCTTCTCTACTCGTCAATACAAATTGAATCAGTTCAGATGACGTCGGTCTGCGATTATTCAATTTTGACTATATATAATTTTTAATTTTGTCTGGATACAGCTGGACAGGAAAGAAAACGACCACAGATCTTCCGGAAGGTCTGCGACGAAAGAACGTACCTGGAGGGACGAAATCACCTACCTAATCCACATGTGTTTATGAGATCCAGCAGCGTTATCTTCAAAAGGAGTTGAACAGTTGGAATTTAACTTAATTGGAAGAGGCATGCATTCGGTGGTGGTCGAAACAGTGTGCCCAGTACCAAACCCTACGAACCTCCTCATCATGGAACCTTTAGGCGCATCAGGCGCAGACAAGAAGCGCAACAAGCTTGGATATCATCGGACATCAGTCGCATGTGGTCAGTTTTTCCCTATTCAGTTTCTGCTTTGGATACAGTCTGGAATGCGACGCGCGCATACGTTGAGAGACGTCCTTTCTAACATGAGGTTTTTCGGGACAGTACACTGCCGGCGACGCAAGATCCGATGTCTAGTAGCAGCAGACGATAGTCAGGGACGGTGTGAGAACTGTATTCGACTCAGAAAAGAATGCCAATTCTACCCTGTAGATCAACAACCACCAACAGATCGAAAATCATCGAGGCCGGGAGGTATGAAAATGGAGACCCCCTCTTCATCAGCAGACCCTTCAATAGCTTCATCTTCTCCGCCACCAACCGGTTTGGGAGGTGGAATGGATCCTAGCGATGTATATCAGTACCAGCAGCTTTCTTTACATTCGGCGGCGACAACACCGGAAATGGCGGCGACAGGTTTTCATCCTTCGGCTGGGTTTTCGGTGGCTTCAATGGGCGGATTCGCAAATGGTACTACTTCACCAGGTTGGCAACCTTTTTTCTGCGGATTATGCAGAGCAGTTGCTATTCTGTACTATAATGTGCTAACTTGAGAATGCAGTAGAGGGTGTTGCGCATCCAGAACTTGTACCTAGCCAAACTATCGATCCGAATGCGACATACAACATGGGAAACCCATCACCAGTGATGTGGACGCAAGGCCAAATGTTAGCAGCACCACCACCACATGCTCAACAGATACCACATCATCCCCAAATGCTGAGCCCGGCCGCCGCCGCGACACCTTACACAATACGACCCGACGGATCGATATGGCCTGCACCGCCTCAACGCTCCATGACCACAATCCCCTCGCAGCCAGAAATGTATCATCCTCACCCTCACCAGCACGCCATGTTCGCGACACCGCAGGCAGTACCACCGCCAGAATTGAAACGAAGCATGACCAGTCCGGCGGCAGCTCCTCCCGGTCGTGCTCAGCTCTCTCCTTTACACAGCCCAGTATCAACACAGATACCGATCAATTACTCGGGTCAACCGATCCAATATCAGCATCACGCGCCTCCTCCTGCTCAATCGCAGCCTTATCCCCAGCAATGGAATCCTGGTATGAATACCATACCGATGGCAGACGGTACTTATAGGACCATATATGCACCACCCGAACATTATCAGATGACTGGCCAACAACATCCGGCGACAGGGCCATAGTTATGTTTCTCCTTCATAAAACCTCTTTTTGTCTCTATTTCATCTGCTATATCCCCTTTTTGCTGGCAATATATCAATACCATCATTCATATAGAAGTTTGTTCTTAACGCCTTGTTCTCTCGTTTTCCGTGATGCTCAAATATTTCAACGCCCTATTTCTCCCTCTCGTCTCATCTTCCTCATTATCATGTCCTTTCATGCCCTATCATTTGATTTTTGACGACTGAATCCGGTCTACTCTGGGGGATTTCTGGAAAGGTCGGGGTTAATCCTCATTCGTTTATTGATTCATCATTATCATACCATATACACCTTTGTGATACATTTTTAGCGACGGGGGCGTTTCAGCGATTTTGGACATTTTTCTCATTTATCATTGGTCCTTACATACACTACATTATACCTTATATAATATCGTTTTTGAGACCGGAACTATCGTTATCAACACTACATAGCATCTGCAGATGTCAAGTGGTCCGATTTTTGTCTCGTGGCATGTCAGGATTGATTCTTGTCAAGTGCAACCCTAACTCAAAGAATCGACTACCAAGATGATGACGATCAATTTTCGCCAGTATGATAAATCTGACTATATCCCTTCAAAGACTGCTCCTTCAAAACCTCCCAATCTCTACCCTGAAACCTCCCAGGATCCAAGTCTCGAACAGCATCATCCAGGTTTCCTCTTTCCTCATTGTGATTTTCGCGATCAACTAATCCAGCAACAAATTTAGCCACACCAGCTGCATGCGTAACCCATACAGCCGCACACAGGAACAGCCCCTTTCGCTCATCCACCTTTCCAGCTAACGGTAAATTGTCAGGCGTCATTGCAAAAAGACCATTGAACTTCGTCTCCGGCATTGCACTCAACCCTCCCGCCATCGGCGAGTCCTTCTTGCCACCTTCGAGAGTGGCTAGAATCGGCAAGAGKGTTTTTGCTCTCTCCAAGGCAGCGTTGAATACCTCATCCTGCCAAGGCCCAATAGCGACGTGGTCGTTCGGCTCACAGCACATAGCTGGACCATGGTCGTAGGTCCCGACGCCGTAAAAGGGTCCATGGTCGCGGGCATAAACTTGATGTTCTGGGTAGCGGATCCAGGGGCTTGGTTTGTCGTTTAGTCTTGGGGAGAGAGGTGATTTTCGATTGGCGTTTGGTGAGGACGATGACGATAAAGGCGATCCCAAGGGAGAGCGCAATGATGCTGAGCGAGGGGATGAGATGCTTTTCGTTGAAGCGTCGTCGTCGTTTGAACGGTCGTGTTTGATGTACATGTATGGATGCGCAACGGGAATGATGGGGATGGGGATATCCAGCTCTGCGCAGAGGTCTTGTGTCCATATCCCGGTTKCTAGGATCAGCGTGTCTGTTTCGACAACTCTCTTGATCTTGATCCTTGTCGCACGCTGGTCGTCGATTCCTTCTGCTTTTTTGTCCTCTACAACCTCTTCAACTTCCACACCAACCACTTCCCCAATTTCACCATATCTGATACCACCAACAACTCCCTCCACAAATTCAACTCCCTTCCTCCTCGCCTCTTGCTGATAAAAAGACGTTATAACAGTCGCATTCGCAACCCCATCCGTCGCAAAATACAGCGCAGCTTGTATATCGTCCTGTCTGACCAAATCCGGCGCCAAACCCGCCGCCTGCGCGGGCGTAATCATACTCGCCGGTAAACCTCTCTGAACAGCCATGTCGCATCTAGCCTGCAATCTCGAAACCGCTTCTTGCGTTGCGACAGCTTCAATTCCACCAAGTAATTCGAATCCATTGGGAATTTTGGCGTATTCGGTCACGCTGTCGATCGCGAGGCGAGTAAGAGTGGAGGATTCGTTGAATTGGCCTATGTAGCCTGGTGCGTGGGCTGTTGAGCCTTGGAGGGGGGATAGGGAGTGGTCTATCAAGATTATTTTACGGCGAGAGGATGAGGACGAGAGGAAGTGGGCGAGAGCAGAGCCGACGATGCCGGCGCCGACTATGACTGTTGTTGAGGACATGGTCTCTAAACTTGAGTATTTTTTGAAGGTGTAGACTGTAATTCTGAGGAGGAGTCCACTCCCATCAATCTATACTTCGAGCCATCGTTGAAGATGACAATGAGAGATCAATCAGTCCAGCGCACAGCCTTCTGTACCCCATTATTCCCTCAACCCGTATCGAATCAAGTGAGACACCCGTTGACATTGCTACTCTCGCAGTCAATAAATTGATAGCAAAAACAGCTTGGCATGTATATCGACATCATGAGCGATATCACCAGACCAGTCGGGAGACGCGGGGTAAGCTCAGCCGGCGTGTATGTATGTCATGTAGCAAGGCGGATGTAAGTGGAGCAGATTTCGGAGTCGGACAACATATACTTGTCCTAGGGCGTCTATTCTTGATTGATAAGTGAGGCATTAAGTGGCCATTCAGGACTTGATAAGACAGCGATATGGATGTTTTGTCTGTCCGTCTGACTGACCGTCAGCCGTTAGGAGTTAGAAAGACCGTTGAAGCTTTGAGCCGGTGATGGACTGTAGATCAATCACAAAGTGTGTATCCGTGACCAAATCGACGATCCTTCCCAGCTGGAAAAGGGTTCCGAAAGGTTCTATAAAAAAAATCTACCGTTTCCCTGAGCAGCGAGTAGGTAGATATTTGTATGCCTGGAGCTCCGAAGAACTAACAAGGTCCTGACCTACCTGATAAAGAATCTCGATCCAAGACACATTTATTGCATCAGATAGATAAGAGACATTAAATAAAGAACTGTTATCTCTCCACGTACCTTTCTTTTCTTCTCAATTCAAGCTGAAGACCCCACAGCAAATCATGCAAGCCCTAACGATCTACTTTATCCACTCGCTCGCTACCTACTACTGCTTGCAACGAGTCGATCAAACCGAATTCTTCATTCTTATCTTCCTTTCAGCGCACAGTCCAATGTCCTTCCTGAAAGCATAAATGATGTTTCTACTCAGGTTCGTTGTGGAATCAATCGGCAATATTCGCAATAGCTAGAGCTATCTTACTAAAGAGCCGATAACACGCTATCAAAGCTCACCATCACGCAAGGGGCTATGTTAGTAGTACAAATGATAACCAGTACTACGTAGATAGCTACATAGATAGATACGTAGTATGTGCAAAACCTCCTTCCTATTTCACTACATGCCTGTGTAGATACTAGCCAGCAACAAATTAAGTAACAATTGTTATCTCCTCGACCAAGAAGACTAGGCATAGCTATCTAAATCGCTATCTCGACTGCCTGAAGATAAAACCACAAAAAGCAAAACCAAAGGGGGGCCGAACCACACATATCTGCGTGATAATGATCTATCTGACGTGCTCGATTTCGTGATGATTGATAAACTATCGAAAATTTTCGGAATAGTCAGCTCTGATTTGTTGCTAGGTGTTTTTGCTTATCTAAAACGCTGCACATCACCCCAACTAAGCTACGTATCTATCTAGTATTTGTCGTTGGGCTTGTTTTATCTTGCTTGTTGCACATAAGTACACTAGGTTATAAATCCAGGAAGTTCCTGTTCCATTCCACTTTTTCATGTTTTGTGAAAATTCGACCACGCCCTTCTCTTCGCGGACGACCGATATACGAAACCCTAACCCTACCGCTATCACATCACGTGATTCTTTGCTGCACCCTAACCCTACATTCATACTCGACAGACCGATCAACTTGAAGGATCATACAGGAAAGACAACAAAGCAAGGAGGTCATGCGATATAAACTTCACATATCGACAATCACTTACCGCCCTAATGAATCTTCGAACTGATCGGCTCTCAAACCTACGTATGTGCCGCCGGTCGCCGAACCTTTTCCTTGAAGAATTCAGTCGATGAATGAATGGGATGGATTTGAACGGAGACATCGCCGGCTTACCCAATCGGGCGATTGCATTGCAACCAAACCAACACAGACAGCGCACTGTGAAATCAGTKCTTGCCTTACTCTACTTTTATGTGGCGGCGGCGATGACGCTGATTTGTTCCTTTTAAGTCTGGGGTGGTTGGTCAAGAGGGATATGACTATGTGCTGCGTACTCTGACTCGCTGAACAGGAACTACGTATGTACTAACGGGGCAAGATTACGTCGATCCGTTCATTCGTCGTCAATCCAGTGAAGTTGATGTATCAACGACGAGGATATATGGAGGAAAACGCGGGAGCCGATTGGAATAACTATCGACGAATTTATCCGACGCATGCAATACTGCTCGCCTGACTATTACCCTTGATGACCGTTATGACTATCAATGTACCGACCGAACGGGAATACGAGCGAAAGTCAAGACTGCCGTCTGATTATGGAGTATGGAAACAAGTGGCGACGAACACGGCTGGGGGCCCCACACACGAGACACATTCCTTATGCGGTATCCTCGATCGTGATCATATTCAACGAACAGGTGAACGGGCATATCGAGGAGGAAGATGAACACGCGATGCGATTCCAAGACAAAATAGACGAACAATACACCAGCTGGCAAGTTGGCGACACCTCGAGAAATGCAATGGATTTTGGGACGGTCGATATGATTGGCGTACATCATTGGGACACGACGGTTAAAAGAAGATTAGTCTCCGGCCGTATTTACGTCGTTACAACTGACGTATTATTCTTACGGCGATTTGCCGTTTGATACATACAGCACAAAAACCACTTGATGAGATGATCCTTATGAGTCACAGGCACAGAAACGTTTGTCTCTTCATGATCCTCTTCTGTGCTGTTGCACCATATTCGATGTCCGTCCGAAATATGATATCGGTGAACGCACGGAAGAATGAGGAGCGACAGTTGAAGCAAATACCGGTTTGTATCGTTATCATATTGAAACAGCTCTGTATTGTCATTTGCACTAATACATACAGCCGTATTGAAACAAATGTACACTGTACCGTACGATACGTACTACAAAATTCCAGACTGTACCGCGGGGTTGACTCCTTGAACAACATGGAATCCATCTCGAGAGATCGTCGACATATTTAATATAAATTCATCCTTTTTTCGATTATGGCTCATAGAGAGATTGTTTTTTCCCTTTGAGTTGCTTTCTTTGGATATTATTATTCCTCCATTGTACATACACCCAAATACGTCGTGTGTACTCCGGACCTACACACTCCGTAGTACATACATACTCACCCATTCTATTAAAACCACAATCATATTATCATGCAAGGCATCATTTCCACCCGGGGTAAACTAACGGAAAAATCAACTGTCCACACTGTGTCGCTGTCTCAGATTTATTTTTTTGCGCTTGTTTTTTCCCACGGGGAACTGGTCTGGCCCGTCCTAGGAGTAGGAGGGCGAGGAGAATCGTCGAAATACTGAGCTTTGGGGGGCTTAGAAAAAAAGAAATTATTTAGTTGCGGCTACCGCGCTCGATCGGGGTCCGCCGAGCTTTTGAACATGGATTCATATCCTGAATAGTATAATAGCTAAGTATAGTCTAGCTTCGAGTAGCTAGCTATACGTACATGCATATTGTTTTTATAGCTAGGTATAAATTTGATATAAGTCAAGGATGAATATAGGGCGATCTTTGGTGTAGCATATTTGTATGCACGTAAGTTTTTATGGATTATGGATATACTTTAATTAACATGATACGTCTGGAATACATACGAATAATACGTACAAACCAGAAGCCGACTCGAGAATACTTCGCTCGTACCGACGTACTATGTACGTACATGTAGATGGGGTTTGACCGCGTATTGAAGCATCGGATGAAGTCGGAAAGCATCTAGTAGTTCACTAAGGTAGACTTTAGAGGAAACGAGACACAGTGGATCACAATCCCAAAGTTTAAAAAGCCAACGTTTAAATTCAAGCGGCAGACTGGCAGTAAAATAAGCTGACTTTTGCAGGGCACAATTGGTCAGCTTTGGATGGATTCGTGAAATCGGAGTAACTCCGCTGCTAATACTCGGCGCTAAACTAGAAAGGGGAATAGGCTGTAAAGGCTGTGGGGCAACTATATTTGTTCCTTGACTTACTATGCGCAATAGTAGAGCTGCTAGTCTGCTACACTACGTATACGTAGTATGCTAACTAATACAGTCAACGAGAAATGGCCTTTAAAGACGTGTCTAGATCAAAGACAAGCTTGTGCAAAGATCAAATAAACTTGGAAAAGCTGTCGAACTACGCGCCGTCGCTGGATAGAGGAATTGAACCCCGTAGCAAAGGATCGGTCTAGGCTGTGAAATGACATGGTTTGTGGTGGTAGGCTGTCCAGTCAGATTTCACATGGTCACTGGATCTCAATGTTCAAGGTGCATGATCAGAAATGTCCGGCATATAAAGCTGTATAATGTATTAATTATCGACTTTTCAAACGGTCGCAACGACATTCACAGAAACTGCCTCCATTGACTGCGATCAACATCATGCCCATCCACGTAACTACGCATATCCACAAATCCAATAGTCAATATCAAACACCTTACGACAACCATGCTTATTAGCAAGTGGATACGATGAGCATGTTGATAGCAGTGACAGTGGACGACCATCACAGCTAACCGAGTCATTCAAAGTTAGTGGTTTCTGCCGAGTACGTCGAAAAGCACCAATGAAACAATTGCGATGCTTTTGACTCCATACAGCGGCAGACACTAAATCTGCATAGGGTAATTACCCACTTGTGCACTTGCTTGTGATAGTGCATGGGCTATTTCGGTGCATCTGCGCTCGCTGAATATGACGGACGACCACGTAGGTGTGTCTGTCAGGGTTTATCGACGTACAGCTTGTGCTCAAGTAGCTACGTTTTCTGATCTAATTAATTGTTAATTCTATTTCTAAATACTTCTGTCGCTTAGAAACTCATCTCAAGCTAACTCATTCTTTCCAAGCCGCCGGATAAAGACATAAACCGGATCATCAGTAACTAAAAACATCCCCACATCGCCACCACCACAGCACGACCAAAGCTCATTGCTCAAGCCAAAGCCTAAGACCAAGCCCAAAAAAAAAGACCCATCCAACCCACGAGATGGATCATGGCATTGGCCACGCCAAGGTCAGTTCCTTATTGCCAGCCACGAGGTCGGACCGATGACTGCTTCAGTCTGAGTTTAGAGGGGATGCCGAACCGTTATGGAGACTGGTCTCCAACACGGAGGACATTGTACCGTCTATCATTTTGACTCTTACACTACACTTCCAGATGACTATTGAAGAGACTTGATCGGATATTTCTACTCAATATAGCAGTAAGTCAACCAATATTAATTAATTATACGTACCTAGGTACGCAGAGACAACGGTAATAGTAGCAATTACTGAATACGGAGCAGCCTTTTAACAATCATTCCATATCCAGTCTCAATCCATGCGAGAAATTAGGGACAGGGTCAGTGCTTCACGCCAACACTAAACTGATTTCATCTATAATGGCCGTGGATGATTGTTTCAGGCCGGGAAATCTACTTTACATACGGTGTATATGCCTGGTACTCGGTATTTGAAATACATGTAGCCTAAGGCCAGGGCTAGTATGGTCTCGGGTCGAGCATTCGGCCGACTTGCCAGTTCCGTCTCGAAAGCATCTTGAATAAATATCTTGGTTCATGAAAGAGTTCGACAGCTAAGCGCTTTCATGTGTTTTTTTTTTCCCTCTCTTTAATGATGAAGTTCCCGCTCGGCGTTCGTAGATTCGAAGTGGTGTCTAATTAGCTACGTAGTGGTTGGTGCTAAGCAGCTGATCTGTGCTCACCCTGCCATTCTAAAATAAATGCATGGCAGGTAAATACGCCTAGTAAGACACATAGCGAGTACTATTAATATAGCCATGCGCATCAATTATACCACCAAATCAATCCAAAACAGCTTCACACTCTCCTCAAGCCACGGTGAAGAAATGAGATCATGTCTACAAAAAGTGTAGATCCCTTACTGAAAATCGTCACTCGATCCTGATGCTGTTGATGCTGACCATCTGATATTTATCAAACCACAGCTGACTTGATCGTCTGAGCTCTTACTCCTAATAGATTCGGTTTGATTATGGAGTACGTAGCACCCCCACGGGACTACGTATGGATTCCCCACGTCTTGTTCCTAGTAAAGTTGTAACTATACACACTTACACAAAGCATACATGCGAACAACAATGAATGAATCAAACAGTGACTATAAAATTAAATATAGCAATATTTACATTTCGACCATGCTAAGTAGATGTAAGGCTATTGTCTGCTTACATAGTTCCAAGTAGCCTTGAACTGTGATTGCCGCACTAAGCGACGAGTTCATGAGGACTTATTACACTGCAAGGCGACTCGTATATTCATAATTGGTGGCACGGGATTCGCGCAGACTATTGGACGTTAAGTAGAGTAGTACGACTCACATACAGTGGTACACTACATGACATAGCAGAAATTTTGGAATTTCATTTGTAGTCGCTTCTTTTAAGAGTGCAAATCTAGTATCCTTCCAGAAGCATTAAACTGCCAATAAGGAAGAAGAGCATGTGATAGCAAGGAACTGTTTCCGAGAAAAATGAAATGTTTAAACATCATCCCGTAACTCCCGTATATCTCCGTCATCGAACAGAGACAAGAACTCATGGTTCAGGATATGGTCCATGACACAAAGAGGGGCTGACCCAGCTAGACCCCTCCAAACCTCTAGACTCAAGTAACTTCGTACATAGGCAGTGACTAGGTTAGGCAAATCGTTCAACCGGCGGAAGAAGCGAATCTGTTCCGGAGAGAATCCAACACCAATCATATGTCGTTCATATTCAAGCAATCTGAGGATCTGAAAAGCAACATCTGTAGCCATGAATAATAACGTTGTGTCAACGTTGATGTTCTATTTCTGAGCAGCGATAGTTAGATCCACCATTAAGCATTGGTTACATGTACATGCAGATACATACATGTACGTATCAATACGCCGTTAGAACTCGGTAAATGGTAACGTCGTAACGAAGTTTGGCAGTGGTACCGCGTATGATTACACTGATGGTAATTGCGCTACTCCAAAGTCAGTCTAGTGGAAGAATTAGCGTATAGTTAGTCTCCACCACGGACAGTCGTTCAGCCAGTACAGCCACGCTTGTCTGCGGGGCTTGCGAATTAAATTACCAGAAATGCGGCACATCTAGTATCATACACGAATTACGGGCTTACCTTACTGTTTCTCGGTAATGTTACCATGTTCCCAAGTTTTCGTTCTTTCCTTCCTGTCGTTCCCTTCCTTCCCAGTCCGCAAATTCCCAGTCAGGTCAGTGGTCGTCGGTCTGTCGGTCGGGCGATTCACCTGAGCTTCAAGACCAACAAGCACTCTTCATACCCTTCTTACCACCTCATCTCCGACTCTTTCTGTTCGCTATCCAAACACTTCTCTACGCTCATTGTGTGTGGTGGGCTGTTTGAACAAGTCGTGATCCTTTTTCATCGGCTTTTTTTTTTCTTTGGCTTTATTTCCTATGTTCGTGAGGTGTTTTCGCAAGTTTTCTTTGGCCTGCCTCGGATTCGTGAAGACCGCCCCGGACGTATCCCCTCGTATGCCTTTGTCTCGCCTGTAGCCGCTCCCCTCCCAAATATCTCATCGCTCAGTTTTATTCAACCCGCGCGCGGGGTTGATTCGCCAACCGGAAGGCAGGAACCGATCGCAATAGAATAGATTTGTATTCGCGACAGACAACACCGGCAAACTGGATTTCCCAATCGAAGACAGCATCGCCAAAGGGGCGTTGCTGGGCGACACCGTCTTCCCCGACTGGCAAGATGGCACCTCTCACGATAATGCGGTCGACGGTCCCGACGAGATGCAGCGAAAGGATCCTCTGGCAACGCAGATATGGAAATTGTACTCGCGGACAAAGTCTCAATTGCCCAATCAGGAACGTATGGAGAATCTGACTTGGCGGATGATGGCGATGAGTCTGAAGCGTCAGGAAAGAGAGCGAGCCGAACAAGCACGGTAAGTTTTAAAGATGGAAATATTCTATTTCTGATACCGTATATATATACATCCCTATCTGAAGGCTGGATTATGGTACGGTTCAGATGACAGAGACCCCGTCCAGTGGCAGCTGCAGATTGCAGGACGCTAGCTCTGTACTGTTATCATCATCGAATCCTACCTTATCTCTGCTCCCCTCGACTGCTGAAGATTACTATCAAACCCTACCTTCTCCTTACCCACTCTTCACTCCTTTCGCACATTCCTCTTCTTATCATCATCATCCACTGTCGTCATTTTTCAAAATCCGACTTTCGATCTTCCACTCATACTAATCCATCACCCATCCATAGCCTCGCTGCTCAGCAAGCTGCTCAGACTGCTCAAAAGCCTTCTTCCACAACTCCAAGTGGAATTGCTCAGCTGCGCCAGGCCACCCAGAGCAACAACACCGCTCCTGCCTCTGCCTCGGCTGATTTCATGAACCTGGACGAGTTCATCGTGCCTTCATCCATTGGCTCACCGGCTGGCATTGAAACTCTACCTACTAGTTCCGACCACAACATCGCCCCTCAGTCCTATTCGGTCGCTCAATCTGGCATTCCCATCAAGGCCCGCAAGGACCAGAACGTCTCGCAAGCCCCGCTTATCCCAGCTTCCTTGCCTCATCCTCCGCAAGAATTGCGTCGCAACGACGAGTTCGGTTACGTGCAGCGCCGTGTACGGAAAACCAGTGTAGACGACCGCAAAGTAAGTCTGTCTCGAACCGGATAGAGGAGAAGATGCTAATCAGGCACAGGCACCTCGCAAGCGACCTGCGGAATTCTCCCCTCAAGTCGTTCCTACCTCCAATCTGATGGTGCAACAGAATGATCAGGAATTGGACACTGCCATGATGCCAGACTACAGCTTGGACCAACCGCACTCCGGCTTTCCTCATCATAACAGCCATACCTCCCCCACTGTGCCTTTCAATCTCGATACCTTCCAGATCAATGACGACCCTATCCTTACGTCTGCGGGGCCCTTCCAGCAGAACTTTACTTTCTCTCCTACAGAGTCGCCATTGGTGACTTCGGGACCCTTCAGTCATGTCTATGCTCAGACTCCTATGGGTTCATCACTGAACTCAACCGATTTCTATTCTCCCCCTCAATCCGGCTATCAGTCTACTGCGTCGACTCCTCAACCTGTCTATGACGGAGAGCACTCGATGTACTTTGAGCAGAACTCCATGGATGCTCGTGTTCAACGCAGAGTCCCCGTCTATGCTGCCCCTAGTCATCGCACATCCAACCTCACTGCCTCTTTGCAACCTCGATATATGTATGGTTCCAAAACCGATCCAAATGCTGCAACCTACAATACCATGAGCGGACCCCCTTCTAGCATTCCTTCTCCTGGATTCGCATCCCATCAACACATTGATCCGTCGTCCGTAATCACTCACAATGACTTCTCCGCCCCTCCCTCGCATCACAACCTGAACTTGACTAGCAGTGAGAACATGTTCACCTTTGGAGCCGACTCCGACAATGAAGACGATGATGGAACTACCTTTCCAGACCAGAACATGGCCATGCAGACTGATTTTCAAGGTATGGACGATATTTCTGGTGACATGTCCTCGGGCTTGCAATGGGATGCTCAGCTTGCTGGTCACTATGGCTCTATGCCAAACTTTTCAGGTCTGCATCATGGAAGGATGGGAGATGTCATGGATCAGTCGCATGATTGGGAAAGTGCAAGTCTGCCCCGCGGGCATGCCTCAACAACCAACATGAGTGGTCGACCAAAACTTGGACGTGCAAATACAGATCACATGGGCATGCCGATGCAGTCGCATACGTCACCCAACACACCGCCTGAGTCTGGATTCAGCAGCGTCGCACCGTCCCGGCCTGCTAGCCCTGGCGGCACTAAACCCGGTGATTCGGGTGCTCCGACTACTTGTACCAACTGCTTCACTCAGACGACGCCCCTGTGGCGTCGCAATCCTGAGGGACAACCTCTTTGCAATGCCTGTGGTCTGTTCTTGAAACTTCATGGCGTAGTTCGACCTCTGTCTCTCAAAACTGATGTGATCAAGAAGCGCAATCGCGGTGGAGGAAACAACCTTGCGATTGGCGTATCTGCGGCCCGGTCCAAGAAAGGTTCTCGCAAGAACTCAGTACAACAGACTCCCGTTGTTACACCGCCAAGTTCAAGCAAATTACAGAGCACCAATGCCTCGGAGTCACCGCCATCTATCGCTGGCTCGACCACTTCTGGTACCGGGTCGAATGGTGTCGCTGGTTCTGTCAAGAGTGGCGTTGTCCCTATTGCAGCCGCTCCCCCAAAGACCACGCCATCTGCTGGTGCTCAAGCCAGAGCAATTCAGGTTGCTCCCAAGCGTCAACGGCGACTTGACAAAGACTCCATTGGTTCTCTGGCAAGCATTCAAGCTAGCTTGTCTCAGGACAGCCCAGAAGCAGCCTCGGATGATACGAATATTGATAATAGCAAAGCTGGTGCTGGCTCATCGGCAGCCGCCAGATCTAAAAATGTACCGCTGGCACCAGCCATGCCACCGGCAGCTACGAACCCGGCCCATCACAGTCTGGCTGCAGGATCCGGTCAGACAGCTAGTCAGGAGTGGGAGTGGTTGACAATGAGTCTGTAAACGCGAACTCGTTGTGTCGACAAGAAAATTATCCACGGCATTTTTAAATATTTAGTCCCTATCTTGGACTTTTGATGATGGCTGATGAATTTTCGCCTTCTTATGGTGTCTTCTTTTAAGCATTTACTATGGATTCGGTTATAGACATGACATGGATTGAGACGGGTATGGATGGTAAACAGGATTTTTACCACGTGGGTCAATCGACACGATCGCTTATGATCTGGGCCTAGGAGTTTGGCTAGATCTGTGTGTCTGATGGACAACAACGAATAACGATTTTGAGCTTTTACATACAGTTTCGGGTGGATCAGCTTGTCGTTTTTTCGTCCTACGAATCGCGGATTTCATCGTCTTTAGAAAAAAATCCTACCGTTTTCGGTCTGATCGAGAATGAGCGATCCAGACAATCGTGAACACGATACATGGATTTTTTGATGACTGTTGATGTGTTTATCGTTTTGATTATTACTGCTTGATACAATCGCGTCTGTACCGGTTTGCTCAGCCTCTGTTATGTTTTGTTATGACTTTTCGTTTTAGTTATTCGTTTCTGGATTTTCGTTGTCATTTGGGCTGAGCTCCGGGCAGAAGTGCGCACTGCTTGATTCTTTTCTCTTTCTTTCTCATGAGACGTTCTACGGATTCCTTTCTATTATCAGACTGTGAATGAATAATAAGCTTGGTCTGGTATTCCGGCCACTTTCTTACAATCTCTACCTTCAGTATGGTCGAAGTCAAAACGTAGACAGTACGTAGATAGTATGAGTCTCTGGTGGGAAACTCGGAACCAATCGCCTGAGCTTCCTTTAGGGTTCCAGCTCAAGACTTGCCACTTTCGAAAATACGATATACTGACATCACTAAGACAAGTCTTTAACATTGGTCGCCTTATTTTAAAATGCAGTTGACTTTCTCTGTAAAGCATGCAAACATATCGATTCATCCTTTACCAAATCACGGGAATACTGAACAGCAAAGAAAGTGATCATCATGGCTGACAAGGTACGCTATCAACCACTCCTATGCCTGGGGGGAACTATGGATATAGCTCTAACTTGACAAAAATAAAAAACAGAAAGCAATGCTCAACGCCGACCCTCAACGCAACACTGCCTTTGAGCGCTTGAAATCCTCCATCGCCGAAGCAATGCAGCCCGGTCCGTCTCTTCCCCCCCCCCCTCCCTTGGCACCCTTTTCATACTCACACTATCACGCCTCCTTTGGGTTTGTACACAGGAGACGCAAGATCAACCCTCCATTTCGTCCCACCCGACGAGCAAGAAACAAATCTACCCATCGAACAGGACGAAGCACCGCTTTACGGGCGGCGGCAAAGCACCGAGTTCAATGGAGCGACGGGATCCAAAGCGAGGTCTAGTGCTGCTGGTGCTGTTGTCGGTGCTGGTGTTGGGGCAGATGTAGGACCTGGGGCGACGACAAGTAAGAAGGATCAGAGCATGATAGCTTCGGCGGGGGATATGGTTGGGAGGGCTTTAGGGTTGAAGTAGTCTATCTTGATCTGTGGTATAAAAAAGGGGTGGATAGGAGATGTGCAGATGGCAGGGGAGAAGGTGTTAGCTGAAGGATCTATAAATTGGAATTTTATTGAGTACATATTTGACTTTCGGTTCTCATGATCGTGTCTTGGGATTCTTGAACCTAACACAGGCGGTGGCGTGTAGCTCTATACCACAGCACCTCGGGATATGCGTTGGCAATCCGATAGCTTAGGATGAGCTCACTGCCTCTATAATATGGTGAAGAACTAAACAATGGCAAACTTCAAAAAAGGTCCGACTTAGCCTATGTTGTAAAGAGCTCTTTAAGGTTTTAGGCCACGCAATATGTATGCTTTATTGTCAACAGAATGATGGTGATGTTCGCATACGGGGTGCCAACACATTGTGATTAAGCGGAGCTCTATAAGGGCTCAATCGATATAAGGACACACCTATCTATTAATTCGCATAATCATAAACGTCAAATCTCGTCACCTTCTGTTGTTGCCTTCATATCAATTGTACCTAGGTAGTGAATAGATGACATTGTAACGCTCACCTTATAACTCCTCATCTGGCTCTCATTGTATTGACCAGTAACTCCGATTCTCGCGATTTCTCATTATTTCGCAATATCTTCAGTTCTACCATTATCAAACTAAACATGAAGCTCGATAGGAAACTCGATATGGAGCTCGAAAAAATATCGACCCCTGGTTCCACGTACGCCTAGGCAGCAACCAAAATCTGATTTCTGCACCAACCTCTATTAGAATGATTGGATATAGTTCTCAGCTTCCTCTCGACGCCTGATCAGATGTGCTTTGCATTGACTTGTGAATCTTTTAACGCTCAGGCCCTATGTATTGTGGAGGCTCGAGACGAAAACCTATCTCAAATATTATTTCTCCACCTCGAGAAATTTCAGCATTAAGGCAGAACAAGCTTATCGATGATCATCTACAAGTACGATTCCCCAACAACTTGAGCAACATCGTTGGAGATACTGTCCGAGATGCTAAAAGCTACATCTGCGATCTGATTGGAAATTCCTGCAAAATGATGTCCAGTTTCCATCTAGAGGTCCAGGGTTGCATGCCATTCGCAAGCAAGATGAATATATATCCTTGTCCATCTATCTCGTATCCTGGCTTGCTATTTCTCGGCAGCCAAGTGCTGAAAACAAACAAGGGTCAGGCGTTGGGTCATTGTTTTGATGGTCTTTTCGCAATTTGGTAATTTGACAATAGTCTCGGATACAGGTTTAGTCATAAATGCACTTTCAATCAGCATCCTGCAACGTATATTATTGCTATTAACCTGTCTATACGGGGAGCGAGCTGACGATGATGACTGCATTTGGCTTAGAACCAAGAAGCAAACCCTCCGATCAGGTTTGCGTGCAGTTTGTGGATATACGGACTCCATTGTGGCTTCCAGGCAGCAATCAGAATATCAACGAATCGCTTCAGCGGCTTTTTGACGAAGCTGGGTCAATTTTTATCGGTTTGCGCAATGCTCACTTGATTGAGGCATCTAGAATCTCCGGGATCATTATAGTACAGGTGAAGCGTGATCTGGATTCAGTATCATGACCTGATAGTGTGTGGATGCGAAATTTGGACCAAGTCTGAGCAGCTTTGGTCGTTTGTTGGTTCGCCGAAGGATCGAAATTTCCAGGGCTGTCATGAGACTCGCTCCAAAGCTTGGTAGCCAGACGATATCTAGGTAGTGATGCAGACTGAAGCTGGCCGTTTAGGCGAAGGTTTGATCTTCATTACTTATTGCTGGTCTAATTGATTGTATACATCCAGATGTCTAGGATTACAATCAAAATTTACCCACGTGCAGGTATGTAGTTTTAGATACCAGTAGTTAACTAAGTCAGATGTTGGTAGATTGCTATGGAAATATATATATTTACTCAGTAGTTAATTTACCTACATGTGACCTTAGATAATACTTCCAAGGCTACCTAGGTAATAACAACTATCACAATCACGATTGTAATAAGCTGACTAACATCAGAACCTCCTCGATAAGTCGACTATTGAAGACGACCACGTTATTATCATGATATCAAAAGTAAAGTGATACTCTTGCCCTAATCTCATGATGGATCCACCCGGGTACCCATCTCTCGACTCTCACTGGCTGTGTCAACTCTCAAACACAAGGCTGAGCCAATCTCGTCGCAGATTGCATCGCCCTCTTTCTCTTTGCGGCTCTACTGATTCAATCATGAAGCCAACATATATTCCATGACTAGTCATGAGCTCAACAGGCCAAAATCAGCCTTACCTGCGACACCCTCTTTCGGAATGTATTCTGCGCTCCGCCGTTGCCAGGAAAAGTCGCACTAAAAAAAACACAGGTTGAGTCATCGTCCATTAACGATGAAGTATATTTTGTATAGCCCCACACCTGTGACTCAGTTTTCAACGTGACCGTGGTGTTTGACGCCTTCGGAGACGGAGTATACTTTATTAGTTCGATCTCAGTCGCAGCCTGGAAAAAAGATTAGTGATTGTGTATCACGATAGGTTGTAGTACGTACGTACATGAGTCACATGGAAGGAGAAGTGGAAGGCGGCATTAAATTGTCGAAAACGATGGAACACTGTCAGTATTGTAGCACTGGCCGAAAACGGCCGGTACATTGGCCGGAGAAAGGTGGTCATAAGCAGTTCAATTTACTAACTAATATGGCCTGCATGAACTACAGGCCTCTATGGCCATACATCGCACCCAAAATGAAGCAAATTAATCAGGTTTACACCTCTCTAGAAAAGCACTCTATAATGCCAGCACGACTTGACTTGCGTAACTGACGCAGTGCACCACCTAACAAGGCAGCCAGATTAACCCGAAATAGCTAGCTCAAGAAGGACCCACACAAGGCTTTGGATCGATTATTATTATGTCGCCTCTGATTGGCGGGGAGCTGTCGGTGTGTCATAGATGGGTCATCATTGGCTATGCTGTGTACTGTTTTGTGGGTGGCGCTACTGCAGATGGCGTGCAGTGACGTGGTTGGTCGATCCAGAAAAGGTGGATCCTCGAACGATGGGTCTGCGACATCCAATGAGATTCTCCATGCTCCAACTGGCGTGTGGGGCCAGAACAGCGAGGAAACGGTGATTGGGAGGAACTAGAAGACAGAATGGAATTTGTGGAAGCATGAGAGAAACTCATGGTATGACGGGTAATATTGATACGGTACGGATACAAGCTTGCAACGGCAGATATCGATAAAATACGGTCGGCTACAATACGCATACACCAAAGTCAGTTGCTGCCTGTCTGATTTTCTCATGCAGGCAACACACGGCAAAAGCAGTTTACTGCTGCTGAGTGTTTACCGTGTGTAGGTGTAAGTGTGTGAGTGTACCAAGAACTCTAGATGCCTTGAAAAGCAAACCCCAACCCCCATATTGCAGTCTTTTTTTCTTCCCTCTTTCAGCCAGACCGTTCGAGATGAACCCGATCATTACAGAGCGCCTGCGAGAGCAGCATCAGATCTAATTCTAAGCCAGTACCATCCATTATTTGTACAAATATCGCTGCTTATACTTTCTTTGTTCTCTATCTTTGCTTGATCCTTATCGTTATCGAATTCTGTTGCCTCCGGCTCCATTGCCCCGCTATCATCTCGTCTTCTGATCCTCGCAATAGTGGACGAAATACGTACCTGGATAAGAGTCGAGTCACAGTCCGGCACTGCTCTCTTGTTTTGCCCCCTTTGCTGCCTATTGCTGAGCGGCGAAAAATTCGAGTACTGTTGATTCGTGTCGAACCAAGTACAGCCATTCCAACCACTCACTAGGTCCGCTCTTGGTTGGATGGAAGTTTGTGTTTAGTGGAAATTTCGACCACMCCCTTGTGACCTCGTGAGACTCAGCCGTTTTTTTTTTTTCTCCATCAGCAATCGCTGTCCTCTCTTCCCTGCCCTTTTTCCTTCTGCTGTCAGTGTCATTCTTCCTGGATCTTTGTGACGGCTAGTACAGAGCCTGTATTGCGTGGTACTGTGAGTGGCCTTTGCCTCCCGTTCTGTAGCTCGCGGGCAAAACTTCCCCCGGCCCGAGCATACAAATCACGATKTTTGATACGCTGTCTKTTMCCCGCCGTTACCGGGGGCCGTCTGTGTGTCCACTACCCTGCCACCCAACTGCCCTCCTTCCTGCCTCACTACTGGCACACTGCCCACCGCCCACTGCCCCCTTCCCGATCGGTCGATTCTATCTTTGGCCCTGGAGATGGAAAAAGACGAAAGAGTCATCCTGACCCGCCGCCCTCCTTCTTTCTGTCTGTCTCGCTCTTGCCCAGCCAGCCAGCCAGCCAGCCGTTTTTATTAGGCCTCACCCTCCTATTTCCCCGTCCTGTCCACCTCGCCACCTCTTTCCTCTCTCTTCGCGCCGACATTATATCCTGTCCTTTCTTCTTCCCATCATTTACTCCCGACGAACAGAATCTCAAATCACATCTGTTTTCCTTCCTTTCTTTCTGACTCATCCTTCTGTCGCCTCTTTTAGACAACCAGACTCGTCTGTCGATTTGGCCTCTCGCGCTGCTCTCCGAGGCCGCCCGACCGAATCTAGGCACCCGGCACCACCGCGCTAATTACTCGCCACTCCGGCCACGGTGCTCAGACCACTGAGTAAGTCCATTCTAACCCAACCGTCGTGACTGAAACCTATTGAGTCACCGTTGCCTACCATGACACATTCCCTCTCCAGAATGGCAGTCCACCTGTAATTCCGGTGACTAAAATCTTGTTGATCACTTGAGACTCGTTTTTGCCGCCACGCTGCATTCTTCTGCCTCCCTGGTACCTGGAAGCTTCTTGTCCACCCAATCAATGTACTGTTGCCGACCGAAGCCCAGTCAGGATAGAGTGGCCAACTCGCAGGCTCCAGTGTCGTGTTTATTTCAATCATTCATCAGCCTGGTCATATCTGAAAGGGAATCTTCCTGCTGACTTTTGCGAAGAACTTTCACCTTAGTTGGCACCACTCACGCGCGCTTGAGTGTTTCGATACCTTCTTACCACTAGCTCCGCCGTTGCCTCGATGATTTGCGCGAAGACATCGTTGTACTAGACTTTTGACTCATATTGAACAAGCAAGCGTCTTTGTGACGAATGTTGCCTGTTTGTTAGGTCTTCAGTCTATTCTACTACGACTCTATTAATAGTACCTCTGCTCGCTATCACTTTATCGCCATCATCAAAATGTACCCTATTGTTGCAGGCCCCATCGAACCGATCACCAGTATTACCACATTCTACTCGTCAGATATCACCAAGTCCAGCAAGATTGTTGCATGCCTGTGAAGTTACAAACCTCACTTCGTGTCTACTACATCGGGATTGAGCATTCACTCCCGCGTTACCTATCTGGCTTGATCGACCTCGACTATTCGGAACGTGTATATACGGTGATCGGTTTGCCGAAACCAACAACAATTTGTTAATATTCGCCCTTTTGCTTTTTTCCCCTCATATTCCCACCCAGTACTCCGATACTCTCAATACCCAAATAAGGTATTGAGTTCTGTTCAGTGATTACTACACTGTTACGCTGGAGCATCATCGCATCTAAGGCCCACCGTCGCCTATCCCTCGAAAGACGGTTGTCTATCGGTTTTCTTCTTGGTCCCTTTCGAAACGGTTTATTTGATATCACGGTTTACAAATCGTCTTTTCCCTGGCTTCCGAGTCTTGCCTAGTTTGAAACTTCTTTGACACAAATTCAGCGTGTCCAGTCGTGAAGAACACAAGACATTCCTAACTCTATGTTATCGAATATGCCAGGCTCAGACGTCTCGGGTCCGAGTCTTTCCGACCCCAGTCAACAAAAGAGGACTCATCCGTACTCTTCATCCGTGGGGTCCTCGGCCTCTTCTTCATCTTCCTCGATTTTTTCATTAGATTGCGTCTCTACGCAGAGCTCCATCTCATCATCTTCAACAACCGCTGTCGATGTCATTTGGGAGAATGAATCAGGAGAGTCATCAGGCCGAGGTTTGCCCCATTCTGATAATGCATCTCATTGTTTGCAAAATAGTTTGAGAGGTGTTGCATCTAAAGTCACGGAGTGTCCAGTCCCTCCAGAGCTCCGGAGGCACCCCAGACGTACCGCTTGCCCCACCGCTACATCAAACGGTACATCCACTTCGTGCCCTCGACAACCTCCCCCGCTTGTGCGGCAGTGCGATCGCAAGGTGAATTTTGTCGACAGCTTAGTCGGTAAGTCATCTCTTCTGAGAGAAGCCCCCCATCCAACCGCTTTGCGGATCTTGTCATGCTGAGTTTCCTCGGAAAGACTCCGCATCCCAGATTGTCGAAACAATATGGCCCCTGTCGGTAGTTGCTGTTCGGAGTGAATCTCCACTCGGCTGTAAGGGTGTCTTACCTCTTCGCACTTTCATTCAAGAAACTCTGCGAAGATCACGTACTAGCTTTAGTACTTTACAGGTCGCCCTTTACTACCTCATCAAGATTCGACCCCACGTGCCAAACCATGACTTCACCATGGAACAACCTCGTGACAGCCCATGCGCTCGAGCGATGCAATGCGGACGTCGTATGTTCCTCGCCGCGTTGATTCTTGCATCGAAATATCTGCAGGACCGAAACTACTCCGCCCGTGCTTGGAGCAAGATCTCGGGTCTACAAACCCAAGAAATCAATCAAAATGAAATGATGTTCTTGCAGGCTGTGGATTGGAAACTCCACGTCCCGGAGTCCATTTACCACAGATGGACAGATATTGTCCTTAAGTATACACCAACCCCGGGTTCTTCGCCCAACACAGATGATTGCTGGAAGACGTTGATTCCAAGATTGACCTCCGATCTGGTCACGGTCGACATCGAACCTTCGAGCCATCCCGATATGTTCGGACTGGACTTGCTTGCTGACGCTCCTTCGCCTCGGCGTTCACCCTCTCGCGTCAACAGCATAGCTTCGATGTGTTCTCCCAGTGAGCAACAATCTCCGATCTGTCCACGATCTAATCCCATCTTGGAACCCACTCCTCGTATCGAGTCCTCAAACCCCACCCTTCCGGCCTTGCACAAGCTTGGACTTCTCCCCACACCGCAATTGACGCCACAATCTTGCGCTGCGTCCACTCCTGCAGTGAGTGTTCGTGGTACATGTTCGAGACGTCCATCATTCGCATCCGCAATGTCTCAGGCCCAAAACATGTGCATGTCACGTCTGGCTCTCGATACCCGCCCCACCAGCAAGCCTGGCAACTTTGAAGGACTGCCTCCTTTGACTCGTCGGTCTTCTCTTGCGCGCTCTACTTCTTCTGCATCATCACCAGAGTCGATGGTGTCGGATGTGTCGACAATTTCCTCTCGTTCTTCTCGTTCTTCTTCAATATCATCATGTGTGTCTGCGACCTGTGCGCCTAGTCAGCCCCGGCTGGCCGTCACGGCGACTCGTCGTTGCGCTGCGATGACTTTGAAAGAATGCCGAAAGAACTTGACCATACACACTCCTATCGACGAGACCTCTCTGGTTGGTGTTTACAGCTCTCCCGACAGTGCCCTGTGTGGATCTGTTCCCGACCTGTCGAACTTCTCCTTGAACACCCCCGTCGATATGACGACTCATGAAGCTGCTCAAGGTTTATGCGAGCTATCCGGCGCTATGCTACGATCACAGTCTCCTGTTGGCCAAGTGAGTCGCAAACGAGGAAGGACTTCATCTGAAGACCAGATTTTGCAGAGCAATGTACGCGATCTAATGGCTTCGGCTTACGGGAACGACGTCCTAGCAGACGAGCGGATTGCTCAATCATTTCTGCTTAAGGGCCAGTCAGACCACAACCTGAGCTCTATTCAGCTGCCTGTACCTGTTCCTGTTTCGAAAGGCGGTATTAAGCGAGCATGCTGCAGTGCCGAAGTTCGCAGACACGACATTCTACCAACTACTCCGACGCCTATGCGTTGAATGTCTACATTCACGTATGCGGAAGGATGTGCGCTGATATCTCCATGCTTGTACATCTCATAATAGCGTTTGTATATATAACTCAGCGGTTTGAGATGGTACAGGCGCTATTCGGCGCAATCCTCACCACACGATTATGATTATGATGCACTAGGCCAGACCCTTGACCTTGGCATCTTGTATGAAGTACGCATATTTTGCAGATATTTGTTTTATTTTTGTTTTATTTTTGTCTTTCTACCTGACACGGAGTGCGGCGGCATGGTCTGGGTTTGTTTTGTTCTGTTTCGTTCTATCCCTTGGTGCAACTTACTATCATCGTGGTTGTCTTATAATTTTACTCTTTAAAGGTGTGTGCGCGTGGGAAACAAAGTTCGAAAGGGCGAACAGGCATTTCTCGGAGTCAAATCGTTATCCATTTTCTTGGTCTTTCACCTCGATTGATATGGACAATTGGGGTTGGAGTTTTGATTCTGGGTCCCTATTCATACACGATCACATCACATCATCAACATCACCAACATCTACAACATCATTGCGATTCTTACTTTCTTTTGTCTTTCTCGAGTTGTGTCACGCACTCATTGGACAAAAAGTGGTATGGTTATTGGAGTTAACGCATGCATTCGACGGAATGTTGCATCTTCGAAATGTAGATATAGGCAGTAATCCGCTAACTACGAATTGCAGAAACATATACACTGGTACTTTTTTTTTCGACGTAGTGATGATCTTTGTAGATTTTTCCTCGATAAAATGCTCACAATGTGTATCCAGAGTGAAACGCGAGCAGAGCAAACGTAAGAGGGAGGCCCGTGAGGCGGCGATACGCAAACGCGAAAACAATGTAAGTGAACGCACTTTTCCCATGCAAATCAATACTGACAGAGCGGGGGCAAGGGCGCCCAATAATAATTATGCGTCTCTTGGAAAGACGCCGTCAATAGCAGAGGATATGTTGAATAAGATGAAAGTGTCAGCGTGCTCTCATTGGTCAGTGTTGGGATATCTCGTGGATGCTCATGTAGACTAGCTGGCTCCAACAAGGTGCTGTATACGACTTTCTTATCCTAATTTTTCGATAAGTCATTATGTCATAAATATTTACAGACCGTTAGAAGTACATTCAAATTCACTAGAGCCTCCTATGGAAGGGTTGATTCTGGCTCCATCCCTTTCTGTATTTTCCACTTCGTCTTGTGAAGCAACTATAGAGTATAACGAATGCCTCGACCTCACTCACCAAGTGTAAGAAGATTTTTATTTTCAAAATCTCTCAAAATTGCATAAAAATAGCAAGCTCACTGACTAGGTTTCAGAATTTCACACCGATCAAGTTCGCTGCCAGGTAGATGGCACAACGAAACTCATCAGTAGCGGCTATAATACAGGGTAAAAGTTCATTTTCGAGGATGGATCCATATGGCTTCTCCGACTAGCACAAAAAGGCTCTGTCTGTGCTGATTTGACCTATACAAAAGTCGTAATAGAGATGGAAACGCTCATTTATATCAAAGAGATTACCGAAATACCAGTTCCAACTATTCGAGGATGAGGTTTCACTACACAATCCTCTTGCTTTATGTGACAGGTGGCCAACCTAGCTATCTAGGTACCTACTTACTGCGAATATCGAACATGGGAAGTGAAAGAAGAAGAAATCAAATATCTTTCACCAAAGAGCTCTTTCATGTGTGCTCTCCCTTTGTTCTCCTATTTCCCAATATGGCACCGCTGAGGATATTCCCGTCATGGCACTGCCTAGAGTCCTTGCCCTAGGTACAGATTGCTCCGGTCAACTCCCAACAACGTCATATCAGACCTCCGAAGCTCAGGGAACCGTCACAAGCATATAGGTCTCAATAAGTGGAAGAGAATCCAAGATGAAGTGTTGGATCACGAGACACAAAACTTCTAGTGTCAATTAAGATTGTCCAGCTGGGGTGCTATGATGACATGCTTGGCAAAATAAAATTTGTGTATGATTAGTTCAGCCGTGGTGAGCTGATTGCTCAAGAAACTTAAGATGCTGTTCCCTTGTTATATAGGGAGACTAAGTAGTAAAAATCAAGATCGATGAAATAATCGCTAAAAGTATTTGATATGTCTTTGCTTCTAATAGTCCAATCATAGATTGCAGCTAACGAAATCAATGATATGACATGCTACTATATCTCTACTAACAGTGCGTCAGTGAGACTTGAATTCAAGGAGCAGATGATCTCGATCCACTTGGGAGGCATGGGAAGCATATCCTGGTCGGAATCGACTCGCTCACTTGTGATCTAGTCTCCACCCACGCGATATTGGAATCATGTTAATCCCGAGCCAGACCATATGGAGAACGGGGTTAATTTCATAGCAAGAGGAAGATGATCCCAATGCTGCTTCCGAGCTATATCATTCTTTGTTTGATCTCATGGGATCCGAGAGGAAGGCTTGGTTGAACAGAGACTTGAAGATGAGGGAGGAGGATGGAATATATTTACAACTATTTATAACAACTGATAAATGAAAGAATCTTCCGTTATGCCTCAATCACCATTTTATCAAGTCTATCCACCCAGTTAGATTCCTTGGGTGTATCTGAATTCAATTGGCTTATACATCAGCATTGATTAGTGTAATTACTTTTTCTCTCAAACCGACGGTGGTGCATTCCGTGGTGAATTGAACGTAAGATAAAATATGGAACATTTAGATACCGTAATATCTCGTTCTTTCAGCCCCGGTCTTTAAACAAGCGAGCAACTCTGACTCGTCTCTGGGAATCAACTTGACTTTAAAGTCCTTCGGAATGGCCACAAGTGCGCTCTTAATGGCGTTGTAATCCGCGTAGTGGGTATTCGGCGGGAATTCCTCGCTCGCTACAATACGGTAGCTACTCAGCAGGCGTATCAATGCTGTATAAATCACGCGATTGGCAACGAATTGCCCTGAACAAGCCCTCGCCCCGGCGCCAAAGGACATATGTGGTAACCCCTGAATACTTCTTTCGATAGGGATGTTTTCTGGATACTCCAGCCATCGCTCTGGGTTAAAGACATCGGCGTCGTCTCCAAAGTGATCTACGTCATGGTTCGCCGCTTGGAGATTGACCAATACCATCGTCTTGGCGGGAATTATCACCCCATTATCCCAGGCTATGTCAACGGTGGTCTTTCGGGGCAAATTCATGGCGGAGGCGGTATAATATCGTTCCGCCTCCTTAACAAGCGCGTTCACATAGGGTACCTTTTCTTCCGCGAAGGATTCTAGAAAGACTTCGTCCAGGTTTGAATAGAACCGTCGGATATCCTCGTAGGCTCGCTCCTGGAAGATTTGGCCTGTCTCCGTTGCTAAACTTCCGATGCAACCAACTAAGGTGGCAGGAATAGTCTCAAACCCACCAGATACAAGTGACAGACAGATTGATGAGACTTCTACATCTGTCAGCCGGGTTTCGTTTCCCTTAAGAATAGCCGCTGACACGCATGGCTTATCTGTGCCTTTCTGGATCCTATCTCGAACAATATTGAGTAGAAAAGACAAATATTTATCCCTTCGTCTCCGTAATGATTTTGCACGTTCCGTTTTTTTGTTTCCCGGCAAATATCGTAGAATAGGGATATAATCTTGGTAATTCTCCGAAGCGGACCGAAGCAGGGAAATGGCAGAGCCAACTTCTAGGATTTCCCGGAGAAGCTCATCGTGCACGCCCCGCATACGAATACCATAGCAGAGTGTCAGGGTAGTGTTCAATGCTAGCCGTTGAATATATGGTCTAATCTCCAGTTCTTTGCCTCCTTTGCCATCAACATGGACATCGGAAATCATATCATATGTTTCCAAATCGAACATATCATGATATGAGCGAATTGCGGGTCTAGAGAGAACCATACCGGCTGCTCGACGTCGGTTGCGCGTCGAATCATCCCACGGGCTCGACCCGATGGTGAAGCCTTGTGTCGATGAGATTACGCCATGAAAGGTGTACAGGGTCGGCCGATCGATAAGTGCAGATTGATGCGAGAGAAGGATTCGACGAGCGTCATGGAAAGAGTTGACTACCACAGCGGTTGTGTTCCCTAGGCGAATTTGAAAGACGGATTTGTTATACTTCCGCCATAGCTTTTCGCAGACGCTTGCGTGGTCGTCACCCAGTAGATGCAGGTGACCAACTATTGGTAGAGCATTGGGAATAGAGAATAGGCCGGCAATAGTGGAGTTGGAAAGATACGAATGCAGAAAAAGCGCGGCCAAGGTAAGAAATGATAATGACAATGCACAGGGCCACAGCCATGGCCATGACCACAGCTCCTCTGGAAGAAGCGGCGAAGCCGAAAAGAAGGAGTACATTCCCAGTATTCTTTTCTTTTCTTTTTCTCCTTTCTTTTTTTTACTCCGATAAGAAAGTAAGAAAATGAAACTTCACGGAAACCTTCTAGTTACGTGCTCAGTCGCAGATATCGGCAGATATCGGAGTTTTCCAGAACAAAGTGCAATTGGATGTTCTCTATATATGGCTGGACGTTACACAAAGAACTAAGTATATCGCCATTTCTTGCAGGTAAGATCCAACATTACGTATCAGAGTCACGTCGTATCATGTATGTATCCTGGATCCATCCCTGCTAAGCTTTGATACACCCGCATAAGTTGCGAATTAAGTCCCACTTCAGTTGTGTTAGCCCCAGAGGCCACTGGAATCGAGGGTCTGGAAGACACGGAAGGATCCGCTAATTTGTGGCGTAGGTGGTCGAACACTCCAATCATCTTACTCCAATATCGAGGAAATGGAGTGCTCTCTTTGGGGAAATTAACAAGCCAATCAACACAAGTCTTAGCCTTTGCCTGTTGTAACCTGGACAATATAAGTCAACCCCTTTAGGCTAGAAGGCAGGCACAGCTTTTGGCGGGATGGAAATTACGAATGCGCATGATAGTAACAGTGATCGACAGTGAAAAGGCTTGACTACGGATCATGCGCCCTTTCTTAGATAACATATCTCAACCCCTGCTGCTTGCTCACCCGGAAATGCTTCCAATGGCTCCCATTGGCTCACTAGAAATTTAATATAATATGAGTCTACGTTCTTGAGCTAGCACGAATGCACACCCACCGAACCACAGTGCTGTCAATGTAATCATTCTTCCCCCGACTCCGCCCCATACACCGTCTCTGTATGGACCTCATACGTTGTGGTGACCTCGATCTGCCCCGGTAGGCCCGCAGAGCCGGTCAACCTTTCCGAAGAAATATTGTAACCCTGAGTGGTGGTGCGATCTTTCAGCGGGATCGATGCCGATAAATCTCCATCCAGCCCAAATCCAGTTTCAATACTTGAAAGGAAATTTCGCAGGTACAGGACACACGTGCACACTAGACAGCTGCATTGTATAACTTGCGTGGTCACGGAAACGGTCCACTCGGTAAAGTAAGGGTCTGTGGCGGTCGAGACGCTATGCCACAGCACCATATCCGTTATGCAAGCTGCAACTGTACTATAGAACGGAAATAGAACGGCAAAACAAGGTTAGTATGATTGTTTCAGAAGACGGTACAGCCAATGCTATATCGATTTGTATTGCTCACCATATCCGTAACACGAAAGGAGTGGAGACCACAACCTTGCGCGAGATAGGCCACTGCACCAGCCCGATAATGTAGAGAGGCATAAAGATCAAAGCGGCCTCGGTGATGATGTTGTACGCATCGAAGACGATCCACCATACGGTCTGTTGTATCACAATGTAAGCATATATTGTAAAAAAAATATGGAACTTTGATTTTGCCCCATTATTTCTCATTTGAATGGGAAATGAGTTCCCAAGCCGCCCTACCCTATTGATACACCGTCCAGAAGCATAATCCCATGTTTTTGGCACCGAGCAGGAAAAAGAGACCACAAATATCGAAATAAACGTAAAAAGAATGACAAAGAGGCTGATGCCGTTCATGACTTGATGGTGCCGTAAATTCGGGGATATTTTGACCAGGAGACGAAGGAGGGACAATTTCGACAAGGCCAAGGACACGACATAGAGGACGTTCGCCGCCATGGCGGCTTCCGTGATCTTGTTCACTTTTTCGGCAGACAGAGTGTCGAAGGGTTTTCCAAACCCGTCTGCCGCCCGGAGGATGGTAGCCAGCGACTGTGCGGCGCAAAAGACCAAGGCACCTGTGAGAAGATAGTCATCGACTCCAAAGCTCATGGCCTGGCGCGATATCTTGACAATGGAGCGCATAATGTAGGCAAATGCGGCGAGGACGAGCAGTAGCCATGTCACGATAAGGATCAGTGGAGATTTATTCGTCGCGGTGATCTGAACGCCAGCGGTGGCCATGACATAGAATGGTAGTTTCAAACCAATATTTGAAAGAAGAGAGAAGAAGGCAAATGCAAAGCCAGAGATGAAGAGCTGGAAAACCAGGTGGGAAAATGAATGAAGAGGAAAGCAAGGTATATGATCCCGAGACATGGCCTTCCGCCATGGATGGATGTACTGGATGTGCCGTGGGATTCAGCTTTCGTGTATTTTCCTGACACTCGCGCGATACGCACGCAGGTGCTTGTAATAATACAGTAAATAGATCTACCATGAGTACTTAGGTATGATACTAAATAGGTTTTAGACCGGAATTAATTTGGTAACCCCTGCAACTTCGCGGATCTGCTGCTACATTGCCACGTTCGTCTTTCTCTTTTATTGCTCTTTTTTTTCCTTTTTTTTGGATTTTCTTTTTTACTGAAGCACCTGTCTTCCTTTATTCTTCTTCCCATATTTCCCCTCAACCCTTGTCTCTAAATTCTATTTGTTTTAGTAAGGGAACTCTACTATGGATGCAATTGAAACCCAGAGTAAGGCCAACGTCTCGACTGCGCTCGAGATGGATGACAAGTCGACCATGGGTCGCGAGGAGCGCGACCGCGCCCGTCTCTTGAGACTGGGTAAGCGGCCTGTTCTGAAGGTACCTCTTACCATATACAAAATGTATCCTGTCTACCTGCTTATGCAATAGTCAGCGAACGTATGGCTTCATGGCTATCCTCGGTTTCACAACTACTATTCTTGTCACCTGGGAGGGTGTTCTACTAGTTTTTAATATTGGTCTAGAAAAGTATGTTCCATGGTCTTGGTAATACATATAGTGTGTCTAACCAATTAATACAGTGGCGGCCCTGCTGGGATGATTTACATGTACCTCTTTGCGTGGATAGGTGCATGGTGTACTTTTGCCTCCCTGTGTGAGCTGGCTTCTATGTGAGTATATAAAGATTTGACATTCAAAATGAGCGCAAAATCTGACGGATAAAGGGCTCCCATCTCTTCCGGTCAATACTTTTGGGTCGCAATGCTGGCACCCCCCTCCTGTCAACGTTTCCTGTCCTATCTGACTGGCTGGATGACATCCATAGGCTGGCAGGCTCTCGTCGCCTCGACGGCTTACATTGCCGGTACACTCATACAGACCTTAGTCGCCATTACAATTCCCTCGTACGAAGCTACCAGTTGGCGGGGACTTCTTATCATCTATGCAGTGCTTCTGTTTGGCTTCATCATTAACACTACCGCCCGTCGGCTACTGCCAACCCTTGAAGGACCGGTTCTATGCATCCATATCCTGGCCTTTTTCGGTGTTCTTGTTCCACTGTGCGTGCTTAGTTCCAAGCGTGACTCGATTGACGTCTGGGCCTACTTTGTCAACGAGGGCGGCTGGGACACACAAGGACTCTCTACCATGATTGGCCTACTTATGTCTATTTTCTTGTTCACTGGTGTCGACGGCGCTATACACATGTCCGAGGAAATCAAGGACGCTGCAGTTGTTGTGCCACGCTCCATCATGGCCAGCATGGGCATTAACGGGGCCTTTGGCTTCGGTATTTTGCTCGCAGCACTTTACGCCACTACCGACATCGATGAGACCCTCGGCAGCGAGGCAGGTGAGGCTGGGTATCCTTTTCTGTACATCTTACAAAATGGAATTGGGTCACTTGGTGGTGCGGTGGCCATGGGGTCCATCATCTCCGTGATGCAAATATTTGGTAACATCGCTGATATGGCAGCGGCCTCGCGCATGTGGTGGGCTTTTGCTCGCGACAAAGCGATTCCCGGCTGGAGCTTTTTCCTCAAGGTGATAAGCCACCCGACTTTAATGACATACTTAAAGATCATTGACTAAAATATCTTCTTCTAGCTGGACTCTCGCACCTCCTTACCTGTTCGCTGTATTCTATTTACCGTTACTGTGTCCGTCCTCCTTTCTCTGATTAGCATTGGTAGCACAACGGCTTTCAACGATATTGTCGCCCTTGTCACATCAGGATACTACTCCTCTTATCTTATGGCGAGCGGRCTTCTTTTKTATAGACGGTTGACAGGAGCCATCGTTCTGCCAGATGTGGGCGACTCACTATACGAGCCGGTCAACAATGTCGGGAGACGGCTCGTCTGGGGTCCCTGGCGCATCCCGGGTATTCTGGGAATTTTGATCAATGCATTCTCCGTCATTTACTTGACTGTTGCTCTCTTCTGGTCCTTTTGGCCCTCGTTCTACCCTGTCACGGCTGAAAACATGAATTACAATGTTCTCATTATCGGAGCTACCTTACTTTGGTCGATTGCGTATTATGTCTTTCATGCACGGAAGGAGTATACCGGCCCGATTGTCGAGATAGCGCCATCTGATTTTGCGAGACAGTGAAAAAATGGCTCATATGGATGACTCGTTCCTGGAGCGGGAAAGGGTGCGCAGGTGGCAGGGGCGTAATATGGTATAGCGAAGATATAGAAGTTGAATTGTAGAATTATCGACTCGTGTCAAACAAAGCTAGACCGGTTTATCAGTTGAGACTGTTAACGACAACGGATTACTAGACCGAATACAGACTAGCGCTATCAGATAAGATTGATAAAGATGAAGTCAGTTGACCTTCCGTCTCCGCTCTTCAACATGTCACCGTTAGGGACTCCCCTCTCTTTTCCTTGCGTTCCTCTCCTCTTCAAGTCTGTCTTCCCCTTCCAATTGACGCTCTATATTTCTCTTTAGACTGAGCTCAATTTATCACCGAACATGGCGCAAAGCCATTCGAGCGTCGTCACGTTATTATCAGCGGTAGTAGTACTCGGCCTATCCTTACCCGCGGTTCTAGGTACACCGATTATCGTTACCGCGCACAACGACCAACAACAAACTACATTACAGAACGTGGATTCTCATGGCAGTTCCAGTAAACATGAGTATCACGATGATCCCTTGAAGGATTTCATTTCGGATGTTGTGCATGACACTGGGTTGATGAATAATGTGGATAAGGAAAACAACGACCAGAAGCATGCCGATAAGATCGGTGACGGGAAGACGTCGGTGCCTGTAACGACATTGCCATCACCGCCACTGCCGTCGATTTCGTCGCTGAGATATATGGGGCATATTGATGGGTTAGATAATATTACCATTGGCCTGAACCGTGCCGAAAGCGCAGGGCTTCCTACTATTGACAGCGACGGTGAAATTGAATCAACTCTACGCCGCCCTTCGTGGTTTGACTCCGTTCTCATGGCGCGCCGTTTACTAGCCAAATCGACTGTTGGAATTGCATCTACTGTCTATCAAAATTCCGACTCATCTCCTGCAGCCGGTCTGCAAGGTGTATCAATCAGTCTACCGGAATACATAGCAGACTGCTCCGAAATCGACAGCAGCGACAACCACAACAACGGCAACCCCATCCTTCTCGGCTTATACGTCTCAACAACGTTTCAAAACATCGCCAAGGGCTCGAATATCAGTCTCTCAATTGATTGGTGGAGTCATCTCAAGGACACAAACCCGCTTTATCCTGGCTTCCCACTTAGTGAAGCCGGATTACCACGTATCTCATTACTTGGCTATGTTGAAAGACTCAACCTATCTTCTGCATCATCGCCAGCAACTACGAAAGCAGGGTTGGAAGAATGCTTCTTCGCAACACATCCCGATGCCAAGGTATGGGMACCCGGGAACCCGGATAGTCCTCATTCGGGCTTCTGGGCGCGCATGGTTGTGACTCAGGTTTATTGGATTGGCGGATTTGGCGATTTGCAACAGATTGGGTGGATGAATGTTACTGATTGGAAGGGCGTGGGGAGATATGAGAGTGATGAGAGTATTGGGGATGGGAGTGGGAGGGGTTGGGAGGATGTTAGATTGCCTGGTGAATAAAATTAGGCGACTCTTGCGGACAGATTACTTTGCTCGACAGGTGGAAGTATTACGTTTATGGTTATATGAATTCTTAGATTGAGCGCTTGGAGAGCTCTGCTTTCCACCTTACAAAAACTTACAAGGTCCTTATCGTGGATTTTACATACCTAAGTAGGCAGCCGTAGGACCGCTAGTCACATACACAATATTTTGTAGCAAGCTGTGGTCGAGCGGAGAGAGGCCTTACTGACGGCTTAGTCGCGTTTCTTCTCGGACTCCATATTTGTGGTAGCAAAGCGGGAGCAGATAGAAGTCGGCGACATAATTGAAGATTTTGTTAGGAAGATTAGAAGAATTAATGGTCAATGCCAGATGAGGGAGAGGTGAGAGGCGAAAGGTGGGCGCCCTGTTGCCCCAAATGTCAACGATGTTATCTGCTCACTACCTAGGTACAATATGAAGGTAACGACAGAAAGTGACGAGACAACCGCGAGATGTTATCTGGATAAGCCACTTTCATTTCGAGGTCGTCATCGACTTAGCAAGTGTGCTAAGCTCGGAAGAAAAGCTGTGCTATTTGCTGCTTTTATATGCGCCATGTTTCATGCAACCCTCCGCTTTGTTTGATATCATGTGATTTCGACACCAGTCTCAGTCTCTTCAACATCCCGACATCTACTGTACATCATTTCCAAACAGACAGTGATTGTCGCTCTCCAGTTACGCTGCCCCTGAAAAACGCTACCTAATCTCTAGCCCCGTTTACTGCCCCACCCTGGGTTGACAGACTAAACAAAAAAGACGCTCACGAAGCTTCTTGATACGTATATTCAGCGAATCAGTCCGATGTATTGCTCGGTCGGATCTTTCCAGGAAGGATCCCAGATTTTTCTAATACAAGTCCTTCCCATGCTGGGCAGACATGCCTTAACTTGATCATCGATCTCACCACGAGTTTCTGCTTCACCATTACTACGCTCATCAGATATCCCACCTTCCTCTAACGATCTAACACTAACTACAAAATGGAGGTCTTCTGTCGAAACGTGCCTACCCAGCTCAAGCCACGACACTTGAAGCAGGAGTTGAGACCAATCCTGGCTGAGCTTGACATCGTCGCTTTCGATTGTCGAGTACACGCGGCTAGACATGCTACCATCACCATTGCAGATATCTCGAAGGCGCACCTACTGCTTGCTCGATATCCTCGCGTGCCAAAGGGACAGCGCGTTCCCGAAAATCAACGGCTGAAGATTCGCGGCACGATCATCTACATTGAAGAAGGCAGGAACCAACCGGACCCGTTCCTTATATCGTCGCTTGTGGACGAAGAAGTGCAACGCCGCAGTCAACCACGTCGACCGATTGTTAGCAACGATGTCGAATCCCGAGGGCCTAAGAAGTTTCCTATTTTCACGTTATCTTGTGGTACATTTGACTTTAGAGATACCAAGCCAGTCTTCATTGACCAATTCACCTTGTCAGCGATGGGAACCATTCACTTTGGTTCAAACAAATTGACAATCACCATATCTCATCCTGAGGATGGCCAGAAGAACTTGAAGATCGAGTCCGAATACTGGTCGATATATGATGCAGTCTACGTGAGCAACCACGGGAATCTGACAGTGACCTTTGGATGTAACTATGCTCCCCGTTTATTTGAAGCGCCCGTCAAGCATACACAACAGGCGACACTGGCTGCTTTTATGAGAGATCCACGTGAGGAGAAGAAGACGAGGATCGGCTTTCTCAACCCATCTCACAAATATGTGGTCTCTTCTTGTTTCGTGTATCGTGTCACCTTGACGAACCAGAACGACTTTTTCAACATCTCGCGCCTTTCGCACAATCCCAATATGCCCAGGCTAGTAAATTGGCGCGAGATGAGATTTCCTGCATATGCGCCCTTCACTACACAATTGATCACCTTTTTAACTGTGCTCCGCCGGTGGAACTTTCCATTTGTTGTGCAATTTCAGCTTCAAATGTTGCTATCCAACGGAGAATTGTCTCCGGAGAAAGTAGTAGATCTTTTTCCTTATGTGAAAAAGCTTCTCACCAGAAAGAGGTCTCTGGTGGTCGCCAAGATCTTAAAGGGGCTTCCGAGAAGGCTACACCACCCAGACCCTCATGCTGACAGTGATGATGTGAGTCTGGACAGCATTACCAAGACACTTGACGAGATTGAGGAAATGCAAGAACATGAGTATTTGCAACCGGGACAGCCCGGGTATCTACATCATAATCAGATGGAGATACACAGACTCAGCGTTACACCTACGGGCCTCTATCTTGATGGCCCCAACGTGGAAGCTGAGAATCGCGTGCTTAGGAGATATCATTCCCAGAGCGACTACTTCATACGGGTTCGATTTATTGAGGAATCAGGGGACCCCCTGATGTATGACATCAGCTCAAACTTGGATCCCATTTTCAACCGGTTCCGCGAGATTATGAGAGATGGGGTGATTATCGCTGATCGCCACTATAAATTCCTCGGATTCTCCCATTCCTCATTGAGATCACGCAGTTGTTGGTTCATGGCAGAATTTCATGACTCCGCTACTGGAGAGCTCATGACTGCGGGTAGACTCATCTCGCGATTGGGAGATTTTAGCCACATTAGATCCCCCTCAAAGTTCGCGGCACGATTAGGTCAAACTTTTTCGGATACGTTGACCTCCGTTTCTGTCGACAAAGATATGGTAAAAATGATCAATGAAGTTGAACGGAACGGGAGGGTTTTTAGCGATGGCTGTGGTACGATCTCGAAAGAGATTTTGTGGAGGATACATCGCTACTATCCACGCAACGCTGTAGTTCGCCCTACGGTCTTTCAAGTCCGAATATCAGGTGCCAAAGGAATGCTCTCCTTGGATACCACACTAGAGGGGCCTACAATTTGCCTTCGGAAATCAATGGTCAAATTCCGTGCAGAAACAGATCATAACATCGAAGTTTGCGGTGCTGGCATTCATAGCTTGCCTTGCTACTTGAATGCGCCGCTGATCAAGATTCTTGAGGATCTGGGAGCACCCTGTGACCTTTTTCTTGAATTACAAAGAGAAGAGGTGGAGTCTCTCCGCCAAGCAGTACGTTCACCACAACAGGCGGCTATGTTTCTAGATCAAACGCATATTGCAAAATCAACGCGACTATCCTGGTTAATCACGCTGCTGCAATCCATAGGAATCAACTACAACCAAGATCGCTTCCTGAAAAGAGCAGTGGAGCTAGTGATCCTCATGAAGCTGAGGGACCTGAAATACAAAGCAAGGATCCTCGTCCCCGAGGCAGTCACATTGTACGGTATCATGGATGAGACTGGCTATCTGAAGGAAGGCGAAATTTTTGTGCCAATCCTAAACGAAGAGACTAAGAGACGAGATATTCTTGTTCAAGAGAATGTGCTCATCACGCGATCTCCTGCATTTCATCCAGGGGATGTCCAGCTTGTTAATGCTGTTAACGTACCGGACGATTCCCCACTACGCAAATTACACAATTGTGTCGTTTTCAGTCAGAAAGGCGCTAGGGACCTCCCTAGTCAGCTTAGCGGGGGCGATCTAGATGGTGATATCTTCAATATTATTTACGACACACGTTTTATACTACAGCGACTGGCTTTGCCTGCTGACTATCCTCGGGTGCTCGGCACGGAGTTGAATAGGCCAGTGCAAATTGAGGATATTCAAGATTTCTTCATCACATTTATGCAACAAGATCATTTAGGTCGTATAGCTATTACACACAAGATCCTTGCGGATCAGCAAGCGGAAGGCACTTTCGATCCAAATTGTCTGACTCTGGCCCAATTACATTCGACCGCCGTCGACTTCTCGAAGACAGGAACGCCAGTTAGTTGTACTAAGAATTGAAAGATCGAGGACGTTGCTAACATCTTATGTAGGTCAACATTAAGGAAATACCCAAATATCCTCCATGTCGACCAGATTTCATGGCCCCAGGACCTCGTGTGCGCGTAGCTGACAGCATAGAAGTCCTTGACAACGGTGATGAGCACCATTTGAACGATGACGCCCAGACTATCGTTGATGATGACGACGATGTCCGTCCGCCGCTCCGTTACTACAAAAGTCGGCGTGTGTTGGGTGCGTTGTATCGAACGATCAACGAGAGAGACTTTGTCAACGAACTGGAATGGGATTCCTCGAATCGACAAACGCAAACGAAATCGGCGAATGTTCTCGCTCTCGTATGGAAGTATGTTGAACGCGAGACTGCTGGATTCTTGTGGGATCATTGTGTGAAGGATGCCCACTATATCCGAGATGTGTTGGTCTTCCTCTCCTTTATTGTACGAGATGTGTACTTACTTTATTTGAACACTGGTTAGCTATGAGGAACATATGCAAGATCTCATGTACCAGTATTCGGACGCACCATGGAAATCTACACTGACCGAAGTGGAAGTCTTTATCGGCAACATCATGGGCAAAAATCACAAGCAAACCACCTACCAAAAAGAGTCATCCAGGGCAATGCGTGATGGTAAGCCATTGGTACTCTCAATATCTGTCAAAAATCTAGGTCTAACCTATTATCTAGCATATGATGATCTCGTCAAATGGACCATGTCCCTAATTACCGGTCGTGGAACCGAAGATGAAAGAGAATCTCTGGAGCGCTCAATTGCCTGTCTCTCGATAGCCCTGGAGGACACACGTCAGAAGAGGTCTTCGGTGCTACCTAACCAGAAAAAGCTGGATAGTTATGTGTGGATTGCGGCGGTGACCTGTTTGCTCGAGATTGACAAGTTGCAGAGAAGTGCACCGTTTTAGGTAAAATTTCTCAAGGAATAGCAAAATATGCTTTATGATTTATGTGGAGTAGTCTCATTGATAATGATGAAAGAAGAATCATTATAGGTTTACTAGTGAGTGCTCTGTAAACCTTGTAACAACGACGCTCAAAGGCAGTTCCTGTCTCTCATATGAACATTGGACCTGCCTTACGTGTTTCGAGTCTGCATCCGAAAGAGGTAGGTTAGGGCTTGGCCTCTGTATACCCTATATCTACTTTCCTTCATCGTTTTCTGTCATGGCTTCATATTCCTTCCTTCGTTCCATCTCAATGTGACTGCCTTGTGGCCTGAACTGGTCTGATCCTGTTTCTCTATCCTTCAGCTCTGTTGTATTAGCCAATTGGCTCATGAGTCTTATTTCTACAAAAAAGTATAATGAGATACAGCACCAAATTTGGTGTGAATGATGCTTTCCAGCCGTAATATTCCGAAGGATTAGGCCTGAGAGACCATTGGTAGCCATGTGATGTAATCTCATACTCCTCATCACGGTTCGGAGTCAGTCTGTTCAAGCTCTTTGACTCTTTATAGATCCTGGTTGTGTCGAATAGTTTGTGTAACAAGTGCTAAGAGAAGCTTGTCCAGTGGGAAGGGACGCTGGGAAGGTGGATCAGAGAGCCGTATCCGGGTTCCAGCAAGGAACCTCCCTAGTGTGCCATTCCTCCCTGACATGAGGGCGCAGAAGTGGCAAGTGCGTACCTGCCGATTGTAAACTCGACTGGCGGATTTCTTGAAATAGTCATGTGAGTCGCCGCACGGAGAGAGAGAGGGATCCTTGACAGCTCTTTCAACTTGCAACAGCAACCCCGACAACTGACTGCAGTCGTCCATTTAATGGGTCATCGTGCCTTTTAACGTCGACGATTCACGATACATAATCAAAGAGCCAGTTTCCCGCAGATTAGCGCTCCATCTGGAGTCGATTACACGTCAGCGTCCCGCTGTCTGGGTCTACCTGTGGTCGGTCGATGCTCGGTGGCTGGTAAACTGACCCGCTGGTCTCTGGACGTGTCTAGTATGAACCGTCGTGTCCGCAAAAGGAGGCAATACTGGAACATTTCATGGGAAGACAGGCTGGTATACTACTACCAGTATTATATATACTCATGTACGAGCTAGTTATGTGTGACATGGCTTGTCTGTCGTCCTGCAGTTCTTTGCATGTACAGTACTCTCAACGATTGAGCCCTCGTTACCTACCCCACATAGGTTACTGTTCTCGCTTGGTCATGATCGTGCCTTTGATGGATTCATTAGATAATGACAGATAAACGACTGGCTCTCAGATCCGATGTCAATGCATCTAGGCTCTCGATGGGCTCTCAACCCGGTCACGGACACTCCTTGACCGTATGCTCAATTCTCGTTGAGCGCACGCCAATGTCAAAACATCGAAAGAGCTTGACCATGCAAAAATTGCCAATTGTCAAAATCGACATGTAGTGGTATCGGCAGCGAATACTAGCAGCATGGTACGGTATAGTCATTATGACTATCGTTTTCTTCCTATCGGCTGATCGCTGGCAGGGCCAATGCCCAATGGAACAATCCGCCCAACTGACTCTGTGGTTGATTCGCAGTTTGCTCCCCGCATAGACGACTTATCTGCCAATAGTGCAAGGTTGTGAGCTCCTCGTTCTGATCTCCGCACACCATCTGGATCCCGACTGACCAACTAACACAACATTCCCCATCTGCAATAGATAAGCCTTCGGACCGCTATCTGCTTATAACGTTAACGTCCACAATTCTGTATGAGACGTTGCCTTTGACTTCTATACAGACTTATTGATTTACAGGGCACTGCATTTTATTGTCGTTGAATTTACTTACCGTGCATGGTGGACCTTTTTTTCTAGCAATAGCAGAAGCATTATCATCAACAGATAGGCACTCTTGCTAACTCGGGCGTTACTCCACTTTGTCCGTCTTATCTCTATAGTCTATACCGTCATTCCCTAACGCCCACGCTGGTTTATCCCCTCCATTCATCGCTTATCTTTCTTTGGTTATGTTCACCAATATTTACTTTGTTCTCAAGTCGGTGCGAGAGAACTTTACATGGTTATGGATACAATAAGGATCCCTTCGCCTTCGGCCATTCTAGATCCCCCCGCTCTACCACCGGTGTCCAATAAGCCCGTTTCGAGTACTCGAAACACTGCAACAAGTCCAAAAAAGAAATCTGCTGCCATTGTGATTCCTACAAATAGCACTCAGCGCCCTAAACAGTCCAAAAGCCGGAATGGTAAGTCCTCCAGGTTGATTCAAGCGAATGTTGAGACTATCCGAATGTGAGATAGGCTGACCAGCACAGGCTGTATTACCTGTAAAGCAAAGCGACTAAAATGTGACGAAACAAAGCCAAGGTAAGTTGTTGTGTTACTCAATGAGCCTCAGGGCAAGACCTATCGGTTGCTAATATTTCTATTTCCTCTTTTGATAGCTGTCAACAATGCCACAAACGCAATGTGGCATGTGGTGGCTACAAGAAAGACTTCAAATGGCGACCCTTTGAAGAAACACAAGTCGTTCCTAAGGCTACTCCTAAGAAGAAAGGTATAACATGCATTCTTGGATGTTTTTCGGCGCAGCGATCCTTAGCTGATATTTACAGCATCACCACCTCCTGACTCAAATGGTAACGACTCACAGCCACGCAAGGCCGCTAGAAGAAGTTCTGAGTCTTCAGGACAGTTGCTGGGCTCAAAAGAGCAACCGAACTTCTTTTCGCCAATAAGTAGCTCTCTCCCAGACGAATTCTCACTTCCTGAAGGCTCCATGTTTGCCGACACGGCTTCGTTAATGGCAACCTCTCAAGGGCTCAACTTTGGAGTTCCAGCTTTGGACGAATTCAATCCACCAACTATTTTTAACACTCCCGAGACAGAATTAAGTGGGTTCATATTTTCAAGCGCAGAACTAGACTCAATATCACATTCCCTACCCTCCGACCTCGACCAAGTGGCAATGAACATACAAGGCAGCCAACCTAGCTTCACATCAATGCTAGAAGAAGATGCCGATGATGTCGAGAATATAATAAGACAATCAGACCCTGGCTTTCAGCTTTGGCCTGTCAAGGATTCCCCTCCGCCCACCACACAGGTTGATGTGTCACCCGATCTCTCCATGGCGACCATGCTGTTTCAGGAGCCTGAGCCTGCTCCCGGTAGCGAAGAATCACTTATTGTTCGATTTGACCGTTTGACTTGCGGTATCCTATCGGTGAAAGATGGAGTAACGGAAAATCCGTGGCGAAATCTGATCTGGCCCATGGCAAGAGAGTCGTCCGCTCTATATCACGCTGTTATATCAATGGCAGCTTTTCATTCTTCCAAGGACAACCCGGCTTTACGGGTCTTTGGGATGGAGCACATGCGCCGTAGTATCAACTTCATGGTTCAAGGAATGGGGCAAATGCAGACCGATGCTGCGTTGGCGACCACATTATCGCTGGCTTTTGCGGAGACATGGGATCAACAAACTTCGACTGGCATCCAACATCTTAAAGGCGCTAGGGCTCTCATGCGGCAGACTTTGAGAACAAGAGCTCGGCGTCACCCACCTTCGAATGAGTTGGGACGAATTCGCTTTTTGTATAATACTTGGCTATATATGGATGTGATTGCTCGAATCACTTCTATGGATGAGACCGAAACCGAGGAACTAAGCGATCCCCGTTTCGCAATACCAGAAGATGGGATTCACGATGTCGATCCTCTGATGGGTTGTGCTACTACCCTATTCCCTCTCATGGGTCATGTAGCGAATCTTGTGCAGCGGATACGCAAAAGCGATAAGAATTCCTTCGCAATCATTTCCCAAGCTCGGGAGCTCAAAAATGCGATTGATCGCTGGGTGCTCCCTAATCAATTCAACCCACCGGAAGATCCTCAATCCGAGCTCCAAGACAGTATACAGACAGCGTATGCATACCGATGGGCAATTCTTCTTTATCTCCACCAGGCAGTTCCCGAAGTTCCATCGCCTTCTTCCTCCATTCTCGCAAACAATACCTTAAAGTTACTAGCTACAGTACCGCTTTCTTCGAGGACGAATATCCTACATATCTTCCCATTGTTTGTAGCCAGCTGCGAGTTTGAGGATGAAGAAGACCGGGAATGGATCATGCAAAGATGGGTGGCCATGCAAAACCGACTACGCATTGGCAATATTGACCGATGTGTCGAAGTCATACGCGAGGTCTGGAGGCGGAGGGACGTCGCCAAGGAAGAGCGTCTACGGCTGCGATCACGTCCTGGGAGTCGGAAGGGATCTATGGTGGTTCATGGGGACAATCCGTCAAAGTTGGGCAATGTGTATGGAGCTTCAATTGATAGCAACCAAGCATCATTGGGAGGATTATACTCTACAAGCCCTACTCATAAAAGACAAGGCTCAATAGTGCCCATTGTAGAAGAACTTGACTTTGAGCAGACGGTGCGAGGGAGTCACCACTGGGTTGGGGTAATGAGAGATTGGAACTGGGAAGGTAAATACAACACAAAAACAGATCAATGATCAATAACGACCTTGGGATGGCAAAAGCTAACGCAAAGATTCACAGTTCTTTTGGGTTGATGATAGTGGTTTCCACTGCTCAGCTTGCTCCACCGTGGTATCGGGCGTCAACCTCCTGTCCTGGCCTTGCACACTGCCAGATCCGGAGCCGGTACGAGATAGTTCCATTCGAGGATCAATTTTGGGACTGGCGGGCAAAGGCTGAAAACTAGGGTTTCGATCGAGAAAGGAGCGGAGCGAGTCAACGTAATGCTCGAGATCGCTCGTCATGGTAACGGTTGGCATCTTGATCGGTTGTATGATGGTCGCTATGGCAGTGGCCCTTTTCTTGTAATTTGACTTTGTACTTTCGGGGCGATTCTTCTCTTACGATGTTATGCGAGAAAGCGACGGTGTTTTTTTCTTCTTAGATGCCAGGTATGCGATTAGCAAGGTGTTTGTTTTGTTCTTTCGTCTACTCTTTGCTCCTGTCACGAGGCGATGGAAGTGAGGCGGGCAGGCCTCTGAGTCGGAGGGTGAAAACGGACGTCGGTGATCGCGTTTGGGCCTGTTCTTTTCTTTTCTGGCGCTTTGGACTGCAGACTGGACAGTAGGCGAACAAAATAGGATTTACAAATCCAGGTATTCTGCAAAGTTTTCGAGAGTGCTGCAAACGTCTTCCGATATAATGAAAAGAGGGCCCAGGCTGAGTTGCTGGTTTCTCCTTTTCGGTCTTTTGTTTCTGGGTTTGTTTCTATGCGCAAAGCATCCTAATCTCAGAGACTGTTGATGTCGGTACCACCTTGGAAATTCCTGGGTCGCTCTGCTGCAAAAGGGACGGATAAAGAAGTCGCGATGGTTCTCTGCATTGGGTGTGATATCGCAATGGAAGTTGATGTTATAAAAATGAATTCCGTCGCTCGTTTGTTTCCTTTTCTTTTTTTTGTTGTTTATATATAAATTGAATATCTTGGAAAATCGTAAATATACACGTTTCTTTCCTTTGCAATAATTGTTTGCAAAGGGTTGCTCGGAGATTGAGTAATGTGAGAATGAAAATACCTGGCTTAATATTTGGACGGAATTCGTTGAGGTTGATTCTTAACGAGAAAGAGCTGTCTGTCATTTGGTATACCTTAGTAAAATAGAAGTCAGCACTTATAAGGAAACGTACCCAGTTGTCCTTGAATTTTGCCAAATGAATAGAGACAATGGACTTGTGAATGTGCCAAAGTCGAAGGGTTTTCAAGGGCGGGGTCAATAATAACTTTTGTCACGCAATTCAATCATGGAAAAGGAAGTTATGGCTCTGTTCAGTACTCTATAAAATCTCTAGCCGCGCTAGTCGATTGCTTTATTACGTGGAAATTTTCACGTTTCAACTGAATTGGTTGTGTGAGTGAGTGTTTAAACGTTACTGGTTAGAGGTGCGTTGAGTATGGTACTACGGATTTAGGGTACCTTAGAAAAAAACTTGATTCAGTTCTAGACTCAATTTGATTTTACTGTGTATAGAAGTATAGTACCGATTAATTAACAAATATGTCAAGGTACGTGGAAGACAGTGCGATATTGGGTAAAAAACAGTGTATCATCATCGTACTATACCACAAACCGTCAGGTAATCGACGTCATGTCATGTATCTATCACCCTGATGATGACCCATCTCAGCTGAGAGCGGATTATTCCTGTTGTTTTAAGAGAAAGAGTTACTGTTATATCAAACTATCGCGTAAGAGTATGTTGAGGGAAATATTCTTAGCGACTCAGGTCACAGAGGCAAATGACTCTTTCCCTCCAAGGGCAAAGTAAATGTGTTACTGCTGCATCGCATATGCGTCTTGGGAAAAGATTGCGGGGCATTTGAGAGGATGGTACGTGGTTTTTTCGGTCGGATGTACTGTTTTGGAAAGCCTGACCCATCCATGGGTTGTGCTTGTTTTAGAGATACAGATAGATTCGATGGAGAGGATTTAAGATCAGGACGGAAAGTCTATACTATGAACATCTTACAAAATCGAACGCTGATTCAACTCAATCCAAACAATCCCATAATCTCTTCTGTCAGTTTCGGCCGACCTCTATTCACAGATACTCATAACAATCAGATTGATAAGAATAAATCATCAAGTGCGATTGTGAGGCTATACATTAGGATTTGGTTAGGGAAATTAGGGCAAATCGACGCACTAAGCCGATTCGGGACAACTTTCACCGGATCGCAAAACATTTTCTTTCCTAAATAGGAAAAATGTTCCCAGAATGTCCTTTTCAGGCGAGTGGGCCAGATTCTGTCAGTCATCATGGAAACTGTGGATATCTTGGAATTTTCGAATGGTTATCTTACAGTTTGTAACTTGTTGAGTTATCTCATGAGGGGTAGTAAACATAGGAGGGGTAATGTATCGTCACTCGCACTCTGTGTACATAGTTCCAAGTCTGTAGAACAGCTTCTTTGACCTACTTTTTCGACTCAAGCAAAGCACAGTAATAGGTATAGCAGAAAGTGCTTTTTAATTTTGTATGATAGCAATGATCGGTATGAACAGTAATGGAGGAGAAGGTAAAGGTAGCTGTTTCTCCTCACGCAGACCATCTTCTCCGCATGCACAGATATCACCCCCCTCCTACCCTATCGAGCAGTAAATAGAAATTGGAGTAGAACAACATCAGTACCTTATGCTTTATGCTCTCATCTGTTATCGAATCTCTTATCTGCGGATTCAAGAAAAGTGATTGGTTACGGAGGTCTGATAAACCTCGACATGAGCTAAGCTACACGCTTTGGAGTAAAGAGACCCCTGGGTCTACAATGTCTGGATGTGTACCTTTCCGGGTTTACAAACCCATTGATAGCTTCTGATCTGTACCACCACATGCTGGTGCTATGTCAAGATTCTGGTAAAAAATAAAAAGGATCAGGTTTCCTTTTTCTATTTACGTGGAGACTTCCCCATTATTCACTCTTCGGTTCAAGTCGCGAATCTCCAAATTTATTGCAGATATATAGATAATATTCTCGCCTTCAAGTTTCTATTAACACAATGGGTAGCATTCTAAGTCGTGTGTCCAGCAACAGCAAAAACACTACTACCACCGCCAAAGAAGCAAAAATGGCTCCCGTTGGAATGACCTATTATGAGAAAGCTCAAAGCACCTTTAAGCCTCCTCTGATTGCCAATGAGAATGCTTTCTTGGGGGATATTTCCAGCAGGTGAGATACCAGAGAACGATATCTATTGGCGTCACTGCCCTGTACAGTGGATAGAAGCTAACAATACTCAATTATGTGTAGTGAAAAGAATGACGCCGACAAGCCCATCTCTTGCGGCCTCTACCGTTTAGAGAAAGGCACCCCGCTCGTTTACGAGTATACCTACCACGAAATGAAGATCATCCTCGAGGGTGAATTCGAAATCTCCGACGAGACGGGCCAAAAAGTCACTGCCAAGCCTGGTGACGTCTTTTACTTTCCCAAGGGCGCGAAGATTACTTTTACAACACCGTCTTATGGACTGGCATTCTACGTATGTTATACACCCACCTGCGATTTATTCCTCGAAAGAAATATAGATACTAATGATCTATGTTTGTTATAGACTGGTCAGCGAAAGGAAGGTGCCGCTTAGTTGTTTCTAAATATATGACTCGAATTGTAATGCATTTTCTTTCGCATCCATGGATATCTCACGGTGGAATGACGACGGGACGGGGTACTTACTTGTTGAATCGTGGTTATATATTTCATTGAGCCTGTTGCAATAGAGGATTTTGATCCGAATATAAAAATTCCGACTTATTTATTTTTCTTTTGTTATTCCAATCCAGACCGTGCTCCGTACAAAAATAGCTTTGTAGATGGGCCCACTATACGGTGGGTGGTTATGGGTCGATTCCATGCATGTGATTGTCTAGTAAGGCGTACGTATTTAGCTTCGCTAGTTTACATTGCTCACTTTCCGAGGGATGATATGCGTCAGAATAGGCGAGTCATAAGTTTGTTTCATGTATGGCATTCTCAGACCAGTATGTTTGGCAGGTCACAATTGTTTATGTCTTGAATGCTGTATACAGCACGTAATAGAGACAGGCATGCCCCTGAGTGCATGCGCTTATCCAGCTCATCAGAATAGTCAGGGCTGACAGCTGAACAGAGTCAATCAAACTCAGATCCCGATTCATAGTTGATAAATTAATATAAGCGCACATCAGCAAGGAACAAGCAGCAATATCCACAGGGCACAGGGCTGGCTGAGGATTGTTTAATTGTTTGGTGCTGGCGGGCGATTGTTTCCGGGGCAACTGGAGAGTAATCAGGCGCCTCAGGCACAGATGGGCGACTTCCCGTCTCCGTTCCAAGGTTCCTGCCAGATTCATTCAGAGTGAGATCCCCACCCGATGAGATCAGTCCGTTTCGCATCCCTCGACGCTTGCCTTTTTCCTCTTCTACTTTTGTATTCGCCCTCAGCTCGAGTCTGTCTCGGTCATCTCTCTCTTCTTTGCTGCGGATATCGTCCAATTCCATTATTGCCAGATGATCTCTCGTCGAGACAATTGCTAAACACATGCTCTTCACCCCCGCTATTTGATCAGGTACACTCCACAGTCGCCATTCGCGCGACAAAGCAATTCAACACCACCGACCATAACTATTATCGTTCTTCCTCTCAATCATGGCCGGTCCAAACTTCGCTTCAGGTTCAGGGTCACCTACCAGACCAAGTGCCTTGCAACTCCCTATTCCTCCTCCGCTACTTCATACACGCGCCAGCCAAGAGAACTACGACCGACCCTCCACACCTACTCACAACCAAAATGAATTCACAAGCCCGGTACAAACACCTACTGGGAGCCCTAGCAAGAATCGAATGCCTCCTGGTGCCTTGAATCTGCCTGGGGTTTTCGAGAAAGCAATGAAATTGGCTCCTTCCTCACCTACCAAGTCAGGATTCGGCACACCAAGCTCCCCTGGTAAGGGTTTGTCTGTACTAGAAGACTTCAATGGAAGTGTAATCCATCAGGAGCCCTACCAACAAGCTCCCGGAAGCCCAACGCGCCGATCGAATAAAGAAAATGCTCCGCCAGGTGTGCCACGCCTGGGAAAAGAGCTTGGTCTCAATGCCAATTCGGCTGCCGTATCTAGGATGGAACAATATCAACAGCGCGACAACATGGAGAGTGTGCGACGAGCTCAAAACCAGACTATGCGCGGTTTGACGCCAGAGGAGCTGGAGAAGCTTCAGCTACCCAAGGTCAAACGATTGGCGAATGTGACTCAGCTTTGTGAGTTCCTCTCTTTGCTTTTGATTGACTGCAGCTGATTAAATAGATTTCCTCGATCATTATTTTGACATACTCAGCTATGTGCACAATCGCCAAACCCGGTACAACCAATTCAAAGCCGCCTACCCTCCAGAGACCCCGGCCGAAGAGTACGAGCCTGCGCTTCAGAAATACCTCGGCCGCGAACGTGCTAATCTCCGGAAACGACGCACTCGTCTGCGACATGGTGATTTCCATATTCTAACTCAAGTTGGTCAAGGTGGATATGGACAGGTTTATTTGGCACAGAAGAAAGATACCCGTGAAGTGTGCGCTTTGAAGATCATGAGCAAGAAGCTGCTTTTCAAGCTCGATGAAATCCGTCATATCTTGACTGAGCGTGATATTTTGACTGCTGCCAAGAGCGACTGGCTAGTGAAACTCTTGTACGCTTTCCAAGATGACCAACAAATCTATCTTGCCATGGAATATGTGCCAGGTGGTGACTTCCGAACCTTACTCAACAACACCGGAGTCCTACATAATCGACACGCACGCTTTTACATTGCCGAAATGTTCAGCTGTGTCGATGCTTTGCACAACCTGGGTTACATCCACCGAGACTTGAAGCCAGAGAATTTCTTGATTGATGGCACCGGACACGTCAAGTTGACTGATTTTGGTCTGGCTGCGGGTATGCTAAGCCCTGGAAAAATTGAGTCCATGCGCATCAAATTGGAGGAAGTCGGCAATACATCAGTTCCCTTTGGTCGGCCGATGGAACAGCGAACGGCAGCGGAACGACGAGAAGGATACCGATCACTTCGAGAACGTGAGGTCAATTATGCCAATTCCATAGTCGGGTCTCCTGACTACATGGCGCCTGAGGTGTTGAAGGGCGAGGATTATGATTTCACTGTGGATTATTGGAGCTTGGGATGTATGCTCTTCGAAGCGTTGGCAGGATATCCTCCATTTGCCGGTGCTACTGTGGATGAGACTTGGCAGAACTTGAAGCGCTGGCAGAAAGTGCTGAGGAAGCCTCAGTATGAGGATCCGAACTATTTCCTCTCTCGCCGAACTTGGGATTTGATCACACGCCTGGTGGCAGCGAAGGACACGCGGTTCAAGAACATTCAACAAATTCACGACCATGAGTACTTTGCCGAGGTGGACTTTACTAAGTTGCGTGAGCGCATGGCACCGTTTGTTCCAGAGCTGGACTCAGAAACTGATGCGGGCTACTTCGATGACTTTAGCAATGAAGCTGATATGGCCAAGTATAAAGAGGTGCACGATAAGCAACGGCAATTGGAGGAAATGGCAGATCGGGACGAGCAGATGGGTAAAGGATTATTTGTTGGATTCACATTCAGGTACGTTCTTCAAGGTAATATGCTTGGCTTATCACTAACTTGGGTAGACATCGCAAGCCAGCCGTGGAAGATGGTCGAGGAAGTCCTCGAAAGTCTATTCTTACAGAGGGCACCTTTGGCACGATCTTTTAACTTTCTCTCAGTCTATGGTTGATACGAGCAGGCTTGAAACAACCAATCTGTTTTGTTGTGTTTTCTTGCGTTAACCCAAGCGAATTTTTTAATCCTTCGGACTTTCGTCTGGTTCTTTATCTTCCGTGATCGGTGTACATGCAATTGCATTACTTATCATTCATACATACGGTTTTTCTTTTGGGCTTAAAGAGGGACGTGTTTTTCTTTCCTTTTTAGCTTCGATGCTTGTCTGTGTTATTTGGCATTCGTTTCTTTTCAAACCGTGTATGAGTATGACTTAGAGTACGATCAATTGATACTATGATTTCGTTCGTTCCAAGGCGCACGTTTAACCACAACTCGACAGATTAATCGTACTCGCCGCTGTTGGTGTAGACAGACTCAATTTTCCAGACAGGAAATCCGCTCTGTTACGTCACTATTGTGCGGCCTACCTAATACAAGCCAATCTAGTTCAATCAGCTTGTATGTTCTACATAAGGAAGATTGACCCCCTGTCCTCAAACATTGCTTGCCATGTGTTCCTTGCTGGTCTTGAGAGTACTCAAAATCTCGAGTCTCAGCCAACACGACCCATTTCTAAATCATGGAGCTACTACAACAGTAATAAATAACAAAATTCATCCTAAATCATTGAAAACTTCAAGTCGCACCCTTGAGCCAAGCGATCTAGTGCTGCGACTACCACCAAAGCCAACAACACTTCAATCCCTCATCTATCCACCTCTCCTCCACCAATTTGACTTGCTCCCAAACGAGAGTCGACATCATGAGGTACAATGACCCAGAACCCAGTCCAGAAATAAACTGAATCCTTACTCTCGACGCCTACGCAACGACAAACGACGCAGAACTAAACGCCGCGCCACAAACACTATCCACATGCTTCGACCACTTTCTCAGGCACAACGACAACAACAGCAAGCGCGAGAAGAAGAAGATCAAGCAGGACGCACATTCATAGTCCCAATCGACAGGAAAAGAAATGCTCATTCGTAGTTTGCTATAAAATTTTGCTGCAGGATCAAAAAAAATAGTGTACACGTATATAATCATATCTTATTCAAAACCCCCCCGTTCATCTTGACTGTCAGAGTAGTGATTTCAATGGGTTGATTTGTCCGGTAAATCCAAAAGAAGGAAGAAGGGGGAAAGGACTAGATCGATTCATCCCCTTTCCTTAACAGACGCAGTATCTCCGATTCATTGTCGCCTATGACGGCTTTTCCGTTACTCCAATCGACAACCTACCGCACCCAAAAAGTCAGTCACAAAAAATTCCCACCATAAAAGAAAATCCAATTTTATGGATGAAGCAGACAGGGGAGACATACAATCGGCCTCGCAAACCCGCTCTCACTCAACTTCTTCAACGCATCATCCTTACTCGCAGCACCCTGCACAACAGCGCCCGGCTTCACACCCTTTGATCCCAAATAATCGATAATCGTACTTAATTGATCCGGCGTCGGGAGGGATTCTGTGACTTCAATCTCAAAGTCGTCGCGCAGGTCCTTCCCTCCGGAAGATGTAGTCGAGCTGGCTTGGTCCAAAGTAGCATTTGCCTGTTCCGATGCGTTTGCGGATGCGGTGCGGAGGAGGTTGAGGACCCGGGTTGAGGAAGGGAGGGAGGGTTTGTGGAAGATGGTTATTATGTCGAGGGTTTTGTGCTGGTTGTTATTAGCTCTAAATCTAAAGGTTGTGTGTAATTGAAATGTGGTGTGGGTGAGGGAGGGATTGGACATACGATTCTGAACATTTTGATATCGTTTTTTTGGTTGAAAATCGAGGTGCGTGGTTTCTTTCGCTGAATTGAACTGTGCTGTTGAATGGTGAGGTTGGAGAAAGGTACGAGGATAAGTCGGAGTACGTCATGGTGGAGCTTCGAGCTCTGACTCACGTGCATCCACTCCTAGCCCTAACCCTACGCCTACATGCAACATTCTATTTTTTACTATCAAGATCTGCTACAAAAGAATTGATGATATATTCGTAACCTATGTACATAATGCATAACGCATCAAGTGACTACCACCCAAAATTCTCAACATGAAGGTATATACCCTGCGCGCCCGTACCCTTATGCACGGCTCGCTCATCACTCAACGAAACAACGCTTTGTCGCACATCAGCAGCAAGTCCTCGCGGTCCACATACAACGACCGCGCTCTCTCCCTCAGCCTGCTCTAGGACATGATGTATAATAGATCGCGGATGAGGTCGACCGGTCATGGTCTTGAATCCTTTCATATCTACTAGAGAGGTAGTTGAGGGAGACGACGGTATCGACGGTGGTTCCTTTCCTGCTGCACCAGAACAGTTGCATTTCTGTACGAATGAGATATCATCTTCGTTTTCGATGGTGGTCGTGCAGCAGCATTTCCTCGTAACACCGCAGCCTGATCGCTCGTTGATGCCCGATGACTCGGATGTTGACGAGACGGATCTCACGACGACATTCTCTGTTTCGAAGGTCTTCTTTTCGTCAACGTCTTCGGTTCTTGCAATCTCTGTAAAACTGCGTTGCGCTGTCACTGTGGTGGTTGGGCGCGTAGATTTTTCCAGCGCTTCATCGCATGTCAAGTATATACTCATCTCTATCTCTTTATCAATATGCGGATGTTGCTGCCTGAGGTTCTGCAAGTCTTGCAGCACAGATTGCAACTCTGGTTCCACCCAGCTCAATTGGCTGCGTGACTTGATCACCCAGACAAAGCGGATTCGTTTCGTTGCGGCTAACCGCATACTTCTTTGAGGTTCTTGTTTCCATGCATGTACAATATCACGCATCAGCGGTAGGGTGTAGGTACAGCCCATTCCGCCGGCAAGGAGGATGACGCTGTCGAATTGACGTAATGGCCGTAGAGATCCATACGGTCCTTCTATAAATACTGTTCGTTTGCTGTTATCTGACGATTGCGTTTCGCCAAGTAATGCGCTACGCTTTGTGGCAAACCGGAAGAACCGTCGGGTACCACCTTTCTCCGCACGCACGAGAAATTCGACTTTATTATCAGATGGCAGTGACATGATTGTGAAAGGGTGACTTTGCAGAGGTACCACCGAGTGGCAACTCAAAAAAGCATGCTGTCCGGGTTTCCAGTTGATAAGCGGATCCTGGATGGTAATGCGTGTAACGTTCCCGGGCAGAGGTGTGAAGGTAGCCTGGTTGGCAAAAAACGGTCGTGGCTTCTTTGACCAAAAATGGATAATGGACAAATTGGCAAAGGCCAGAACGAGAATCCTTGCGAATCTATCGAAACATACAAAGCCGATCGGAATCCAGATCCAAAACTTGACTTCGTCCGGAGCATGCAGATACGCCGCGGCAAGGAAACCGGCCATGGTGACAATGTGTTGAATGACGAAAAACTCGTAGTTCCAGCGACGGACTGGCGCGAACGAAGTGAGGAAAATAAAAGTCAAAATGATCCATGCCGCAAAGCCATGCTTGGTGTAGTAATCGGTCTTGATCATAGTCACAATGTAATGAAATTTCCCGTAGTCTCGGAACCAGAAGGCCATATGAATTGTGGCCGACAACCACAATGTCCGCGACACCCAGCGATGGTACCAATTAAGTTGTTCATGGCTGCTCCCGGTGAATAGCCCAATGATGTTCTGTTTCCCGGCCAGCAGGATAACCAAGGGTAGTTGGCAGATGGTCATGAAGCCACCTCGGTAGCCGATGTTCTCCCAGTTCACCCAGTTGACAGTATCGAAGCCATAAAACATCATGGTCAATATGGTCAACAGGTTAGCCAACATCAGCGACACGGGTCCGATGGGCGCAAGGTGTAGGGTATAGCCACCCAGTTTGATGGGTTGCAGTGCCGCATTGGCGACTTCTCTGGTAGTTGCTGTGATGGTTGCATATGTTTTAAAAAGTATTGATTTTGGCTGCGCTGGTGTGATTGATTTATCGAATAGACTGGTTCTGTCAGAATTGTGAAGCAGATCGAATGATAGCCGCCAGACTTACCGCTGCTTTGCGAGAAACAGATTGAATATATTGGCTACAGTCGCAATAGCAATGACAGTCCCAACGACGGCCCAGTAGTACTGCTGGAACTGGAAAAAGGTCGGTATGCCCGCACCCGTGGACATACCGCCCATATCCATGCTTGACATGTCCATGATAGCTGTACACAAGGAACCCGTCCTCGCGAGAATCAAAAAGTCAAAACATGCAAGAGTAAGAATAGAAAGCAAGATGGAAGATAGTCCAAGAAAGAGGGAAGAAAGACCGACGGGGAGGGCTCTTTCCTAGGGGGGGTCCAGTTTCCGGGTGGTAATAATCTGCTCAATTCTTCTATCTCTGCCCCGCCTGACTAAAAACTCGCGCACGCCGAATGCGATCCACCCAAACTCAATACAACTTGGCCTGACGCTTTTTTCTTATTCGTGTCTGGCCCTTACCTTTTATTATTTTCTTCCTTTCTCCTCGTTCATATTTGCTCCTTGCTTCATCCTTTGTCAAGCGTTCTTTATGCCTTGACGACCACGACGACTACGAGATACGAAACCTCTATATAACCCGTTTGATCACCTTATTCGCAATACTCGGACTTCCACGCATTGCTACAGTATCGGCGACATGGACATGTCAGGGATGTCCTCGAGCGCGAGTTCTTCCTCCAGCTCCACCATGACCATGGCCATGGTTTTTACCAACAGTCACTCTACACCTTTATTCTCGTCTGCCTGGACGCCGACTACGTCCGGCCAGTATGCCGGCACCTGCATTTTCCTTATAATTCTCGCCATCATCGGACGATGCCTGATGGCCTTCAAAGCCGCCATGGAGCGCAGATGGCTCGGCATTGCGCTCGACCGACGCTACGTGGTTGTCGCAGGGAAGAAAACAGAGTCTGCTCTCCCGGATGTCGATACAGACACCATAAAGACAGGAACCTTGACCTGTCGAGGCGTGGATGAGACGGTGCGAGTGGTTCGTCAAGTGACAACAGAAACGCAGCCGTGGCGGTTCAGCGTCGACCTTCCGCGGGCAGCACTGGCATTTGTTGTTGTGGGCGTGAGCTATCTTCTGTAAGTCACTTCTACTGGGAGCAGTACAGACTCGGACTAATGAGCATGCAGGATGTTGGCAGTCATGACGATGAACGTGGGATATTTCATGTCGGTTCTGGCGGGCACGTTTATCGGAGAGTTGGCAGTGGGACGGTACATTGTGCATTGGAGCGAGCATTAGCTACATCGCCTAGAGAGGAAATAGTAAGATCTGCAGCATGGCTGGCTGAGCTGCGTTCGTCCTGAGACAATCACACAAGTATCGCCATGTACTATATCGTAGCTTCCCGTAAAAGTCTTATCATGTAGAAGAGATTTGATGGATGCGATCATTTTAAGCTGCCGGCCCACCCACGCGCCCGCCACTAACAAGGTACTATTCCGCAACCGGCATAGCGTTTATCCATTCCCCAGCCTCAGGCTTCCTGTCTGGGCCTAGCGTGAGCAGGAATGAGCAGATTATGATCTTCTTTCCAAATCTGGCTGTATGGCTTTCTCTAGACGAATTCGTCCCGCTGAGGGGTTGTCAAGTACAGACTTCAGTCACCTTACACTCCGAATATGACAACCACGTGAGAATGGAGTCAAGTTCACGACGGTGTTCGTTGTCAGCAGTGGCACATGGAATGTCGAGTTCCTTGCATATCAATCCTCTGTGTGGACTCGGAACAGATTATAAGCGGATAGCACATGGCTTTGTGTGATCAAATAACTTTAGCTAGACCCCGTACAGATACATAGTACGGAATATATCTAGGTTCACTAGTCAGTAGCAGAAAGAACTTGGCTGGAACGCTGTAAAACCGTGGCTGCCGTGCCTTCCTTCCACGAGAGGGGCTGGTGGATATCCCCGAGAACATTCTTAAGGCGAGCTTTCCCTACCAAGCTCAGTTAACTTTTGTACACCCTTGCCATCATTCATCACCACACCTATATACTCACTTCACTATGCGTACTTTTCTCAGTCTGGCTATGGCCTCCGTGGCCACTGCCCACTTCACGCTCGACTGGCCTGTAAACCGCGGCTTCAATGAAGACACCATGCCCACCTTCCCCTGCGGCGGCTTCGACACTCCCTCGTCCAACCGCACCGTCATCTCCCTAGACGCCGACACGCTCCCTGTTGACATTACCTTCCACCACTCCCAGACCGCCGTCTCATACCTTCTCGCTCTCGGAACCGACCCGGGTTCCAACTTCAACATTACCCTCAGCCCAACCCTTGCTGCGCAGGGACTCGGCGAATTCTGCTTGCCCAATATTAAATTGTCGTCCCTCAACCTCACCGATGGTCAGAACGCTACTTTGCAAGTGGTGACTGACGGAGATACCGGTGGTGGTCTGTTCGCTGTAAGTATTCCTCTTTGGGTCTGTTATGTTCATAGCTGAATCATTATAGTGCGCCGACATCACTTTCTCGTCTTCCCTCACCAAGAACAGCCCTACGTCATGCACCAACGGCAGCTCTGTCTCCGCAAGTGCTCTCTCCGGTGCTGATGGTGCCCGAATTGCCAACCTCTCCAATTCCGACGGAAGCGCACAGAGCGCCACCACAAGTTCCTCCTCGACTTCTGGCTCGACAAGCGCTACAGCCAGCGCGTCATCGAGCACTCACACCGGCGCTGCCATGACTCTGCAGACTGCCAGCTGGGGTGTTTTGGGATCTGCCTTTGTCGCCTGTCTTGCGCTTCTCTAGATACCTACATTTTTTGACCTTGTGGTTGTTATGATACCAAAAGTTGGCTAGATAATGAGTGGATGATTATGAAACACAGCTGTTACATGTAAATGAACTAGTCTGTAACAATTGGTAGAATGAATCTTTGTAGATGAGCCGTATCGCGGTACGTCGCACACCGCCTAATCTTACTGCCAGATCGCAAATCTCCCGAATTGGCCAATGATATCATGCGCTTTACAGCGGCAGGCGGGGAGTCTCCGCTGATTATTCGTCGAGAAATGATTGTCAACACTTATATGTTCTGCTTTCGCAATCGGTACTTTCAACATCAATTGTGACTATTGCTATATACACTTTTTTTTTATATAAACATCCGTCATATCAAGACAGACAAAACACAAAATGTCGTATCGCGCTCCCTTCGTGGTCCCCGCCATCAAGAAACATACTGCGACTGTCATAATGGCGCATGGTCTGGGTGATAGGTTCGTTGCGATACTTATAACATTGATATTATAACATTAATACTGACTTTGTATGATAGTGGAGCAGGCTGGTATGAACCCCGACTCGACTCGACGATCCGAATAACAGAAACAATCTGATTGCTTACGACATGTAGGGTCGGCCTTGCACAGAACTGGCGTCGCCGAAGCAAGTTCGACGAAGTCACCTTTGTTTTTCCTAATGCGCCCATGATTCCAATCACAGTTGTACGACGGACAATCTTCATCAATTCGGCCAAATAAACTGACGTGTGGGATAGAACATGGGTATGACAATGCCAGGCTGGTACGACATTGCACATTTAGGCCAAGATGTATATTCACCACCAACCATTCCAAATGCGATATATACTGATCGCTTATAGATGGAATTTGAAGAAGCCCAACGCAACCAGGACGAACCCGGCATCCTCAAATCTCGCGACTACCTCAACAGCCTCATCAAAGAAGAAATCGACAAGGGTATCGAGCCCTCCCGCATCCTGCTCGGCGGATTCTCGCAGGGCGGCGCTATGTCATTATTTACTGGAATCACATCTCCACACAAACTCGGCGGCATATTTGGATTGTCGTGCTACTTGTTGCTGTCAACTAAACTCAAGGAGTTCTCGCCTCCAGGCGGAGAGTTGCCGAATGCGAAGACGCCGTTTTTCATAGCGCATGGGACTGCTGATCCCGTTGTCAAGTATGAGTTTGGTGATATGACGCAGAAACATCTAAAGGGATTGGGGTTTGATGTTGAGTTTCATACTTATCGGTATGTCCCCTGTCGCTTTGGATATGTGGCATCCGCTGACATGGGTGTATAGTGGCCTCGCGCATTCTGCAGACCCGGAGGAGATTCAGGACTTGGAGAATTTCATTGCAAAGACTCTGCCTCCTACATCGGAAGAATCAGCTGGTCTGTGACTGGATAGGACAAAGATGCCCTCCGAGTCTTTCACTACGATGTTTACCTTGATTTTACTCTTAGCGACTTTGATTCTGTACATGTATAGATGCAGGCGACGACATGTCGAAGCATAGAGACTGTTTTGTATTGTATAGTTAAATACAACAGCATAATGTACTTGAACAATCCATTGCATTTTGTAACTGTCATCTCGATGTTGAATTTACATGTGACGATCCCCCGTGAAAAAACAGACCAAGTTTAGAACAATTAACAGATCAGTACCAAGCCAGATATATAAATAATATTACTATTCCAGAAGCATACATACTTGGTGTCAAATCATGGCGTCAGATTTCAAGATCGTAACCCCCTTCCTCGGGTTAGAAATTGGTGATAATCAAGCTTGCCGCGGCAGCACAGATCTTCAATGACGCTGTTACATTCGAGGACTTTAAATTCTTCACAATTATTATTACTACATCAATTGGCCGCGCACCAATATTTTGTATATTATTCAGACATATCGTAACCATATTTCTTTTGGATCTTTCAGTCAATACAGGTAAGTATCCTTTGATTTTACGGGACAAAAGAGCAGATACTGAAATCCGCCAGACTCTCCCATCGCCACAACACGGCAGAACATAACACACATTCTTGCTTCTGGATATTGAAGATGGCCTCATCAGCCCCCCGCTCAAATCTATCCCAAGACATAGGAGCCGTCCTGGGCGTCGTAGCCCATGGCGTGCGCAACCCAGCCGAATTCTGGACCGCCGTAGGTCCAACCATGAACGAACTCACATGCGGTCTAATGGGCCATTCATTCCGACCTGAACGCGATATCCCTGATATATCGGGCAAGGTTATTCTCGTCACTGGCGGTACGTTCTCTCCCCTTTCTGCTTGCAGAATGATAATGGTTACGAAAGGAAACACGGGTCTCGGTAAAGAGACAATCCTGCAACTCGCACGACACAACCCTGCGCGCATCTATCTCGCAGCTAGAAATGAGCACAAGGCCGAGAGCGCAATTAAATCTATCAATGAGGAGCTATCTGCCGCAGCAGGCGCGGGTTCTGCAGCAGCGGCAGCAGTAGATATACAATTCATTCAGCTAGATCTAACTTCGTTCCCCTCTATACGACAAGCCGCCGAAACATTCCTACAGAAGAACACGCGGCTCGATATCCTGGTGCTGAATGCAGGTGTCATGGCCGAAGCAGCCATTACAACACCGCAGGGCCATGAAATCCAATTCGGCACGAACCATATTGGCCACTTTTTGCTTACAAAGTTACTCCTTCCGACGTTATTGAAAACTGCTTCTCCATCACCGTCAGGAGAAGGGATAGATGTCAGAGTTGTAGTCATCACAAGTCTAGCAAACGGCTACACCCCCTCCAACGACGAATACATGCAACTCATATCCTCTCCCCAACGGCTCTTAGAACTCACAACCTGGCAACGATACGCAATCAGTAAAGCCGCCAACATACTATTTGCAATCGAACTCGCGCGTCGCTACCCATCTATTACATCCGTCTCAGTGCATCCGGGTATTGTTGCTAGCGATCTGTACAATGGTACGCAAGCAACTAATGGAATCGCAGGCGCAATGCTTCCTTCGCTCAAGCTGTTGTTGTTCAGGTCTGTGCGGTCGGGGACGTTGAATCAATTATGGGCTGCTGCGGGTGCGCGGAAGAGTGAGCTGGTGAATGGGGCGTATTATACATCTGTTGGGCATAGGAACAAGGGGAATAGGTTTGTGTTGGATGGGGTGTTGGCGAAGAGGGTGTGGGAGTGGACGGAGAAGGAGGTTGAGCGTCTGTAACAGGCATTCGTACTTAGGGATTCGATATGAAAAGATGTGCACGGAATGCTTCTATGATACCTACCTAGGCAAATGATGAAAGCCATAATATTATGATGATTTGAAATGACTCGTTATGTATATCATTCGCCCCTCATAGATTAGACTAGACAGACACACTTGCATTCACTCATCAAGTACAATCCCATTGAAATCCTTTTATTTTCTCAAAAAAAATAAATCCTCTCTTTCAAGATATACTAGTAAAGTGTAACTAGAAGAGAATTCCGATTTTTGTCAAAAGGGCTGGCTGATTTACTCGACAGTTCCCTCGAAGTTCTCTCCCTCCACCAAATCCGGAATATCATCCTCATCCTCGTCATCCTCGCCATCCTTCTTTCCCTCTCCAGCCTCCTTCTTCTGTAGGCTCTGGTAGCTCTCGGCTAATTTGCGGAGAGAGGCAAGGCTGTCGGGGCCGAGCTGGTTGAGGATGCCGGGGACGAGTTCGGTGAGTTCCTTTTCTTCGCCGTTGCCGTAGATGGCGAAGGTGTTGGAGGGGACGGCAGCGTGGACTGTCACGTTTATCAGCATATTTCACTATACAATGTAAATATGGGGAGAGGGGAAATACCCTTGGGGTTGGAGAAGTGAATGACGTTTCCGTCCTCCTTGAACATGTTGACTTCCTCAATGGCTTGGATGGGTTGGACGTTCATCTTCTTGAGTGTGGTCTGGAGTTTCTTGTCGTCGGTGGTGGAGGTCTTGTGGACGCGCTTGGTCTTGCGGCGGGGGGKACCTTTGCCTCTGCTCAAATTAGTATTTCTTCTCTGCTGGTGTGGTGGTTCGGTATTGTTCGAATGGTCATTCCGGGAGGTGGACGTACCCTGTTATCGGGAATTAGCATTCAGTCACAACTGTATATATCAACATATTCCCGCAATGTCATTTAAATCTCATATCCCACTTCTTCTCCCCACGAGACGATCATAATTCATGATTTGTCATGTGACGCCATTCATCCTCCCACTCATTCAATCCTCAATTCCACCCCAAATGTCCACCAGATCGCACCGAAAACCAAGCTTCAAAGAAAATAGACCTACCAATGCGCACGCTCTGCTGGAGCTTAGCCAACTTGGCAGCATCCATCTTGGCTGTGTATAAGAGATATAAACTCGACGGAGAGAAGAAGTCGGCGCGGGGGTGTGCGAAAACCGGGCGGATCACCGAATTTCGACGTTTAAACGGGGTTTTCGTGGGTGTGTGTGAATTTCTTTTTCACACAGCGACAATTCTCTCGACGGAGGAGGGGGATGAGGGTGACGGCGTGTAAGTGATGAGGTCGAGGCGAGGTGAGGTCGTAAGGTGGTGGTAGCTGGAGGTGGTCGTCGGCTGGCGGAAAGTTTTGGTGGATTATTATTGGTGCGTCCAATCAGCAGTTTGTGTGGAGTGCGAAATTGGGAAAAAATTAGAGGGAGCCGAGGGGAAGCTGCATACGCCTTTGTCTAGGGGTTACGAAGATGTAGGATAAATGTCTATAGTCTATACTACCAGGCTGTAACTTTAGGAACTTGAATATCGCGTACTTTTGGTCTGTTAGGCTGAAGCAAGCTGTGAATGGTGATGCGAGTGGTTGCGGCTCCTCTCGGCTAAACCCTAACAAAATGACCGAATTGGTTACTATGAGAGTATACAGGATGACATGTCAGAACTCAGAATTAGCATTATGCTTCATAGTCTAAAATAATAAAGTCAGTATAGTAAATGTACATACAAAGACAAAACATAAAACGCCATATAATGCAAAACAGGACCCGCCGGACGACAGTCGTGACAGCGGTCTTTAGATGATAATCGAGTCATACAAACATGAAGTGAATCGTAGAATTGAAAGAGAATAATCTCGCCAGTTAGTATTATATTTGCAACTGAAGCGCCCCTGATCACGCAATATAAATGCATCATCCATCTGTCATGGTATCGTCAATTCTGGTACATCCACTACACAGGTCTGTGGTATGCATTTAGAGCGATTTAGAGACTGATATGTGATCGAGGGAAAGGCTGTTGATTTGGATATGGAGAGCGGCTGAGATTTGGATTACCAGACTGTATGCATGATCAAGACTCCTCCCTCAAGCCACAAATATCAGTACCCAACACTTGGTCAACCATGAACCAGAATCGCCAATAAAAAGTCGATTTGTTGTAGTCAAACTTTCCGTCATCACCAAGCTGAGGTCCATCACCAACTATATCACCCGTAAACCAACTCAAGATCGGAATAGAACGTAAGACGCGTTCAGTCACCGTCGGTTGAGGAGGAAGGGCTTCGCTGACAGGACGTAGCACGGCGCGGCGAACATTAGGGATATGGGTCATGAACTCTGACTCTGGTTTCTGTTCCAACTGTGTATCCTGTACAGAGCGTTGGCGAAGAATGGAAGAGGGTTCTGCTACGGCAGTGGCAGTAGCTGAGCTAGCAGTGGGAGTCGACAGCTGAGAATCGCCTTCGTCGGTATCTCCAATCATGGCAAGATTGCCCATACCGAAAGACCGAGGGAGCGTCGATCGCTCAGGTTCAATGTTCGAAAGAAAGGCGGTGGAGTGAGTGGATGTAAGGGTGTGGTGAACTTTGGAACGAGTGCGAGTGGCTTCTGCCGACTCTTTAGGAATAGGAATGTCATCAGCAGGACCTTGTCCATGATACAGCTCACAGAAAACGAGATGGCCATCGATTTCTTGAGGCGAAAAGAAGCAAGCCCGATCGGCGGCAGTTGTAGAGTCAAACGTGACCTTGATCCAGTGAAGACCACCAGCGTATCGCTTCGACTTGCGGTTGGCGTCTGCGGAGAGATTTGAACGAATCACGACATCACCACCACTGAGGAGCTGGGAGTACTTGTTGGAGACAGCGGGGTCATTTCGTGGATAATCCTCACATATCATGCCTTGGGAGATACGTTCGTATTTATCGATAACCTTCCACTCTGTTTCCTTGGTTTTGTATCCATAGAGAATGCACTCCGTTGCCACTTTTTCAACGACTTTCCTTGATCCTTCCAAAGTACCCGATGATGATGACTTAGGTAGAGTATTGTTCGCGCGTTCATCTTCTTGTTGCTGTGAAAACAGTCTGCTAAATTCAGCTACACTGGGGTTTTCCTTCTTAGCGGGCGTGCCTGTGCGAGTACGAGATCGAGCATGGTCGTAGCGAGCGTTTCGTCTGCGGCCAAATGGTCCTGACTCTTCAGGTGGACGGCGCGGGTTGCGAGATTCACTGTTGACGTTAGCTTCAGCTGGCTTGTCGGTGGAAAAGTACTTACTCTTTGTAGACATAGCCCCATGGGAGGAGATTTCCTTTATCGTCGCGCGCACGCTCTTCTTGTGGGACGAAATGATATTCCATGGTGGAGGTGAGAGCCGAGTATCGACTGCCCAAATCAACAAGGACAGAAGCTCGTCGCGGCGGAAAATATGGTCAGGAAGCTAGCTCCACCACAGCAGAGGCCTCAAATCGAACAACAGGAAAATAGACGGGATCAAGGGCAGAAATGCACGCTGCTGCATTCACAAGAGTGTCGATGCGCTGAAACCAACGGGTTTTGCCGACTTTGTGGCGGCGTTTGACAGCTTGGTGTGTTTTGACAGGTGTGGGAGAAGACTTGTATGGATAGTTCCGATCAACAAAATCGCTGGGGGAACGGGTGCGGCGGCTGTGTGAGATGTCATTGGTTAGCTGCTGACTCATCAAGTCTGATAGTTATATCATTGGCCCTTACCCGAATGGGCTAGCCTGCACCGCAACCCTATCGACGCTGAACTCGCGGATTTTATGCAATGTTTCCCGAAACTCGTCTTTCTTCTGGCTCTGGGTACACCTAGGAGAGCAACGACTGGAAGAGGATCCGATGGACGACAAGCTGCCATTCGATGGATTGCGTCGGTACACGGGAGACCGCCGACACCGTGCTGTCTTGAGCTTGGATGTGGTATCTGGATGCAGTAAAGCCCTTTCCAGGGACATGCGGTCAGGCGTGCAATCCATTGGTGTCTTTTCTTCGGCAGTCTCCTCCAATCCATCCATCTCCGTGTCGGTGTCGACCTCCTCAGTCTCCTCCTCCGCATCCGGCATCTCTATGTCATCTATTTCTGCACGATGATCCTTGTCGATGTGGAGGATTCGGCATTGGAGGTCTCTGGCCGCGTTGCTGAACACGGTCTCCTCTTCGTACTCGTCTTCATCCTCATCCATTGGCTCCGTGGTGGGCGGGCTCGGGGGGTAGTAGGCGAAGCTCCCTTCTGCAATCGTCCAGGGCGTTGTTGCTGGTGGTGTTGTCGCTCTCGGCGGTGTCGGAATGTACTCGCTCTCCCTGTCTCTCTGAATCTCTTGCTTTATTTCTGAACTCTTTGCCATCGGGGGCAGTACATCCACCCATTCCACTTCTCCCACTCCATCCTCACTCAACTCCTCCTCCTTGACTTCCACTGAGTCAGTCCGGGCGGCCGTGATTCCCTCTTCACTAAGGGGCTCGGATTTGATGCGGACTGAGCCTGCCCGGACTGACTCGTGGCTATCATCCTGCTCCACTGGGTATTCTGACTCGGCGATTTTGTTGAGATCGATATTCGTGAGGTCGAGGTAGTCACCGAGGCGCCGAGGATCGATATAGTACTGGGGGGCCTCCCCGGTGACTACCTCGTATTCTAGGAGTTCGGCATACTCCTCGTCGGTCATCGCAAAAAGGGTAGTCATTTCGGATAAATGGAAAAAAAAAATAGTCGCTGGAGGGCGTCAGTTAGATAGCTCTTGTCAAATTATTAGTGAAGAGGCACCGAAGGAAGTCAGGGAGTGATATGATTTCAAAAAGTGAGGAAGTTTATATGGAGTATATGTTTTTGAGGGGGTTAAGGGAAGGATAGGTCTCGTCGACTTGGTCGCAGATGAAGGACTGGAGGGAGTCAGGGGAGGATATGACTTACCAAATGAAAATTGTTTATGTGGATGATATGGATTTGAAGCGATTCGGGGACTGGTATTCAATTGAAGGTAACGTTGTCAATCTGTATGTGGAGGGCGTCTGAGATGCGGATGTCAAGTTAATAAGCAGTGAAGAGGAGGAGAAGAGGAAGAGGAATCATTCATTTGTACTATCTAGACAGCTGACTACAGAAATCTTTGCAAGGCAAAGTCCACCCTGCTAGCAATCACAGAATCGTGTTCGCTTGTTTGTAACCGTCAATCGAGGGTAGATCTATGGCGCTCTTTGTGTGTAGAGTCGACAAATGAATTGTTATGCTTTATACTTTGGGTGTCTTGATACTTGGGCTTCATTATTGATATTGATGTGGCTGGGCTATATTGAGGGTCTTATGATCACAAGCGTCATATCTTTCTGGGGAAAGCCACTCTATATCGTTTGGCAGCGTTTGTTTGACAGGGCGATGGATCCAAGCCATCTTTAGTCTGGTGGTGCACCCCGTTGGAGATTTTTAGATGGGTGGGACTTTCCAGATTGATGCCTCATCAATCAGGTGACTAATTCACTGCCTTCAGAAATTTTTGGAGGGCATCCCCCTCAGAAAACACATCTGAAGGCAAGCTTCTCAAATCCTCCAGCGACTGGTAGGAAGGCTGCTTCAAAAAACTCAGGCCCATTGTTTCTTGACCCTTTGTTCCACACACGTCATCAAATCTCCCAACTCGAGCTCTTCTTTCATGAACCATCTTCACGAAATTGTCGAGAGGACAGCTTCCCCCAGGTCCATCGTGACAATCCGGTAATTGGACGATACCGTCGTTGATGTTTATCCGTACGAACAAGTCTTCTTCTCCTGTGGTACTATCACTACAAGAAAGTCGCTCAAACGTGATCCGACCACTCATTGGCATTACCGTTGACGTTCGCCATACTCGGTGTTCAGCTATATGCGTGACTGGGAGATAACTACCGTATTTGGGGTCATCAAAGATGTTGAGTGCGGTCAACATTGGCGCAATACCACCATCGTGTACACTGCATGATTTTCATCAACAAAGAATCGAGAATAAAAGGGAAAGACATACAAGCTGATGAACATAGTTCCAGCATCAGGTCCAGCTTCTAATAGATGAGAAGTCGCATTCAACCACAACCACCCCATCGCTCCCGCATATTTATTCCCAGGCCCGGCACGATAAAAATGGATCAGATCCCTCGCATACTCAAAATGATCCCAATCCCGACTCGTGAATACATCGCACCAGGGACTTGATCCTCTCGCAAGAGTCTCAAACCCACACATTTCCTGCATGCTATAGACTTCAAGATCGGTGAATCCCCCAACTGCTTGATCCCCTTCTTCGTCCACTAGGCGACGCGCAATAGGCGGGATATACACATTCTGAAACCGCGTAAGCATATTCCTGCCATAGTCGTGACCAAATTCCGTATCCTCAATGTAGCGCAAACATGTATCTCCCGGTGTCAGCGTGTCGCTACCACGATCCACCGATTCAGGGATAACATCCACCTCGGCAATATCATTCTCATTCCAGTCGCTACTAATCCCAAAAAGCCCAGCCGCAAAGTACCTAGCCGTATCAACAACACGCTTCGAATCACTAGCCCAAAGCCTCATTGTAACTCCCGGCTGCTTCGGTAACAAATGACCATACCGCGTGCGGAAGCGTACGCCAGTCGTAAAAGATCCCAATGTCCCTGCATACGGACCGGTGGAAGTGAGTTGCTCAAAGTCTCGGTCTGGGTTGTCGGTGAGATAGTTCCATCCATCATTGAAGAAGGATAGTGAGCCGTTCAACGGGATGTTTAATGCTTTTAGGCGTTCGACAAGTGCCAAGTGGCGATTGCCGGCGGTTTGGGTGGGATATCTTTCACTATGACGAGAGAGCTAGAACAATGCACAAAGGTAACAATAAGAGAACAGAAGAAACCAATATTGCGTCGCATATCCGTCGAAGAATTTCGCCGAAGTTATTTAAATGATTAACGTACCATATGCACTTGCTCAACTCTACAAGACGGCGGCGGAAAACTATCTGGCGAGCCAGGGGTAACCCTCTGAATCCACGGCCCATTCCTACCTAATTTATACACCATTTCATGTTCTGTCAATCGTTTCTTGGTACCTATGACCGTTGCCGGCGACGCGATACCCCTTTTTGTCCATCTATCTGGACTTATCCAGCTGCCCCAACCAGGAAAATGCGGAGATTTCGAGGATTGTAGCCATGTACATGGATAGCAAGCTGTGTCTCGCACAGTTTCGTATTTTTTATACGTGACTGGGTCGGAAATGCTCTTTTGAAGGATTGCTATTACGAGTAGCAAAGCCCACAGGGCCTTGACAACGATGTGCATTATGGCAGTGATGTACAGCATGCACGTGGCGTGCTGCAAACATAGCCAGTCGTAAGAGGCCGTTAACACTCAAAAGAGACGGTCGTTGTTCATGCACACCAATCTAATATTCATCATCTCACTAACCATTTATGGCTAGCTACGGAGTAAGGATCCCTAATATATTACCCGGGTATTCAGGCACCAACGAAATAGCCTCGGCTCTCCACCTTTCCTATTGCGGCTTGGGTTGAGATCCTTCTTTGAGTAACTTGGTCATCAACGTGACCTTCGTGCTAGCTACGTAGTAGTCGATGTTCTTTCTCGTGTATTATAGCCCTCAGTATATATTTGTTCAGTACTGGAACTGTTTCCAGTGTTTCGGTGAAGTTTGAAAATTGATCGACATTCTTCAGTGGTTCGATTGCTGCGAGCACCCATATAAGCTCCCGGCTTACATATAGTAAGGCAATTCCTGAATACCTAATCCTACTATCCGCTAGACTAAATACGTACCTAGCTACTCACAGGTCAAGATGTCTGAGAATTACGGCCAATACCAACAATCCATCTATTCCAATGGCATGTTCTCCAACGGCCGCCAGGTCGTCACAACTGACCCGCGCCAATTGGAAGAACAAGCGCGCAAAGCCCTGAGTCTGCAGTCATACAGTTACATAGCTGGCGGAGCCGGAGAGAAGGCGACTATGGATAGTAACCGTCTGGCGTTTCGGCAGTGGAAGTTGTAAGTATACACCATTTTACCGAAGGCAGGAAGTGCTTTTACTCACGGGTAGACAGGATACCGAAGATGTTGAAGACGGTAAGCCATGAACTTCAATCATGCCGTGAGGGTGACCTCGGCCAACTCATATATGATAACAGACAGAGGTGGATACCTCAATCGAACTATTTGGGGAACAATACCCCCATCCAATCCTGATGGCACCCATCGGCGTTCAAGCTCTAGCTCACCGCGACAAAGAGACAGGTCTTGCCGGAGCCTGCGCTGAAGTAGATGTTCCATATATCCTAAGCACAGCTTCCGGATCAACCTTTGAGGATGTAGCCGCCAGTTGCGGAGATGGCAAGAGATGGTACCAGCTGTATTGGCCAAGCGATAACGATGTCACTATCTCTTTACTGAAAAGGGCAAAAGCGAATGGGTTCACAGCTCTGGTAGTGACTTTAGATACCTGGACTCTGGCATGGTAAGTCCCCCAATACGGAACTTGGCGCTGTCGTTGAATATATGATACAGGCGCCCTGCAGATCTCGACACGGGATATCTACCCTTCCTAGCTGGCATCGGTACAGAATTCGGTCTGACAGACCCCGTATTCCGTGCCAAGTTCGAAGCAGAGACCGGCTCAAAAGTTGAGGATGAACCACTGGGCGCTGCGAGAGCATGGCTACAAGGCATTTTCGGCGCAAACCATAAGTGGGAAGATGTCGCTTTTCTTCGCAAGAATTGGGATGGGCCACTTATCCTTAAAGGTATCCAAGATGTGGATGACGCGAAAACGGCGCTGAAATATGGTTGTGACGGTATCGTGGTGTCAAATCATGGAGGTAAATTTGATAACAATCAGAGATCGTCTCCGCTCTTTACTCACATCAAATGAAAATAGGCCGACAACTAGACGGAGCAATCGGCTCCCTTGAAGTCTTGCCTGAAATCGTCGATGCCGTTGGCAAGGATATGACCGTCTTATTCGACTCTGGCATCCGCACAGGTTCCGATATCGTCAAAGCCATCGCACTCGGCGCAAAAGCGGTTCTCGTTGGTAGACCAGTGATGTACGGATATGGAATTAATGGCAAGGAAGGCGCAAAAGAGGTCTTGCAAGGATTACTGGCTGATTTCTATCTGAGTATGGCTATTGCGGGGATTCCAACGATCGCTGGTTGTCGTCGGGAAGTGCTTAGGAGGGTACAGTATGGGGGTGATTTGAAAGCTTCGCTATAGATCCTTGTAGGCATCTTATATTCCCGTAAAGAGCCGCGAAAGCGGGTGTACGTACAGTATACTTCGTCAGTCAGTCATTTTGCCCGAGACGTATTGCTTTCCAAGGTTCTGAAATGATTCTTTCCATGGCGCGACGGGTTACTAGTCAGGGGTCCCCTATTCGTCAGATCTCCTTGTCAACTCGAACCTTAGAGCCTTTGACGTTCGCTTGTTTGGGACCCAATCATGATTCTGTAGCATGCTTATTGATGGGTGCCTGTGCTTCATGATTACAGGAATTTACTCAACGGCTCCCAGTCTTTGGATCCCTAATAACACTTCCCGCACATTCGACGCGCACAGCTGTGGCAAATGCGATTCAGCTCGACAAACGTTGGCGGCATCATTAGCATCTGAATCCATCCTAAGTCTACTGCTCCTGGATACAGATGGCTGGAAGGTACAACCTTTCACTTTTGTGCATCACATTGGATCTCGTTGGGGCGGATATTTTGCTGCTGAGGTGGAAGAATCAGCAGTGAACAAGAATCGGAATCAAATTCTCCACGGCCTTGAGCAATTGTCTGAGGAAGAGCAGTTGGACGTCCTGGGCAATGATCACCCGAACTTCAAGTACACTCTATAGGTGCAGAAACAGGTCTTTTTGTTTGAAATTTGTTTCTTTGCTTTACTTTTCTAAACAAGAGATATAGTTAAACTGCGGGTCTTACCTTGCACATGACCGGTAGAAAGTCGAATAAAAGTCGAAAGTTAGATTCGTTGGAACATACCATCAGTGTGGTTGCACCGACCGGCCAAGTAAAATGACTATGACTGATTCCAGTTTTCATGGACATCCAGAAATCTTGGAAGACATGATGAAAGGCGTCGTGTGCCTCAAATCCAAAGTTTGTCATAATCAAGACTCAGAAGTGCATGTTGAGCTTAAGTTTGTCCCCTTCCACTATTTCATCCTTCCTGCCCAAGACCTCTTCCATATCCCAGGGACAGCTAATATATCTTCCACCCATCCACTCTCGTCGTTTCGCAGCGAGCCAGGCAATAGTGTCGCCTGCGATTTCTGGCTTATGTGGCAGCATGTTACGCACCTCCTCGGGCTCGTTGATCGTCAAATGGGTCTTGATTGCTCCGGGGTTCACGCAGAAAGCAAGCAAACCGTCGCCCCCGTGTTCTAGGTTCAGGGCCTCTGTCCAGCGAAGTACCGCAAGCTTGGAAGTTCGATAGCTTGCGCCGCCTTTTCGCACGCTAAGAGCACCGGAAGAGGCTACATTGATCATGATGCCCAGGCCATCATGTTTTGCGCGCGTGTCAATTAGCATCGGTAGGAACGCCCGCGTCATGTTGAATAGGCCATGGACGTTGACCTCCCAAGTCTTCCAGTACACATCTGGGTCTGCATCTAGGATGGAACTATAAGGCTCCTGATGTGCTGCGTTGTTGACGAGCACGTCCAACCGATGTCCGAAGGCCTCCGAGACGGTCTCCTTGAAAGCCGCAACACTTTCCCACTGAGAAATGTCAACACGACCGCTTACTACCTGACATTCAGGCCGGCCTGCCTCTATAGCCGCAGCCTTCAGTTGAGAGACAAGATCATCAGAGATGCCACGTAAGTCCATGACAGCGATTGCGGATGCTCCAGCGCGAGCAAAGGCAGTGGCAGTGGCATAGCCTACGCCGTCCTCCCAGGCGGCGCCGGTGATGAGCACACGCCGTCCAGAAAGGTCCTGTGCCAGTGGCGAAATGAAGGGATAGCTTGTAGCATGAGTCTTTTCTGTGAAATCGCGGCGCACGACAGGCCGGTCTGTGGAGGACATGGTTACGTGAAGGGTGAAGCGTGGAGATGAAGCGATAGATCAGGCAGGCAGCGGAGAGGGTTGCACTAGTTGATTAGATCTTGGGGGTACGGGAAGATACTCATAGCTACGACGACGATGATGATGATGATGATGATGATATCGGAGAAACAGAATATCGGCAAAGTAGCGCGCCAAAGTCGAGATTTCTGAATCGTTCCCACGCGAGAAATCATGCTCCGGTTGACCCCGGTAATATACCTCCTACGTTTTTATTTACTGTTATACAGGGGGCACGTAATCCTGCCGTCTTTTTGAAAGTCAATGACTTGTTAAGATCGTTCTTAATTATATAGAGACTTTACTTGTTCAAGTACTCGTAAAGTACTATACATAGTATCACATGGTTCGTATTTACATCAAGATAAAAACGTACTAGGGAAATCACCGGGATCAACCCAACCATACTAGGGTATGTGATCGAACGAGGGCGGGTCGATCACATGTCCGGAGAGGAACGTGCCTGACGTAACCAAACAACTTCAAGATAATTTACGATTTCTTTCTAGACTCTAGTGTATCACTTATCTTACAATTGCATATTTACAATGACACATTAACCTTTTTGATAGGTCTCGCGATGAACAAACACTCCAACAGTATTCTCCCGTAGTCATGCCTGGAGACCGAGATAACACCGATCAACTAAAACCCTCAAGATCGCAACAGGACGAGAACGACTCAAGCAAGTCGCTAATTACTACCGCCGCTAAAAGCGCGACTACTCTACTCCCTCAATCAATCGCGTCGGCCGTCTCATTCTTCGCGCAGTCGACGTCGCTTTCCCTGCGTATTGGGACGTATTTTGGCGGTGCTGCTCTGGGTAGTGCTAGAGTGACAACTCTGACGGGGCTGGAATTGAGTAGAGCTGTGGTAGAGGCCATCCTGACGAGGGCTGGGCGTGATGTTGCGGGACATAGTCAAGGGGAATATGGCAGATTGGAGGCTGAATCTATACTCGAGCGGAGTGTGAGTACCATCTCTTAATTGGATGTCTTCTCTGCTAATGATCATATTTTAGCTAGCAACATTACACTCGACTGTAACGTCAACTTCATTTTTTGCAGCTGCGGGCTTTCATCTTTCTGAAGTAGCGCTTTCATCTCTATCGAACTTGTCGCAGAATTTACTATATACATTAGATGCCATACTGGGCTCAACAGAATCTTCGCGGGCCATTGCAGCGATCATCACCTTGATTCGGAAAGAGTTCTCGAAGCAAGAAGAAGGCGAAGGAAACGACGTGGTCGGTGTTGGTGATTTGCTCGTCGGATCGGTGGGCTTTGCCCTGTTGCAGCGTTGGGGAAGGTTGAGATCCGAAAAGCAATTGCGGGAGTCGGAGGGCGAGGTCGTTATATGGGACGTTGTCCTTCTCGATAATGGGCTAAGAGCGGATGTCATTGGTACGCAGACGAGTGAATATACCCAGAACATGCTGGATGAGGGCGACATATCTAGGCCAGCGTCATTCACGGAACCAGGCGGGCACGAGGAGTCGATCAATGCATTAGAGCGCGTGCCCGTGACTCGCAACAGCCCTTCTCACATATGGAGCCCGTCTGATGTCCACCAACTAACAGATGAAGACATCCGCAAGTACATCATGAGCCAGCTACCTCAAGGCAGTCGTGCTTCTGTCCGAACCGAATTGGTGACGGCGCGTACTATCACCGTAGACATATTCGATGACGACGTGGCTGAGATTGCTGCTCCTCCAGGGACGATGATGATTGAGGAGAGATTCCACAACGACCAGGAGTTATTAGACGCATCCAAACGCCTGCCTAAACATACACTCGTCTTTCGAACAGCTTTCAATGAATCACTAAGCACAGATTTCCGTGCAGAAGATACCCCGATTGCGTCTGAGAAGACGGATAATGTTTCAGATAGGATTTCAGATGTCACCGAGATTGACAAGATGAAACGCGAAAAGGAATCAGCCAACAAGACCTCACAGCCACCCGCCCCTGAACATCATGCAAATGAAGGGCGGCGAAGACCGCACCGTATCACGAGTTCATCCTCCTCCTTGAGTGGCTCAGATAATTCACGAAATACGTTTGGAAAGGCGTCCCTCTCAAAGATCACGCAAAAAGTAAGGTCTGGACAAAGCGAAAAGTCGAATCTCAAGAGCAAAGATACCACAAAAAGAGCGCAAGGGAAGGGACCTTTTGTATTGTCTAAAACAAACAAAAGCACAAACGATAGACCTCAGAGAAGAGATGCAACCGGCCCGACACTTGCAAGCGTCAACCGCGCCCTTCCACCTGTCCCGGTCACTAATCACCCCAGGTACCGATCAACACCATCTCCAACCGCGAGCAGAGTGCCACAACCCCATCGAGCCCCCTCAAGAGCAGGCTTCTTTCCTCCAAATAAGGACACCGAGTCCTTCGTGACTCATACCGACTCCTACTCCGTTCATTCGATAGATAGCCGGCCTGGATCTGCGTCTTACACACGGACTCATATTCACAGCAGCAGCTCACTATCTCGAAACCGACCAGAAGATGTCAAAAATTCGTCAAAGCGTGATTTACAACAGCCAGGGTCCCCCCAAACACATCGGCGTTCACGTTCGTTTGTGCCTAGCATTTATTCTATGGCCACCGGCTCCGAGACGTCTTTGATACTTGCCCCTCGTCCCCGGAAAAGTGTCTATGAGGATGACTCAACCATCATCAGCCTGAATCGGAATGGCCTAGTCCCAGGAATATTTCCCCACAACCACCTGGTCAATAACATCCGTCGCTTTTGTCGTTTTTCGTCCGCATCTTACGGTTCTAGTGCACTGAAGGTCATGGGAGTACAGCACGATCAAAAAACAATCCAATACCATGACTTTGAAAATCAAGAGCATAGCTCCTTCTCGAACATGACTGGTCTTCCGCAGTCTACCATCCTTCTATCTTCATACGTTGACCCTGCTGGCGGCAGTAACTCTGCCGGAGAGACTGAGAGTGGATTTCCTCTTGTACATTATCTCTTTCTAGATCACGAGTCAAAGGCAGTTGTACTTGCTCTCCGGGGGACTTGGGGGTTTGAGGATATCCTCACAGATATGACATGCGATTATGACGATCTCGAATGGCAAGGGAAGAATTGGAAAGTCCACAAAGGTATGCATGCATCTGCCAAACGACTCCTAGAAGGCGGTGGCAAAAGAGTCATGGCGACAATCCAAGCTGCCTTAGAAGAATTTCCGGATTATGGAGTAATATTCTGCGGTCATTCATTAGGTGGTGGTGTAGCGGCTCTTCTTGCAACAATGATATCTCAGCCGAATGCTGATATATCTGGGCCGTCGTTCGTGACAGCTTCAGCTTTACAGGCGACAAAACCGCTGCTGCTTACGGCAAGCCACCAACAAGAAGCTGCAAAAACGTTTTCGCTGCCACCCGATCGACCCATTCACGTCTACGCTTTCGGTCCGCCAGCGTGTATGTCGCCCTTCCTACGCCGAGCCACACGAGGCCTCATCACAACAGTCGTCAATGGCAAAGATGTCGTTCCCACATTATCTCTCGGTATCTTACATGATCTTCGCACCGTAGCTTTATCATTCAAAAGGGACACGACTGACTCCAAATCACATATCCGCTCCCGTGTCTGGGAAGGTCTCCGACAAAGCATCTTGAACAAGTTTTACGTCAACCAAACACCCATTTCCATCAATGCCGGCGAGGGCCTCGGCGAAGATACATGGGCATGGTCCACACTGCAAAGCCTACGCAATGAAATGATTGCGCCCAAACTCGTGCCTCCTGGGGAGGTATTTGTGGTTGATACGATGCGAGTTTTGCAACGTAATCCTTTCACAACCGGCGGCAGCTTCAGTGAAGGAAGTCATCCGCAATTGGGTAGACCTGCGACCAGGGTTCAGTTGAAGTTTATTCGAAATGTAGAGACGTATTTTGGTGAGATGAAGTTCAGTTCGGGAATGTTGGGGGATCATAATCCGGTCAGGTATGAGGCTAGTCTGGCTGCTCTGGCGAGGGGTATTATCGATGATTGATTGCTCATCTTTTTTTTTTCTTTTGAGTTTCCTTTCTTGCGGGTTTTCACTTGGGTTGGATTGGTGATGTTTTCAGAATGGATTGGTCGGGTACTACGGAGTTGGCAAACGACACGGTATATGTAGAAGGTTGGACATGGTAAGATTAGGATTTATTGTTTTTGAAATTTCCCCATGACTTGTTGACACATATATACCCTCATTTCATTTCCTTCATGTTACCAAATGTTTCATGCCGATGTTGCGCATAGAGATATATTGCCTAGACAGACATAGATTGTGAATATATTGTCTGATTGACCTTGTATGGATTTCTTTTCTGGACTCTGGTGGTGCGCAGGTCGGCAAGCTGTCGGCGATATCAGCACATACCATTGGCTCGTATGTAGAGCATCGAGCTTGGCAATTTGAACCGCCTTCGACCGCGCTTGTAGAGTGTAGGGCTATGCTGCGAGGGTGCAGTTGTCGCACTCGAAGCGGTAGAACATTCGTTGCCGGATGATGAAACCCCACAGGAAACACCGTGCGGCACCGTTGTTCTTGGAATACCTTTCTTGTAAGCCTACAAACTTAGAAAGGTTCTCGACTCGCTCGCTTGGGCCGAATGTTTTCCAGCAGCACCAAAACGGAAGATTCTCATGAACTCTTCCCAATCGTAAACGACAAATTCTCCCCCTGCTCACTTCGGCTGTTCTCGCGAAGACTCGTTCGATGTTGTCGAAATGCCTTTTCTCGCTCTTTCGGCGATCCTCTCTTCAAGCTCCAACAATTGCTTCTCGACAGTGTTCTTCTTCGAAATCAAGATTCCCCGTGCAGTTTGCAGTGCCTCTATTTTCTCGTCGAAAGTTGCATCATGATCTTTTTGAGCTAACTAATACTGATAGTAAGTCTCTGAACTATTTCCGGAATGGAACACAGAAATACGGACCTTCTTTTTCTCTTGCTTCGACGCCAGCTCTGCTCCGTACAACGAACCGCCGATGGTGATTGTTATCGCAGCCGCGGTGTAGACGTACATCAAGACCTTGCGGTTTGATGTTGATATTGGTTTCCTCATGTTTGAAATTGTGTGAATCTGTGTAGGAATGTGTCGTTCCTAACCTGTTGTTGACCGAAGGAACAAAGTTGTCGGGGAATAATAGATTGGACCCACTTTTATCTGGACTTCGGTCGGAGCTTAGTCCTGCCAGTTTATACCGCCTTATTAATGGACGATGCGCGTGTCGCGTTACTGCCGCGTGGGTTTATCGAATTTTGACTCTTAACGACTGCTCCAATCTGATATCTCAATATGCATGGCAGATGATCGCATAGTCGCTCGCTGATCCGTGTGCCTATAGGACAGTACTTATAAAAGATGCCAGGGCTAGAAGTACCGCCCTCAGGGCGTCGACGAAGACGCGTTATCGACGACGACGACGACGAAGATGAGCAGTCAACCAGAGCAACGACCCCGCTATCCCAATCTTCCACAGGCAGCAAGCGCATTCGACTCGATGGTCCAACCCAGAACAGTGATGATGAGGACGATATGAACTTCGATTTCGATGGGAGCATCAACGCAGAGCAAAACACACCTAAAGTGCCCTTGACAAAATCTGCGTTACCCGCAGGGTATACTACATATAAAGATTTTCAGCCTGGTGCGATTGTGAGGATGAAGCTGAAGGATTTCGTTACGTATACGAATGTGGAATATCATTTTGGGTCACAGTTGAATATGATTATTGGACCGAACGGCACTGGAAAGAGTACGTTGGTGTGCGCGATATGCTTAGGCTTGGGTTGGGGACCTCAGGTAGGATTGAGTATATTGGACTATGAATGTGGGCTGACTTGACTTTTCAGCATCTTGGACGCGCGAAAGATGCATCTGAGTTTGTCAAGCATGGCGCCAAAGAGGCAATCATCGATATAGAACTTGCACGTGGTCCCCCATTCAAAAAGAACCCCGTCATTCGCCGGATCATCAAATTTGAAGGCAACAAGAGTACTTTTTTCATTGATGGCAAAGACGCAACCCGAAAACAAGTCCTGAAACTCGCTCAAAATTTCTCTATTCAAATAGACAACCTGTGTCAATTCCTACCACAAGACAAAGTCAGCGAATTCGCTGCGCTGACTCCTATCGAACTACTCTATTCCACACAGAGAGCTGCAGCTGGACCGCAGATGATCGAGTGGCACGATGATCTTAAGCGGCTCAGATCAGAACAAAAGAAATTGCTTGCTGATAACAAAGGTGACCGAGATGTCCTTGCCAACCTCGAGAGTCGACAAGAGTCACAAAGAGCAGACGTTGAGAGGGTGCGGGAAAGAGCACAGATCAAGCGGCGAATCGAAATCCTTGAATACGCTCGTCCGATGGCCGCGTACAAGACTCAAGTGCCGAAGTGGAAAGCAATCAGAGATAGAAAGCACGAGTTGGACGCAGAGTTACAGCAACTAAAGAATGAACTAGCGCCAATGTTGGCAACAATCAACGGGAAACAAGAATATTTCGGCCGGACGGACGACTTGGTCAAGTTTAAGCGTCGCGAAGTCGCAGCGGCAGAGCGCTCAGCCAAGGAAATTGCGGTGAGGTTGGATGGACATGACGAGACTATGAAGAATCTTTCCAGGCAAATTGATTCAGAGAAGAAGAATGGCTCGAATTACAAACAGCAGCAGAGTACGATTCAGCAGAGTATCAATAGAATTAACCGACAAATGGAAGACAAGCCGGAGGAGTTCGATATTGATGCTTATAACGAAAAAATTGTAAGTAGCATGACGAGATTCTCCAGTTCATCGACTGACTACTCACCTAGCGCGCTCTACAAAGAGAACTCAAGGACATTGAGAATCGAGCCAGAGAGATCAAAGATGGTCGCACAGCTTTATTCCAGCGGCAAGATGAGAAGAGCAATCGAATCAAGGAAACAGAAATTGAGCTACAAAACCTGCAATCTCAAAGTGGTCAACGTGAGGCTATGCTCAAGAAGTTCTCGCCCGACACACACCGAGCCTATCGATGGGTACTGGAAAACCAGGATAAATTTGATAAAACTGTTTATGGGCCTGCACTTATCGAGTGTTCAGTGAATAATCCGAAATACGCCGACGCGATTGAATCTCTTCTTCAGAAAAACGACTTCCTAGCATTCACTACGCAGAGCATCAATGATTTCAGGACATTGCAAAAAGCTCTTAATGTTGAGCTAAGGTTGCACGACGTCAGCATCAGAAATTGTACAACTCCGTTGAGTGATTTGAAACCTTCAATCTCGGATGGAGAGATGCGTGATCTTGGCTTCGATGGCTGGGCCAAGGACTTTCTTACTGGACCAGAACCTGTCATAGCGATGCTCTGTAATGAGCAATTCCTGTTCAGGACACCGATTGTTCTTCGGGAAATCAACGACCGAGAATACTCTCGGATGGAAAGCCATAATGCCATCAACAGTTGGGTGGCTGGCAAACAGACATACAAGGTCAACAGGAGAAAAGAATACGGACCGGGTGCGACGTCGACTCAGGTGCGACAAGTGCGACCAGCAAGGTTTTGGACTGACAAACCCTTGGATGTCTCATTGAAACAAGAACTGCTAGAAATAAAGTCACAGCTTGAAGCTGAAAAGGCTGAAATTGACAAGACTATCGAGTCTTTGAGATTAGAGCTTACAACCTCGGGTGACCGATTCAAGCAAAAGAAGAGAGAAAAGGTATGTTCTTGAGATATTATACAACGCTGTATACTAATATATTCTTAAGGGCCAGCTAGAAGAGGAAAAAGCGCAGAAGCAAACGGCTCTTATCAATTTTCGAGCACTTCCTGAGAAGCTCAGTATGTCTATGAGACACCTTGATGCAGCTTAATTAAAAGATACTAACACTTTCACAGGGCAAGAGCAGATTAAGAAACGGGAGGTGGAAAAAAACTTTGACGGCTTACGGGAAAGAGTTTTGGCAGTTCGTGGAAAGCAAGATCAGGTTGCTCTTGAAAAAGCAGAAACTGCTATCGCTTACGCTGTATGTCTATTTGCCCTTTATCTTTGGGCTCCTACTGACTTTCATGCAGGACGCAGTGGAGAATTTCCGAAAGATTCACTATGACTTGGTACAAGCAGAAATTAAGAACATTGAGGCCTTGTCGGATTTCGAAAATCTCAAAGCGCGAAACGAGGAGATTCGACGAATACTAGAGCAGAAACAGAACGAGGTCAAAGAGGCAAACATCAAGCAGAAGGAGGCCGCCGAAGAAGGCCGCAAACTGAGGGAGGAAGCACGTAGACTCCTAGAGAACGCTCGACCCGAGCCGGACAAGTTCGCAGCTCTTCAGTCTGAGCACTTTCAAAAGTTGACCTTAGATCAATTGGAGGCGGACATTGACTCAGAAAAGGCCCGTCTTGAGCTAACGCATGAAGTGGGCGAGGGTCTCGTTAAGGAGTTTGAAGATCGCCAGAGAGCAATTGACAAACTGCAAGACAAGATGTCTAGCTATCAAGCGAAGCTCAATGATTTTGAGAATGCCATTCAAGAGATTCGCGGCAAATGGGAACCACGTCTTGACGCTCTTGTGAAGACAATCTCAGATGCATTTTCCGATTCTTTTGCTCGTATCGGTTGTGCTGGACAGGTTAGTGTTGACAAGGTTGAAGATGAACCAGGACCAAATGGTGAACCTGGCGCAAGTGACTTTGACCAATGGTCAATCCAGATTCAAGTCAAGTTCCGTGAGACCGAGAATCTTTCCGTGCTAGACTCTCATCGACAATCTGGTGGTGAGCGTGCCGTCAGTACGATTTTTTACCTCATGGCACTGCAATCTCTATCCGCATCACCGTTCCGTGTCGTGGACGAAATAAATCAGGGAATGGACCCAAGGAACGAGAGGATGGTCCACGGGCGTATGGTGGACATTGCATGTGCGCCACGAAAGTCTTCTTCCGACGCCAACGAAGCCGACGACGTTATCGGTGGAGGAGGGAGTCAATATTTCCTCGTCACTCCAAAGTTGCTGAGCGGATTGCACTACAGACCTGGTATTACGGTTCAATGCATTGCCAGTGGCGAACATGTACCGTCAGATTTCCACAGTACTGATTTCCGGCATGCTATTGAGACGATGAAAAGGATTAACGGTACAACGTCGCGCTCGCTCACGAATGGCATTGGTCGGTCGGTGCGAGTAAAGTAGGTTGTTGTCTTTGACGTGCCATGATATACCCATGCGATGTACATATTTGAGATACTTAGTATAAACGATCATTTTGATGTGCTCTATTATGCACTTGAAAACCATTATCTTTCCCCAGATTATATGTGAAGACATCTAAGACCCCTTACCAACCTTCTGTAACCCCATAGCCCTCTCAACCCATATTCTTGCAGCAGCACTCACACCACCATCCCTCGCACACTCCCTCTCAACGACCACATCAATTGCCCGCAGCACGGTCTCTACATCCACTGCCATCTGCTCATGCCCCTGCCCCTTGAGAATAGCACTCTTTCTCCCCCCAATAACGCCCATGTTCCGCGTACTCGGTATCCGCAGCAACGTCTTCTCAACATCAAACCCGATTTCAGCAGCGACACTCATCGTCTTAGCTGTTAAAGAGCCATACATCGAGTTCAGCACTGCGGTGGAGTTGGGATTGGAGTCGGGGAGGGATGTGCTAGCGGCAAGTTTTTGAGCGCGGAGGGCTTTGAGGTCTCCTGTTTGAGGGTTGTTGTCCGTGTTTTCCTCTGTGGTGGTGGCTTTGGAGGTTTCTTTCTTGGGTGGTGGGTAGCGATATTTTGCGCCGGAGAGGGCGTGTGAACAGCATGGAATGGATATGAATGGTAATGGCTCTTCTGGGGACGCGAGTGCTGCCAACAAGGGTGTCCAGATGGTCAGTTCATCGGCATGATTCGAAATGACAAAGGTCTTTTTCGGGAAGTTTCCAGTGGTGTAACGAATACCGTTATGACTTTGGATCCGCTGATGCACCGAGTCACAATCTCCCACGACATTCGTTGTCGTCGAAGGAGTCGAGATGAAGCCCCCCACAAAAGGCTCAGGAATATAAATCGCCTCCTCAAGATTCCCCTGCACCCACTCAGGGAAAATCGACCACGTCTTTCTTCTCCTCGCATCAAAACCCCAACCTCTATACCCTTCCATAAGAAGCACATAAACAAGCACACCATTCCCACACGCAATATCCACAAACTCCGGAAACTCTCTTTCTTTCAGGCCGACTAGTTCTTCTTTTTCTTCCTCGGCTGGTGGCACGACGCCATACATATTCCGCCAAAGCTCAATCAGAAACGCCGTAATGGCCAGATCTTCAAAGACGTGTTTTGCAGGTTCGGTGTTTTCCACCCATCGCTTACATAGGTCTTGGGAATAGGTTGATTTGAGCCGTGAGTATGTGTTTTGGACCATGTGCCGCGGGATGATGTTGTCCTTGTCGGGGTTGTAGCTGTCGTCTTCTTGTCTTTTGCCTGTTTTGGAAGTAATTGAGTTGGTGTCGGATGGGTCTGGTGTTTCTGCTGATGTAGTAGGGCGCGTATTGCGTGCAAGTCGGATATGCGTTATTAATAGATTTTGCAGGATTCTTTCAAGGCGACCCGGGAATGGATCGAAGCCTTCTGCTGCTGGAAAGGGGAGGATATGCAGAGACAGCGTTCCATAGCCTGCCGACAAAGCCTCCCCCTTTCCATACGGCGAGGGTTCTGACTCCATATGTGACGATGAGCCGGACGAGTTGCTATCATAGTCATACAAAAAGCCCCATCCGCGAATTTTTGGGTGGTAAAACGGTACATCTTCATCCTCTTTGATGTCTGGTATGAACAAATACAGCGCCCTTTGCACCGAAGAAGCCGAATCGACCCCTTCATAGTAAAGACAGGTCTGTTTCAACGCCCTATCTAGATTCGGTCTTCTCGGAATCAACTCTCTAATTACCGTGCGCTTCACTTCAAAGCCTGGAATATGTGGCGCTTTAGTCGCTTCTGCTTCTGTATATTCCGGATTTTCATCACCAACAGCACTCTGATTTTGTGCTGCCGATTCAGCACCTAGAACAAGCCTCTCCTTCTCCTTCGGGGTCTTCAGCTCTCCTGCACTATCATACCAGATATCCGCGCGAAACAGATGCGGGGAATTCATGTTTGGACTGCCCAGCAAGAAATTGTTCAGATTGTACATGACATCTGGCGTAAACGGGAGGTTTTTGCGGACAAGGTCTGGAGATGTCATCCATTCAGACATTCCATTTTCAATTTCTTCAAATGGTGATGGTGATGTCGTCTTTGCGGCGGTGGACCCCTCAGACTCAACATCTTGACTATCTTGACTATTCTCGTCACCGCGATAATCCTCGTACAGTATGCTCGCAGAAGGTACAACAGTCTCCTTGAGCGTCTTCTCAGTCGATACAACAGGATTTTTCTTCTTTCGAACAGCCATGTTGTCGGGCTATCATTTCGATGTATGGAAATTTTGTGTGAGGGGAGAAATTTGATGTTGCCCGCTGATCCAAAGAAAATTTAACCCTAATTTTAAAAGGTCAGGTACGCCCACTTCTGTCTGGTTTCTGAATGAGTAATTTCTGGTATTCTACGGCTCGAGATTAATCTTTGACGTATGAGAGTATGGTCAAGAATTCAGCATTGATCTCGTAGGAGATTTAATGGCGTTATTACACGCTCCAGATCTTAGTCGTATGTTGGCACTTAGGGCTTGTCCATGTAACTTTTAGCTAGCCATTTCTACTGTCTACTCAGACATTCTAAATCTATAAGAGATTCTAAAGAAAGGAAAGTAGAATGAGATATGGAAAGACCATGCTAAATGCAACAATTGCCACCGACACGAAAAGAAACAATGCACTAAACAGAATGGTATCTTCGATGATATAATAAAAAAAACTCCAAGGCGCGCAATGTAAGACCCAGACAAACGAGTAACTGTATTTATAGCCAAAAGAAGAGAGATATCGTCAATTCCCAATTAAACTCACCAACCGCCCCTTCCACTCATTCAGCGTCTTATCCTTCGCCGCCGACTCGGCTTTCGCATCTGTCAACTCCTTCTCCAGCGCCTCATTCTTCGCACGCATAGACTCAGCATGTCTCGTCACTTCATCAACCTTAGCAGCCTGTACACGCAACCGATCGATCTCAGCCTGCGATATACCGCCTGGCATGCCGTTATTATTGCTGTTGTGAGCCGCCGATATCGATCTCCGCGAAAGAATGAGCTGATTATCTCTGATACTAACATCCTGTCGCAGTTTTACAATTTCGGATTCAAGTTCGCCGATTCGTTGGCGGAGGGATGTCACGCTCTCCAGTTCGCGGTAGAGTACCCATAGTGCGGAATCGACTTCGGAAGAGAGAGTGGCGAATTTGGATTTGCGAGCGTGTGAGTCGAGGATTGAATTGCCACCGCCGACGACGCCGTGTGAGGATGGAGAAGGTGCTGGTGGTGGGAGGCCGAACTCGTGTGCCAGGCCTGGGCGGGTGGATATCGATGGTAGTGTAATGGAAGAAGGGTTGGGGGAGTATGGCGAGGATACATCTGGGAACCGATGTGGTTGTGAAGAAAGATTTGGTGGGTGTCGTTCTTCACCGCGAGACATTGAGCGGGATATTTCGGCGAGTATAGACAGGGCTTGCGAGTTTCCGGTGGGTGGTACGTTTCCCTGCTGGTCTGACAAATGCCTGTTGTTCTGTAGATGGCTACTTTCCGACGATCTTCGATCGATACCGGTGGTGAGGGCGGGCTCGGGAGAAGGTGAAGCAGGCGGTGTCAGAGTCGGTGGCTGTCTATGCCAATTTCGATTAACGCAGACCGCGCAAAACCACTGTCTTATTTCGTTGTATAATGATCCCGGCGGTGTACATTCGTCGTGAAAACATTTGCTGCAAGTACTGCAGGGAACGAGAGCCTTGGGTCCGGATTTGCGGCACAACAAGCAATAGTCGTCGTGGACTGAGCCGAAGCCTGTCACAATATTAGTTGACAATGGAAAAATCCACGCAGAAAATGGAAGCCTTACGTCGCCATTCACGATATCGCTTTATCTGCGTATCCATAGGTATGCGCGCATACGCCGCAAAGACAGCTTCCAGGGACGGCGGTGCGGTGCCCGAATCAGGATCCCATTCACCTGCTTTCCCGCTGCCCTTGCTAGAATGATCTTGATGTTGATATCCCTCTTGAGCAGGAGTACTCCGTCCACTTGGTGTCAATCTTTGTGCCGTGGACGACGCAGATTCTAGTTTCGGTTTTTTCGCTCGGGGTTCACTGGTGGCGGCGTTAGTAATCGTAGGGGTCGTCGCATCTGCGCGTGGAGGTGTCGCGGTGTTGTCGTCAGCCAGCATGGGCGGAGGCCAGATGTATTTTGTTCGCGTGCGAGGCATTTTGCGATTGGGCCGGAAATCTTTGTTTCTTTTATGTTGGTTCTATGTTGCGTCTTGTTGTCGACACGGACGGATGTATGATCAATCAGAAAATAAGCGTGTGGAGACATGACGGAGTCTACGTAATCCGCGTATCTGTAATTTTAATTTTCACTAGCTAAATTAGATTAATTACGCGGTAATTACCAAGCACGAACCCGTGCCTTGTAATCATGATTACTCACCATCACATGTTTACTAAACATCTCTTTCTTCAACCTTCAACTAGTGAAATATTTTCATCTTTTGATGAGCAAATAAAATGTGTTCCTTGAATAATTCGGTGCTCTGACCGCTCACTAGCAATTGGTCATGAAAATGAGAACAACGATTGGGAGAAAGCATCCACATTTCCTACACGGTAACCATTGTTGCATGAACAGGACCCCTATTATCAAGGACCTTGATGCTCGGATCATTTCTGAAAAATCTCTGCTGTGCACGTCACACTCCCTATAGCCCACTCCTCTCTCCAATACCACCCCACCGTCCCCTACGAGCTCCTCATCCTCTGAAAGCTCTCTCGCAGTAGGCGTATCCCGTGGGTCCAACTTCATCATCTTGAGCACAAACCGTTTGTCAACGTCACATATCTCTTTCTCGCCAATGAACTTGAATGGCTTCAACTTCTCAGATAGTACTACGGACTTAATACCAAGAATCGCTTTTTGAGTATTTTCATTGGCAATCTTCTTGTAAGAAATGGGAAACGGTCCATACCACTGATGCTGGCGCACGACGATCTGGGTGTCGTACATCTTGTGGCCTACTGGCTCCGGTGGTTCGAATATGTGAAAATCAAGACCCCAGATATAAGGTTGATGAGCTACTGTACGGCGGTGAGTTTCATGACATTCTCCAGAAGAGGAGGGGACTTGCGGTTATACCTAAACACCAGATATCTGCAGCAGTGTTCCATGGAATCTTAGGGTGAATTTCGGGGGCTCGAAAAGGACTTGCCCTAGTCGCTATGCCATCTCTTGCATACTCGGAGTCAATAGAAACTGTGCCTCCACAATCCGCTAACTTTATCTCTGAGGACTGATTCTCTTCACTTCCATAATTTACTAAGATATTACTTGGTTTGATCTCTATATCCGATATCAGAAGGTATAAGCGCTGTAATATATGCGTAAGTGGATAAGAAACGTAGCTGTATGCACGTAGACATCTTCATGCAAGACAGCGAGAGCTTCAAGAACATTCCTAGCTACTCGCTTGTTTCCTCGATACTCTTCCCCAGTCATCATCAAGATACTCAAGCACTATACCCGGTGGCTCAACTGGAGACTCAATATCTCCGAGGAGACCGCGAAGAGTCAAAGCACGGAGTTGGAAGCGCCTTAAGATGTCACGTTCACTATGAAAACGACAACAATCCACGACGCTCTTGATGACTACCTGCCTGGTAATTCTATAGTCACCACTACTTCCTCTAAGACACTGACCAACGCGAGACAGCGACTTGCTCAGCCACACCCTCAGGTTCTTTTTCCATCAAAAAGAACTTTCTCCATGAAGCCTGGAAAAAATCAAAAATAGAAGAATACATGCAACAGTTGGGATTCACTTGTGGTCACCCACCAAATTACTAACCAACCGGCGTGTGGCTTAAGTACGGCTGAGCGGACGGGAAGCCCTGTTTTCCACACCCTATGGTCGCATGTGCTAGTATGGTAGAACGATGGGATTATAACGAGAGTGGTGAAGGTATACCATAGGGCTCCCGGAGATGGGTGAGCACCGGCGTATCTGCATCGCGACACGGAGAGGGGTACACGAGATAAGATAGAAGCATCGGGCGCACTTGCCAAGTACACATATTATCCCGATGTTAGTAATTCCTCCTCATTGAAGAGATTAGAATTTCTTCTGTAGTTCTCACAAATAACACTTGGCTAAGTCAACGTGTAAGCATGAATAATCCGATAGGTAACTATGTAACTTAGTTATCATCGGCAAGCCGGATATCACGGAGTTAGTCCGCAATTACGTAGTACCCCACCGTCTACACCCTCACCACTTATTCTCAGCCCTCGCAACAGCAACATACATCAAACAACCACTCTCTCTTTTACAAAACCCACTCACTCTATTACTGGCGCAATGCCCGTCCCTAGATGCTTCATAATCCGCCACGGCGAGACAGAATGGTCCCTCAACGGGCGCCATACGGGCACAAGCGACATCCCGCTCACCGCAAACGGGGAGAAGAGAATGAAAGCTACAGGCAAAGCGCTTGTTGGCGATGATCGATTGATTGCGCCTAAGAGGTTGAATCATGTGTACGCCTTTTCATCTCTAAAAACTCTAGGAACATGGAGAAGGAACGAAGGAGCGAACTGATTGATTAATTGATGAGGTGCTATAGTTATGTATCCCCCCGCAAACGCGCCCAACGAACCTTCGAACTCCTCCAAATCGGATGCAAAGAACGTCTCCCCTGGACAAGACACGTCGAATCAGAAAGTCAATCCACACTCGAAGAACCAATCTCAACAGAAGCGAATATCGAAATCACAGACGCCGTTCGCGAATGGGATTATGGTGACTATGAGGGGCTGACGAGTGCGCAAATCAAGGATTTGAGGGCTCAGCAGGGGTTACCGAAGTGGGATATTTGGCGGGATGGTTGTCCCGGGGGAGAGTAAGCCATCCATTAGCCTCTATACAAGTCTTTTGAAAGGAAGAGGGAGCTGAATGAAGTGGTAGATCCCCTCAAGACATCTGCCGCCGCCTGGACGCATTCATAGCCGATCTGCGCGCAAAACACCACAAGCCCTGTTTCAACTCCGCAGAAAACGAGAAAGGTGATGTTTTGGTAGTGGCGCATGGCCACATTCTGCGAGCCTTTGCGATGCGCTGGGTTGGGCAGCCGTTAACTGAGACGGCGCTCATTCTTGAGGCTGGTGGTGTCGGAACGTTGAGGTAAAACTCATCCCTGCTTTCAACGTTGAGATTGTACTGGATGGCTGACGGAAACAGTTATGAGCATCACAACATCGAAGAACCCGCCATCATCCTCGGTGGTGCATTCGTCGTAGAGGACTGATCAATAGTCGTCTTTCCAAAATAGATAACCTCCTTGTTCATAGCAACAATCCTTCTCATAGACTCTTGATGCTTCCCTTGATCGTTGATCATTGATCATAAAAAATCACTCCTTCTTACTCTCCTCTCCATCCTCCGTCTTCGCTTCCTTCCCCTTATCCTGCTGACTCTGCTGCTGCACCCCCTCTTCGCCCAAAACCTTCGCAGCCCCCATAAACAAGCCGCCCACATAGCCACCCAAAAATCGCATGTCGCCCGCCTGCACAGCCGTCATTCGTACCAGGTTCTCGGTATCGGCGAGATGGGCATTGAGTTGCGCCAGTTGCGAGTGGAGGTGCGCGTATTGTCGGGCTTTGGTGGTTGACATGTTGATGTTGTTGTTGTTCATGCTCATTTTTTGCGACACGATATATGGAGTATCGGCGGTACTGATTGTTGTGCAGATCGATATGTCGGGKGAAATGAGGTGTTTGTTACAGGTCCCTCTCCAGCCAAGGTTGTTTACAAACAATTTAGTCACGTGATGTGGCCCACTATCAACTTACTCAACTCCATAGATTGATAACTACGTTGTACGTTTAAATTACTAGGACTGATCAATTCTCAAATCGTCGGATCTCCAGTCTAATGTCATGGCTAAACCAATATAGAAATAGAGCCAACCGACTTCGCCGGCTAGCATCAAGAATATAACATGAATTTGATGATGTACCAATAAATACCCCCGAAGAATATCTCACAGAAAACAAAACAGAGAGTAAGGATCGTCGTATACTGAGGAGACAGAAAATGAAGATGCGCCGGGGATGCAGTATACAACTGTCATACAGAGAACAAAAAAAAGACAAGACAGTCATGGTGATGATGATGTAGAGCAAGCAATATAACGTGATAAGATGATGATTAGAATCAGCCCATCGCTGACCTATAATGATAATATAATGAGAATGCCCATCCGGATACCGAGACGATCAAAGGGAAAAGTGCATATCGTCGACCGAAGCTCAGTCGGAATGAAATCAAGTGCAGAGAAAAAAAGGCCTATTAATTCCTCCCCCCTTGTGCCATATTCTACCACAACCCAAAACAATTTTGGACACTAGAAATATGTCTCCAGTCTGTCCACCGTGCTCGTATTTGCAATCAAGTCATTAGAGTATCGTGTATCCGCTGCAAAGGAAAAACCGAAGGGGGCGGACGACAAATCTATATATCGCTGAACCGCTATCGATTAACGAACCGGCATAGGCATCGGATGCCCTCCTCCCAAGCTGATCTGACTGCTATGAGCGGAGTTTTCCGAATCTATATTCGCGCTGGCTCCGCTGTCACCACTCTCCGCGCTGGCGCTCGCACTACCAGTCAGACTCCGTGCATTTGGGATTTTTGGCGGATATGAGTTGCTCACCCCAAGATGTTGTTCAACCTGCTGTGCTCCCGTATTATTTCCGGGAGGGTATCTGGGAACCGGTGCCCGCATGTTCGCTGGCATATTCGGTGGAGAGGGACGACCATGTGGCGGCATCATACCGTTAGGAGGTGGTCCCCATGAGTTCTGATGCTCACCAGTTCCTGGCCTGGGCATGGGCATGCCTCGTCCATTAGGGCCAAAGGATGCTGGCGATCCGCTTGTTCGTCTGCCAGGAGGATATGGGCCAGGCATGCCGCCAGGGCCGAAATCTCCCATACGGCTTGCATTGCTTAACGAATTTGCTCTTGAATCTATGTGTAGCTCTTTGCGATCCACAGCCCCATATCGATTTGAAGAGTATGCCATCAACGGATCGTCCATCAGTGATGAATGAGTCATGGGTATATCGTTGATCAAGCGTGAGCTTGTGCTTTTCCGGCCGCCTGGTCCATTGAAGAATCGGAACGAAGACGAGGGTCGAGATTGAGGAGGCCCATTCATTTCGGGATTGCGTCGCAATTGACCAGCACTAGGTGCTTTCCTCGTTCGGCGAGAAGTAACACTCATCATGTCGATGTTGTCGAGATCGATTCCAGGTGGCGGTCGGAAATCTTGGGGGTCAAAGTAATCATCTTCGTCTTCTTCATCGAATACAGATCGAGGCGGAGGCGGTGCTCTGGGACCACCACGAGGGCCGGGACCACGTCTCATGTTCATTTCACGTTCACGAAGCTGGAGCTCTCGTTGACGAAGAGCAAGTTCGCGTTCTCGTAGAGCAATGTTACCGTTAGCTCCTCCGTTGGGCATGTCCATATTTCCGTTGGGTAGACCGTCAGGTTGGATATCGTCATAGACAACAAGGTGGCTAAACTCTTCCAGTCCGTTGTCCTCGAAAGATGCATCACGAGGCATACGAGATGGTCCGGCTTGTGAGCTTGGTGTTCTCAGCATTGGGCCACTGGGGGGTGGTCCTCTACGTTGTTGAGGCGGCGGCATAGGCATTCCCATATTGGACGAAGTTCGGCTTGCCCGCATGCCGTTGACCATTGGCTTCTGAACAGGGGGAACAGACGCTGTCCTAGGTGGAGGTTGGGTTGTGATTCCTGGCGGCGGAGATTCAGGTTTGGTTTGGTTGACGATGTTGAGGTGATGAAGCATGGCGTAGATTGTTTCTAAACGAGGTAGACTGACGTTGCTTTCCATTGCTAGACGAATAGGTGAACCAAGATACGTTTCGACCTCCATGGGTCGGCGAGCGAGAAAGTCTTGATACATGGTAGTCTGTGTTTCGGTCGGTGCCGTCATTTTCGCAATGACCTTTTCTCTGTACCCGGAGTCGAATGAACACCCTTGTGTCGATGCTAATTTGAGGAGTTCATCGATCGCATCGTTAACCAGTTGGCGTACACCGACTTTCTCTAATAGTTGGGAGTGGTTGGGAGTATTGAAAAGTACGCTTGTCGGGTGGAAGGCAATTGGACTGAAACAGTTAGCATACATTCACGTAGTAATTGACGATGAGCTTACCCGATCATTCGGTCGAATTGTTCCTGTCTAATATTCGAAGAGACCTTGCAATCCACATTACCAGAGCTCAGGGTCATAGCCAGAGCAGAGGCCATATCGTTTTGAATAGAAACAGGGATAGCCGCGTTTTTGCTGGCAGGTCCCACCCACATTTCAGTCGAGCCTTCATGCTCAAAGTCACTCATACCGGTCTGATTGATGATGACATTGGAAACCAGCGACAAGACAACGTTCGTCGGAAACCGTTGCTCCAAATGTGACTCAACACCTAGGGTATTTGTAGTATTGACGAGGATGCATGTGTGTTGAGGGGTGACGACGGATTCGATGACCGATCCAAGATCATATATATCGGGCAGAGCTTTGACACAGAGAACAACGTAGTCGTAAGCGTTCTCTCGTGAAGCAGCTTCTTCGGGCGTTCGCACAACTATTCATGAGTCAGCCATTGCTTTGTTCATTGATTTCAAGTAATCAGATCATACCATGTCGCGGCTTAAATCGTTCATTTCCGAATGTCTTCGATCTGTTCACGCTCGTCAGAACCATCCATGCAATCCATAGGCAGGAAGTAATACCGAAATGAAACACCATATTGAGCGACCGATTCAAACCCCGATTTCCAGACTAGCGTCACATCACACGAGTTTGTTGTCTGGAGTCTCCATGAGAGAAAGGCTGACACCGCGTTACCACCGACTACACAAAACTTGCACATTAGCCTTCGTTTGCCCATTGTCGCATAATAACGAGTAGAGTGGTAAATGAAAAAAAAGAAATCCGAGACGACGTAAGATGTGTAAATGAGATAAAAACGAATGAATGAAGAAGTTGTCCCAGAAGAGGAGGAAAGAGTGTGTATTTGCAGTTGTGAAGGGAGAGTAGTTCGTCGAGAAAGATGGGAGGATGGGAAAAGTACCTGACAGAATGCGAAGTCGCGGCGGCGAAGGAGCCATTGTGAAAGAACTGCAAAGGCAGGCGACGTGCGGCAGTCGCTCTATGTGATTGAAGAAGCAAGAACAACGTCGATGGCAGTTGCGAACGAGGTTGTCGACAACGGGCCGGTGCGACCGAAAAATCCGGTAGCTGAGTCGTACGTAGCTATAGACTACGTACTAAGCAACTAACTCAAGCTAACGGTAGCTGCCTTGGGTCGTGATGCATGCACTTCCACAATGGAAGGCAGGTGCTATCGGTATAGACGCAAGCTTGTTGTTGGGCCTCGTCGTCGAAGAAGGCGCGATGGTGATGGGTTGAAACGAGGGTCGAAAGCAGTCGGAGAGGAAGCTGCCGGGAGCGCCGGATGAAGGAGCAATTATTAAAAAGAAAGGGGGAGGGGGATTTTCAGATGCAACAGCGACAAGAAAACCAGGAAAAAAGAAAAGAAACAATGGACAAGCAGTATGGCGAGAAGCGAAAGCGAGAGCGAAGGCGAGGAAAACGAAGGACACCAAGCGATGGTGAGAATTGGATGTCGGGATGGAGAAAGAAGGGAGGAGGAGCGTGTCGAAGGAGAGAAAAATGCAGCCTTAGCGGGTAGGTTGGAAGGTGCGAGGTCAGACGTTGGGGCGGAGTGTTGCAAGGAAAGAGCGACTGACTGGGATGAAAATGGGCAAGAGCAGGAATGGAGGAAGGTGCCAGCCTGCCAGGGCGGCGTTGGCGTTGGCTCTACTACGAGTACATCCAATTCTACGTACGTTAGTTACTTGCCTCTACATACACTCTTACACACCTCGCTGTGCACTTTCTGTGTACACTCTGTGTACCTCTACCGTACGATCTGTTTCTGTCGCCATTGTCTGTTATACTACTGCGAGCTACATGGCATACCACTCCCAGACACAGCATCTCTGTCTCTTAGAATCTTCTCAAAGTTCACAGCTCATACAAGTAACAAAATCAGACAATTCTCAGTGGGTCGTGATGACTCTGGGCCCTTCTGTTGACCGACGTTAGGCTGGATGCGGCAGCCGGAACGGGCACAACGCGAATCAACAGGCGATAAGGCTCCATAATTCATTTGCACAAGCAAGTTTTGCTATTTTTACCTACCTGTCTTTGCCAGACTGGCCGTGGTTTTTTTTTTTTTCTTTTTGCCCTTTCCTCAGCTTTTTCAACTATCATTTGGTTTATGTTCTTCATTCTCAATCCATATAATTCTGATCTTCTTTTAGTCTATTGTCAGGTTGTACAGACTATTTTGAGGACGGCGGTAAGCGGCATCAGCAACCAACCGTCGGTGGCTGCCTAAGGTATCTCCGCCATCCTCAGATGTCTCAAACTTTTCAACCGTTGACACATGACATTGATATCTCAGTATTCTACATGACAGTCAATTCACAGTCAATTCCTTCCCCTGACGAGAACGTAGTACGTGGTACGAGTACGACACACATCAGAGCACATACGTACTACGCATCATTAGACTAGAGCAGCCACCAAACAAGATATCTCGATAATAGCGTGTACCTAGCGCGACATGGGCCTGATATCGTTATCGCTCTGGCAGCAGTCCGTTAATTTTTATGCGCACTATCGGATCGGCTAGGCAGAAACCGTCCGGTCCGTCGTCGTCCTAAATCCGTCCGCGGGCCAAGTTTATTTGTGTGTGGCTTACTATGTAAGTTAACTTTTTACTATGGAGTACTATGGACTACCGTTGTTTGATCCACACGCTGGCCCTGGCAGCTGGCGTTAGTTTAATTATCGATGGAGCACTGTCTGCGTTACGCCAGCGCGACGTAAGTTGCACGCGTTGAGTAGTAGTAAGCTGAGACTCATATACCCACTGATTCGCAATCATCATACTCTTCGTGAATTGATATCTAGATCTCTTCGGCAGATAATTAGTACAACACAAACATCTCACAACACTACGAGAGTAGCCAAATTCGGCCAAAAAAAAATAAACTTTTCGCCATCGCGGACGATGTTCGCCCATTCCTTGATTTGGACTGTCTTGTCTAGTCTCTAGAAAGAATTCCCCGTTGCGGAGGCACACAAACTGGAATGTCATACCACCGCGCTCATTGGCTGTGTGGGTTTGTGCAGTATGTATAAGCCATCGACTGGAATACTTGACCAGACGCATTTCTCGCGGTGAAAGGGTAGATTTTCATGTCAAAAGACTTATGAACACCAGCCCCCACGAGGAACGTAACTTGCGTATACATTCTACGTGTAAACTCCACAAAATCAATGTGTTTCCGCCACCAATCGATCTAACCACACAAGAAAAGGGGGGACATAAGTCAAAACATATAACCGTTTTCGGATACATCATTTGCCATCGACAAATCATAAGCATGATTAGCTCTTTTTTGTTTTTCTTAATGCAATAATATTATAAGATAACCTTCTTTTGCACGGTGATCGACATTGGGCACAGCCACTAGATTGACATTCGAGCATTGGGACGAGCAGGTATTTCATTGCAAACTGCATGTGCTGGCCGGCCGATCATCAAATAGTTTCTTTTTTTCTTCTTTTCTTGTGGGATGAAGATTGTGTGATGAGATTGAGTTTACGAATACCGCGCAATTTCGTCTTCAGATTTAATCCATTGGAGGGTAGGCCAATTTTAAAGCTCGAGGGCTTTGCATTTGAATAAGTGTATAGACCAATCGGACACGATTAGCTCAGCCAGATGTAGATCAATTCGAGATTTGACTGCGTATCCGAAGGTATTCGCAGTCGGACGATATCAAGTACTTTTCGCACAGAGTTGAGAAGAATATGTGATTGGCCAAACCCTAATTAAGCCTAAGGCAGTTGGAGAGATCGACTCCACTAAAGGTACGCGAGCTGTCGAGAGCTGATTTTCCATCCCCTTTAGTCTCTGAAGCTATATCCTTAGTAGAGCTTACAAAAGATATAAACACAAATCTGCCGTTGTGCAGGGAGATGAAGGAGTACTGAGATGAAGACGTAGGTGGAAAGTCAAGCAAAGCCCGAGATACAGCCAGCTCAGCACACAGACCTTGTACCTGGATCGATCAGTGGAGTGAAAACGTCATGGTGCCCACTGGTGGAGCTACGCGGCCAAACGTGGCACAGCCGGCTGAGTCAATGTCCAGGCTACTGAGACATCTTGAACATTTCTGAGAGGAAAGTGGCGGTATAAGTGCTGGTGTATGTTTGATAGGACCTATGTCTTCCTATGTAGTATACTATGTAGTATGTGCGACTGAGTCAGTTGTTTCATTCCAGTGGCGAACCACCCTGGACCTGGTTATGTAATCGATCCATGCCCCATATTGACCAATCATAACTCTTAAACTGTAACACCACCTATATGGAGTACAAGCCTCGCTCATTAGGGACAGCACTGAAACTGTTGTCTATCTGATCAAACATCCTTTCCATGCTCGCCTGGTTGTCTACCGTTGAAGTTTCAGTTAACGATCGAATGTGCTTATAGTAGTAGAGTCATTGATTCTGTGATATATCATGAGCCGTGGATCTTGGGAAGCGAGTTTATATAACTAACTTTGCGCTTAATTCTGGTGGAGCATTGGATCTTCTTTCTGATGTAGTTACTCGAATAATCTGTGGAAGTGGTCAAGACTAGATGCATGGCAATATATATCCCTTTATTCCGTGGTGTAGACAATTTAAGAATTCATAAAAAGTCGAGCCCTAATCGAACTCTCTCGACCGTATCTAGTTTAGGGAAATCAGTCCCTAAAACATACATGGAATGACGAATCGTGATTATGTTTCTGTTTATGATACGCAATAGAGGAGATATCTCATCATTCCAACAATATGATTGAGACCTATCTATATAGCTTTAGTAGTCTTTGACTCCGGCCTAATGATCTCCGTGCCGTCCTCTTCCGCGACCTTGTCTTCCAGCATAGTATCCCTCGTAGACCCGCCAAACCTTTCATCCATCTCCTCAAGCTCAACATTCTTCGTCTCCGGCACAAAACCCACACTGAAAACCAGCGCCAAAAACGCAATCGAACCATAAATGAACCCAAGCTTCCCACCCAAATTAGCTTTATCAGCATCCTCAAGGTAGGAATATGTAAATGACACTACAAATTCCATGATCAACTTCACCGTATAACCCACGTTCAGCGTGTATTCGCGGAGATATGGAGATGGCAACTCGGCAGCCACCACGTACGCCAGCGGCGCATATCCAAACGACCACCCGAACGAGAAGAGGAGTAACATCGCCACAATCCCGGCCTTCACAGAGTCCGAGTCTGAAGACGTTGAGGGATCGGCGGTCCCCAAGCCACCCATCGTAAGTAGCGCGGCAGTCTGCAAAAAAGCCGATATGATTAGAACGGGTTTGCGGCCCAAGCGGTCAGCTAGCATAATGCAGCAGAGGATACCTGCGATGTCAATAGCATTAGTACCGAGGGTTACGCTGAAGGGGTTGACGGTATTGAGGGCTTGGACGAAAAGCGTGCCGTATTGAGAGGCGAATGCTTGGCCTGTGGATTGCTGGAAGAAGAGAAGGAAAGTCACCGTTAGGGTGCGTTGGCGATTGGAGCGGTTGAAGATGGAGAGGAATCGTTGAAGACGAGATGACGACTCGCACGCCAGGCGCTGAGCGGTTTTGATTCCGTTTACTGCTTCAGTCAGGTCGGCGAATTCAGCGAGGATCTCGTCTGATACGGCAACGGTAGGGTTTCGTTTTTCAGCACGGGTTTGACGAAATCGTGTCAGTGCTGCTAAAGCGTCATCGTGGCGATCAGCTAGTATTAGCCAGCGAGGGGACTGTTGGAAAGAATTTATCAATACCAATCCTTGCTGTCGAGGAATAAAGGAGCGGTTTCCTGACATACCTCCGGGATAAACCACACCAGAGAAATCACAACCAAGGGGAAGATGAGAATTAGCCCTATCGGAAGTTGCCAGGCGATATTCTCTTTATCTTTTGACGTCGCCCTTACGATACCCGTAACCAGCAGTCCACCGCACTTGGGAAGACGTTAGCTATAAAACGAACAAGGGAAGTGTCTTTTGATGTACCTTGATACTTAGCCAATACAGAGCTCCTGTGCCACCACGAAGGTGCGCAGGCGAAATCTCCGCCAAAAAGGTCGGAATCACAGCCAATTGCATCCCTAGGTAGATATCTACAAAAGTAAAGTCAGTCATATACTTGCATCATCCTCTGCTCCTGACACGATCATACAATGAATACTCCTGCCCGCAAGCATCTGCGCACGATTAGTCCCAGACACAATAACCGAGACGCTTCCCAAAGCATATATGCTCATTACGAAAATACACCATCGTCTGCCGTAGTGCTTGCTAATCCAATTTCCAACAACGACGCCTATGATCACTAGTCAATATTTTTGAGCATGGAGAAGTATATAAGTAAGAAAGCTTACCGACAAGCTGCGTCCCCGCCTTCAAACTATTCAATAGACTCAAATACAAAGCCGGCAGTGTATAAATCTTCGTCTTCGGCGCATAATCGCCAAATTGCTTTTTAAAGGCAGCAGTAGCCTGTGTCGAGGCAAACGACTGGTCACTGAACCCGTAACTAAAAGCTGAGAAGAAGAGTAGGGCGACGGAACAGATCAGAGTAGCGTTCAAGTCTCGAAGTTGGATCATTCGTCGAGTAAGGGCTTTCTCTGTAGATGTAGATGCCATTTTTCCAGTCTGTATTTTCCCTTCTTTATCCTTGGCTAGGGGCTACTTCGACAGAACCAAAGATCCTGCGAAAAAAGATCTGATAAAATTTCGGGCCGTCGGATCTATTAATAAAGTTCGATCAGATAAGTCAGAAATCGACCCAAGAAAAGCCAATTTATTAGTGCTCCATACAGATTGCCGTGAGTGAGGGATTATTCGCGATGAATCTATCAAATTAACTGAAATAGGAAGTATGCTGAAGTAAAAAAGTGGAGGATACCCACTAATACGCACACTAGATAAATTGTATCTGGTCAGTATGTGCCGGAATCGGTGCCGGATTTTCATGATCATTTTCAAAGGCAGTGGACGAGTTGTATTTATATATTCTCAAATCGAGACTTCATGTCTGCTCTCCATAACGGAGCAAATCCGACATAACAAGCTCGATTTGTGTTTTCTGAATCTGAGCACGTCCGGTGAACAGCAATCGAGGCCATAGTGTTCAGTGCAGCACTAATTAGATTGATACATGTATCATGCATGGATTTTGCTGGTCCGATAGTGGTTTGGTCTAAATTTATCTCAATTTTTGAACCTCGTTTTATTGCCTAAAAGCCTTAGAGCTAGGACTATTAATTCGACTGTTAGTGTTTCAACTGAAGTATATAAAGGTAGCCAGAATACACACATTCGACATTAATCTTCAAATTGCTGCAAGTATAAAATTTTTTGACTTACTTTCTTATTTTGCTTACCTTGTGTGACTGGCAGAGGGATGTGAAGAACAAATATGGTTTCCGTGTGTCGAGAAGCCCTAATTGCCGACAACCCTGTTCAATGAGCAGTCCTTGAACTACGTTGCGCCGATTAATATAAGAAGAAGTTTATCTCAACATATATTTGTTTTTATCCAAGAACTTTTGAAAGTTGTGGGTTAGCATGGCATCTGATTTTTTGTTGCGGTCCGAGGACACACGTGGTACTTAAGTAGCTTTGAGGTCGTCAACCCACTGAGAGGTGGGTCTATCAAATACATTCGATGCTTCTCTGAAGATCGCCTTTTGCTATTGAGTAACTAGGTATCTATGTAAATTAAAGGACGTTTTTAGTTGCCTCTACACACTCTGACTTTTCGAGCATTTTGCAAGCCACGTAAAGAAGAAAAGCAGAATTATCAAGCTTGTGTTTATTATAACTACTCAAGTGTACCTAGGTACTCCAAACTCCATAGTTTATGCTTTATAAATTGTAGAGTGATATCACCACCCAAGACGCGCAAGAATGGGCAACATATCCTCGGCTTGAAGCTGGTGATATTTCCAACCAGGATGCAAATTATTCCACCAAACACAATTCGACCCATCAGTATTCATGCACGTGGAATCTTGGTATCCATATTGAGCAGGATCATCAAGAACGCGAGTCATGTACTGGAAGGCGTCGTAAAACACGACGGTTGCCTATACGGAGTCAGGTCAAGGAAAATCAGATATATTGATTAACTTACATCTTTATGCTTATCACTGAATTGAGAGAACATGTTGTCCAGACCATTATTGTACGCTGTCACCATCTCGGCATGACGTTGGAACTGTTCCGGCAAATCGTTCTCTTCATGCACCTGCGGACTGCGGGTTGACGGTGGGCAGTTCAGAAAGAGAAACTTTCGGATTCCGCTGGAATAGATTTGTTCGATGAGTGGTCGATATCTATCCATAAGCGCAGATACAAATTGAGAAGGCTCATCATCATGCGCAAAGCCGTAATATACACTTCCATTGTCAGCAATGAAACAAGACATGGAATGGTGGGAAGATGACTTACTCGTTAATCCCAATCCAGAACGAAGCAACTGTATTATCGACCGTCCATGGCGCATACGCCGGCCTCGAAGCATAATACAATTGAAAGGCGTCAATTTGGGAAGTCATATCACCAAATCCCCACGTAGCTAGCGAATTATCAATTGTTGCACCGGCGATGGCTAGACTGTATGCTAGGGTTAAGGTAGTGTTATGTTGTGTGGTCAAGTATCCGACCCAATTATTACCGCCGCTTTGCGTGCCTGGATCTACGGTAAGACATTAGAAACCATCTCTGTCGACTTTTGAGTAGATAGGCATGGCATACGAGGAGTAGCATTTCCCATTGGATTTGATGCCGAGGGTTGTGTAGAGCTGATATTGAACCCTGTCGCAGACCAGGAATCTCCACTAAAGCGGTCAAGGTCAACAATGAGGCCGTTACAAATTAGATGCTACGTATGCGCTGAGACTTACAAGGCAAACCAATATATTGGTAAGCGTGCCGGCTCTGGTATTGATATTCCAGGCAATGAGTGGTAATTGCGAAGCCATATCAGAAGGGATGTGACGAACACCGCCAGGGCAGAGCAGGAAATCACAACTCGGTGATTCATAGTCGATAAGAATCTATCGAATAGATACATCCTCCATCAAGTCCAGGCACATCACTGTGCCTGATAAAAAGGACAGTGAAGTGGGGAGATTGAAGAAAGAAAATGTTTAAACTCATGAAAATCAGTACGAGGTAAAGAAGGATCAAGTGGCGTTACTCGAGCCGCCAGCCGGAGGGTGACACGGCGCTAAGGTACTTTGCATGCTCCCCCTAGCCTTGTCAAATGGTACTTGGCTGTCCTACTTCTACACGAGACTACGGCTGGCAGATAACAATCTATTTAAATGCCCTTTACTTCAAAGAGGACTCATACATATGTGTAATCATAAGGTCAGGTACGCGATATCTTACCAACATAATGATCTTTCCTTTAAGCAAAGGTTAGATGACTAGCAACCATATTTACCGGTGCTCATATCCACCATTTGGACAAATTATCAGCGAGTACTAAATAGGGCGTCAAGAAATTCATCAACTATCTCTTCCTCATCCTGGATCCACTTCCTACTTCCATTCAGGCTGTGAATGTCTGTGTGTGACCAAAAGCAACCCGGGGAAACCCTTCTGAGGTTTCTGAACAGTCATATTTCGAGGATAGGGATCAACATGATAGATCCCTACTCCGTGGATACTTTCCAGAATCGTACGCAGAGTGGCAATGCAGTAGTGTGAAAAGGTCGAAAGATCTTACCGGAAGCTCAAAGAGGTTGTACAGTATCCAGCTCTGTTTATCTCTTAACCGCTCTCTCAACTTGCGATAGTCTCGCCTCATCCCGACAAACAGGATGACTGAGGTCGACTTTTTGAAATACAGCGTGCACATCCGGCGGTAACAAAATTCATCACTTAAAAAGGGAGTAAGAAAGAACTATCTTCTGTACTGGGATATTATATTATTTCTACTATTAGATGCTCAGTTGTTGAATTACATTGCCAAAGAAGAGATAAATTTTGACTGCGCTGGTTGGGTGGTTTAGTTCTGAATGATGGAGGGCACTGGTACTACTATATGTCGAGGGCGATGGTAGTGCCTACAGCAACTATTACGACGCAATCGGCTTCAATGCGATGGGTCTTTGGTCCACAGATAGTAGAGAGACAATGTGTGCAAATCCTTTACCGTTACTTACGTAGTAACCACAGAAAGTGATCAGTCAGGCCGAAAAGAATACATCCCAGGAAAAAAAGTCACATCGATTTTTTCAGACCCTAATATAGTAATACCATCCCAAATAAGAATTGAAACATATTTGATGTTTTATTTAAAAACACAAAGTGAAACCCAATTGAAAAAGAAACCATTCGAAAATACAATCTACCCCTTCATTACCGACGCGAAAATCAAACTGGGCCGGAGAATATGTTTAAGCCATGTAAGTGCTGGCGTCGACGCCGCCTTCGGGGTATTCACTATTCAAACGTTAGATCGGCATATGAGCGCGACTAGAGCGAAGGACTTACGGAAGGGCAACTTCGAATCGCTTTTCAATTTCCTTCAGGACCTTCTCATCCTCCTCGCTGCTGACAAACGAGATGGACAGACCCTTGGTACCGAAACGACCGGCACGACCGACACGATGCAAGTATGAATCGGCGTCGCCAGGAAGATCGTAGTTGATGGCAAGGTTGATACGCTCAATATCGATACCACGACCGAATACATCAGTGGCGACACAGATACGCTTGTTGAACTCCTTGAACTCTTTGTAACGTTTGATACTATAAAATGTTAGTGGATTATGCCGTCAGTCGCAATAAGAGTACGTACCGCTCCTCTTGGCTGACACCAGAGTGGACAGCAATACTGGGGAAGTTGCACTCCCGCAGAAGCTTGTCCAACTCGTTGGCACGGAGGGTGCTTTTGACAAAGATAATGACCTGGTTGAACTCCAGATTGTCAAGAAGGTCACTGAGTTTGCGGTTTTTCTCTTGTTCGCTCAACTTGATGTAGTATTGCTGGAGACCATGGAGGGTGAGCTTTGTGTCGTCGTCAACGTACACCTCGAGAGGATTACGCATGAACTTCTTGCAGATAGGTCGGACTTCCTGCGAGAGAGTGGCACTGAACATCATAACTTGCTTCTCCGCAGGGGTGGCGCGAAAAATTTCTTGAACATCACGACGCATGTCTATACAATGTTAGCTATTGATCTATCGGAGTAGACTGTGACTCTTACCAATCTGGTCAAGCATCTTATCACATTCGTCTAGAACGAAAGCCTTGACGTTGCGAAGAGAAAGCTTCTTATCACGGACAAGTGCGTTCAAACGACCAGGGGTACCGACAACAATGTTGGGTCGGGTCTCCTTGTTGCTGAGGAGCTCAATATCTTTCTGCATGGGGGTGCCTCCGTAGAAAACGGCAGTCTTTACTTGAGGGAGGTATTTGCTGAATCGAGCATATTCGTTCTTGATCTGGTACGCCAATTCACGGGTGTGACACATAACCAAGACCTGGACTTCTCCCTCAACGGGGTCGAGTCCGTGAAGGGTTGTGAGAACGAAAACTGCGGTCTTACCCAAACCGGACTTGGCCTGGCAGAGAAGATCACTGTGGAGCATTCCTTGGGGAATGCAAACTTGCTGGACTGTAGTGAGGCGGCAAATGTTAGACATCGTTCGATAAAATTTCCAAAGTTGAACCGGATCGGAAGGTGAAGTGCTCGTCCGCCATCTCTTTGGGTCGTTGAAGTTGCAAGGAAGTCAAGCCATCAAGCCAACAAACGGATCTACGGTGATAAAACAAAACCATTCCAATGATGATGAAGCTTGAGGCGGTAACTCCTCGTGCCGCTCGCTGGTTACCGATGCAGGAGACACCAAGTGCCAACACATATGTAGGTATAATCCAGACACATCATTTTTTCCTCCGTAAATACGTCATTTTGCCTCGAGTTTCTTTTCCTCTTCGATTCAACATCAAAAATCAGATGCTACGACTTGCGCAAAGCGATCTGTTGAAACCCGCGTATGACTTTTTCTTTCCACAACTCTCTGATGGGATATCCATGCGCTGCAGGCGAAATACAGCACAAGGAGGCTCTTTTTCAAGAACCAATGCAAGAACGAATCTTGAAGCATACGGCGACAAGTATTTCTCTCTTGCTTGGAGAGAAAACCGCGATGACACTTTCTTCCTTCCCGCAGAGATGGACGGACGTAGCAAAACGGAGATGAGGCTGGCAAAAAAAGGGAAAAAGAGCATAAGTGTGTGTTTGTAGTTAGACTAACCCTCCGATGGATGTTCGAAACCGCAATCGGTAATGGCACGAAGCAGCTCGGTTTTGAGCAGGAAATCGCGGAAACCAGTCGAGTGGATACCGACGTAACTACCCTTCTTGTCTGGACGACCACCGGAGACTGTCAGGTCGCCTTTCTTGGTGGCAGCGTCGCCATTGCCGGCTTCAGTCGCGGCGGGAGCGACGGCGGCGGGCTCTGTGGTCTGAAGCTCCTCGTCGGAGTAATCGATGAGATCTTCTTCGGTGGCCATGTTGAGCTGTGGGGATTCTGTAGGTAAGACGAGGGTTTGAAGAATGAGGGCTGTTGAAGTTGTTAATGGAAGATGGCGATGATAAATCCTTCCACGTAGAGATATCGAGAGGATGGATGAGGATGGTGATGATGAATCGACTGAGGTTGGCGCGCGAGCTGAGTGAAGAAGGCGAAGGGAGCGGTTCTGCCTGGAGAAGGCGGTGCGGGCGTTCCTCGCTTTAGTCAGCTAATCTAGCCGTTTCTGGATTAGCGCATGACCGGACGAGGACTAGCCCGAGACAAACATCGCCCAGTCAAAGGTGGCCATCCTCAACCAGAGATCGATGTCACAGGAGTCATTGTCTTTCGACACGCTGTCTGTGTTGGGACTTCCTTGTCAGCAATATGCCTCCAAAGGCCAAAAAAGGCGATAAGGGTGCCACAGGGGGAGTACACAGCCATATCCGAGCTCGTTTGGCATATCTTCACAAAGCCGCAATATACTTACAGTCTCATCCAAAACTGGAGAGAAATACCGGAGTACAAAAGACGGACAACAAAGCCGATGATACTGAAGACAATAAGGATACAGCCAGTCAAACCAGATATGCTATTCAAGCAACTATACCCAGACAATACATCACCCAAATGCGCAGCATCGCACAAAAAACCCAACAACGTCTCTCACAAGAGACAAAGCGCGGTTTCTGCAAGAGATGCGACTTGCTTTTGGTTCCCGGTGAAACATGCACCGAAGAGATTCAAAACGAGAGCAAAGGTAGTCGGAAGCCTTGGGCCGATCTTTTGGTGGTTCGTTGCAAGGCGTGTGAGACGGTGAAACGGTTTCCGCAGAATCAGAAGCGGAGCGCGAAATTGGCTGTGCGGAGGAAGGAGAGAGCTGCCGCTGAAATGAAAGTGGGTGTTGAAGGGTCATGAGATGGAACCAGTTTCTCTTTTCTCTGTTATCTTTTCATAAGCATGAGGTATACGAAAGCTGAGCTTTCGGATCATACCTGACAGGCCTCGACACCGATCCGGGCCAATATGGTCTGCGATAAACCACTACCGATGGTTCAAAGCTGTGAAATCACTTTCCAGTGAGGTTCTCATTTTATCCATTAGGATCTGGTCTTCCTCCAAACTGTCCACATCGGCTTATTGGCACCTGCCCAGACCGGATTACTGCACATCATCTACGGACTCCTACATCTTACATGACCCCACTCTCAGCAGCGTCCCAGATACAGTTGTAGTGAACCAGGAATGGGGAAAGAGGGAGATCCCATTGAACGTTCAACGAAGCAGATCAATCTACAAACTCGGCGAAACCTACATTTAGATAAGTTCACTGCGTGTACCAGAATTGAAAGTGATATCGTCGAAAAAGTACCATCTCTTTGCCAAGTGCCCTTAGATATATCATATAAGAAGAAAAAACCCCGAGGCAATAGGGATACATAAAGGGCTTGCTTGAAACAGAATTCACTCGCCCAAAAGATAGGTATCGTTTGACGTAGGGTAGAGACAGGATAAAACACAACAACAAGCAATCGCGAAGAGGGATATAAGCGAACGCAAGAAGAACAAAAAAGGAAAAGAAAAGGAACCATCCGCTGAAACTCCGATACACCAACCGCCTCTTGTTCCGTCATGAGGTCCAAGTATGAATGAACTCATTGTAAAGTTTGAGATAGCCGCGAGGCTGAGAACCTACTCTTTATGCCATTCTCCGTGCCGAAATGAGAAAAGAAGAACCAATAAACACAGATAGCCAATAGATAAAAGCATTTGAAATCAAAGATATCAGCAGAATTGCTTGATAGAGGATGAAGATTACAAGAAAAGCCTCCATACCAGTGTGCCCCATATTTAACACAAGGCTCCTGGGTCACATGTCGTTTTTGTCCGCGAGGACGGATATTGTATGATGTCGTGAGTCGAAAGTAAGTTAGCCGGAGGCTGAATTGAATAGAAGATTATACAACAGCTTGCTGTGAATAGAATGACCTCCCAGAGGTCGAAAGGGTTTGCGTTCTTTCATTATAAGAGTCGAGTTTGGTGGCCACCAGGGCTCATATATTGGTGATGCCGGCCATCAGTTGCAATAATACATCGCAAAGACAGTATTGTCATAAACTGGTGAGAAATCATCGGCGACGTGCGGCCTGATCGAGACGGTGATCATAACTCTCAATCCGAGCACGAAACGACTTTACAATGTCTCTGATGTGGCTGATCTTGGCGAGCTCGTTCTCCAAGTCGTCGATTGCTGCTAGGATAGCACGGGTGCGTGCAATCTCTGCATCGGCGTTGCGAATGACATTACCGGCTCGGTCACGACTGTTTTGTATAGACGCTTGCATTTGATCTTCTAACTATATGCAAGTCAGCATTCCATCAATTTTGAGTAGATGCCCTGGCAGAAGAGATTTACATGTTCAATGCGATGATGAATCTGCTCCTGCAGATATTCCAGCTGATGCGACAGCGCCCTCAAGCTCATAGGATCAAGCAGGAGCCGGCCCTGACTGCTAGCAGCACTCGTAGCGCGCGAACTGGAATTGCTATTCCGGCCCGAGCCACGGCCTCTCGAGACGCTACCGGCATGGCCTCCTCCTCCTTGCAACGCAATCTGTTGTTGTTGTCGCAATATTTGGATTTCGGAGGAAGTGAGGCCTAGAGAAGTATCGGGTATCGAGGTTGCGACGGACATTTGTCGGCGTCCCTATAGGGACGTGCCCTTGTCGTCGTCTGTCTGTCTGTCTGTTCTTTCCTGTTTTTATACCGCTGAGATGGAAAATTTGGTACCGATCAGATTGGATGCAGAGGCACGACACGGACGGCAGTGCATGGTGATTGATTGTGGTCCCCGGATGGAGTAGCAGGAGTGAGCGTCGTAGCAAAGCGAGGGCGAGGTGATTGTCGTACGAAGCCGCTGTAAGGGAAAGTACCAAGTCGATAATGTAGGTCGGCGTGACGAAGTAGATGATGTGAAATGTAGCGTCGGATTTCTGTTTGTCAAATCGCTGCGTTGCACGTCTGGACCTTCTCCTCTCAGTCACCTACTGACTGACCGGTTTGGCTCCCCGAAAGCACGCCGAAGGTCAAGCAGACTGACTAGCGACGCAGAGGATCGGCCGGCATGAACGTGAAAGAAATAAAAGGGAGAATATAATAACCAATGCGCTGGTTCACACTTTTCGTCTGTATAGCGATGGGACGACGTCGTATGGGCGGCAATGGGGGAGTAACGTCTGAAGGGAACCGCGGCCGCTTGTCGCGTTACACGGACTACGAGAATTGGTGTGGGGAGGCCGCGGTTTGAGAGAGACACGATGCAGGAACTGCGAACGGACCTTGTGGACTCTCAGAGAGAAGAGATCTAGTAAAGTTGAAAATAGAGGTAGGAAGGACGGAGCCGGACGGACGGGTGGAAGAGGAGGAGAGAGTTAGAGGAGGTGTGGTAGTGGTGGTGGTGTACGATTATTTATTATATATGAATTATTCGATCTAACCTGGACTTGCCGGGAGTCATGGCCAATTAATGGCTTGCTTTTAATTTCTTTTCCACTTGATAATAATCATTCGCTGACTCTGATATTATTGTTGTACTTGCACAGGCAGTATTAGGTAGATATAAGGCTGCATAGACACTGCGCATACCAGCCAGTTACCGGGTACTCAGACGTATACTTGAAGATGATATAGGGACTAGCGACTGAGCGACCGATGCGCTCATTGCTGAGAGTAGGACGAGCCCAGACTCTCAATGATGAATAGATGATATGCAGACTATCAAGCCGCATTCGAATCGAGGCGAGGCCAAAGCTGTCTGTCCAATGGCACATGCTCCACAGAGGCCCGGTCAATGAGGTACGTGATGACCAAGAATAAGACGGGCTGATATAAATTAATATTGGGAAAGTATCCTGTCTGTCGCGGAGTAAGGACAATCACATCGGAGTAGGGCGAGAGAAACAATTAGCGGATAATAATTGGAGTAGGGATGCCTGGGATGGAGAGCGAAGAAAGTGGATGACGGAGTAAGATTCCCCGCGTATTTCGAGCTGGGAAAGCGGCAGAATCAGACTAAGGTGGGCGGTGTGGTTCTCTTTCTCGTGTTTCGCTCTCCAACGTTCGTCTGTCCTCTGTAAACAATTTTCAGTGCATTTCGCCTCTGCCTGTGGATTCGATATTACGTCTCTCCTTACCATATCCATCACTGAAAGCTTCTGGGAAACATCTTCCCGGCTGCCCAACGTGTGAGGCTGAAGCACTGCGACCCTGATAGGGTCGGTGTGGTACGGACTACCATTGAAGCTTGCGACTGGCCCAGAGACGTTCTTGATTTATGCTGGCTTATGCACCTACGACGGCCTAAGAGGGTGGTATCAACCTGTGATATTTCACACAATTTACCCGCTGCGGCTCTAGGCTGGCGCTGCTGCAACTTTTGAGAGCTCAAGTACCAATTTTTTCCCACTGCCCACAGGAAGCTTGGTCATCACTAGTACGACAGTCTCAGTGAGCAGCTCGATAAGCCGAAAAATCCATGCACATACGCCTTACTTGACTCCACGATCTACGGTCCTCCCCAGATAATTCATTCTGCATCCGCCAAAACTTACTCCCAACAGCAGGAAACCCGACCACTGAGCATCGCGCAACCTTTCTGATCCCCCACATTTCAAGGCCCGCGTCACCATGCCTAAAGATAAAGAACGCTCAGTCAACCCCGCGCAAGCTCAACGCAAACTAGAAAAACAAAAAGCGCTCAAAAAGGGCAAAGCCGAAGCCGCTGCCCGTCGCAACGAGAAGCTTGCGCGTCGTAACCCGGAGCGGATACAGCGGCAGATCAATGATCTGAAGGGCGTAGAAGAGTCGGGCCAACCGCTGCGGCCGCGGGACAAGCAAGTGCTAGAGGAGTTGGAGCGGGATTTGAAGGCGGTGCTGAAAGCGAGGGAGGCGTTGGGTGACAAGGCGCCGCAGTTTGCGAGAGCGCATCATCATCAGCAATATGAGAATAATACGAATAGACAGAATACCTTGGGAAAGAGGCGGAGGGAAGATGGTGGCCATCACCAACAATGGCGACACGACCAGGAAAGTGAAGGCAGCGACACAGACGAAAGTGTTCGTAATATTCCCATGCCGAGCGATACACCACCTCCAATCCCCCACGAGTTCCGAAGGCGGGGTTTCCATCCTACTTCTGAAAAGGACCAGGGGCCCCGTCAGCCACATGCATTACCTGCGAAACCGGATGCAACAGCTGCAACGCCGGCTGCACAAACAGTCTATGAATCTGCACCTGTCATTCGGGATCTCAAAAAGGAAGCTGTAAGCAAATTTGTCCCGGCTGCAGTGCGCAAACAGCAAGATGCCATCAGGGGTCAGGGGAAGTTGGTTGAACCGGAAGAAATGGATAGGTTAGAAAAGGCTGGTTATGTACCGACAGGCAAGAAGGAAGATGCTCATCAAACCGGAGACGAGGAAGAAGATCCGGAAGAGATTTTGAGGAGGATTGAGGAAGAGACAAGAGCTCAATCGTCGAATCGGAGACACAATGTAGATATCGAGGAGATTACTGATGAGGATGATATGTGACCTGTCTCCCCCCAGTGACTATCTTACGAAGATGAATAGAATGCACTAGAGACAAAAATTCATGAATGAAGTAATCCGATTTCAGTCTGTCCTGAAGACTCCTACAAACCCACCATCCAGATTATACGTACAAGAAAAAGAAGAACTATCACAAGACGTGAATGCGTAGAAAAAGTACCCCAACAGGAAAGAGAAGAAAAGAGAAGAAAAGAGAAAAAGATTCCACACTTTGACAAGAAAGCAAAAGCCAAAAAGGAGATATACCAAACACTAACACCGATTGAAACCAAAAAGTACGCCTTGTAAATGCGACCTAGCCGTTTGTCTGCCGAAACGCCGGATTTTGTTGTAAAGTTCTGATTAGAGACCAAAAGAGAGTAGACAAATTGGAAGATTGATGGAAGAGAACGAATGTCGTGTATCGAGACATAGGAGATGGGACAAAGGAAATGTCGTGGGAAGCGTTCATCGTGTTTGCTCGAAAGCAGAAGCAAAGGTAAATCCAAGGAGAGTCGTTTCATATCAAGAATAATCACAGAATGCTCGCTACTAAGCGGATGAATGAAGTAAATCATCGGAAATTGTGATAGACGCGTCGCGAAACGAATGGACTGGGCATCTGCTCGCTGTTTGGATCCCAGGTCGCTGGAAGTTCGGTGGATTTGCCGAATGACGAGAGTCCCGAGCCAGATGATGAGGAATTAGTATAAGCACGAGAATCGCTCGACACGCGTTTTGCATCTTCCACTATAGCACGGCCGCCGGCACGGGCCTGAGCCAATTCAACCAAAGTGCGTCCACCCATGTTACGCTGCATCACCGCTTTGTACATGCTGTTGTCATCACTGCTGCTATTGCTGGATGAGTTGATTTTGGTGGCGTGGAAGGTAGCCGCTTTGCCCGCCGCACCTTTACGAGTAGGTGAAGTTGCGTCGCCGATCAGATTAGAAGTAGATGGGATCTTGGACAGACGTCGAGTGGGAGACTTTGATCGCAATTCGGCCGATAGTGGGCGAGCCATCTCTTGTACTTGCTGCTGCTGCGTGGAAAGTGGGCCTGCAATTATTGGTGGTGGAGGTAATCGTGATGCTCCTGCCGGAAAGATAGATGGTTGATTGCTCATCTTTGACACCATAGCAGTGGTCTGATGACGAAGCATGGGACGACGAACTGCCTTGAAAGGGTCTGGCTTAACCTTGGGACGAGTTGGCGATGGAAGTTCGGGAATATCTTCTTCGTCGTCCGAACCCAAAAGGCAAGGCTCCCACTTAGATTTCTGTTGCGCCTGCTCCGTAAACAGATTTTTGGTGATAGGTGCTGTGCGTCGGGGAGATAGGGACAATGACGCGATGGTAATTGGAGATGGTTCACCCATCTGTATATCCATAGGCGACTCGACTGTGGTCTTTGCGCGACTGAAAGGTGTGCGCGACACCTTTTGCATAGGTTTGTTGCGGCTTGAGCTGGGTGATTCCAGGGAGAGGTCACTGATGTCGGTTGTTGATGGAAAGTCGGAATCTTCACTGCAGCTGGTCGAAGAACCGGATGTTTCACGTGGTTGGATGAACTCTGGCACTGGGACTTTCGTCTTGTTCACCTTTTCTAACTCGGCGGAAACGCGTGCGCGCACCTCTGTTTCAAATTGTTTTGATAGTTCATCATATCGCATCTGCACCTGACGCTCAATCTCCAAGCGCGCCTTGACTTCCCATTCCCGACGGAGAGCTGCGTCAATCTCCTCTCGGGTAAGTGCCTTGTCTTTCTCATAGTTTGCCATTCTGATTTCAAGATCCTTCATCTTCTGTAGAGCCGCCTCCTCACGTCTCTTGACTCGCGTTGTCATATCTACGACTTCCCGTTCCTTGCGCACTAAGCGGACCACAGGAAGGTTGAGTAAGGTGGCAGTGTCAGGTCGCTGGTCAGGATTGACACGGAGGCAGCTAGCAATAACGCCTTTCAACTCCGACGAGTACATATCAGGCAGCGGCGGGTACTTGCCCTCTCGGATGCGCTGAACCAGCTGAATGTGTGTTTTGGCGTTGAATGGTGGAGCTTTCTGGCATAGCTCATACATGATACAACCAAGAGCCCAGATGTCTGAGTGAAGGGTGTATGGCTCCGCAGCACAGATCTCAGGCGACATGTAAAACGGAGTGCCGACATAGGTAGAAGCAAAGTCGTGGGATTGCATGAGCTTCGACAGGCCAAAATCACCAAGTTTGACACTGTTATCGCTTCCGAGGAAAACTGATTGAAGGTTAGTTAGTGAACAACATGAAGACTGATGCTCAGGACACTTACTGTTTTCTGGTTTCAGGTCACGGTGTAGAATCATGATTTGTGCTTGTTTTCCCTTCAGGCCTGATCTAGGCTGTGGCGGGCCCAAGAGGTTTGATCCAACAGGTGGCGCATCGGTACCATAGTGGCAGCGATACAAGGCCGTTGCCAATTGAGCCAGCACGCGCCAAACAAAGTCCTCCTCCGCAAACTTGTTGGTGTTTTTCAAGTTCTTGATCACCATTCCGAGGTCTCCTCCTCCACAGTATTCCATGTACAGGTACAAGTCTTGCGATGCCTTTAAATGTTCGCGATGGTAGTATGCGACGATGTTTGGGTGACGAAGCGAGCTGAGGATGTTGAATTCTGCGGTCAATTGCTCTCGTTCCTTTTGCGACATCTTGATGTAATTGATTTCTTTGCGGCAGAGGATCTATGCCACATTGTATAAGCCTAGCACTGTTGCAAGATCAATATGAGTACTCACAAAACCATCCGACTTGCGTTTGACCTTTCGAATGATACCGAAGGAACCGGCTCCTGTTCAATGTTAGCATCAAGATGCTCGAGCATGAAGAGTAGGATACTAACCAATCTTCTCCAAGACCTCATACTTGTCTGTCTCTGCAAGAGCGATGCTTGCCATGTTGACTGAATATTGGAATCACTGATTCACAAATCGCAATCCAAAGTGGTGCTGGTGCAGAGCAGCTCAATGAAGTAACAAGCTCATGAACGAATGAAGAGAAGTGCTGAACGAGAAGAGAACCCTAGATGGTTAGTAGGAGAAGCACATGTCCTGTGAGGAGGTGTGACAACAGGAGAAGGTTAAGATCGAATTGTAGATTGACTGTAAAATGTGGTGATAGACAGAGAGAGAGAGCTTGCCCACCAGCCATAATTAGCTCCATGTGTTTTGGTTCCTTCCGTTGCGTAGCAACCGCCTGGCATACCGAAGGCGGTGAGGTTAGTGCGCCCATCACCAACATGTTAGTCTGGTTTTCCTTTGGTCTTAGGATGAACCACATGAACTGGGCTTAATATCTGTGATGTTCCGCTCCTCTTTAGGTTTGTGCATCCGTTTTCTGAAGTCGCTAATTCGAAGGAACTTCCACACAAGAAGTTGGCATCTCTGTTTGAGGAAGTCGCATCACGTGATGTTAGCTTATCGATAAGCTTATCGGCAACAGTTATCCTTGCAGGCTGTGCTTCTACGTTCTACACGACTACAGCATTCAGCTCAGTTTCTTCAGATGATATGATGTATACTGCGCGGAGTCAAGATGACAATCAGTCTCTTGCTGTTATGAAGTGGTATTCATTGGCGTTGTTCTGGGCAACATCTAGTATCACACACACTACTTTCCGGAGTTAAAAAATCTCAGGAACGTGCCCTATGATTCTACCCCGGACCGCATTTTATACCCATATCTGAACGAGAAAGAGTATAAACAACAAGCTATAGTGTGATGAGTCTCCGGAGCAAATATAAGTGATGTATACAAGTTGATAGGTTCAGCGTGGTGGCTGATGCTTACGGGAGATCGGCTTAAGTCCGAGCCGTGTAGTGGGGTCATTGGCAGCCATACAAAGACGTCAACCGACTCAATACATTGTTCAAATTGTCGTATTCCCCGCGCCACCTTCTGGACTTATCCTTCAGTTTGTTCGCTCGAGTTCACCCATCTCTCAATCGACATGACAGATTTAGATATTCTTCGGAAAGATCAACTCGAAATCCGTCTGCACAATGAGAAGAGGCTGATTCACGAAGGCGCCCTCAAGGATGAGAACCCGTTGGATTTCAGCGAAGGCTTCCGACAGCTCTGTGAGGCTTGTCGGAAAGGCGACTTGAAGGTCTGTCAAGAGAAGATCTCAGAGGGTGTCAATATCAATGCGCGGGATAGCTATGATTATACACCTCTCATTCTGGTAGGTTGCGCTGTTTTTGAAGATCCCTCCGGGGGTTGCTGACACAAAACTACAGGCAAGTCTCTGTGGGCATTTCGAAGTCGTGCAACTTCTTTTAGAATCCGGCGCATTGTGTGAACGAGACACATTTCAAGGTGAACGGTATTGTCAATCTAGCACTCGGATATATCACTCGTGAGCCAATGCTGATTTCAATCATAATAAAGATGTCTTTACAACGCCCTAAACGACCGTATAAGAAACCTACTCCTCAAGTATGACTACTCGAAATCCACCGACCCTCTTCAGCCTTTCGCCGCACACGTATCATCCCTCCTGACTAGAGATCATCCGGTAACGTGGGATATCGTCGTTACCGACGGAGACGAATCCTTGTTCCTCCACAAGTTCATTCTTTCGGCGCGCTCGCCGTACTTCCAGAAGAAGCTTGCAGCTGCTCCTGATTCGACATCCTGGAAGCTTCCCAACACACTCCCACCAGCAGCTTTTGCTGCCGCAATAAGATACATCTATCTCGGCGACTCTCCGAGAGAGTTGCGCGCCGGCCCGGGGACCGGTTTCACAGAGTCCGAGGTTGTGGCTGGCGTTGATCGAATCGGAAGACATCTCGAGATTCCAAATCTATTGGACATTGTTCTAGAAAGCGGCGACAGGCGATTAGCTCGCCAGAGACGAACAGACGAGCTAGCCCGAGGAAGAGATCAATTCGAATCTTGGTTTGAGAACAACATTATTGGCCATAAGGTCGTTGTTGAAACAGCAAAAGCAAAAGACGTAAAATGGGATCGCAGCAATGGAATATTTGCCGACGTCCTTCTTCGAGCCGACGAGCTTCCTGGAGAGGGCGATCCGACTATAGAGACAAATGAAGAGAGCCGCAGCTCTATCCCCGTGGGCCCTGGAGGCGGAAGCTCGATAAACCAAAAGAACCATGTGGCACCCAAGCAGAGATCTGTATTATATCCTGCCCACCGAGCGATGTTGCTGAGATCGGAATTCTTCAGCGCTATGTTCTCATCGACATTTAAAGAAGCTCAGGTTACAGAGCATCTCAATATAATAAGCGTCGACTGCTCACCAGAAGTGCTTGAGATAGTCTTGAGATTCTTCTACACCGAAAAAGCAGATTTTCCGCTAGATATTGCGGTAGACGTGCTCTTTGCAGCCGATCTGTTGTTTATTGAAAAACTCAAAACCAAAGCTGCCGTGCTTATTAGCAGTCTAGGTAGCGCCAACATGTCACAAGCACAAGCCTCCAAGACTCGACCGGCGCGACAAAACGGACAAAGGCCTGACGAAAAAGCCGAGGAAGATGAGATCGATATCTACGAAATCATTCGAGCCGGCTGGATTACTCGGGTACAACGACTTGAGGAGTTTGGCGCGCGATATCTCGCTTATCGATTGGAGGAGCATGTCGATACTGAAGATTTCGCAGAACTGATCAAGGAATCCGCTGGACGAATTCAAAAGCGTCAGGAAACGGATTCCATTGAATTACTCGACGACATCCGTTTCTATCTCAGCGAGCGCTTCCGACTTCGATTCGACGACGTCGGTCTGGAGGAAATGATTGAGGAGAACGAACCACAAAATTGGTTCCCTCCTGAGGCACAACAAAACGGCGATCAAGCCGCCGTCACAGAGGATATGGCCAAACTGAATATCTCTACCGAACAAATTAAACCGGATGAAGTTGTTCCGGCTGCCTTGAATCCGACTGCAGATCACGTTGCGATTATCAGGACGTTGGATGGCGCTATCGTTGAAGACGAATTCGATCAAGATGCGATGAATTATAGAATTCTGCTAGATAAGCTGGATCGACTACTGGAGCGACTCAACTTGGATGCATAGGGGGCGACTTGGCAAATGATGAATTTTTTGAACATATAAAATGCTGTCTATAGACAAAATTGTCTATACTTTCATGAACATACAGACTACGACTTATGACCATAACAAAAGATTTGGTGGGATTGGTCTATAGATGCACATACACAAGAACGGTATATAAGACTACATAGAAGCCATCATTATATTACACTTTGCATCACAGACGTTGTTGAGCTGAATGAGTATATTCTAAGAGTTAATATCGGACAATTTAATGATTATTCCAGTTTTCTTTGTACCAGAGGCTCTCTTGAGATGGGTCTTACCCAACGTTGAGTCATCGTTTACCTTCCTTCAGTTCACTTTTCACACACCCCAAATTTACCTGCCTAAGAAGAAGAACCTACTCGAATGTACCCATGAAACTTGAAATGAGCGATCTTCCGACTGCAACAAAACCATTCACAACGCAAGGCCTCCGCGAAATCTGCGAGGTCAACGGCCGCCCCCTTCCGACGCAGGACAGGCAGACAACACTGGACCGAATACATCCCTGAAAACGACAACAACCCCTAGACACAGATAATTCTTTCTAATTATCCCTCATTTACGAAAAACAAAACGACGAACAACCCATGCACTGGTCCCTCTACCTCGCCCACGAAAACCTACCAGGCTATTCTTCTAAAGTAACCGGAGACGCAGAACTAATGTCCTACGTCCCATCAATCGACGGGGTTGACGTGGAAATCTGAGCCCTTACTGACGCTGTATCAGCTTGCGGGGCTAACTGAGCAGCAGGCTATGGTGGTTAAGGAGGTAGCGGATGTTGAGCCGCCTCCGAAGGCAGTGTGTATAGGCAGGCCGTGATGGTGGAGAATTGCCAGTTTGGGCGGTGCTTTCTATGACGAAGTTAGTTGAAAAGGGGAGTCTCTTCCATCAGGTTCTGAAGCCATTCAATAACATGTCGTCTTTCGGCATTCCCCGTGAAAAGGTCGTATTCATCATCACGGTGATGCCGCGGCCTGAAAGAAACAGGCAACGCTAGTTGCCAAGCATCGAGCGACTGCCGAATACTTCTCAATGATTCAAATCGCACTGTGTTTGCGTAAGAAGAAGAGGGTAAGGTGTCACAAGTCCTCGCTAAAAAAAAAAAAGGACATGCGATTCGTCCATACTTCATCCGACGCCGGCGACAACGGATCCAGCTCGTCGATCAGATTAAGATCAAATTAGCATCGTGCGTCCATCAAGAAGCACATGTGAATATTCTCGCGTACAAAGACCCGGGACGAGACACCTTCTAGATCAATTTGGAACAGTGACCAGCGAGATTCCTTGGACGGGAAAATAGAAAAAGCGCCCTTGAAGTGATGCTGGAAATCCTGGTTGACTTCTGCAAATTGTCCCGAGGTGCGCATGAGGATCACTGTAGCCATTAGACACTCATCCGTGGATGATAATTGTGCAAGATGGATTGATGGCGACAAGGCTCTTATGACCCAAGCCTTCCTCCTGTATGATGTCGGTCCACGAGCCTGTATTGGAAGAAGCATTTCGTATTTCGAGATGCTTCTCGTCATCACTGCACTCGTGAAAACGTTTGATTTTGAGCTGTTTTATCCGAAATATGAACTTAGGGTTTGGGAGAGGTTCAACGCTGATCCCGATGAGCTTTTTGTCAATCTAAAGATCAAAATGAGATAAAAAGTCCATGTAGAGGAATTGTCGACTTTGTTACCATAAATCGGGAAGCAATTATCATCTCATTTCAATGAAGGACATCCTATTCTCTGGTTGACGCTTGTTTGATCGTTTCGCATATACCTGCCCAGTTAGTATTAAGGTTGTTGGCTGTTAAAGTTGTTGGGGCTAAACCACTAGCCCTATCATTGTACATCAAGTCTGAGGCACATTCTTGCCATCATACAACTTATAGTGACAATATCCAATCTGAAGAGAACACTCTGAGTGCCATCAGTTGACAGCCTGTCTCTTCCTCTAGAGTATTGGTGTTTTGTGAACGATACTTGTCATACGTCCGAGAAATTGGTGCAAGCTAAAAGTTAGGGCTTGATGCCCACTCAACTTATGTAGTCCAGCCAAGGCTTATGATGAGACATAAATACAAAGCCTTCTACATATTCAATATCTCGTCTTCCTACAGTATCGACTTCTCAGATCACGAACACCTGCTACCGGTACAAAGTGCTATAAATTGGTGCAGATCTTCAAACTTAACTCCGCAAGGATCAGGATCAAAACACGCCCAAATCTAGATCAAACTCTACTGGGGTGACGAATCATCCTAGATATGTACATTGAAAAAAAGCCTCAATTGCGCAATGCATAAAATCTTTACCTAAAACAAACATGGGTATCTAGCTCATCCGCAGTCCAGTGTAGGGCGCACATACTTCGATGTAACGGGCGATGGCTCAAGCAAATGACAAGCTTCAAAAATCACTGACTAATCATACAATTTTGGCACCGTAGCCACTTAGATAAATGAGATTATGTTCGTAGAAACGTAAGCAATACTAAGCAATAGTAAGCATACCTTGATATAGACCAAGCTCTTCAATTCTGTGCTAAAGGGTCGTAGTCGATCGACGGTAGATCCCCACAGACGGACTTCAAAAGCCTTTTAAGTCAGAGTAACGGGCGCCCTTGTGTAGCATATTGCCACTAGTTCCACAAAATCTGCTGCCTGCTTGTCTAATGGCATCTCACTTTTTGATAATCTACTACGAAGGAAGCGAATGGCACTCCTCTTTAATAGCGCTCAAGTAAGAGCCCAGATGAATATGGACATAATTTATAAACAGCACATCTCGTGATGATGTATATTTTGCTTAAGATCATCCATTATCCCTACTTAGGTGCATTAGTCAGGCTGTATGTTGATTCCGCCTCCAAGCGCAGAAACTCCGTTCTTGCAGTAGACTTGTGATGATAATCTCTAGTGCAGTGCGCAGGTAAGCACTGGCTAGTATCAAATACTCGCGCATTGCGAACTTGCCGCCTTTCATCGTCTATGCCTACGTATGTAGCCTTATGTCTAAGTACGTTTTTCTGCATGAGATACGACGTAAGACCCAGTACCCCGCTTAATAAGTAGCAAAAGCTGTCATATATAACACACTTAGTTATTAAGCCCTTATTTATCTTCACGGAGATTTCCTGCTAGATAGTACATAGCTAAAATTATCAAACTAGAGCGGACAGATAAACCTATATTGATAAGACTAAACTACTAAGTAGTCTTCAAGACTGCTAGTTCTACTTAACTCCGAGTTTGATTTCATCATGATTGTGGACCAGGAACAGCCATTCTGTTTGTGTAGCAACTTGACAGGCTTACCCTGGCTATTGTATGAGATACAGCTAGGCATTTTGAACAGATGAATGAGGGTTTAATGGAATCTGATCTTTGCAACAAACGTCACCAAGACCTTGCAATTGCTCCAAGACCCCCTCATGCATAATCTCTCCCATCGTGGATCCCTCTAAGCCCTTAAGCTCGTTTAGTGCTCGTAAGTGGCGGATAGTGCCTGTGAGTTACATTCCGAGTATAGTTGCCCTGTTAGGTAGTAGGTAGACTACCGGGGTTATGGTTTCGTCCATGCTAGATATACTCGAGACATAAACGGAGCCGAGGATTTCTGCTCAACGATTGGTTTCAACCACCCGGCACCATATGTTCCTCCCCATGTAGGATTCTCCATTTTGAGAATTTAGGATCCTCCGCACTTGCATGACGCATGGATTGAGGAGAATCTCTTATAAAGAGCTAGTTAGCGAGCCCAAATGCCCAGGCCTTTGTTTTCCAACCCAGCTAATTGAGTAATTTGTGAAGAGCAGCCAGATTTGTATCGCTCAATTTTGCTCATCATGGCTGCCACAAGCTTGATCGATGGTGTCTCGAATCTTTTGCGACAAGATAATCTTCCCTATACTCTCATAGGTGGACTTGCAGTTATAGTTCTAGTCTCCTGGGTGACATATTTGAATGACCCCCTCAGGTCTATTCCTGGCCCATTCTGGGCACGATGGGGTCCCGCATGGTTGGTATACTGGGCTCGACATGGAACTATGCATCGAAAAATGATCAAGATGCATGAAAAGTACGGAGGGTTGGTCCGAACAGCTCCCAATGAAGTGAGCTTCTCGAATCCAGAGTATCTCAAAGTTGTGTATGGTTAGTGGAATCCTAGCTGCTTGTACTTGATACTCAAACAGCAAAATCTAATGCATATACTTTGATATCATAGGTGCCGGCAGCGACTTCTACAAAAGTGACTGGTATAGCGTGTGGCAGGGGCGTCGCAAATGGGATCTTTTCGGCGAGCGCAGTGAAGCCATTCATCGAGCACAACGGAGATTGGTCAGTCAAATATACTCACTGTCCAATATGAAGAAGTTGGAACCCTATGTGGATAACGCAACAACGTTGTTTCTTCAAAAGCTGAAAGACATGTCCGGGAAAGAGATGAACATGACCAAATGGGCTCAACTCTACGCCTTTGGTGAGTTTTATCTAGAGCTCATTTTCAGTTTTGGTTTCAATCTACTAATAAAAGGAATATTAGATGTTATCGGAGAAGTAACGTTTTCCAAAACGTTCGGCTTTCTAGAAGCCGGCGAAGATATTCACGGCGCTTTTACTCTGATCGATAACTCATTACGCTCGGCAGCTTGGGTAGGCTACGTACCTTGGGTATACTGGGCCAACGTGCGGTTTGCCCCTATTATTGGAAATCGCCTTGGAGTTCTCGGACGTCAAAACGGGTTGTTGACCTTCGCCGCAAAAGCCATCAAAGAGCGCAAGGAAAGAGGTAGCGACCACCAAGATGTTCTGGATCAATTGTTCGAAGTTCAAAAAGAAAAGCCGGAATTTGATGATATTTGTATCACGTCAATGGTTGCAAGCAACGTCTTTGCCGGAAGCGATTCCACGTCCATATCCGTATCGGCCTTTATCTACCATATCATCAAAAACCCGCAATATAAAGCGAGACTAGTGTCGGAGATTGACGAGGCGGCAAAAGCCAATAATATTAAGCATGGTGAAATCTTTCCGATTGATGTTGGCAATAACATGCCGTATCTACAGGCATGCCTGCAAGAGGCTATTCGTTGCCATCCTGCTGTTGGAATGAATCTAGGCCGAGTTGCGCCGCCACAAGGTATCGAGATAGATGGAACATATATCCCTGGTGGTGTAGGTTACCCTTCACTATATGATCGGTCTCTTAGATAACTGACGAGTCATACTGTCTAGACTGTCGTTGGAGCGAATGCGTGGGTCGTCCACCAACACAAGGAGACTTTCGGTGACGATGCCGATAAATTCAGGCCGGACAGGTGGTTGGAGGAACCGGAACGTGTAAGCCAGATGAGTAAGTCTCTTATTAAATGCTTTCTGACAACAAAATTACGTCAATGGAATTCTAATGATTTTTAGAGCGTGCATTTTTCAGCTTTGGAGCAGGATCACGATTTTGTATTGGCAAGAGTAAGTTACACTATCAAGGGTAAGCATACCAGTGTCTAGTTGCTGATCAGAGACCTAGATATTGCATGGCTAGAGCTATCAAAGGTATTCATAACGAATTTATTTTCATTTTCATTGAACCAAAGAGTATCTGACCCTGATCATAGATGGCGCCATCCCTATTTCATGACTTTGAAATCGAGCTTGTCAATCCGGACGCGAGCTTGCAAGAGATCGCCATGTAAGCCAAGTTTTCCCTAGTGCGTCTATCCAAATCGAAGCTCATTTCCATAGGTCATTTGTGAAACTAGAGGGCCTTCAGGTGACTGTTTCGCCGAGAAATTGAGTCAACTAGACTCCTCCGCACTGTTCAGTCTTCAACTTGTGGGCTAGCGCCTTTGTTTTTAGCTGAAGGCAGTTTCTCCTAAGTGGATTTTGTCACTATTGATCGTTACACTTATTGCGGATAAGCTTATACCACAGAAATTATGACTATGCGATTTTGAGCAGATGTCAGAAGCTCTAGGAGGCTATTGATTACATTTGTTTGTTTAAGCTATACCACAGATGAATTCATCTGACTTATTGAAGTGTTCCAAACAGCAAAGACGCACTCTTGTCGGGGCAAGCTGAAAAGACTAGTATCAAAACATTTGTATAGGATACAAGTGCCACTGTTTAAAGTTTCAACTAAGCATCGCGGCTTGATTTCTCTCTTGACACCTAGCACATAGCTTTCCCATCTGGTAATTTTGAAGCCGAGTTAAATAAGAAGATCTTGAATATTGTATGCTTCGATCATCGCAATGGCCAAGCTCGAGCAACTGCCAATAGAAGTTCTACTTCTCATCATCGGTATGGTCCGACCGAACCGAGACTTCTTGGCTTTCTCGCGGACCAGTCGCTCCATCCACAATCTGACCAAAAACGAATTACAGATGCGACGAAAGTATCGTCGCATTCGAATCAAGGAAAGTAGCGATTTTGACAAGGCTTTTGCTATCTTACTGTCTATCTTGCGTCTACCTCAGCTTGGCGACTATGTTCACCATATTGAATTTGACCGGCCACCCAGCGGATACGCTGACTATGAAATCAAGAACGACGACCTGAAGGAACTCAGCGATGAAGACCATACGAGATTGCGGCAAACCGTCAAAGATGCCGGCTTCACAGGCGAATATGGGGAGAAGATTATTAACATGGTCTTACAGCCGAACAATTTTCAAGGGGCTTATTATGGGTTAGTTCATACCGCCTAATTGTTCTCATCTCATTATATGACTATTGCTACAGGATGAACGCATGTCTGACAGCACTTTAGAACCAGACAGGACGAATTGCGACCTTCTTGGGTCGCCCAGGCACTCACGGCGCTGCTGGTTTCTGTGTCTCCTAACTTGGAATCCATGGCGGCAAGCCAACCTATGTTTAATTTCACTGGATATCATGATGCGGAAACTCGTGCGAGGATGGGGATGACAGAGGAGATCCTGCGATTTCCACTTGAAAAATTACTAATAGAAACCAACGCTCAGCCGGAAGATAAACTCTACCTACAAAATCTACGCTCCGTAGAGATTCTCCCGCACCAAGATAGCACCTGGGAGGATGAGCGATTCTACACAGGTTTCGATTTATTTGGTATGATTTCATTATTCGATCAACTTCCATCCATGGAGCGTATTGGAGTTGACACTGTGATTGAGGATGAGAATGGGCTCCATGACCTCGAACCCGCCTCGTCGAATATTAGTCGAATCCGGATCGACCATTCCAACTTGCAAACATGGTTTCTCTCGCCTCTAATCAATTCATGTAAAGTTCTGAGAGAATTTCACTATACCATCGGTGGTCGTAGCAGCCTTGATGGCTCATTTGCGGCTTTCAATCCTCGGACTTTCCTCAAAGCGCTCCTGGGCCACAAGATAACTGTAGAAATTCTGCATGTCGATGCGGACAATGACTGTTACTTTGCTGAGATGGAAGAATACGGTGATCATCGAGCGGTTGAACGCGAAGAGAATGAACAAGAACCGGCTCACAATGATCCACAGGGACTTTGGGAGCGAACCGGTTCTCTACGAGACCTTTCGGCTTTGTCTAAGCTTAATATCGGAATTGGAATTCTCTTGTTCTTAGCGCTAGGCACTCAAGGTATGGAAGCAGGGGACCCTTATAATACATCATTTGACGGGCTTGTGCTTGCGGAATCGTTGCCGGACACCCTTGAATCACTCGTCATCATAGGGTATGAAAAGGGCGTTCGGGCGGACTTTGACAAAATCATCGACCAGTTCATGATTGATAAGGATGAAAAGTTGCCCAAGTTGAAGCACGTCACTGGTATTGAAGAAATGATCAAGAGGGCCGAGACAGTCCGTTCTCCAGACGACGAGAGCGAACTCCTGTGGGAACCTGAGGAAGAGGAGTGGTCAGAGTACGAATACTGATTAGTTCCATTACATTGCATACTGTGTGTTTAAGATTTGACAAAATTTGAACGATTTTCGTGCGGCGTCAACGAGGGTTGTTAAGTTGCCACACGGGAAAGTCGGGAGTTAGAGAAAGGCGCGGATGCTGGTGCAAACCAAGTCAAATATTGCATAGTAGGGCGTGTAGAATACGAGATTCATTTGTTGTCATGTTGTTCAATGCTACATCAGGCTATTCAGTAACTATAAGGAGCACTGATATTTGGGGGATCTCACTTCGGGCAGGGCTCAACATGTTTGCCCACCCCGATCCCGTATATACTGCACCAACGAAGCTCTCTCATCGAGTCTGTGTACCACGAAATAAATTTGTCTCCACTAGAGAAATGGACCATATATCGAAAAATACGTAATGCCTCGGCCAAAGAAGCGAAGGCTACACACTGAGATGACTTTGCAGCCCGCTAGTAGTTGATCCTCAGATCACTGCTAAATTAATTCGATCATTGAAACCGATTGGATTCTCGTTCATAAGGTACATCAAACCTCTCAATTGCTGCGGAGTAGCTGAGCAGATTATTTGCTTATAAATACTACAAGCACTCCCTAAACTAATTCATTTGCTGGGTAGTGAGGGCCTTTGCTGTTTTCGGCTACTTAGGCAAGCCCTAATTTAGGGCGCGCACCGGACAACTGAGACTCCCTTTTGCTGCTTCAGGAAGTAGATGTATTGCGACCCCAGCATTTGTGAGCGGTTATTCCTTTTTATTCAATTTTATTGACATGGATTGTTCATTAATATTGGCTAAGACTTCGATGACTCCATCTAGCGTGATCTTTGATCGACTTTTCTTTTTCCCTCGGTGATCATTCGATTTCTTCCTTTATAATCACGGTCGCCTAAGATAATAAGTAAGCATTGCATGGATGGCTTGATTCTTCAGTAGATGTCACACGCTTAATTGGACATCACCACCGTTGTCAAAAGCGCAAGCTTCGAAGGAGAATTTTCCTGCAGACCTCGGTTTATTTCATGGACGACATCACCTCGCATTTCCATTATGGTTCACACTAATTTATCTCAAACAACATCGACCATTGAGACTTACACAGAAGAAAGCCGCGCTGAGCAGTCAACCCAAGATATCGGTGCAAATTCCTCGACAACAAGCACAATGAGTCACAACGACGCAACAGCATTCGATGAAAAGCCAGCAGAAAGCACAGCTTCGGATGGCGTGCTACAGACCACAGACGAAGAAAATAACAATAAGATCGAGCCCGAAAAACCAAAGGAATCAGTGCACAGTGTATCATCAGTACCGAATGGAGGAGCACAGGCCTGGTTACAGGTTCTTGCGGCTCATTTCCTATTTTTCAACTCATGGTGAGTTATATCATGTATCTAACCAAAAAAAAACCCCCCGACTAATTCATTTTCAAGGGGCATTGTCAATACCTTCGGTTCCTATGAGACATATTACAGTGTCGATCTACTCTCCACTTCATCTTCATCCGCCATATCATGGATAGGATCCATTCAAGCATTTCTGTTATTATTTGTTGGCGCCCTGACAGGGCCTCTCTATGATGCAGGATACGCTCGTCATTTGACTATCAGTGGCTCCTTCTTCCTTGTGTTTGGTCAGATGATGTTGAGTCTTTGCAAAGAGTATTGGCAGGKTCTGCTCGCTCAGGGATTCTGTGTCGGAATCGGATGCGGATTACTGTGCGTGCCTAGCACTGCTATTCTCGCCCAGTATTTCAGTACCAAGATTGCAACAGCCGTGGGATTCACGGCCGCCGGTAGTAGTTTTGGTAAGCCTCTTCAAAATGTCACCAGACGGCTTTTTATTGACAATCGACAGGTGGCATCATCTACCCGGTTGTCTTTCACAAACTCCAACCCAGCATCGGTTTCCCCTGGGCCACTCGAGTGATTGGCTTTCTCATCCTTGCAACACAACTCATTGCCATCGCCGTCTACAAAGTCCGAATTCTACCAGAAAAGAAACGTGCCATTCTAGATTTTGCGGCTTTCAAAGAACCGGCATACGTCATCTTCGTTTTCAGCGCATTTGTCGGTTTCATGGGACTGTATCAGCCTTTCTTCTATGTCCAGACATTTGCAATTGAGAAACACATCACCAACGGGAATCTCGGCTTCTATATACTTGCCATCATGAACGCTACCAGTGCTTTTGGTCGAATTATTCCGGGCATATTATCCGATAAAAGTAAGTGCATTTTTTGAATTGTTCGAAACCTGATCTCTAACACCAACTTAGTCGGCCCTATGAATGTCATGATCCCTTGTGCCATCATCTCGGCAATGCTCTGCCTCTGCATCATTGCTGTCAAAAACGCCGCTGGTCTGGTCGTTCTCATGGCATTTTATGGCTTCTTTTCTGGAACCTTTGTCTCATCACCCAATGCAATTGTGGTGCATCTTTCAGCCCACAATCGAGCCAAAATCGGAACAAGACTGGGTCAAATGTTCGGAGTTATCTCGTTCGGCATGTTGATCGGTATGTCCCTCTCCTTGTCAGTCAAATTCAAGATAGTACTAACTTCCTGCTTAGGTACTCCCGTCGGTGGTGTTGTCCTCGATGATCACGGATACAATTCTCTCTGGATATTCTCCGGCGTCCTAGTCGCAGCTTCAGGTGTATTCATCATTGTGAGCCGCAAATTTTACAGGGGCTTAGGACTGATGACAAAAGCGTGATTTGAAGTCAGTTTATTATTTTTGTAGTTTTAAGTTTTTCTCTACTTTCTATTTGTTTTAATGATTGATTTCTTGCTATCACATTTGGCACTTGAAGGTGTTAGGGCTTCCTTTTATGCATATTCTGAGGTCGACATAAAATACGGCATTGAGAGCAAGTAAAAATATAAATAATTTTGTCAAATTCAATATTTTGGTCAACAGAAAACGAGGTCCGACTGTAACAATTGTGAAATACAGTCACTTTTTATTATGAGTCGCTTAATTGCAGAATATAGCAGGTAGAAACTACGCCGCTACTGCTTCAATCCCTTCTTCCATGCCTTTCTTCTTCGAGTATAATGTTGTATGACTACTGCTGAGGGCAGACTGCCGCTATAGATGTTTACGTAGACCCCATATGCTGGCATAACCTGACAATATCAGTAGCAAGGCCAGTCATCAGGTAGCCGAAGATGGTCACTAAACTGGTACATAGAAACCTTCGGCGTCGAGGAGAGAGCCGGTGATACGCTAAACAAGTGATTCATAAGACTGACGATGAAAGTGTATTCGAAAGAGTAATATAGACCTTTCTCCCATGATTGCCAACAAGTATCAAAAGCCTCGGAAGTCATAGGTTTGTAGGGAAGGTAGCAAAGATGTCATTCTCGTAGTACCAAGTGGCTGCACTCGAGAACCCTGAAAATTTGTGTGTAATGTAGATCGTCGAAAATAGCTGTCATCGGGGAACAAGTTGAAGATCGGGCAAAAAATCAATATGATCTTGATAATGCATTCTCATGGATTTGATTGAATCCTCAACTCTGGACTTCTGGGTGGACTGATGTTTCATCCGAGAGAAAGACTAATCTCATGCGGCGGATGGGAGTATAATGGACTGTACATGCTTTAGCATCTGCGTGTTGATTTCTAAAAGCTCAGCTGATTCCATGCAATGTATTTTATGTTTGGACCATCAGAAAAGGTCAACTCGTAGATTTGGTCGATGCCAAATGCTGTACGATGATAGTGTACCCTTATACAAACATCCACGGTCCAGGTTTTTCGGTGCAACACAATTTGAAAGCCTTCTGGAACCGTCTGACAGTTGGTAGCACAATCTATATTGTCTAGGAGACACCTGGTTTTCTTGTCAAGGATTGACTGTTCAGACTATTGCAAATCCATAACTAGCTGACCGACAGCCATATACGGCCATATCATGGTGGTCTCTAGGGCTTTGCGGCAATAGAGATGGATTTCATATTTCAAGGTGTGGTTCAAGGCTTCCTAACAGGATTGGAATTAGGCCAATTGTTCGATCAAAAGACAACAAATCTCTGTCGTGTTTCAATATTCGAGCTTTGCTCCCAATGCAAGCTCCTTAAAGCCTTCAAGGAATGATATCTGTCACTTCTCAAGTGAACCATAATCCTCCAAATCACTGAAACCCGGTGCGTCTTTACCTAGTATTGTACAATTCGAGGCAGCTCAGAACCTGTATCAATTCTTGTCTTCGCCCATCGTGTACTGTAATTTATCTAGCATTGATACAACTGTAGCATCGTGACTACGCATAAGCTATCAGGACATCAAGCTCATATACTAGTAAATCAGACAAGTAAGAGTATCATTAGATTCCAGAGAAAGTAAATAGAAATGAATTGAGCGCAACTCATCACACTTGGCTTTTGAGAAGCAGGTATGGAAGATGACGAGAACATACTAACGAACTTCATCAGTTCACGATGGGTAATCCAGTAACTACATTTTGGCCTGACCAGCAAGCATGGTATATACATAGACATATCCAGTGCAGTACGGATGCCTTCTTGTAATACATGTCCTTGACTTCTTGATACCTATTCTCGAAGCCCGAAGGATGAATATTTGATAGACTGATTTCAGCGGGTCCTTTGGGATTCATTCGCACTGAGCAATGACTAAATGAGCATGACATTGCTCCACAGGGATTGGCTAGAAAATCATTCAATTATTCCCCTCTTTTCTTGTTCATTAGGGTCTGGGATTTGTTACCAATTTACGGGGTCTTTGATTGAAGCTAGAGTGCCGTACGAAATACCTCTTTCAGCCATGGATTAGAGGCGGTTCAAGAATCATGCATCGTGGGGGTGTGATACATTTCAATACATTTTCAGGGAGAAAGCATACAGGTTATGGACAAACGACTGCATTTGCCGAGGTATTACCGTACAGCTTCTAACGTACTCATCGGCGCCGAATTTCACGTCTAATGGCATATAAAGGCAGAACTATTGAAAAAGTGATACATATTAGTTAGGGGTTTCGAATCCAATCTGATTATATCATCTATCGATTATTGAACCCACGGCAATCCGGCAGACTTTTGCCGAACAAAAAGCCGAACTATCTCCCTCGATATACACTTTTCCATTTCCACATAAACCTCCGGGGAGCAGTACTCTGTACGAGCTTCACGGAAACAACAAGGATAAGATTTTAGCAAAGTTCGGCCATTTCAAAATGATTAGCCTGAATGGCAGTGAATTGCCACGCGTGTTGAACCCACTTAGCTCTTCGGTTTTCTGGGTCATTCCCCTAGTTTCTTTCCGAATTTGACACGGAGCAATTCGATAGTGATAACTGTGTATGCATCTGGCTGGGTATTGCATCAGTTGTCAGGTATTGCATGATCCTTTTTTGACTGATCCCTCTTTATGTGCTCGGAGAATTGTCATGACATCAATCAAGCACTTGACTTGGATCACATGCAGTACATAAATTTCAAGGAATCTAATGCTAGCAGCCTTGATTTGATGTATACTGTATAGCCAGCCTGAACCCACAAAAAGCAAAAGAACCTATCTGAACTTTCGGGATGAGCTACAGTCTACGGGTATACTGTTGTTGAGTTGCCATGTGGTCGCCCACTTTTTTGACTTCGATCATAACAAGTAATACCGTATACTGCGTACGGTATGGTTTAAACTTTGAATTCTGGCTTTATCTGGCAAAATACGCGAGCAAACCACTTAGCGTCTGAGTTTTTCCGAGGACATAGCTAGATTTTGACTACATAGTCGTGTTGAATCTGTACGACGTAAAGGAGCGACTCAGTAGAAGCCTCGTATAGGATTCAGTATCACGACTGGACCGTCATGATATTGTTGGTACCGTAACGTATTTCTTGGCCTCTTACAAATTAAATGTATACATGATGGCAACAAACGTTGGCAACACCTTCAGACCTGTAAAAATACAAGTTACATATTAACGTGTCAAAGTAATATCTGCAGTCCGTATATCCGGTACGTACTAACCTACCAGCTGAATGTGTTGGAATTTGTCAGTTATTATTAATTCCAACAAGTCGTAGATTGACCATGAGTCATGCACCCACCAACGTGGACGTGATAATGCAGTTACGCGCCGATTCCAAGTCAAAGCCCTTTTGATCACGCAGATGCACGTAGTTGTTGTTGTTGTTGTCGAAGATAGAAACATCGATTCTGTATACGTGTAGCCACTCAAACAATGATCGGAGAAAATCCATGCTGGCGGGTAAAAGCGCAAAAACCACGTGAACGCTCAAGCCCTGACAGGCCAATCAAACCGCAAGCCGTGTAACAGAATCTTTTTTTATTTCCGTAGTCAAAAACCATCGATCCAGGGAAAAAGAGTACTCCGTACGATTGCTAGGTCCAGGGTGAATCGCTTAGTCCCTCCGGCCCCTCTTTTCTAGAAGGATCAATAGTTAACTGCCTGTACGTCCGTAACACTCCGTAGTACTACTCCGTACTGAGATTTCGTACTCTTGAAACCTTAATTAATGATTTCATTTCCTACGAGTCGATACTACGCCACCGACCCATTGATCTGTGCACTCCAGCCAGCTGAATAACGATGCAGAATTAGTCGGAGAGCCCGGGTTTTCCGCACTGTTCGGAGTACGCACGGAGTAGCAGTGTACGAACTAGCCAAACATTTCGTACCATTAGTCACGCATGATACGTGCTACACAACCAGTGCGTAGTCAATTAATTAGTCTCGTTCTAGAAGATCGCGATCACCACGCCAAGGCTGCACATCCCTCGCAACCACATGGCTGAGTACCCGTGCTAACTGAGACTGTATGTGCTCCGAAGTAAATCAATTTAGTGTACTCCGTACTATTTCGATGATTTTAAATAACTACGGTCGAAGGATCAGTTCCATGCTAATTAGCTAAATAGCCTTGCGAGTTGTAGGCTCGTAGGAAAACAAGACCAAGACTACCGGAACTGCGCATGATGATGCTGTCCAAAGCACAGTTACCGGTGTGATTACTCGTAACCCATCCAACATCCAACATTTCCACATCCCACGACAATCAAAGCAAACACAGGCGACACTGAATCATCTTAGCGCATGATTTTCCATGTGGCAATGGCGTCGAACTAATCACATACCACTACCAACGGACCTAATCCGATTCCAGCACTCAATGCGTTACTATCGTCGTTCCCCGTCGACGTACTAACGCTGCTAGTCCAAGCGCAAGTGCACACACAACAGCTGGTTAGTACATTGCAGCTTTGGCTCTAGCTAGCTCTTGAAGACAAAAGGCGGCTTAATCCGTCTCCATATAACAAATCCATACCTGATACAGTATGGATGCTCCGGACTCTTGATTCTACACAAGGTCGATCGCCGCGGCGAAAGGTGTAATAGTAACGTAGTACGTACACCCTGATCAACTAGCGAAGTCCCCAAGCCCAAATTGATTTTCAGCTTGTCTAGCTCTAAGCCTCAATAGACTGGACAGCGACCAACCTACCTTAAGGCTTATGGAAACTAAGGAGTGTAGATCCTTAATTMCCCTCTGGCCAGTGAGTCCGCCGTTTCGAGTGTATGACTCGATCCTTGTACAGCGTTGTCGTGTCTATCACAGTACATCAGTGCTCGTAGATCACGGAAAATTCAATTCCCACCTATTCCATTCAGATTCAATCACATCCTGACAACATCATTACGTCTTTTGACGGCGAATATCTGGA